TATCGTGCTGTCCCTGGAAAATGACTTGGAAATGGTTCGTGATGAAGATTAGCAGTTACGCATGTTGTGCAGACTGCGGGTCGTGAAGACGGCTTCTTTTCGGTTCCATTGGGTAAGAGTAAGATGTTTTTGTGATTCGTCGAGTTGTCCAGGAAAGAAGCGAGTAAGAGGTAATTTTGTGGTTTTAATTTCCACATTGAGAACTTCTTCTGGTTGAAGAACTAACTATCCTTCTTCGATTTTTGTTTCTGTTGAATTTGCTGCAGGTTGTCCGATAAGAACCCCTGTATCTGCTTCACTGCTACTCTGCTGCTCTCCTTCCTCTGCTTCACTGCTGCTGCTGTGTCCCCAAAGTATTTCAGTTTTGTTGTCAAGTTGTTGTAAATTTTCATAATAGTTCCGCCATGCTGATGTATCTTCTTCGCCTGTGTTTGTTGGCCAGGAATCAAGAGCCGTTATAACTGCAGCGGCTGTACGAGATCCCGTTGGAATTGCAGTTGCACGGAAGTCTATATCAACTTTTTAGAACTCAGTTTCTTCTGGATGTTGCCAAGGCCCAAGAGATAACACCTTGTCTAAATCTCCAGAATTGCCTTGCAATTCGAATTGAAGAACTGAGACTCCATACTGAGTTGCAGCTCTTCCAATGTAAGTATTGGAGTCATTGTGATAAAGTTCCTGGTCCATGGTCTCACAATTTTCCTTGTGTCCTGATTTTATGTCGTAGGAGTTGAGCCGTCGAAAGAAGATTGAAGCCAAGTCCAGCGATGATGAGGACATGTGTAACGTGTAAGGAAAAATCTGTGTCGACAGAATCCAGCATGACACCGCCGATAGATCTTGCCATAATGTTTTGTCCGTTTGCAGCTGTAACAGGTACTGGACGTCGAAGAGGAAGCTGATGTGTGATGAAAAGCGTCTTGGCAGAGCACATGTGTTGACCACAACAACTGTCAAGATTCCAAGTGTTCGGTCCTGGAATAACCCGAGCGAGATTAGCATAGACCTGAGGTAAGATGACGTTCTCAGGTTGCTCGATGGAATTTTCTTCTTCCTCGTCAAAATCTGAATTTGTTGCATGAACGGTTGTAACACAGCTAAAAACCTGTTTTCCTGATGTGGCAGGAGTTGTTGTTGGTGGATTCTACTTCACGGGTTGCTTGAACTGCTGCGACTGCTGCTGTGCTCCTCGTTTTTTATCAGCATGAAGCTTGTTGCAAAATTTGATGCTGTGTCCATCCTCTTTGCAGTAGTGACAGAAGAACTTGTTGACACATTTTGCAGGCGTTGAATAAAATTTGATCTTGAGTGCTCCCTTTTTGTTATATGCTGTTTGCAGGTCAAGATCCTGTTGCTCAGCTTGAAGAATCGAACAAATTTCAGCTTCGGATAGATTTGGTTGAATTCGAAGAAGAGATTGACACTGCCGCCATTCTGCTCCAAGACCGGCAAGAAGAAGTATTTTAAACATGTCCTTTGGGAAGTATCCGCCGCATTTTTCCAATTGGTCACGAAGTGTTCGAGCCCTGTTGATGTAATCGGAAACATTCTCGTTGCCCTGCATCTGTACAGTTGTCAGGTGTGAGAGTATCTTACTCACGGAAATGGTGTCTTGTGCCATATACAATCCCTTCAAATGTGTCCACGCAGATTTGGCTGGAGTCAAACTGGTGTGAAGCGAGCGTATACCAAGCTGCTCCAAGCTGTAAGCACTGAGTGAAGCATGAAGAAAACTTTGCTGCTCCATCTGTGTTCCCGTAACAAGATACGAATAATCGCCACTGAAGAACGGCCATAATCCAGCGGATTTTGCGAGGAGCTCAAACTCGAAACTCCAGGAGTAGAAGTCGACTCCATTAAAAGGTATTGTTGTCTTGATCTGCGAATTGCTTAAAAGATTTGGAGCCTGAAAAACAGGTCGAGTAAAAGAAATCTGCTGTTGCGGAAATTGATGCTCTTGCTGCAGCGGTAACTGCTACTGTTCTTGCTGAGGTAACTGCTATTGCTGTTGATTCTGCTGTTGTTGCTGAAACTGTTGTTGCGCTTGTTGCTGTTGTTGAAGAAACTGAAATTGTTGATGTTGAGCATGTGTAAACTCAAACGAAGAACTGGAGCTTGGAGCGGATGCAACTCTTGCATAACTGGAACCGTCAATACTCATACCACTGAAGGCCGCTGTTACTGATGCTTCTGTTTATTGCTGTGATGTTGCAGGTGCAGAGGATGAAGTCCCCGGTGGATGCACAACTTGCTGTTGTTGAGGCATCCCAATTGAAGCATAAGCACGTGGAAATTTTCCAGCTGCCGAGTCACCTGCTTGGCCTGTGAAGACTGTAGGAGTTGTAATACCCGTAGGTCCTGTTGTTGAAGAAGCAGAAGTTGGAGTTGATGATGGTCCAGTCATTGTAGAATTTGACGATAGTCTTAATTCCAGACAGCCCTCATACCATGAAACAATTTGAAAGGTGGTGCAGGAGACTAAGTATAGAATCTGCAGACTCAAGTACTTGAAGTAGAAAGTAATGCTGGAGGTACCACCAGTAATAGCCGGTATTAACAAGTTTTAACACCAGAATCAGTGTTATAGCCTTGTGATACTTCAAGACTTTGAACAAGGATCTTTGCTGGAATGGTAGACTAGTAGGACATCGGAAGTCTTAGAACTTGTAAGTGTTGACCGGAATTTACTGAAGAACAAGTTAATAATTGAAGTCATACAAGCTACTTTTATATCTACAATAAGTACCTGTTCGGTAATGTATCTGTTCAAACTATTTGCGCTATGCGCTCTAACCGCTACAGAAAAGAGCGCGACTGTTCGCGTGACTGAAACTGCGTGCTAACGTAACCATCCAGACGAGCGCTATTTGCTGACGTCATTCTACGGATGCTAACTACAATGTAACTCGACAATATCTATCGGAACTACTCACAGAAATTCTGAAGTACGATTTATCACGACAATAACACATACAAGGATATGTTTGACACACCCCCTAGACTGGATAGGGGCAGTGCCTGGTGAGAGAAAAGCAGCTCAGGGTGGCACTACTGGTCCAGCCTCTGAGGCAAGGGTCTCAAGACCAGTCAAATGATTACAAACAAGGCAAGAGCAAGACCAGGGCGGCACTATTAGTTCAGCCACTGGGAAGAAGCCACAAGGCCAGCCAAGGTAATAGATATAAAGATCTGTACACAATTAATGTCCTAGCAAATGAGAGGCTACAGGAACGAGACCTAGTTGTACACAGTTCCGCTGATGATCTTTAGGCGCAAGATCCTTCATGAAGATATCAGCTATGTTGGCACCGGAGACCAAGTGTACTACGCGGGCCCTGGTGACGCTGCTGTAGCTCACGCTGGAGGAAGTACCGCAGCTAGATGTGCTTCGCTCTGCCCTCAAGTATACGCTCCTGACACAGGAGGATCATGGCCATGTTGTCAGCATACAGGACTGGGGCAGAGCTGGGCCACTCACCTAATTCGGTGAGCAAGAAGGTCAGCCAGCGAGCTCCTGTGCCACCATGGCACCGGCGTAGATCTCAGCCTCACAGCTAGACTGGGCAACAGACGAGCAGCGGGTGGACCTCCACGAGATGGCCCGTGCAACAAGGCTAAAGCACTAGCCTTGGGAGGACCTGAGAGTCTCGGCGTTGTCTGCCCAAGAAGCGTCTGTGTGCCTGGTAAGGACCACTGGTCTACGTCCGCCTAGCACTAGCCCCATGCCCGATGTACTTGCTAGATAACGCAAAACCTTCTTAGCTGCCGACCAGTGCTGTGGTCGGTGTCTGCCGATGGCCACAAATCGAGCAAGGATGCTGAGAGGGTATGCGAGATTTGGACGAGTGCAAGTCATCAGGTACATGAGGCAACCCACCAGCTCTGTGTAGGGACCACTAAACTCTACAGCCTCCTCTGGGACTCGAGCAGAGAGTTTGTGGTTTACTCGCAGAGGGGTGGGCTGCGCGCAAGAGAACTGAAGGTCGAACCTCTGAAGGACCTGGCGCGCCAAGTGTGACTGTGAGAGATTGATGGTGCACGCTGCTCTGTCTCTGGAGATGTGCAAGCCAAGGTAGCGGCGCAGCTCTCCTAGGTCAGTGCCGTTGTATCTCCTCAGCAGCTCGGCCTTCACGGAGGCCAGCGCGTCTCTGTCTGCAGGAGCAAAGACCAAGTTGTCTACGTAGACAAGGATATAGAACGGACTCTGGCTGGAACGGATGAAGAGCGAGGGGTCTGCAGACGAAGGGAAGAACCGCAGGTCAGCAAGTGTAGCACGCAGCGTGTCGTGCCACTCACGGGCGCCTGTCGCAAGCTGTAGACGGGGCGCCGGAGGAGCCACTCGGTACCAAGGGGACAGGTACCGGAGAAGCCCTGGGGGCGGCGCAGGTAGACCTGCTTGAGTAGACTGCCCTGGAGGAAAGCTGTGGAGAAGTCGAGGGAGTGCAGCTCGTGGTCATGCTGTGCTAGTACGTGTAGCAGCGCCCGAAGACTGTCGGCGGGAGCGCCGGCTCAGAGGAAAAGCCAAGGCCGGTGGGGTGTGGAGCGGAGGCTGGCGGCGACGGGCGGGCGGCTACAGGCGGGCTGGCGGCAACGGGCGGCCCGCGGGTACTAGTAGCTGGCGGCTACAGGTGGCCAATGGCTACGGGCGACCAGCGGCGACGGGCGGCTGGCAGCAACGGGCGGCTGGCGGCTACGGGCGGCCAGCGGCTACGGGCGGCTGGTGGCAACGGGCGGCCAGTGGCTACTGGCGGCTGGCAGCTATGGGCGGCCAGCGGCTACAGGCGGCTGGCGGCAGCGGGTGGCGAGCGGCGACGGGGGGGCTGGCGGCAACGGGCGGCTAGCAGGGACAGGCGGGCTGGCGGCAACGGGCGGCCAGCGGCGACAGGCGGCTGGCGACTACAGGCAGCGACAGGCGGCCAGCAGGCTGGCGGCTACAGCTGGCCAGCGGCGATATGCGGCCAGGGGTTACAGGTGGCGACAGGCGGCCAGCGGGCTACGGACAAGAATGATGGGGTACAAGGGAATATAACCTAAGGTGTTGTACTCTATATAAGCATGCACCTATCTAGCCTATAACATATACAAAATATATGTCGACAATAAGAACAGTTAGAAAGTGTGGATTAGCGGCTTCGCACTGAAGGTGTAAGAACACCATGGTTCCCACCCATCACTGTCATTAGTGGTAGTAGAGGCTATTTCTTGCGCAGTTTCAGTGGGCGCATCATGTCGTTATCCTCATGGTCCAGTATGTGGCAGTGCCACGCATAGCCAGGGCCAGAGGTAGGGTCAAACTCGAAGGGCTTGCCGTCCTGGTGTGAATGTAGGGAGGGGCACAGACAGAGGTAGACGCGCAGGAGGAAGACGCGAATGTGAGGCGAGAAGAGTATGAGTGAGCTATTTAGAACGAGCTTGCGGGAGACAGAGTGAGTAGTGTGGTTGTGCCATGTGTGTGGCTCAGAGGATCTACAACCACAACCACCGAAACCCCCTTGCCTCCTTGCTCCCTCTCCTCCCGCCTCCATACCTCCCTCCCCCTCCACCCCCAAAACCCACCCCCAACCCCCTCCCCACTTCCCCACTCCCGTTGTAGTCAATAATCTCACCTGTCCGTACCAGCCAACCCAGAATGTGAGCACTTCTCCTGGGAATGCCGGCACCGTGTCCTTCCACCCGATCTCGTTTTTGAAGGCTTTAACCTCCGGCGCAGTGTAGCACGAGGGCTTGCTCCTGCTGGTCAACGAGCACTCGTTGTTCCGGTGCGACTTGACGTCGAAAGCGCGACGCGAAACGACCCGGAATTGCACCAGGTGCAGGTGAATGGGGTGCGCATCAGCCGAGAGGTTGATGATGTGCCAGAGCTCGTTGGAGCCCTGGATGGGGATCTCGGTGGGTGGGTCCATGTAGCGGAGGCCATCTAGGGTGACCCGCACTGGCATTCCGCTCTTAGGGTCCACTTCTTCCACTAGCTTCTTCCAGCGCACTCTGTGTATCTTCGAGAAGTCTATAGAGGGGATAGGCTGGATGGGAAAGCCAAGGGGGAGTGCAGCATAGGGGATATAAAGAGTGAGTGGAGGTTTCTGGTGGTATGCTTCAAGAGAAAAGTTGCTACTATTGCGAGGCAGCACAAGAGCGGATGCTAGAGCAGAAGGAATAGAGCGAGCGGGAGGTAGAACGAGAGTGAGGAAGGGGGAAAGCGGGGAGAGTGGAAAGGGGCAGAGAGGAAGAGGCGCAGCACCCAACGTACTACTATTCTCTTGGGGATCGCCGGAGCTGTGAAGGGAGTGCGGTTGAGGATGACGAACCGCATCACCACGCCTGTGTTCTTATCCACCGCCTCGCCGCCTGGAAACGGTGCAGGTGCGTCATTTGTTACAATCACGTCCCGGCACGCACCACCCTGGCGCGCCGCGGCAAAATCCACCAGAATATCGTATCGCTCCCCAGGGGCGAGCAGCAGGGAGGAGAGGGAGACAGGCCGCTGGAGGTACCCCCCGTCGCTGCCTATGAGGGCGAAGTTGACGGTGCTGCCATGCAAGGGCGGCACGAAGTTGGGGTAGTCCTCCCGGCTGGCGCACTGGAAGCGCAGGTTGAAGAAGCGAGCGTTGGACGCGCCAAGCAGGAGGAAACGGTAGACGGCAGGGCGGACTCTGAGGTACGGCCAGACCTGCACGGTTGTAGGGGTAAAAGGGGGCAAGAGGGAGAGGTTTGGGGGCAAGGGAGTGAAAGGGGGAGGTAAATGCAGGGAAGGTGAGGTTGGTGTAATCCCCCCGGCTGGCGCACTGGAAGCACAGGTTGAAGAAGCGGGCATTGGAGGCCCCCAGGAGGAGAAGCGGTACACTGCTGGGCGGTACTCGCGGAGGTGCGACGAGACCTGGGAGGCGGGAGAGGTGGGACTCGCAGCACAAGTGAGCGTGGGGGAGCTGCTGAATCCGTCGCTAACTCTTTTTAAGGCGCCTAAAAAATAAACTCTTTTTGAGGCACCTCAAAAATAGACTCCTCACGTGTGGGGGAGTTGCTGAATCTGTCGCAATCTAATGTGGAAATTAATAGACCGCTCCTTCTTACCACGCCGTTGACGACGATGGTGTTGCCAACATACTCCGGAATCCAGTTGGGATGAACTTTAGGATCAACCCCCACGTTCGGGTAGTTAATCGACCCGTTCTTAAAGAACAGCCGGTCTGCGATCGCCAGAGGCACGGTGCGCTTCCAGGGGGGCAGCCAGCCCTTCATGCCCCTCTCATCCCCGTTGCTGTCTGTCGTGATATAAAACCCCGCCATCCCCGCTACAGTGTTGAGGCGCGTCCAGCCGAGCGTGTGGTCGTGGTACCAACTGAGCGATGCTGGCTGGAAGTTGAGGTACACATATGCGTTGCACGAGGAGGATGAAGTGGAGGAGGAGGAGGGGGAGGAGGAAGAGGCGGCGGAGCGAGATGAGTTATGGGAGTGGGAGGAGGAGGAGGAGAAGGTGGGGCCGTGCTCGCCGAACTGAGTGACCCACGCGAGCGGGTGGCCGTCGTACGCGCTCGCAGTCTCGCCGCCGTGGCGGTGGGGCACTGAGGGGCAGGCAGGCAGGCAGGCAGGCAGGCAGGCAGGCAGGCAGGCAGGCAGGCAGGCAGGCAGGCAGGCAGGCAGGCAGGCAGGCAGGCAGGCAGGCAGGGCAGGCAGGCAGGCAGGCAGGGGCAGGCAGGCAGGCAGGCAGGCAGGCAGGCAGGCAGGCAGGGGCAGGCAGGCAGGCAGGCAGGCAGGCAGGCAGGCAGGCAGGCAGGCAGGCAGGCAGGCAGGCAGGCAGGCAGGCAGGCAGGCAGGCAGGCAGGCAGGCAGGCAGGCAGGCAGGCAGGCAGGCAGGCAGGCAGGCAGGCAGGGCAGGCAGGCAGGCAGGCAGGCAGGGCAGGCAGGCAGGCAGGCAGGCAGGCAGGCAGGCAGGCAGGCAGGCAGGCAGGCAGGCAGGCAGGCAGGCAGGCAGGGGCAGGCAGGCAGGCAGGCAGGCAGGCAGGCAGGCAGGCAGGCAGGCAGGCAGGCAGGGCAGGCAGGCAGGCAGGCAGGCAGGCAGGCAGGCAGGCAGGGCAGGCAGGCAGGCAGGCAGGCAGGCAGGCAGGCAGGGCAGGCAGGCAGGCAGGCAGGCAGGCAGGCAGGGCAGGCAGGCAGGCAGGCAGGCAGGCAGGCAGGCAGGCAGGCAGGCAGGCAGGCAGGCAGGCAGGCAGGCAGGCAGGCAGGCAGGCAGGCAGGCAGGCAGGCAGGCAAGGCAGGCAGGCAGGCAGGCAGGCAGGCAGGCAGGCAGGCAGGCAGGCAGGCAGGCAGGCAGGCAGGGGGGGGGGGGCAGGGGGGGGGGGGGGGGGGCAGGCAGGCAGGCAGGCAGGCAGGCAGGGCAGGCAGGCAGGCAGGCAGGCAGGCAGGCAGGGCAGGCAGGCAGGCAGGCAGGCAGGCAGGCAGGCAGGCAGGCAGGCAGGCAGGCAGGCAGGCAGGCAGGCAGGCAGGCAGGCAGGCGGGCAGGCAAGGGAGGAAAAACAATTCATTTCAATCTCCCTCGTCGCACCAGTGGGAATGCCGCCTTTCTTATTTTCACCAACAAAAACGCCCCCACAGATGTTTTCCTTCTCCCTCTTCTTCCCTCCTCTCACCAGTGGGGATGCCGCCTTTCTTCGGCTTGGGCATGTGCGCCATGAGGGTGTAGTCCTGGGTGAACATGTGCTGCCGGTCCTGCAGCCTGTTGCACCAAGTAACCCGCGTGGTAACCCCCTTTTTTGCCACGATCGTTGGCCCGGGGTACGACGCGGTCTTATGGCTCGTGCCGTACGCGTAGACCTTCGTGGCGGGCAGATCGCGGTGGAACCTCTGCGGGATACAGTCGCGCACAGGGGACACGATTCAGTCGCACACAGTGGACACCATACAGTCGCATACAGGGGACACCATACAGTCACACACTGGGGACACCATACAGTCACATGACAGTTAGATTGTGCCGTACGCGTAGATCTTCGAGGCGGGCAGATCGCGATGGAACCTCTGCGGGATACAGTAGTCGCACACGGTCAGACGCAGTCGTTTACACTTCCATCACCCGGATAAGCAAGAGGCCATTCACTCGACCACGGCCCTAAACTCGACCAAGGCATTTCACTTCACTAAACTCGATCAGGCTGCTCGATCTCATGGGAGGGTCCTTGCCTAAAAAATAGACTCCTCACGATTTCATGGGAAGGTCCTATCAAAGCGAAAACGAGCAATAGGGAAGGGTCGTGTTTTGGCTTCCCCACATGTTGTAGCAGTATCCGCACCTCGCATGTCTGGATGACTTTTGAGTCGACTCTTCCCCACATGTTGTAGCAGCATCCGCACCTGGTATGTCTGATAGACGCCTATGTAAAGAGCCTTGCCGCTGCCGCCGTCGAGCACGGGGATGGCGCGCGACAAGAGGCTGTCGACGAACTTGCAGAGAGGCTTCGCGGGGAACGCGTTAACACAGCCGGGCCCCGCGGTCGATTCCACCTCCACCGTCGCTAGCGACCGCCGTGGCTTGCGCGTCGATTCTAAAGGCGCCACTGTATCCATCTCCACCGTCGCTAGCGCGCGCGCCGAAAGCGATCGCCGGGAAGGCGAGCGCGCGGAAGGGGAGCGTGGAGTAAGCTGGCTCGCAAAAAACGAGTGACTATCGGCTGTCGATGTACATGTGGCGGACAGCAAGATCGCCACGACGGCTACGCTCCAAAAGGAGAGCGTCGTGCGGTTCGTCATTGCAGCGCGCCATCGCGATGGGCGCGGTATGCGGGATGCTAGCATGGCGGATACCGGGTAGCACCTGGTACTAGCACCGTAGGTAATCACAATACGGCGTGGAAGCGCACTGCAGGTATAAGTTAGTAAATTTGGGCGAAACTTTGAGGAGCTTTTCGCACCGTTAGTAAGTAATTTATGTAACGAGAAGCCAGGAAATGGTGCGGCTATGAGCACGCTAGTCCTAAAGAGACGAGAGCCGACGGGAAGGGCAGGCTGAAACCCTATTGAGGAGCTCCTGACGAGCTTTACAGATGGAAATAAGTCCGTAAGTTACAAGCGGGAATGGAGGATGTGGGTGCTGCTAGCGACTACGGCCTGTTGCTAGAAAACGCTTCTGTTGATTCGACAGCTCTCTGGTTCATCTGGGCCCTGATCGGTTGGCCGGATTCTGGAATTAGGATGTTGTCGAGCAATTTCTCAGGGCTGGCTCGGAATAGGCTTAAAGCCAACCAATCTTTTTAATCACACCAAACCTCCTGGAATAGAGGTGCCTACCGATCACCAGAATAAGAAAGGCTGGAATACGGCACGAGGAAAGGGCACCTAGCTGCTGACTCGGGCGAAATCGTACCAACAGCCAGTCGATGTGAATTCCAGCTTTTTTGCAGGAATAGCTGGGAATAGTGAAGAGTGGGGCAATCCAGACGCAATAACGAATGCTCTTATTTCGGAAACGGGAAACGTCGAATACCCACTATCAGGCTGTGTCTGACCGCCAAGAAAACAAATTCAGGGTCACATTTCGATATCAAGCCAGATGCAGGGCCCTAGACATTTGTTTTTTGCAAGAATCCCTTTTGTTTTTCGTGACCCAGATCGTGGCGGGCAGGTTTGGAGATTTGCCAGCTCAGACGCGTCAGTTACATCACGCAATTTCGCACATAAACCAGCCCAACTTCTCGCACTACCTAACCTGGCGAGTCAACGCACGGAATACGGAAAGCTAGCAGCGGATTCCGCATTCCGGATTCCGTATTCCGAAATAACGGCTTACCGATCAGGGCTCTGGTCACGTAACTTATACTAGTGCGGTTCCCAGCAAGAGCTCAATACGCACTGCAGCTCACTGCAGTTTCGGAGGAACTGTGCGTTCAAGCCGCCTTGACCCCCGCCCAAAAAGCAGGCGGTCAAGACGACGCCGGAACATGTTCAATGTTGCGGTTCGTCCCCAAATGTTCGGGATGCAAAAAAAAACACGGTGCGAAGTGGTTGGCGAACTTAAGCTCTTCGCACATAGCACAGGGTTTCCCGAAAAAAAATCACCGTCACATTGTGGCACATTGGGTAGCAGTCTCGGCTAGGCGAAAGTTGCGACAGCCGCGTTTGTGCGCCAGCTTTCGTCAATACGTCCACAAACGCGGTCCCACGGATTTACGTTCGTCCGGGCAGGATGATCTTTCGGCGGCGTCTTGACCGCCATGGTACAGTACATCGCTTAAGTGCACAGTGGTTACATGGATAGTAACCACCTCTCCACAGAGGGTGATGTGCGTGTTGGGGGGGAAGGTCTGCTCTGCTTCTGCCTAGCTCGGTTCTGCATGGTTTTGCCTGGTCTCTTAGGTTATTGACTCGGTTCTGGTTGACTTGTTCTCTTGTTCAAACGCAACATTCGCACTTCGGAATCATCTCTCCTCATTGCATCTGCACTTCGCACCGTGCCCCTTGCTCGCGAGGCACCTCACGCGCCGCTCGCTGCCCTTGCCAGCAGCACCTTAGTGTGAGGGACACTGTGGAGCACCGCATCGTGGAAACAGTCCAATCAAAATTTACCACGCTGGCGCTAAAGAAAATGGTGTGGCTTGGCGTACGGAATCGTACCTGGTTCGCGAAAATTGGTTCACGAAAACTCTTCGTCACACCTCCCAACCTAGAAACCGCATTCTCGTCATTTTTCGCGGAGTTACTCACTCCGACATATGACTCAGTGCTCACCGACATTCACATCCCATATGCACTACTGACCAACAAAAACAAGCATCACCTGAATGAAAAAATCTGAATAAAGGCCAATGTGGGCACAATTCCTACCCTCTACATAGACTAGCCTTGGGAAAACCTTATGTAGCTATACTCGGCTTATACAAGGCACTCCGCGGTATCTGCCTCAACAAAAGCACCCGTACATTGGCTAGCATCTCCAAAAAGTCTCTCCCAGCCACCCATGTGATGCTCTTATCTCTAATACACTTTAAACAATCCTTCGTTCTCCAACAGACATCGTCGTCTGTGTCCGTATATCCCAGCCGTCGCAGGCAATTCCCTCTAAAAAAAGCGTTGTAGCGAAACAAGTTTCTCCATGACATGTAGTGTATTCCCGAGCGCAGTGCCAGCTTCCTATGTTGTGTGCTATAGAGCTTCAAGGGGAAAAGCTCCAATAGGACGGCGCCACGTGGCAGGAAGAAGACTGAAGTGGAGAGCAGGGGGTCATGGACTGCAACGAGGAGGAGAGTGCGCTGAAGGAGGAGGGGGGGGGAGAGAAGAGGGGAGAGTGGGTGAAAAGGGGTGAGGAAACCTTGGTGGGGTGAGGAAACCTTGGTTGGGTGAGGGAATGGAGGGAAGTGAGGGGGACGAGTGCAAAGAAGACAGGTTTGGAGAGCGTTACACCGGGATGGCTAGGAGCACATGGTAGAAGGCTCAACTCACCTTCATTATTGTCACATGATCGTGGAGTGACGCATTCCCTAGCCGCACCATTGCTATCGGCAGTTCCGGAAAGACCTCTCGAACGAGGGCCACCACCTCCTGCTGGTTCCTTAGCCTCTCCACATTGTCACTCTCCACTACAGTCACCTGCCAGGATCTTATTTCCATGCTGCCCGCAAACATGCCCGAGCCATCCCCATCGGGAAGAAAGTATAAACTTCTCTGTCGGGGCAGCATCGGCGGCAAGATTCCTGCAGGTGTAGAAGCAGGGGCCTCAGCTGCTGTTACGCCAGACCCAGCAGTACCAAGACTTTGGAGAGTGAGGGTGGAGTTAGTGGGGAAGTTGGTTTCGGTCGGAAGGCCATTATCGTCGTCCTTTAGCTGCTCTGTGTACTGGTCGAAAGAGTCATCCAGCTCCTGTCTTGCCTCCGCTTCAGCATCAGCCACTGGATCCCCCTCCTCTCTCTCCTTCCCATTCTCGTGCTCTCCCTGCTTGTTCTCTTCCTTGCTGCTGCTTCCTCTCTGCTTCTGACCCGCTACCTCGCTTCGCCCTTCTCTGTCCCGCCCTCCTCCTCCCCCTCTTCTTCCTCCTCCTGCTCCTCCTCTTGCTGCTGATGCTCCTTCTGCTGCTGCTCCTCCTGCAGCAGCGGCTGCGGCTGCGGCTGCGGCTGCGGCAGTCAGTGGATCTGCCAGGGCGGCGATGCGGCGCTTGTCACCCAGTGGGAGTGCAGCAACACTAGCAGCTAGCCGCTCCTCTGGAGAACCATGGATGGCAAGCTTTGGCGGTATCCTCCTCTCGTACACCACTGGGCGCACTTGCAATCCATTTTCGTAGAGTCCCTGCAAAGTGTCAATCATTGCTCCTGCTACTCCATTTCCCACAGCTGCCATACTGACCTCCAAAGGTACTCTCACTCTCATACCACCTGCTCCTCCTACCTCATCTGCCTCCTCCTCCCTCACACTCCCAATTGCCTCCTTCCTTTCGCCCTTAATTGCACCTGTCTCCACCCCTCCGCCCTCCTCCTTCCCTCCCGCCATCACTGAATCCCCCTGCAGGCCCGTCAGGCCCTGCATCAAGGGGATTCCTTTGCGCCTCACAAACCCTAAAGAGGAAGGGGCTTGTAACGAGGAGTCTTGTAAGGAGGACAGCGCCATGGATTGCGACTGGAGAGCGAGGGGAGGTGCAGGGGAGGAGTTGTGGGTGGGGGAAAACTGGTGTGCCTCAGAAGGCTTATGTGGGCTGCCTGCAGGCTGTTCCATGGCGGATAGGGGCGGGGTGTCGGAGGAAGCAGAGGCGGAGGATGTGCTCTGGAGGGGTTCAGTTTGGGCAATGGTGGGATCAGAGATATGAGGCGGAAGGGATGCTGCTTCCTGGGATTCAGTGCTGGCGTGGGCGGCAAGAGAGGCGCGGCGGCGAGTGAGGTCAGCGCTGTGCGGGCGGTGCATCCTGTTTATCGGGAAGAGCAGGTTCTGGAAGCACACCTGGCGGATGGGGGTGGGGGGTGTGTGGGGGAAGACAGTACGGGGGGATGAGTGAACGGCCGTGGAGATGCAGCTTCTGAAAGCACATCTGGTGGGATTTAAATGTGGAGATAGTTAGTTTGAGGGCACAAAGGTGAGGTGAATGGCGATTAGCACACCAACAGCAGTGCAATTGAGTGTTGCTGGTGCTGCTCCTCCATAGACTACTCTGTATCTCCCTCTCCCTCCCCACTCACCTCGCCACCCCGCCCGTGCCCCTTTCACCTGTTGGCCCGCCACTCTGCCTGCCTGCACCCCAGTGCGCGCACCAAACAGCAGCTGAGCCGCTTCCACCATCCACCAGCTGCGAAAGGAATCTAGTTTTTGAGGCGCCACAAAACTGAACTTCTCTCACCTGTTGGCCCGCCACTCTGCCTGCCTCCACCCCAGTGCGTTCACCGAACAGCAGCTGAGCCGCGTCCGCCGTCCACTGGCTGCGAATGGAGTTGTCTCCGGGGAAAAACACCACCACCCTCTCCTGCTGCTGCTGCTGCTGCTGCTGCTGCTGGTGCTGGTGCTGGTGGTGGTGGTTTCGCCTCTGCTGCTGCTGCTGCTGGTTTCGCCTCTGCTGCTGCTGCAGCTGGCGTCGCTGCTGTGCACGCTGCTTCCCTGGCTGCGGCTGCCCCGATTCTTTCCCTCCTGACTGCTGCATTCCACGCGCTGCCTCCACCTCTCCTTCTGCCCGTGACTCTAACGAGGCCTCCAGGTGCCCAGCCACCTCCATCAGGGGCACCAGTGCGCGCCCAAACTCGCCCACAGCAGACCCGTACCGCGGCACCACGCCCACCCGCATCACTCTCCCGGCCAGCTGTCTCACCAGCCGCTCCCTGCTCCCTCTCTCACTCCCATTCACGTACCGCGTCATCCCCAGGTGGCTCACCAGGCGCCCGTAGGTGTGCTTGGAGCGGCGCTTCAGGTCCGAGAGGTCCACATGGGGTTGTTCGTCCGGCTCCTGGTCGAACCCGTCCGCTAGGTTCTCCATGGCCGTGTGGCGGGGCTGCAGAGGCAGCATCCGGGGAAGGTTGTAACTGGTGGTGGTGTTGTCGCTGCTGCTGCTGTGGGGTTGGCGTCTACGTGGCCCCTGGCTGTGGCGATGTCTTGATTCCCAGACTCCCAGCAGCTTCCTCCGCCCACCCAAGAGCACCTCTCTTCGGGTCTCCTTTCCGACCCCACCTCTTTTCACACTCTTCCCGGTCCCCTCGCTCGCCTTGCCTCCTCTCTGAGCCACTTCAGAGCTCTTCTTTCCAGGCCCACCTTTCACGGCCGCCTTCCTCCTCCTCCCCTCGCTTGCCCTTTCCCCGCTCTCCTTCCGGTCCGCCCCTGGCGTCTTCCAGTCATCACTGGGGTCCCTGAAGCTCACCTCCTCTAACGGCCTGTCTGGGGCATCTAGAGCCTCTAGCGAGTACCCCACCTCGGACAGGAGCACAGAGTAAGGCACGCTGGGGTGGCGCCTCACCCATGTGCCGTTGTCGCTGCCCTCGGTACTGCTGCTGCCCTGCTGCATACTCTCCTCTCCTCCTGCCGCACCATTAAAAAAGGCAACAGCACCAGCACCAGCACCAGAAGCAGCAGCAGCAGCCATCCTCTGCTTGCGCTTCCTCCCTGCCTCTGCATACACCCGAGCGACTTCCTCCAGATCGTCCACTGTCATGCCTTGGCGTAACCCCCCTCCGTCAGTCAACTCGTCCCCTGATTTTCCCTCACTTACTAGCCCTGCTCCTCTCCTCTGCCCTGTACTTTCCCTTCCGGATTCCCTGCCCTTACCTCTCCCCTGCATTCCCCGTCTTTCTCCTCTTTCTCCCTCCCCCACTTCCCTCCTCCCCCCTTTCACCCCCTTCCCAAGAGCCGATTCTCTCTGCAGGGCGGCTGCCAGCTCATGCCAGCTCAGCTCCAGCCAGGACTCGTACTGTGCTTCTGCCAGCCTGTCACTGTACAGGTGGCACACGTTGTTGACTATGGATATTTTTGAGAGGTCGCGGGTTCGATCCCTGGCGAACCAGATGCCTGTCTGGGGCTGGTGGTGCCGCGACTTTCCTGTGATGACACAGAAAAAGCAAGTGGTGGGGAGAGGCGGGGGCGGCAAGGCGAGGGAGAGAAGAGGAGCGTGATGCAAGGAGAGTTAGGCTGGGGTTAGAAAAGCGCACAGGAGGGGGGAGGGAAGGTGGGGGGAGGATAGTTATGCTGGAACAAAGCAGACGCTGCCTTGTGATAAGAACACACTGAGGTGTGGCCTGGAATGTACATTTGGCACGTGGGGAGGGTAGTACCCAGAACCTTTTCTGTAGAGGTGGCACATGGGGAGGTTACTACCCAGAACCGTTTCTGTAGAAGTGGCAGGGGAGGGAGGTAGCACCCAATACCTGGCATGTAGAGGTAGCACGCATCTTGAATGAGCAGCACGCATGCAAAGTCCGTGGGCTGCTGCAGCAGATACACCCCTGGCTGCGACGAGTACGGCTGCACGTGCCAGCTGCCGTGCTGCATTGAAGAACAAGGGAGAGAGCAAGGTGGGGTGAGGCATGAATGAGCAGCACGCATGCACCGTCCGGTGGCTGCTACAGCAAGGCGGGATAGCAAAGGGGTCTTTCCAGTGGAGCGATGGAGGGCAGAGGGAATGGTAGGCAGAGGGAATGGTAGGCAGAGGGATGCGTGGATCCAAGAGGTGACGCAATGAAGGTTGCAAGAGGGCCGTGCAGGGCGAGTAAGAGGCGCGTACCAGGGAGTTGAGAAAGGAGTCATCCGATGCGTTCCAGGCAGGGCGCGGGAGAGTGCCCGGGATGGTGTGGAAGGTTCGCTTGTACCACTTGTCTCGCTCATACCTGCGCGCTCGTCCCCTGCGGCACAGAGGGCAGTGTAAGTGGGTGGGTGGGTGGGTGGGTGGGGGGGGGCTTTATAGTCCAAGCATGCCTGTACCAGTACCACTGGCCTCGCTCATACCTGCGCGCGTGTTCCTGCGGCACAGTGGGCAGGAGGGGGAGTGGGGGTGGGGGGAGGGTTTGAGTCAAAGCATGCTGGTACCACTCGTCCCGTTCATGCCTGGGCGCTCCCGTCCTGCAGCACAGCGGCCAGGAAGGGGGGGTGGAGTGGGGTGGGGTCGGGTTGGGAGGGTGGGAGGAGGGGGGCGGGGGAGCATGTGTGGTTGCTTGACGCTTCAGCAAGCCAAAGCACGTGTTGGGAGAGTGTGCCGATGAGCTTGTGGCGCTCATGGCTGTCATGGTTCTCATGGTTCTCATGATTCTCATGGTTCTCATGGTACTCGTGGTTCTCATGAATCTCATGGTACTCATGGTTCTCATGACTCTCATGGTACTCATGGTTCTCATGACTCTCATGGTTCTCATGGTACTCATGGTTCTCATGGTTCTCATGACTCTCATGGTTCTCATGGTACTCATGGTTCTCATGATTCTCATGGTTCTCATGGTTCTCATGGTTCTCATGGTTCTCATGGTTCTCATGGTTCTCATGGTTCTCATGGTTCTCATGGTTCTCATGGTTCTCATGGTTCTCATGGTTCTCATGGTTCTCATGGTTCTCATGGTTCTCATGGTTCTCATGGTTCTCATGGTTCTCATGGTTCTCATGGTTCTCATGGTTCTCATGGTTCTCATGGTTCTCATGGTTCTCATGGTTCTCATGGTTCTCATGGTTCTCATGGTTCTCATGGTTCTCATGGTTCTCATGGTTCTCATGGTTCTCATGGTTCTCATGGTTCTCATGGTTCTCATGGCTCTCATGGCTCTCATGGCTCTCATGGTTCTCATGGTTCTCATGGTTCTCATGGTACTCATGGTTCTCATGGTTCTCATGGTTCTCATGGTTCTCATGGCTCTCATGGTTCTCATGGTTCTCATGGTTCTCATGGTACTCATGGTTCTCATGGTTCTCATGGTTCTCATGGTTCTCATGGTACTCATGGTTCTCATGGTTCTCATGGTTCTCATGGTTCTCATGGTTCTCATGGTTCTCATGGTTCTCATGGTTCTCATGGTTCTCATGGTACTCATGGTTGGTTCTCATGGCTCTCATGGCTCTCATGGCTCTCATGCCTGTCACAGTGAGAGCAGTGGTCGTACCAAGGTCGGACTGGCGAGTCCGCCGTCCGAGCAGCACCCACTCCCTCCACCTCCGCCTCCGCCTCCTGCTGCTCGCTCCGCGCCCTCACGCCATGATCACCTCTCGCGTGCTTGCTCCACGCAGCCCCCTCCATGCGCGAGGAGAGGAGGTAGTAATTCGAGACGAACAGCACCACCGCCACGATCGCCAGTATCCTGTCCACACTCGCGCCTTTCCCTCCCCCTCCGCCCAGAAATCTCCACCCTCCCCATGACGAGTCTCGCGATCGCCTTTTCTGGTGAGCGCCTTTCCAGGCGTGACCTCTCACCGCTGCAGCTAGCGCGTCTTTCTTCTGGATCAGAAACCCTGCTGCCCGCCGCCGCACCCACCACCATCTGCTGTGGGTAAAAAAGCTCTGCAATAACAGACGCACCCTCTGCAGGTATCTGTGGCGGCAATCACGCCAGCTCTGCGTGCTCCGACTCGGAGCATTGGGTACCCTCGGAGGGGGGTGGTCCTCGGTGCGGCGTCCGTTGAGCATGGGTGCGTCATCAGCGAGAATCGCTTGTAGCAGGGAAGCCGATTCTCGGTCTGACGATTCTTGATCTGACGATTCTAAATTCGACGATTCTCGATTTGACGATTCTGGGAATTTCCGGCCCGGCGATCCCCGATCAAGAAAATTTCGGGCAGAAGATTCTCGATAAGAAGGTTCTTGATAAGCGGATCCTCGGTACGGTAATCCTCGATACGGAGTTACTCGGTCAGAGAATTCTGGATAAGGGGGTTCTCGGCCAGGGAATTCGTGGTTAGCGGTTGCAGGACCGCGGGAGCAGGTCCTGGCGGTGCATTCCAGGTGCAGCGGCGACCCCAGATGCATTGGCGAGCACCCGCACTGCGGATGGTTCTCAGCAGCGCTGGCAGCCATAACTGGACCGCTGAGCCTGGCTGGAGGCCCGTTGAGCCTGGCGGGAATCCCAGGCCCATGACACTGTCGCGAATTTTTAACTTGTGAATCTTGCCTGATAGGCGAAGGGCTCCGACTCGGAACAAAAGCACTACTTGTGATTCTAGCATTATCAGTCGGCCTGACGGGACCGCCTTGGCCACTGTCGGGAGCGCGGTTGCTGCTGCTGCTGCTGCTGCTGCTGCTGCCGTTGCTACAGCTGCTAACGGCTGAAGCCTGATGACGAGATCTGTTCATGTCAGAACGTTGGAGCCCCGGTGATCCCCCAGGTGCTCTTCCCAGACCTCGTGATCCTCCACGATCCCCTAATCCTTCAGGATCTCGTGATCCTCCAGGATCCCCTAATCCTTCAGGATCACGTGATACTTCAAGATCCCGTGATCCGTCAAGATCCCCTAATCCTTCAAGATCTCCTGATCCTTCAAGATCTCCTGATCCTCCAGCAGCCGGCGAACGACGCTGAACCGGCGGCTCGGGGCATGATGATGTTAGCGGGTCGTGATGTTCGTTGTCGTGATCGTCGGATTCTCGGGTGGTTGACGATCTTTCATCGGCTGCATTGTCCCCTTCCTCGGCAGCCATTAATTCTACCGGCTGTGAAGCCTCGTCAGAAAGCTTCCTAGCAACCAACCAAGTCTGAAGCTTGCCTCGGAGATCTCATGGAATTCATCGCCTAAGCTAGCATTTGAGTCGACTCAGAATCTAAACTAATCTATCAGTGAGAATCCAAAGAAGTCCCGTTAGGTGAGGGGACGCTACACCACTGATTAAAGACCCAAAGTGGACAGTCCTGGCTGGCCTATCCCTGCACAAAGCCTATCATTGGTTGCTGTACACATATCGCGTACCTAAAACCACGCAAACCGATCATTTCAAGCCAAAAGAATCTCTCTTCAGGTGCGTCTCCAGGCTAATAAAGACCGCAAGGCAGCAAGGTACACCAGCCAAGAAAGCCAACTCAAAATGGAAGCACAGGCGATTGCTGAGTCCAGCAAGCAGATCACCGCAGGTATCGATGATGTACCCTTCTCATGGTTCTAGTGGTTCTCGTGGTTCAGAAGGGCGGGTCCAATTAGTACGTCTGATTACGGTGGAGTAGCTTGCGGTGCGTTTCAAAGTGTTCAAATAGCAACCTAGAATGGTTGGGTATGGTATTTTGCGAAAACGAGCTTTTTGGACCCGCCCTTACTACCGACTGGCTTGATGCGTTGTGCTGGTGTTGTGCTGCTGAGTTGCTTCCACAGGCCTTGGCTTGCAGATTTCAAAATGTTAGTGCTGTGTGTGGGCGGAATGGAAGGTTGTACCTGGCGAAAAAGGTTTTCCACAAGAGCTTCGTCCACGTGAAGGTTCTGTGTGACGAGAGAGCGTAACCCCTGTTCGCGAAATGTCGACGGGGTCGGTGTTGTCAGAACGAATCCTTTCGCGCTATTGGCTGCTAAGGGCAAGGCGCACTGAGCCCTCTGGAGCTGGCTGAAGATCCGACAAGTCGTCAATGTCATGACGAGGAAAACCCGACCATCAAAACCGACCGACACTACACACCCGACAAGGAAGCCCACAACCACAAGCTGGCCTTCGAACGATCCAATCCCGAGTGTAGATGCTGTTACATTCAAAAACTCCGTCAAAGCATGTAGAATAACACCACATATGTATTCACAACTCACAATAACCTCCCCTTATTGAAGCCTCCGACACAATGCTGCAATGAGTGGGAATTTATGTGACTCTGAAAGGCCGCCTCTGAATCCAATGCCATCTGCATGAGAGAACGAACACATTAAATAGACTACCAAGGAAAGTGGATGACTGGCGTTAGAGAACGGCATAATTAGCCATGCATACCTTCAAGATAATTTGAGCTCCTTTCTTATCCAGTACAACGTTGTACTCTCCACACGCAAGAAACTGCATTTTCATTAGGCCGAATGGAACACAAGATGGAAGGAGAACAAGGGTTGTGGCAATGGATGCATGGCTTCCTATGCGCATAAGCACCACAACCCAGTGCACATAAAATTTGGTTGCAATAGAGCCAATTTACTTGCACATTTGTGAACGGCCCACGCTCTCCATATGACTCACATGTACACACCCAGGGCAACCATTGGGCATGTTACACTGGCACTTGGTTACCAGCTCATGTGCAGCACGGATTATAAAGGGGAAGAGAGGCTGGAGCTGGAAAAGGGAAAGGGGAGAAGACAGGAGCAAGGGGATGGAAGAATGAGCGCAGTGCGAAGGAAACAAAGCACATCAAAGACAGCCCCACGACACGAACGATGGGGCGCCAGACATCTCATGGATCGCCAGGCTCATGCAGCTCTAAAAGAAGCTGGATTGCATTTGCAGGTCGTTGATTAAAACAGCTGGTATGCATCCGCACTACCTTGACACAGCTTAGCCTATCCCACTCCCCCACCTGCACTGCCGGGTCTATCTTACCTGGGCTGCCAGGCCTATCCCACCTGGGTGCTTGCCCTACCTGCACAGCCAGGCCTATCCCCCCTACCTGCACTGCCAGGCCTATTCCCACCTGCCTGCACTGCCAGGCCTATTCCTACCTGCCTGCACTGCCAAGCCTATCCCCCCTACCTGCACTAACAGGCCTATTCCCACCAACCTGCACTGCCAAGCCTATCCCCCCCTATCTGCACTGCCAGGCCTATTCCCACCTACCTGCACTGCCAAGCCTATCCGCCCTACCTGCACTGCCAGGCCTATTCCCACCTACCTGCACTGCCAAGCCTATCCCCCCCGGGTGCTTGTCGTAGAGCAGGAGGCGCTGTGGGAAGAAGCGGGAGTCGTAGGGCGAGGCGCACTCCACGCCCATGTCCGATGCCATGCACGCGAGGAAGCTGCCAGGAAGATGCAACGCAGCAGGGGCGAGAGGGCCTTGAAAGAAGGACAATGGACAAGGCATGGGAGAGACGAAGCGAGAGCTCTTCATCACTCACGCATAAAATCAATGGACATAAAATCACTCACTGAGGTGAACTGAGACCACTTTTTAAGGCGCCTCAACAATGGACAAGGCATGGGAGAGACGAAGCGAGAGCTCTCCCCTAGGCTTGTCACACAGGGCGAGGACGCGGGAAGGAGAAGAACGGTAGCTTACAGCGGCACCATGTTGGCTATGGCATGCGCAGCAGCGTGCAGACTGGCTCGGTAGTCGCTCCCTGCTGCCTCCACTGCCGCCTTTGTCCCACCCGCCACTCCCACCCACACCGCCTGCAAGCCACGCACGAGCAATGGGTGAACACCAAGAGAGAACTTTTGAGTCGACTCAAAAGTCAGCACGAGTAATGCATGAGCGCCAAGAGAGAACACGATGCGTCTCCACTAGAGAAATCGACCACACATTGAGTCGTGAAAGACGTGAGACAACGTTCATGCAGACGTGAGACACATGGAGCGAATCGTGCATCGCAGATGCCTGCACTGACCAAGGCGCAGTGTCATGTCATGTCATCTCACCTGGGTGGCGTACGTTACATCTGGCAGTGTCATCTCCACCGTTTCAAACGGCTCCCCTGATCCCCGCCACATCTTGCGGTACCCTATCCACCGAGTGGTGACCTCACACGGTGCCGTCTGTGCTGACGACATCACATCACATGGTGCTCCCTGTGCTGACGTCATTCCCTCGGAGGGTGGTGCTGTCTGTGCTGATGTCACACCCTCCGAGGGGACTGCATGTGCTGCTGAGGTCATCGCCTCACAGGGTACCATGTGTGCTGACGTCAAATCAGCAGGAGCCGGCTTTGCTGATGTCATGTGCGGATAGGGGAAAGCCTGTTGGTGCGAGGCGAGAGAGAGAGAGCAGATGCCTAGTTGTACCCAGGTTCCAGAAATACACGGACCGCTTGAGAGAGCAGATGGGGGAAGTTTGTCGGTGCATGGGTGAGGGAGAAGAGTGACTCTAAGTGGAGGGAGCTTGAGTGTCAGGGAAAAAACGGCAACCAAGTGACACAAACAGAACAGAGTGCAAGTAAGGAGAGATCTGGAGCAACCAACGACAGTATCACAGCTGGAAAACTGTCGTTGCCAACTTGCTTACCAGTATTTCCCCCTTTTTAGTCACAGAGACCATGTCAACTTTTTTAGTGCAATATCACCAGTACCAGCATTCCCCCCTTTTTAGTCACGGCAACCATGCTGGCTGCCTTCTTATAATAGTGCACGTACCAGTGTTCCCCCCTTTATAGTCACGGTGACCATGTCAATCGTCTTGGTGTAATAGCGCACATCTGCCCGCACACAACGCGCCTCCCTTTTCTCCAGGTCCAGGGAAGTCACCAGGAAGGTTCGTCCCTGCTGCAGGTACACTGCGCCTTCGTACAGCTGCACGCATGGGGGACGGGGGAGCGAAATGAGAGCGAAATGAACGCAATTGAAAGGTGTTTGATTACACGCACAGCGGATGGGGGAGCACAAGGTAATTCTTGCCACACGCGGGACAAAAGCCCTGATCTTGAAAAGTTGACAAGAGAAAGAAACAACCACAAATAAGAAGGGGGTGTTGTGTCAAATAAAGGTGGAGGGTGCAGCACAGACCGTTCTCCCTTGTCAGACCCTCCGTACCGCAAAGAACGCTTTGCTCTCTTCAATCTCTTCCAGCACCCGCCCCGTTCTCGCCTCCACCACAGCATACGTGTTGGGATCGATCGCCCGCACCGGGACAAACCGTGCCGGCCGCTTCCCTGCCCCAATATACCTCCAGCTGCGATCCACCTCGGGATTCTCCGGACTCCTCCCCAGCACCCCCTCCCGTGCCAGCTCAGCAATCCTCCCCACCAATGAGGGGCCGAAGAACCTCTCATCCACAGATTCCAACAGGGGCAGCTCGGCCGCGGCGCACTGCAGCTGCTGCCGCATCACCAGGGGGTTCGCGCAGTCCAGCTGGCAGCGCTCGATTGGCCGTGCGAAGAGCCTCGAGGGAACAGCCATGAAGTACTGGTCGAGGGGGCCGTCGAAGGCGACGTAGATGGAGAGCGACGCCTTCTCCCTGCGCCCCGCCCGCCCCGCCTGCTGCCAGAGGCTGGCAGTGGAGCCCTGGAAGCCCAGGTGGATCGTGGCGTCCAGCGCCCCCACATCTACCCCCAGCTCCAAAGCGTTCGTGGCTGCCACAGCTCTTAACCGCCCGTGGAAGAGCTCCCTCTCTATGTGCCGCCGGTCCTGGTTGGGGGGAGTGGGGGGAGAAGGTGGGGGAAAGCGTTGGTGGCAGCAAGGCCGCACGGGAACAGCCATGTAGTTCTGGAGAGAGAGGCTTTCTCCCTGCGCCCAGCCCGCCCTGCCTACCGCCAGAGACTGGCAGTGGAGCCCTGGAAGCCGAGGTGGATGGTGGCGTCTAGAGCCCCCACGTCTACTCCCAGCTCGAATGCGTTCGTGGCAGCAACGGCTCGAAGGCGCCTGTGGAAAAGCTCCCTCTCTATATGTCGCCGGTCCTGGTGGGGGGGAGAGAGGAGGGGGGGAAGAGGGACCAGTACTGTTTCATCCGGGTCGGGATACCTGAGCAGTGTACCCTGCGCGGTATGCCAGCACTGTTTCATCCGTGCAGGAAAATAAGAGCCCTATGGGGCACTGTGTACCCTTGAATACAACTGACCTGAGCAGTGTACCCTGCGCGGTATGCCAGCACTGTTTCATCCGTGCAGGAAAATAAGAGCCCTATGGGGCACTGTGTACTTGAATACAACTGACCTGAGCAGTGTACCCTGCGCGGTATGCCAGGACTGTGTCCACGAGGTGCGGAGCCCTCTCCTTGAGCACCTCCTTGCTGGTGGGGGCAGAGAGGCAGCGGAGTAGAAAGGCGACACGCAGGCGTGATAAGGAATAGCACCTCACCTCACCTTAGACACTCACGGGATTATAAGAGCCTCACAGGATGGATTCTAAGTCGATGATACTTTGACCTTCCCCCCACCAAAGAGCCAAATCCATTCAAAAACCATCCCTTCATTTTCCGTCCATTCAGCCTCACGTGTATGTGAGCACGAGCTCAGACAGCTTCCTGGTCTTGCAAAACGCCAGGCACCGGGTGTCATGCTGCACCATCTCCGCTAGCAGCAGCGCCACCTCCACTATGGGGCTGGGGGATAAGGTAGGCATGGGGAGTGGGGAGAGGAGGAAAAAACACGTGAAGAGGAGGAGGAGGCAAGGCACCGGGTGTGGCGCTGCACCATCTCCGATAGCAGTAGTGCTACGTCTGCTATGGGCCTGGGGGAACAGTGGAGGGATCGGGCTTGCAGGGGAATGGCTGTGCAGGGAGAAGGATGGTTTAAAGTAGTTAGGAATTGAGAAAAGAGAAGCAGCAGTTGCAGGATCAAGATTAGCAGGTGAGGTAAAAGATTATCGCCTCTACCTTGCACCTCCCTCACCTGGCACGCTTGGCCATCATGACATGCTCGCAAGCAGCGGCAGGTTGCAGCACTCGTGGAGTCTGCCTTCGTGAGCTGCGGCGAAGGGGCCGTGCGGCCTGGAATGGGCAAGGGGGGTTGTGGAGGAGAGCGGGAGTGTGTGTGACGTCTGACTGCATGTGCTGCGGCACAGGAGTTAGAGGATACTTGGGAAGAGCAGCAGAACTAGTGAATGTGCTGAAGAGCGACACTAGTCAAAAGAATGAACAGACTTGTGTTTCAAAACTCCGACGATTCATTCGTCACATTCTGCTGTGTGGTCTGGGGTGGGGATGGAGAAGGTCAATGGATGGTGATGGGCGCTTGGCTCACAGGCGGCATGGTGATGGGCGCTTGGCTCACAGGCGGCATGGTGATGGGCGCTTGGCTCACAGGCGGCATGGTGATGGGCGCTTGGCTCACAGGCGGCCTGGTGATGGGTGCTTGGCTCACAGGCGGCATGGTGATGGGCGCTTGGCTCACAGGCGGCCTGGTGATGGGCGCTTGGCTCACAGGCAGCATGGTGATGGGCGCTTGGCTCACAGGCAGCATGGTGATGGGCGCTTGGCTCACAGGCGGCCTGGTGATGGGCGCTTGGCTCACAGGCGGCCTGGTGATGGGCGCTTGGCTCACAGGCGGCATGGTGATGGGCGCTTGGCTCACAGGCAGCATGGTGATGGGCGCTTGGCTCACAGGCGGCCTGGTGATGGGCGCTTGGCTCACAGGCAGCATGGTGATGGGCGCTTGGCTCACAGGTGGCCTGGTGATGGGCGCTTGGCTCACAGGCGGCATGGTGATGGGTGCTTGGCTCACAGGCGGCCTGGTGATGGGCGCTTGGCTCACAGGCGGCACGGTGATGGGCGCTTGGCTCACAGACGGCACGGTGATGGGCGCTTGGCTCACAGGAGGCATGGTGATGGGCGCTTGGCTCACAGGCGGCATGGTGATGGGCGCTTGGCTCACAGGCGGCATGGTGATGGGCGCTTGGCTCACAGGCAGCATGGTGATGGGCGCTTGGCTCACAGGCGGCCTGGTGATGGGCGCTTGGCTCACAGGCGGCCTGGTGATGGGCGCTTGGCTCACAGGCGGCCTGGTGATGGGCGCTTGGCTCACAGGCGGCATGGTGATGGGCGCTTGGCTCACAGGCGGCATGGTGATGGGCGCTTGGCTCACAGGCGGCATGGTGATGGGCGCTTGGCTCACAGGCGGCATGGTGATGGGCGCTTGGCTCACAGGCAGCATGGTGATGGGCGCTTGGCCCACAGGCGGCATGGTGATGGGCGCTTGGCTCACAGGCGGCATGGTGATGGGCGCTTGGCTCACAGGCGGCATGGTGATGGGCGGGTTCCAGAGCACAAAGCTCTTGTCACCACAGGAGCTGCCGTCATCCGCTGCATCCACCACGCCACCTCATCCAGCTTAGCAGCAGGGCGCGGCGATCAACAAACATTGCAATTGATGCTCACAGGCGGCATGGTGATGGGCGGATTCCAGAGCACAAAGCTCTTGTCGCCACAGGGGCTGCCGTCATCACATGCATCCACCACCTCCACCTCATCCAGGCCCAGCAGCGCGTGCACGTGCTCCCTAGGATCCGCACACGTAGCAGAGCACACTATGAAGATTGGATCTGAGCCGTACACTGGCTCGGTGGACGGGGTGGGGTGGGTCAAGGGGGGAGAGCGGGGGGGACGGGGGGAGTTGTAGGAGTGGAATGATGCCACGACATGCCAGCCGAAGCACACCAGGCATGCCATGCATCCATAACCGGGCCTCAGAGACCGTCAGTGTATAACAGCACACCGTGCACAGACACAGAGGCATCCCAGAAACACACCACTGCGCCAACCAACCATTCATGCACTCGTGCCCATTGCAGCGTGCATGTGAGTTGAGACCCGTGCCCATAACCCAACCCACCGTGTGCGCACAGCCGTCGCAGGCGCCTGAAGATGAGCGCCGCATGGCAGCCAAACGCGCCCCTGTACGCATGCGCCTCATCCACCACCACATAGCTGGGGGGAGGAAGACATGGGGCAACGGGGCGGGGAGAACAAAACGAAGAGGGTTGCAGAGGTTGAATGCAGAGGTTTGGACATGCTGACGGAGGATTGCAGGGGAGTAAGAGAGGAAGAGTTGAATACTGAGGAGGTGTGTACCAAAGGTTGGAGAGGAATCGGTTGAAGTCCCGATGGCCAGGCAGCATGGTGACGTGCAGCATGTCGGGATTCGATAGGATCTGATTCATTATAGGGGGATTTGAAGGATTTGGAAATAGAGCATAGGTTACGGCATGCCGGATGCGGCAACGACGGGAGGAACAAGCAAGAAGCGGAAGCGCAAGGACAAGGAGCATTGAGGTGCGTCAAAGACCTCTGGTGTCGTGACTCGTGAGCCTTGCAATACAGGCAAGCGTGGCCACTCACCAGTCGAGCCCTCTCTCTGATGGCCCTCCTTGCAGAGTGGCCCGTGTCGCCATCATAGATCGCCATCCCCTCTCCCAGCTGCCTTAGCCGTGCATCAAGTGATGCATGCCCATGCACACTCGTACCACTGCCACCACACACATGCACGCTATCAGATTTCTGCTCCCCCCCCGCCACGTCAGCTCCCCCTTCTCTTGCCACATCAGCTCCCATCCTCTCGCCAACCCCCAGCACCGCTCCGCTTTCTCTTCCCGTGTCATCTGCCATCGCGTCTCCCCCCTCCCGCCCCACCAGCACGTGTAGCGCTCGCAGCTGGTCCTGGGCCAGAGCCTTTGTTGGGGGGCCAACGGACAAGAGGTTAAGAGAAGAGAGATGGAGGGGTTAGAAAATGTCATGTCCCTTAGTGCGAAAGAGGTAGAGGGCACAGGCGAACTGGACGCAAGGCAAAACGGGTGCTTAGAGAGTGGAACACACCTTAGTGGGGAAGAGGTAGAGAGCACAGGCGTGGGGATGAGAGAGCAGAGTGTGAATGACAGGCACGTTGTAGCACAGCGACTTGCCACTGGCTGTAGCTGTCGCAATGATTGCATGCTGCCCGGCCAGTGCCGCATCGATGGCCTTCGCCTAGAGGGGAAGCAGGAAACAGCAGAAGGACGGAAAAAGGGTTCAAAACGGCACGGTCACATCACATCACATCACATCACATCACATCACATCACATACTAGCAACACACTCGAACAATAAGGGGGGCGAACAGCCACAGATGCGCTTACCTGGTGGGAGTAGAGCCGAGAGACGCCCAGACGAGCCAGGGCATGCCACGTGGCAGGGCACAATTGGCTGGCTAGCTCCCGGTAGCAGGCGTTCCTCTGCGGCAGCTGCTCGCAGTGCACCACCTGATGGCATGGGAGGTGGGGCGATGTGGGTGCAGTGCAGGCAGGATGAGAGGATCGAGGGGAAGAGAGAGAGGGAAGCCGTGGTGACTTTTGAGTCGGCTCAAAACGAGGTGACAATTGAATCGACTCAAAAGGCACCACCTGATGGCATGGGAGGTAGGGCGATGTGGGTGCAGTGCAGGCAGCATGAGAGGATCGAGGGGAAGAGAGAGAAAGAAGCCGGGGTGACTTTGGAGTCGACTCAAACGAGGTGACTTTGGAGTCGACTCAAACGAGGTGACTTTGGAGTCGACTCAAACGAGGTGACTTTGGAGTCGACTCAAACGAGGTGACTTTGGAGTCGACTCAAACGAGGTGACTTTGGAGTCGACTCAAACGAGGTGACTTTGGAGTCGGCTCAAACGAGGTGACTTTGGAGTCGACTCAAACGAGGTGACTTTTGAGTCGGCTCAAACGAGGTGACTTTGGAGTCGACTCAAACGAGGTGACTTTGGAGTCGACTCAAACGAGGTGACTTTGGAGTCGACTCAAACGAGGTGACTTTGGAGTCGACTCAAACGAGGTGACTTTTGAGTCGGCTCAAACGAGGTGACTTTGGAGTCGGCTCAAACGAGGTGACTTTGGAGTCGACTCAAACGAGGTGACTTTGGAGTCGACTCAAACGAGGTGACTTTTGAGTCGGCTCAAACGAGGTGACTTTGGAGTCGACTCAAACGAGGTGACTTTTGAGTTGACTCAAAAGGCACCACCTGATGGCATGGGAGGTAGGGCGATGTGGGTGCAGGCAGCATACAGAGGGGAAGAGAGAGAAGGAAGCCGGGGAGAGAGCCGGCCGAGGAGGGAAGGGGATGAGCAATGGACAGACTGACGGACTAAGGGATATTTTGGCGAATGGATAGAGAGACAGTGTGAAACCAGTCGTATCCATCCCAGACTACACAGAACCCGTCCCTCCAGTATCCACCTGCCCGGTAATCACCTGCTCCAGAGTGACCCACCTGCCCCAGCGACCCAAGGCCCTGCTTGAGATGCTCCAGCAGCTGCTGTGCTGCCATGGGCTCTGTGCTCTGACGCACAGGGTGGGGAAAGGGGGGGTGGAGGGGGGAGGTGGGAAGGAAGGGAGGGATTGAGGGCGGTGTGAGCTGGACGCTCTCTTGTTGACGATGTGAGGCATGGATTGAGCACCTGGAGGTCAGGGGCAGAGAAGCTTGTGGGGCTTGGAGGGAGCACCTTGTGCTGGTGCGCCTACATGCCCCTGTGCTCTGCAGCACTCAACCGACATGCACACAGGGGCACATCCCCAGAACCACGCTCACACTCACATTGCAAGGAGGTACTTTCTTGAGTTGCCTTGGTGGATGAGGAGGCAGGTAGCGCTGCAACGGCATGCCTGCCTCGGCCTCGCACCCTTCGTCCCCTTCACAACCCGAAGCACAATCGTCGCTTCCCTTCGCCCCACCCCCCTCCGCCTGTTGGCCACTATTCTCAGACGCCCCCTTTGTCCGCCGCAGCTTGCCTTTCCTCCCCTCATGTGCCTTCGTCTGCTGCTCTGACCTCCCTCCCTTCCCGTCCTTCCCCTGACCTCCACTACAGCCAAGCACACCAGCATCCACATCGGCATCAGCATGAGCATCAGCGTCGAGCGTGCATTGCAGGGAGGCAGCTTCAGCCAGCAGCGTGGAGACAGAGATGTCCTCAAACGGGAAGTCAGCGTGCCATGCCACGCTGCCTGCACTCTGCTTCACACCCTTGCGCCCCTTCTTCGAAACCCCCTCCTTTCCTTTGCCATTCTCTTCCTCGCCCTCCTCCTCGCCCGGCAATGCACTGCCCTCCTCCTCCTCTCCCTGCAACGCCTCGTCCCCCCCCTCCCCTGCGCCAGCTGCCCCGTTTTGACTCTCCTCTCCTCGCAAGCCCCGGCTGGCACAGCCCATGTCAGCAGCAGCAATGGCAGGATCGACCCGTGTGGTGGTCTGATTTTGAGTCAACGCAACAGCAGGCCGTGTGGGATGGCGGATGTGGGATGTGGTCGGTTGGATGTGGGCGAGGAAGTCTGCATGGATGCGGTGGAGGGCGGCAGTAAGAGCAGTGAGGAAGGCGCCTCTCCGCTTGTCTGCTAGCCTGACTGCGCTGCGATGAGGTGTGCGCTGCTGAGCACCTGGGGGGGTCAATGGAGGGTGATGCGTGATGCGGAGCGGACGGAGGAAAAAAATGAGGGGCTCAGAACGCCAGGAGATGGTTCAGGATCCCTTTGGATCAGGTGCTTAGAGCGACTGACCAGCAACGACACCCACAGAACCAACCTCAAGTACCATGCGCCGCAGACTCGAGACAGCAGACTCGAGACAAGACAACCCCTCCTGGCGCTCACCTTGCAGCAGCATGCCTCCTCGCCTGATCTGCTGCTCCGGAGGGCGAGACGGGTCCCACATGCCCACCACCACAACCCAACCACTTCCATCTGCTCCCTCCCCTCCTCTTCTCTGCCCGCCGATTCCCTCAACTCCCCCACTCGCTCTGCCTGCCCCCTCCTGCTCCTCCTCTCCCCCCTCCTCGTCTTCCTCCTCCCACATCCAGACCACAGAAGGGGCCAACACTGCCATGTCTCTGATGTCCTGCCGCATGCACGTACGCACACAAGAATGCTCTTGAAAAACGGGAGCAATCACACCCACGCATGCACACACAGCAGAATCCGGGCACAAGACCTTTCACCACAGCAAAACACAAACTGTAACAACCAACGATTCGCGCACACGTGCATACGTCCACTCGTTTTAAGCACAGTGGGCTGAGAGCCACGAGGCCACCTACCTGAAGAGTGACTGCTTCGCCCTCTGCTCCACTCCTGAGGTCCCTCAGTGCGCCCTCCAGCCGCCTCCACGTGGGCTGGGAGAGTGACACATGACACAAACGATAGGCCAGCGCAGAGTGACAGAGAAGTTCGCAACTGAACTATGACAAAAGCACATGGCGATCGAATGTGGCTCAGACACATCAGTAAACACACACACGCACTCACCTTGACTGACCGCTGCTCCAGGAAGCCATACACTGCTGCCAGCAGCCCAAACTTGCTGTCCAGAACCGCAACGTTGGGAGGCAACCCCTGCCTGCCTGCTGCCTGCTGCTCTGCCGGCTCAGCCTTTCTCTTCCGCCCTCCACGCCTCTGGGCCGTCTTCGCCACGCCACCACCATCCAGGCCTTCGCCTGTCCCCACGCTTGTGCCATCCCCAATGCACATGCCATCCCTTGCGCCTGTACCATCCCCAATGCTCGTGCCATCCCTTGCGCCTGTACCATCACCCGCGCCTGCGCTCTTCCCCATGCCTGCACTGGTGCCAGTCTGCCCAGCATTCCCCATGCCTCCATGACTCTCTGTAGCCACATTCTGCATGCTCCCCATCTCCTCCCTGCTCTCCCTCCCCTCCCTTCTGTCACTCCCCACCGCGTCTCCTTCGCTCTCCACCATGCCATCAGCCACGTCAGCGCCACGTGGATCAAGCTGATGTGTGCGAGGAGTGTGGAAGGGAAGGTAGCGAGGGGGGGATGCGAGCACGGATGGCGATGGTGGAGACGAGGAGCCTGGCGGCTGTGCTGCTGATGACTGACCTGGTGACGCTTGCACTGATGCTGGTGCTGCTGGTGGTGCTGCTGGTAGTGCTGCTGGTGGTGCTGCTGGTGGTTCTGACGATGGTTTCGCCTGTGATAGTGGCACTGTAGGGAGCTGCGGCGCTGGGGTTGATAGAGACGCACCATCAGCAGCATGTGAAGGGCTTGCCTGATTGCCCACCCCATGCTGCCATGGCTTCAAGGGTCCCATCCGCTGCTCCTTGCGCTGAAAGCTCATCAGCACGAGGAAATCTGCCGGCTGTGTAGGGCCGTGAGTAGGTCCAGGGGCAGAGCTAGATGCTGATGGCTGGACGAGGCCTGGAACGTCGGCCAATCGGGTGGAGTCCTTGAGGCGAGCGCCCTGTGAGGGGGATACGTGAGGAGAGGGTGTGAGGGGAGGGAGAAGGGAAGGAAAGGAAGATGCTGAACAGGTGCCACTTGTTGTAAACGCTTACCTGGTGCAGGTACAACAGCAGTGCTAGGGAAGGATCCATCACGGAACCGACAATCAGATTTCTGCATAAAACTACCAGACTTCCTTACATGGGACCCTGGTTTTAAGTGCACCGAATAGGCTGTAGGGTAATAATGCGCTAGCAGATGGCACATACTTTGTGGAATATCACGTGTTTCAGCGACGCGTCCTTATTCATTGTCGCAGCAGCGATACGCTTCAGATCGCCCACTCGCATGTCGCACGTCGCATCCACTGACACCTGAGATCCCGTCAGATCCCTCACAGCCACGCTAAGCGGTCCGGATCTACCCGCTGATGCTGACGTGGCAGCACCAGGGAAATCGATCTGCTCGTGTCCTGACATCGCAGCTTCGTAAGAAGTGGTTCAGGCACTATTAAGTACTATTTAAGGCTACCTCAGTACTATTTAAAGCTACCTCGGTACTGTTCTCGTACAGAGTAAGGCCTGAGGGAGAGCATGCACTCCGTCGCAATCGCCGCTAGCTCGAATCAAACACAAGAACGAACCAAAGTTAGCTGTTTCAGGCTCGTGATCCTAGCGAGCGAGTTCCGCGAGCAGCAATGAATCCGACGCGAACGCGGCGCTTGGACGATAATGCCTGGACGAGCCGGAGCTTAGGCTGTCTGAGGCACCACCGAGAACTCCTCCGGAAGAATGGTACGAAGAATGGCTGAAATTCGTAGCAGATAATGTTCAGCTTAGACGACGAGACTGCTCGAAGATGGTTACTCAGCGTGGGCTCCATAGACTAGGATTCAACCTGGACGACAGGCTGCCCGGGGGATGAATGGCACAGCCCGGGTTTCCCTCCGGGCGAGTGCGTCACAGTTACGCTGACGGTTGCCAGCTTGGGGCTCAGGGAATACCGCGGTTCGATACGCACTAAAGTCGGCTTCGATCGCACGCAGTCCGCTACATAATGCAACGAGCGAGTAAAATATTCACCAATATTTCAGAGGACGATACCTCCAAAACACTTCACATTGCTTAGACCGCTTGTCATCCATAAAATAGGTGCCCATCTATCTACATTTGGCATTCTTTAAATCACGTTGTAATCGGTCAAAGTCCATCAACCTTCCTTCTGGGCAACAGCCGGGTACTTGCTCTGCACGTCCGACCAAACAAGCAGCCCATCCGCCAGCTGGCGCACCACCAATGCCACGTCATCCTTGTGGATGCGCACCTGTGCTGTGCTGTCACGCTCCCGTAGAGTCACAGTGCCATCCTCCAGAGTCTATCAATGGGGGTGTACGGAGAACAGGAGAATGGGTAATGAGACGAGGCGACAGAAATAATCCATCATAACTGACCAAGGGACTAAGCAGCAAACATTCTTCTCCTCCAATGCAAGCAAGAAAAGTACCCCAAACCCCTCACCCCACACCCCTCACCCCATAAACAAGGTAACCATAACCCCACACCCCACCCCACCCCACCCACCTGCCCATCCACAGTGATGGCAAACGGGCACCCCAGCTCGTCCGTGCGCGCGTATCTCTTCCCAATCGTGGTCCCCGTCGTGTCAATCTTATTTGCCACGCCTGCCCGCGTGAGCCCCGCGCTCGCCTCCTGTGCCACCTTCTCGAGGTCCCCGCGCTGCACGAGCGGGAAGACAGTGCACTTGATGGGCGCCACCAGGGGGGTGAAGCGGAACACTGTGCGTGCCTCGTCGGTGGAGGGGCGTGTGTAGAACGAATGCTCGTAGATGCAGTAGATGATGCGCCCGATGCCGAATGAGGGTTCAATGACTGACGGGGTGAACGATTGGCCCTGGGGCGAGAGAGGGGGCGGGTGGGGGGGAATTGGGGAGGAGGGGAAGAGGGGAGGAGAGACCATGGTTTGGCCAGGGGGAAGGCCACCCAATCGAGCTCTGCGCGCTGCACGCGGGGAAAGACAGTGCCCTTGGTGTGAAGCCGGGGCGCCTGAAGCATAGTGTCCCAATAAGCTTAGTGTCCCCAAGAAGCATAGTGCCCCAAGAAGCACACCCGCCCAAGACCACTCCGAAGAAGCACACCCGCCCAAGACCACTCTGTCCAAGCACGGCCGTCCAAGACCACTCCGTCCAAGCACGCCCGTCCAAGACCACTCCGTCCAAGCGCGTCCAAGCTTACCCTTGTACCATCTCCTCCGTATCTCACCTGCAGCTTCTTGGTCTCCTTGCTGATCGCCACCATCTCCTTGGTGATGCTGAAAGCCTGGGTTCCCCCGCATGGCGTGTAGTCCATCTTACCGTCCGCCTCCAGCGCTGCTTTCATTGCCAGGGCCTCAGGCTCCGCCATGGTCTGAGGGGCGGGATGGAAACGGGGGAGATGGAGCGGACGGGAGTGGAGGGAGTGGGGAGACAAGCCTTGTGCCGCAAGTCTCCACCTTGCCATCAGCCTGTAGTGCTGCTTTATTGCCAGGGCCTCAGGCTCTGTCAGACAGTGCGACAGGAGGAGGGAAGGGGAGAGGACCGGGGTGAGGGAAGTGGGGAGAAAGAATGAGCCGTGTGTCTCCAGTCTCCACGCTTCCATGCGCCTCTAGTGCTGGTTTTGATCGCCAGGGCCGGTGAGATGGGATGGTGGAGTCAATACTTGGGGGGACGGAAAGGGAAAACGAATGAGAGTGCAACGAATGGAGACAAGGGGATGGAATGCGTCGAGAGCATGCCTCAAGCGACTCAGCCATGGTCTTTCCAGTGTCCTTCTTGCTTTGAGGCATGTCAAAAGAAACAGCCATACCTCGAGACACTCAGCAATGAGCTTCGTATCCCCCTTGAACGTCTTGCCAGCCTCTTTGCTGCTTTGAGCCACGCGTAATATAGAAGCCGTACCTCGAGCAAGTCCGCAATGATCTTGGCGTCCCTCTTGAAGGCCTTGCCGAAGTCCTTCTTGCTTTGTACGGTGCTCATCGTCGCCTCACAGCACAACGGCAAGTAGCACAAGGAATGACTTGGAGTGGAGATGGCAGCCGTACCTCGAGCGACTCCGCAATGATCTTCGCGTCGCGCTTGAAGGCCTTGCCGGTCTCAGTTTTGCTCCACAAAAAAAACATTATCTTGGCATGCCATAACAGAAGTCATACCTCAAGAGACTCGGCAATGATCTTGGCGTCCCGCTTAAAGGCCTTGCCGATCTCCTTCTTGCTCGGCACGATGCTCATCACCTCCACCTCGCGCGGCTCAGGGAACTTCTCATACGCCACCAGCTCCACCTTGCTCTTGTCCTGATGGGGGATGGGGGGGGGGGCGAGCGGTGGAAGGAGAGGAAGAGGGGCAGGATGGGGTTGTTAACCCAACCTCCACATCGCAGGGCTCAGGGAACTTCTCATAAGAGCACTCGATCTCAGCGTCCCAGCAGTCGGTGGCGTAGTGCCCCATCTCATGCTGCAGGTGCTGCCTAAACCCTATCATACTGAATCCGCTCTAGCAGGCAACACATACCGTATGAGCTTTCAAGTAAAAAAGGAAGAGCGGTCAGCCAACCCAACGCACTCCATCCAGCCGTAGGAGCACTCGATCTCAGCGTCCCAGCAGTCGGTGGCATAGTGCGCCATCTCGTGCTGCCGGTGCTGGCCTACTGAGCTGAAGCAACAAACATTTGTGTGTTTCCAAGCCCTACCTTGCTGCGGGTGTTGCCAGAAGCGCAGGAATCTCAGCAGGTAATGCCTACCGTGCTCCCACAACCCACCGTATGTTCATTCAGGTCGAAGGCGGACCGGTCAGCCAGCCCAACGCACTCCATCCAGCCGTAGGAGCATAAACTCGATAAGAGCTTTTTTTCTAACCGAGCTCCTCTAAACTCTCTCCTAAACGCAATCTCGCCAATGGGGTTCGTTTTGTTGTACTAACCAACAGACTTGATGGAAAGAAGGCCTCCGCAGCCCACTTGTAATCCATCTACGACCCCAGCCCAGTCGTTGGAGCACTCGATCTCAGCGTCCCAGCAGTCAATGGCGTAGTGCGCCATCTCGTGCTGTAGGTGCTGCCCTATTGAGTCCTACCAACAGCCACACCTGCGCATTCAAACCTTACCGTGTGAGCCTTGAGGTCGAAGGCGGACCGATCTGCCAGCCCAACGCACTCCACCCAGCCATAGGAGCACTCGATCTCAGCGTCCCAGCAGTCGGTGGCGTAGTGCGCCATCTCGTGCTGCAGGTGCTGGCGGAAGCGCAGGCGCTGCGGGTCGATGCCGAGGCGCGACAGGAACAGGAACGTGCGCCCAATGAAGTACCCCAAGGTCTCGTTGTTGATGATGCCCTTCTCCACCGCGGCCCCCAGGCGCATGGTGACGGGGTGTTTGGGCCCCAGCTGCTCCGCTCTCGGGTAGAGCAGGAAGGCGAGGTCCGCCACTGAGGAGAAGCGCGGGTGCGACTTGTCGGCGGGGCTCACAAAGTGCTCCATCTCCGCTAGCGTGAACTCGCGCACTCGCAGCAGACCAGCGCGGGGGGCGATCTGAGAGCAGCAGGAGGATTTGGAAAAAGCAGGAGAAGGAGGGTTAAGGTTGGCAAGAGTGTTAGCTTTTGTAAAGTGAACAGGTTTTGCAGGAGGTACGGGTTGAAAGTGTTTCCCATGCATGACCACAAGACACCTACAGGACAAGTCTTGCTGTGCAATTAGCCCCCCCAAGACCTGCATGCTCCTCCCCCAACCCCCCAACAGCTCACCTCGTTGCGGAACGCCTGGCCGATCTGCGCGGCCGCGAAGGGCAGCTTGCCGCCGTTGTAGTACAGCAGGTCCTTGAAGTTGACGAATATGCCCTGCGCCGTCTCGGGGCGAAGGAAACTGAGGGGGCGGTGTAGGGGCAGGAGAGAGAAGGGAAGAGAGGGGGAAAATTGAACATTGAGCCAACGCTGTTGTAGTACACACAGGAGGTCCTTGAAGCTCACAGATATGCCCTGCGCTGCTTTGGGAAGAAGGAAACCGATGGAGGGGAATTCGGAGGAGGGAAGGGGGGAACTTCTGGGAAGTGGATAGGGGAGGTACCTTGTCAACACAAAACCCTACCCTACCCTACCCCTTCTGCCCTCTACCCTACCCTACCCTTTGTTTCATGATGCTAACCCTTTGGAGGCAATTCCCCCGCACCCGTGCAGTATGCCAGCCAGTGGGCCCATTCGCCGGGTCAAACAGCAGATTGAACTGGTAAGGCGCCGACAGGTCGTTCTTGGTGTCCGGCGCCTTGACCCTTTACTCCTTGAGCTTCCCATCGAGCTCCTCCGCGCCGCACTCGTCCAGCACCGCCAGCACGTGCTTCACCTCCTCTCGCCATTCTCGTCCAGCACCCTAGCCCCTCTAACGTGCTATCCCCTCTCACACAGCTATCCCTGAGACATGCTAACCCGCCTCACCCGTGCAGCAGGCCCGTGGGCCCAATAGCCGTGGCGAACATCAGGTTGAACGGGTAAGGCGCCGACAGGTCGTTCTTGGTGTCGGGCGCCTTGACCCCGTACTCCTTGAGCTTCGCGTCGAGCTCCTCCGCGCCGTACTCGTCCAGCACCGCCAGCACGTGCTTCACCTCCTCTCGCCGTGCCGGCGCCATGGTCAGATCCTTCTCCAGGAGGTCGCTCAAGTGGTCCTTGAGGAGGTGGTCCGCGCGGTAGCACGCCTGCGTCTTCACGTCCTTCACCATGAGGTCCGTGAACTTGTCCACGTGGCCGGACGCTCGGAGGACGGCGTCGGGGGTGACGCAGGGGCAGTCGACCTCGAGCATGTTCTCTTCCAGCACGAAGTGCTGTGGGGGAAAGGGGGGGAGGGGTGAGGGGAGAGGGGGGAGGAGCGGTTAAGGGCTTATGCCAGATATACTGCCTGGCACATCCCTGATCGTTGCCTGATCATGCCAAGCCTGATGATGCCTGATGATGCCTGATGATGCCTGATGATGCCTGATGATGCCTGATGATGCCTGATGATGCCTGATGATGCCTGATGATGCCTGATGATGCCTGATGATGCCTGATGATGCCTGATGATGCCTGATGATGCCTGATGATGCCTGATGATGCCTGATGATGCCTCATTATGCCTGAACATATCTGATTTTGCCTGTGACAATGCTTGATGATGCCTGATGATACCTGATGATCCTTGATAGTGCATGGCAATGCCTGATGATTCCTGATGATGATGCCTGATGATGCATCTGATATGGGCCTGATAGATGCCTGATGATGCCTGGTGAATCGTGATGTCTGATAGAGCCTGATGATGCCCGATGATGCATGATAATGCATGACAGTGCCTGATGACGAATGATAATGATGTCTGATACTGCCTGCTAATGCATGATGATGCCTGATGATGCCTGATGATAATGCCTGAGAATACCTGATAATGCCCGATCACGCCTGATGCGGACCAAGATGAACCAGTGGAAAAAAATGTTCATCACGCGACGGCCTTTTTATCGTTCTTGCAAGATGGATCCTGCGTCGCTTCCATACATGCGAGATCAGTCCTGTGTCGCAGTCGGCCACGTGCAAACTAGGCCAATACGGCTGGTTAGGGTGAGATCTGAACCCATGTACGTTTCAAGGTACCATCTAAACCAAGTCCCACCAGTCTCGGATCGCACCTATCTCAGATCGCACCTGTCGCCAGAAGGCAAGCACATTCGACTTGACAGCGCAGCCAGGAGGGCCGTAGTCGAACAGCCCTGCGACGCCGCCATAGATCTTGAAGCTCGGGATGAAAAACAGCCGCCGCTCCAGCGCGTTGTTCACCGCCTGCCGGAACGCCTCTCGGTTGATGCTCGCATCCTTGCCCTTCCCCCCTCCCTCCGCCTCCGCTTTCGCGGTGAACTCCTTAGTAGCTGACTCGAGATCTATCTTAAGGTGCTTGAGCTTCTCGATCGCGGCGTCGATCTCGGCGCGATCGGCTTTCGCGGCTTTAAGAGCTCGTACGGTGTCGCCTTGCGTCGTAACCTGTTCTTGCTTCGCCACTACGGCGACCCGTAAAGCCTCGAGCTCGTCGCTGGGTGCCATGGCTGATATATGGGTTAAAGAAATCCAAAGTGAGAGTGCCGAAATCGCAACTCAAAATACAAAACGGACAAAATTGTAACGCTGACGGTGACAACCGTGTCAGGATGGCCGAGTTGGTCTAAGGCGCCAGTTTCAGGTACTGGTCCGAAAGGGCATGGGTTCGAATCCCATTCCTGACAATGTTCTTGTGGTTTAGCTGATGCCGAACTGCTGCTACACCATTGCGCCTTAGGAGACCATTTTTTGCCGTAGCGGCGGCCCTCGAAAAAACTTCACAAAATCGTTACCTAAGGCTTGCGCAACAGAGGGGATGTTTACGTTTTAGTGTGGTCTGGTAGGATCCACTACGTTCCAGGAAGGTCTATGTTCGTAGCTTTTTGGGTTGCAGAGCAACCTATTGCAATCGATCGGCCTGGTTTTTTTTTTTCAAGTTTGTGAAATAAAAATCAAATGTTTGTTGTGATGGAAATAAAACATTTTATGTATAATAAAGTCTCATCATGAAATGCTCCGCAACCCTAAGACGGTCTCATCGCCTCTTGTTTTTTTTAAGACCGGGTCTAAAATGGTAATAAACCAACTTTCCTGACCATGAAAACATTGCCAAAATTTTCCAGCGAACAAAATTTCGGCAAAGCACCTCAGGCGAAAAACAGTGTGCAAACAGTGACGAACCGTACGTGATGGTCTCTAGTCTCGAGTAACCCAACAAAATGCACTCATAATGGTTGCGGGAGTCATAAAGTCTCTTGACCTAACCACTGGGACAAGAAGGGATGTTGTCATCAGGAGGGTTAGGCTCTATATATCCACCTTCCCTGAGGAAAGCCTTGCAAACACCCTCCCTAGAGATAGAGAGAGGATCGACAGGGTTATTCGAGTGCCACGACACACCCCCATGCTGGGATAGCGTGTACACCAGGAATTGAACCCCGGATGGCTTTGACACCAAGTCATAAAGTCTCCAGTCCTAACCACTGGGACAAGAAGGGATGTCATTAGGAGGGTTAGGCTTCACATATCCACCTTCCCCGATGAAAGCCTCCCTTGTACCCTCCCTAGAGATAGAGAGAGGATCGATAGGGTTATCCCAGAGCCATGACAGCAGGCATTTCCATGTTTATGAGTGAACAGTGCGTTCGTGGTTTGTCGTTTCTAGTAGTTACTCGGACCCGGATCCGCTTTTAGGGCGGGCTGGGTATCAGGATTCCCGAATATTACCCGGCGGGTCGGGTCCGGGTTACGCGGGCGAGTATTCGATACCCTTTATCCGAAATCTTACCCGACATGTCGGGTAACGGGTACCCGACCCGCCGGGTAATGATACCTGACTTCGGGTATCGCCCCTCTCATGCTGGCAAAAACGCTACCCGACCCAGTTTAGGTTGTTTTTAAAGACCACGCTGTCGACGCCCACCCCGGGGGGCCACCATAACAAATACATCAATGGCAACAGAGGGTACAACAGAGGTTGTTCAAGCATTTTTCCATGGGCGGGTAGCAATACCCACTTTTAACCTAAACCGAGTCGGGTATAGCCGGATCCGCCTGTCGGGCATTATATTACCCCCCATTAAGGGCTCGATCCGGGTAATGGTCTTGGGGGTATTACCCGACCCGGACCCGACCCGAAATACCCGACCCGGACCCGACCCGAAAATACCCGACCCGAGGTCGGGTATGGCAAAACCAGGTCGGGTTGGGTATTAACCCGGTTTTGCTCATCCCTCGTCCAGAATGGTTGCGGGCGTTTCCATGTTCAGTATGAGTGAACAGTGTGTCGTGGTTTGTCGTTTCTAGTGGTTTTCGCAAACAACCCCATTTCCCCGAGGGTTGCGAACTTGATGGTCCCCTAAACTAGGTTACCTCTACTGTACGAAAACAAGTTCAGGAATCCTGAACTTTATAGTGTGCCATTCTAGACTCGGGCTGTAGCAACGTCGTATCATGTTCTCTGCAGAGGACATCAGCAACCCAGAGTTTCGAGGTTCGTGATCACGTGAGTTAGCAGGTCTACAACAACCTCCTCATGCAATGCACTGAGAAATTTGTTGGCAGCATGTGCCTTTCCTGTATAAGCTGTAGGCTAGCTTTGCGCAGCCTGCAATTCAGCTCGTTGGCCACGCCCTAGGATGAGATGATTGAGCGGTAGGTCACAAGAACAGTCACAAACAACCCCTCACCCCCCCTCCCCCCCCCCCCCTAGCACAATGATCACATGACAGTCATACGCAATCCCATATACGATATCAATTTCCAGTTATAGGCACGACCACACGCACGCATGCAGGTACAAGTCAGACACAGGCACTGGTGCAGGCACAAGTCCGGCACAGGCACAGGTGCAGGCACAAGTCAGACACAGGCATAGATGCAGGCACAAGTCAGACACAGGCACAGGTGAAGGCACGAGTCAGACACAGGCACAGGTGCAGACACAGGCACAAGTCAGACACAGGCACAGGTGCAGGCATAGGCACGGGTGCAGGATCTTCCTATTTATCTACCAGTGCACGCTAATCAGTCAGTCTACAGGTGACTACCTAGTACCTATTTGTCCATGCACACGAGTCTACAGTGTTGTGCAAACCCCAGCCATGCCACTTCACTGCATCACCCTGAATCGTGCTTCATTCATGCCTCCCTCCCTGTCCATGTCAACGCCCAGAGGGGTATCAACAGCTTTGAGATGTCTCAAAACCCGTAATATAAGGTTGGTTTTGAGACATCTCAAAACACGTGATATAAGGTTGGTTTTGAGACATCTCAAAAGCCACGTAATATATCACGTGGTTTTTAAGACGTCTCAAAACCAACCTTATAGCATGTGGCTCTGGTGTTCTACGCTTCACCTGATGATACGGAGTTGTGTTAAATTATATATTTGATATATATAATGGTAGGCTTGGTAGGTGTTACTGGATCCTACTATAGATGGTACAACCCCCCTTCTTGTATCCCTATCTCTTCTATTCCCAACTCTCTTCTCTCTCGATATATTTTTCTAGCCTAAAACCTCACGCCATTCCATGGCTTCCCTAGCTACCTAACTATGTTTGACAAATTGCACCTGCTCTCGGAAACATTGCCGTCCTAATAAGGGCTGTGTCAACTTATACATATGTCTATATGTAGAAGTTATAGGCTAGATAGGTTTGTGTTTTTAGAGCGTACAGCTCGAACACTATATCTCCATGTTCTGCCTTGTTACTACTCATTCTGCTATTCTAACATGGTATCAGAGCAGGTTAGGTCCGCCCACCCGCTTCTGCCCCTCGCCCTAGCCTACCGCCCCATCGTACCCGAGCCTTACCGCGCCCCGCCGGCCCCTAGCATGCCCCGCCGGCCCCTAGCGCCCCACCGGCCCCTAGTGTGCTCGCTGGCCCTTAGCGCCCCGCCGGCCCCTCGCGTATCCCGCAGGCCCCTAGCGTACCCCGCCGGCCCCTAGCGTGTCCGCTGGCCCTTAGCGCCTCGCCGGCCCCTTAGTGCGCCTTGCCAACCCTCTCACGTACCCGTCGGCCCCTCGCGTGCTCGCTGGCCCCTAGCCGCCCTGCCACCCCTTATGCGCCTCGTCGGCCCCTCGTGCGCCCGCCTAGCCCTTTGCGCTCCTCGCTGGCCTTTCGCGTTCACCGGCCTTTCGCGCGCCCGCCGGCCCTTCGCGCTCGCCGGTCCCTCGCGCGCTCGCCAGCCCTTCGCGTACCTCGCCGGCCCCTCCCGTGCCTTCCGGCCCTTTGCGCCTCGCCAGCTCTTTGCGCCTTGCAAGCCCTCCGCGCCTCGCCTGCCCTTCGCGCCTAGCCAGCCCTCAGCGCCTCGCCGGCCCTTAGCGCCTAGCCCACCCTTCCCACCCCGCCGGCCTCACTACCGCACACCTGGCCCCAGCGCTCCGCCGGCCCTTCGCGCCCTGCCGGCTCCTTGCGCCTCGCCGACCTGCTGTGCACCTTGGGCCCTGTGCGCTCTGCTCGGCCTTCCCGCCCGGCCTTCTCGCCGGAGAGTCCTACCGCCCCACTTCAGTACCGCCGTGCCGCTGAGTACTTGTGCCGCAGTGTCGCCGTGTCACTGTACTGTTGTGTCGTCGTGCCGCTGAGCCGCCGTGTCGCTGTGCCGCAGTAGAGCTGTGACGCTGGGGCTGCACGATGGCGGACGCCATCCTCCGCTTGGACGCCGAAGGACACACGATCAACTTCGCCGACTGGCTTGTCGATCTTTGCCGTCACCTGACAGGTCAGTGCCTTCCCTGGCTATGCATGTTGATGGCTTGCTTAACCGCCCCGCCGCGAATGAGCCGCTCCTTGCTGAACCCTCCATTGCTGAGCGTGAGGCCTCCTCTGCTGCTGCACTTGCCGACGATGTATGGGATTCCCGTGATGCTATAGCTTAGCTCGCCATTAGTCATGCACTTCCCCTGTCTGAGCGTCCGCGCTTCACTACTGTCGCGAACGCCAAGGATTTCTTAGATGGAATAGTTGCCCGCTACTCCACGCCCGCCTCCGCCTCTGCTGGCCGCCTGATCCTCCCCATGTTATTCCCCGATCTTGCCGCTTTTCCCACTATTGCTGACCTTGCCACTCACCTCCGTGCCCTAGAGACTAACTACCGCGCTGCTAGCACAACCGCTCAGCTCAACTGCCTTCCCCCCACCGTTCTGCGTTACCCTGTACCTTATAGCCATGCGCCCGCCTGACCGCTTAGCCTCTGCCCGCGACCACTTCCTTAGCCAACACCCTGGTGACCTCACCCTGACCAGCTTTGTCACTACACTGTCTGAGATAGAGAGCCAGTGCACTATCGCTCAATTGAACGGTATTGCGGCAGTCCCTATCTTTCAGGGCTGTGCCCCCTCCCAGTGCATGTACGCTGACGTTTCCGCCGCAGTCGCTACGGCTGTCCCATTCGCTGAGACTGCCGCTACGGTCTCCTCACAGCAGCGATAGCGAAGGGGCCATCGCGGCCCCAAGGGAGGGCGTGGTGGTGGCGCTGGAGGTGGTAGTGATGGTGGCGGGGACAGTGGATCCGACGAGGGGGTTGGGTATAGTGCCCAGAAGCAGCAGCAGACGCAGCCGCCAAAGAAGCTGCAGCCGTGGGCCCGCCTCCCGCCGGGGTGGCCAGGAGCCTCTGAAGGTGGTGGCCGCGGTGGCGGCCCTCACAGCTCGGCGTCTACCGGCAGCTTCGGTGCTGTGAGCTGCCAGTACCAGCTCCAGAACAGACCCCTCCGTGGCACTGTGTGCCGCCGCCCGCACCCGATCGCCCGCTGCTTCCGCCGCCTCAACGACCTCTTTCGTCGCCGCTTCGGCCCGGCGCCGGACCTCCCTGGCTGGCCCAGTTTGCTGCGACACGGTGTGCCTGTGTTTGAGTTAGACATGGATCAGCTTAAGTCTGCTTTGCATTCTCTGTATGCTGATGCTTCTAGTATGTCTTGACCTTACTACCCTGTGTTCTCTAGCTTAGGCGTAGCACCTGTGTGTAGTACAGACTCCCCTGCTGCGTCAGGCGCCGGACCGGTTGCTTCGTCTAGTCTAGGCTCCACCCTCGCTTCTTCTTCGTCCGCCGCTCCTGCTTCGCTGTACTTCACACTTGACTACGGTGCATTTGCCTGCGTCTTCCGTGTCCACACTGCGCTCACGCCGTTTGCCGCGCCTGCTGCTATCGCTCTTGTTGACCCCACTTCTGGTCCTGTCGTTGCTCGTAGCTGCACTACACTTCCTTGTCCAGCGGTCCCCTCGGGTTCCCTTACAGGCCTGCACATCCCCTCGTTCTCCAGTAACTTAGTTGGCGGTGGCTGTCTTCAGGACCTCGGCGTCACCACTACGTTTCTTGGTCACGAGCATTTCGCTGTCTGTACCGAGACCGCCTCATGTACCCCCCTTGCGACGTTCCCCCGGTACCCAATGTCAGGCCTATCTACGCTGGACACTGCTTCCCCCCTGGTTGGCGCATCCTCCCCGAACCCTGCGTCTACTCGGATCGCTGCGGCTTGCTCGTGTCGGTCGCTCACTCACCCCTCGCTTCTATGGCACCACCGCCTAGGTCACCCCGCCCTCCCGCGTCTGCGTCACATGTCCTAGCACTTTCTTGTCCTCACTCTCCATGCGTCGCTTCTTGCCCTCCCTCCCTCGCCTGCACCGCCGTGCATGCTCTGCGTCGAGGGTTGGCTGTGCCATGCTCCTCACTTTGCCTTGCCACTACACCTCTTCATACCCTGCACCTAAAAGTCTTGGGCCCAGCCCCTGTCCCCGGGCCGCGTCGCGAGCGCTACTTTCTCGTGCTCGTCGACGTCTCTACACCACGGTGTTTCCCTTCGAGCGGAAGGCCGACGTGCCTAACGTTCTTATCCCGTGGGTCGTAGCTGCGCATCTCCACCGCGCTCTCCCTGTGCTGTGTCTCCACTCCGACCGTGGCGGCGAGTTCGCCTCTGGTCGGCTTGGACAAATCTGTTGTGTGGAGGGCATCACCCAGTCGTACTCCCTACCGGACTCCCCGCAGCAGAATGGGGTCACTGAGCGCCGCATCGGCTAGGTCATGGAGGTGGCTCGTACCTCCATTATTCATGACGGTGCATCCCATTTGCTGTGGTCGTTCGCCGTTTGCTACGCTGCTCACCAGCTTAACCTGTGGCCGCGCTCCCAGCGGCCGTAGCTTTCGCTGACCCTTCTTTGGACTGGGTTCCCTGGTGACGAGTCTACGTTCCATGTCTGAGGATGCCTCACTCACGCTCGTGCCTCTGGCACGGACAAGCTCACTGCCCGCACTGTCCCCTGTGTCTTCCTTGGTTTCCCCCTTGACTCGTCTGACTGGCACTTTTACCACACGCCATCTCACCACTTCCTTCACTCGCGTGACGTCACTTTCGACGAATCTGTCTCCTAATACCACCGCTTTCCTCACTGAGGTCTCTTGGTTTCCCCGCCCCTGTTTCTGGTTCCCACTCCCCTGGTAGCTCGCGCTCCCCTCCCTCCCCGTGCTCCCGTCGGTTGTCCCGGTCGAGGAGTCGGCTGACTCTGGTGGCCCTGCGGCGCAGTCCTCGCTGCCTGCCTCTCCCACGGTGTCTCCTCCTCCGCTGTCGCTGTCGCCGCTGCAGCAGCCGTTGTCGCAGCCGCAGCAGCAGCAGCCGCCGCCGCCGCAGCAACAACAGCCGTTCGTGGACTCTGGGGGTGCTGGCATTGAGGAGGGTGCTAGTTCTGGGGTTCTTGTCGCGGCTTGTCCCGGCGGTCTTGGGGATGGCACCGGTGCTGGAGAGAGTTGTCGCTCTGGGGGTGCTAGTCCTGGGTGTGCTTGAGTGGAGTGTTCCGGCGATAGCCGTAGTGCAGCTGGCGGTCCAGGTGTCAGCGCCGCGCAGCAGCAGCAGCAGTCGCCGACGGTGTCCGCCCTTTGCTTGCTCGGCCTTCCCTCCCCTGACCGCTCGCCTGCGCCTACCCTGCCACCTCCTCCCCTTCCTGTCTACCGCCCTGTGTTCCCACCTCCGGACTCGTCTCCGGCTCGTTTTTCCCCGCGTTCCCCTCTTGTGTCTCCTCCTCTGTCTCGTGACGAGTCTCGCGTCTGGTCTCACGGTCCTTCTCGTGCTCGTCCTGTCTCTCCTGTTCAACGCTCTCACCCTATGTTGCTTTGTCGCAAAAGCGTCACGTCCTCCCCTCCTCTTGTCGCCTCCTCCGTCGTCGCTTTTTGTCGCGCCTCCCCCTCTGTCTGACTACCTTCGTGCCGCTCATCCTCTCGTTCCTCGGGTCCTTGCCTCTCTCGTTACCGACCCGTCTGTTCCTGTCTCGCGTCTTGATGCTCTTGTCGCTGCTGTCGTTAACTTTGCCTGTACCCACCGCCTTGACTATGCCACCGCTCTGGTCTTTGACCCTGTCCATCGGGGGTGCTCCTGCCCTTGGCAGTGACGTCATAAAGGACAGGCAGTACGAGCTTGCTGTCCTGTCTGAGGCTGCTCCCCATCTCTGCTCCATGCTGCTAGTCCCTGAGGGTGACCCAGACGCCTTTGACACCCCGACCCCTCGCACCTACGCTGAGGCCACCTCGGGACCCTGGGCCTCTTAGTGGATAGCTGCCATTGAGCAGGAGATGGCATCTTGGAGATCCACTGGCACCTACATCGACGTAGTTCCTTCGCCTGGGGTGAACGTAATCGATGGTCGGTGGCTCTTCAAGGTGAAGCGCCCCCGTGGAGAGCCGCCTGTGTTCAACGCGTGCTACGTGGCTAGAGGCTTCAGTCAGCGCGAGGGGGTGGACTTCTTTCATACCTTGGCCCCGACCCCGAAGATGACTACTCTTCGGGCGCTGCTACACGTAGCAGCACAGCGTGACTACGAGCTCCACTCTATCAACTTCTCCATTGTTTTTCTTCAAGGCAGCCTAGACGAGCAGGTCTACCTGCGCCGTCCACAGGGCTTTACCGGTACTGTCCCTCCCGGGACCCAGTGGCTCCTCCGGCGCCCTGTCAACGGCTTGCGACAGGTGCCCCATGAGTGGCATGACTCGTTGCATGCTACGCTAGCTGGCCTGCAGTTCTTTCTGTCCTCTGCAGACCCCTCGCTCTTCGTTCGTGCTGGCCAGACTCTGTTCTGCATCCTTGTCTACGTAGACGACCTGGTCTTGGCTATTGGCCTCCGTGAAGGCCGAGCTACTGAGGAGACACACCTACACTAACCTGGGAGAGCTGCGTCCCTACCTTGGCCTGCAGATCTCCAGGGACAGAGCACCGCGCACCATCACTCTCACATAGTCACACTTGGTGCGCCAGGTCCTTCAGAGGTTCGGCCTTCAGTTCTCCTCCGCACAGCCTACACTTTTGCTGTAGACCACAGGCTCTCAGCTCCTATTCCTGAGGAGTCAGTAGAGCCCAGTGGTCCTTACGCAAAGCTGGTTGGTTGCCTCATGTACCTGATGACTTGCACTCGTCCAGATCTCGCATACCCTCTCAGCATCCTCGCTCAGTTTTTGGCCACTGGCAGGCACCGACCACAGCACTTGTCGGCCGCTAAGAGGGTTTTGCGTTATCTAGCAAGTACATCGGGCATGGGGCTAGTGCTGGGAGGACGCAGGCCAGTGGTCCTTACTGGGCACACAGACGCTTCTTGGGCAGCTGACTTTGAGACCCTTAGGTCCTCCCAAGGCTACTGTTTTAGCCTTGGTTCGGGGGCCATCTCGTGGAGGTCCACTCGCTCCTCGTCTGTTGCCCAGTCCAGCTGTGAGGCTAAGATCCACGCCGGTGCCATGGCGGCACAAGAGCTCCGTTGGCTGACGTTCTTGCTCACCGACTTACGGTAGGTGAGCAGCCTAGCTCTGCCTTATGCTGACAACATGGCCATGATCCTCCTTTGTCAGGAGCCTCGACTTGAGGGCAGAGCGAAGCACATCCAGCTGCGGTACTTCCTCCTGCGCGAGCTATAGCAGCGTCGCCAGGCCCGCGTAGTCCACTTGGCCTCCGGTGCCAACACAGCTGAGATCTTTACTATGGCGCTTTCGCCTGAAGATCATCAGCGGCACTATTTGCAGCTTGGTCTAGTTCATGTAGCTACTCACTTGTTAGTGCCTTGATTGTGTACTCATCTTTATATATACCTTTCTGACTGGCGTTGTGGCCTCTCTTCCAGTGGCCAGACAAGTAGTGCCGCCCTGGTTTGCTCGTCTTGTTTGTACACTTGCTAACTGGTCTTCGGACCCCTTCCTCAGAGGTTGGACTAATAGTGCCACCTTGAGCTGCGTGTTCCTTGCTCAGCCCTGCCCCTTTTCTAGCCTAGGCTAGATAGGTTTGTGCTCTTAGAGGGTATAGCTCGAACCCTATATCTCCCTATTCTGCCTTGTTACTACTCATTCTGCTACGGTATTCTAACAAGCTGGTAGGGTACAACGTCACGCCAGATTTATTCGTGTGCCAAGCGCTCAATAATAGTACTACCAGTACAACAACAGTATGCCGTAAAGTTATTCAAGCACAGCATATAATACAGGAACAGTTCCAGGTTCTACTGGAGCAGGTAGCTTCTGGGTCTCTTAGTTTAGTGGCACAATATCCCAGTTGGCAGCCTGTCTAATTGCAGATCAACCCCAGGGGCCCACAGGTCCTAGGCTTGGTGCTGGGAGGGTTACTCTTCCCCCTTGCCTTCTTTATACAGGACTGCTTGTCCTCCGTGGGAACATACCCCTTGTCGCACAGGCAGTTAGGCGCCACACCCGCGGTGAACCAGCACGCCCCGTGGCCCCCACAGGGGTTCACCCCAGCATTGCAGAACCTCAGGCAGGTGCTGGCTCCAACCTGCTTGTCTACCCGCCCCGCCTTGTAACAAGCCGAGGTGTTGGGGTAGGTGAGGCAGTTGGACGCGATAGACGATTGGAAGAAGACCCCGCGCCGGGTCTGGTCCTGCGGGCATGCGGTTACCCCGCCTGCGGTTACGGAGGCGGGGCCGTAGAAGTAGTTGCTGTGGAGGTTGTACTGGCCGGCTGAGAGCAGCGTGCCGTTGCGGAAGCCTGTAGGGAGAGGACCCGATAGCATGTTGTTGTGCAGGTTGCTGGAGAAGGGGGGGGGGAGGGGGAAGAGGGAAACAGAGCAAAGGCAGAGAGAATGGGTTCTGAGAAGAAGTTGCTGTGCAGGTTGTACTGGCCGGCCGAGAGCAGCGTGGGGAGAGGGCCAGATAGCATGTTGTTGTGCAGGTTGCTGGGGAGAGGGGAGGGGAGGGGGGGAGGAGGGGAAGAGAGAGAGAGAGAGAGAGAGAGAGAGAGAGAGAGAGAGAGAGAGAGAGAGAGAGAGAGAGAGAGAGAGAGGGGAGGAGAGGGAGGAATGAAGAGAGCAAGGAAGCGAAGCGGTTGGAAGGATGCGAGTGGAGGAAAATCGAGTGTATGGGAGGGGGAAGGAGGGAGGGGGGGGGGGGAGGGTGTTGTAGAGAGGGGTGGCACACTAGGCCGAGCTTACAGTAAGCTGAGCTTGGGAAGGGACATGATGCCTCGAGGGAAGGTGCCATAAAGTTCGTTTTCCTCCAAGTATCTGAGGGTGGGGTTGGCAGGGGCGTGGGAGTTATAGAGTGAAGACACGGGGAATGGGGAGGCAAGGGACATGGGGGGTGGGAGAAGGGATGTGCAAGAAGAGTGTGCCGGTGACAGGAGTGTGCCGGTGACAGGAGTGTGCCGGTGTACCAGTGTGTGCCAGCATGGGACAGTGACTTGGTGATGGTGCCGCAGTGCAATCAGTGAGTCGGTGGCCCAGCAAAAGAGTGGCTGAGTGACTCACAGCACGGTGAGCTCCTTGAGGCGGCTGATGCCGTTGGGAATGGTGCCCGTGAACTGGTTGTTGTCCAGCAGACTGGGGGGACATGCGGATGGGGAAGGGGAAGGGGAAGGGGAAGGGGAAGGGGAAGGGGAAGGGGAAGGGGATGGGGAAGGGGATGGGGAAGGGGAAGGGGATGGGGAAGGGGATGGGGAAGGGGATGGGGAAGGGGAAGGGGATGGGGAAGGGGATGGGGAAGGGGAAGGGGAAGGGATGGGGAAGGGGATGGGGAAGGGGATGGGGAAGGGGAAGGGGAAGGGGATGGGGAAGGGGAAGGGGAAGGGGATGGGGAAGGGGAAGGGGAAGGGGATGGGGAAGGGGAAGGGAAGGGGATGGGGAAGGGGAAGGGGATGGGGAAGGAGGGAGGAGAAGGAAAGGGGGTGGGAATGATTTGGAATCGAGAGAACGCACTCCACAAGATAAATTCTGCGACATCATACAAACGAGGTGACCATGGCATGGCATGGCATGGCATGGCGTGACATGGTGTGGCATGGTGTGAGATGGAGTCATGTGGAGCGTACATGCGTGAGAGTTTGGTGAGCTTGGAGATGCTTGCAGGGATGGTGCCGTTGAAGGGAACGAACTCAGCCACCCTGCGCTCAATGCCGAGGGAGAGATGGGGGAGAGGAGAGGATGAGGAAGGGGGAGAGGAGAGGCTCTTGAGAATTCTCAAGAACCTAACACAGCCTAAGGGGGAGGGAGGGTGGGGTAGAAACGTACGAACTCAGCAACTCTGTGGTCAGGGGGGGATGAGGGAGGGGGAGAGGAGAGAGGAAGGAAGGAGAGCAGGGTGCGACTGCAGGGGGGGAGGGGCACAGCATGCGACTGGAGGGTTTATGCTGCATTCAAGCATGATACAAGAGGGTGAGGCAGAAAGGGCTTACAGGTCCGTGAGGCTCTTCATGCTGCCCACGTTGGCTGGCAGAGGGCCGTCCAGATAGGGGTTGCTGCTCATGAAGCTGATGGGGGGGGGGAGGGGGAGCAGCGAGGGAGCGAGAGAGGATTGAGCTAAGGTGCTTCTAGAACTAGGGCCGTTTTGAGGCGCCCCAAAACTTGAGCTGAGGTGCTTCTAGAACTAGGGCCGTCCAAACAGGGATTGTTGCTACGGCTCATGCACGGCTTTCAAGGGTTGTGAAGGTGATGTGCAGGTTTTGAGGGTTGTGAAGGTGATGTGCAGGTTTTGAGGGTTGTGAAGGTGATGTGCAGGTTTTGAGGGTTGTGAAGGTGATGTGCAGGTTTTTGAGGGTTGTGAAGGTGATGTGCAGGTTTTGAGGGTTGTGAAGGTGATGTGCAGGTTTTGAGGGTTGTGAAGGTGATGTGCAGGTTTTGAGGGTTGTGAAGGTGATGTGCAGGTTTTGAGGGTTGTGAAGGTGATGTGCAGGTTTTGAGGGTTGTGAAGGTGATGTGCAGGTTTTGAGGGTTGTGAAGGTGATGTGCAGGTTTTGAGGGTTGTGAAGGTGATGTGCAGGTTTTGAGGGTTGTGAAGGTGATGTGCAGGTTTTGAGGGTTGTGAAGGTGATGTGCAGGTTTTGAGGGTTGTGAAGGTGATGTGCAGGTTTTGAGGGTTGTGAAGGTGATGTGCAGGTTTTGAGGGTTGTGAAGGTGATGTGCAGGTTTTGAGGGTTGTGAAGGTGATGTGCAGGTTTTGAGGGTTGTGAAGGTGATGTGCAGGTTTTGAGGGTTGTGAAGGTGATGTGCAGGTTTTGAGGGTTGTGAAGGTGATGTGCAGGTTTTGAGGGTTGTGAAGGTGATGTGCAGGTTTTGAGGGTTGTGAAGGTGATGTGCAGGTTTTGAGGGTTGTGAAGGTGATGTGCAGGTTTTGAGGGTTGTGAAGGTGATGTGCAGGTTTGAGGGTTGTGAAGGTGATGTGCAGGTTTTGAGGGTTGTGAAGGTGATGTGCAGGTTTTGAGGGTTGTGAAGGTGATGTGCAGGTTTTGAGGGTTGTGAAGGTGATGTGCAGGTTTTGAGGGTTGTGAAGGTGATGTGCAGGTTTTGAGGGTTGTGAAGGTGATGTGCAGGTTTGAGGGTTGTGAAGGTGATGTGCAGGTTTTGAGGGTTGTGAAGGTGATGTGCAGGTTTTGAGGGTTGTGAAGGTGATGTGCAGGTTTTGAGGGTTGTGAAGGTGATGTGCAGGTTTTGAGGGTTGTGAAGGTGATGTGCAGGTTTTGAGGGTTGTGAAGGTGATGTGCAGGTTTTGAGGGTTGTGAAGGTGATGTGCAGGTTTTGAGGGTTGTGAAGGTGATGTGCAGGTTTTGAGGGTTGTGAAGGTGATGTGCAGGTTTTGAGGGTTGTGAAGGGAAAGAGGACGCTAACAGGATGTTGAGGTTGGTGATGGGGAAGATGGAGAGGGGGGAAGAGGAGGGGCAGGAAGATGGGAGAGGGGGAGAGAGGAGGGGCGGGGAGATGGGGGAGGGGGAGAGGGGAGGGGCGGGAGAGAAGGCGCTTACAGGATGTTGAGGTTGGTGAGGCGAGTGAGGGCGATGGGGAGAGGGCCGATGAAGCTGTTCTGGTTGATGAACCTGGACGAACGGAGGGGGCAGGGAGGAGGGATGAGCTGATGTGGTGCGTTGTGAGTGTGCATGGGAATGAGCGGAAGCACATGAGCGCAAGGGCAAGGCCTGACAGCAGAAATCTGGCATTCATTAGGCGGAGGCAAGCGTAGAGGTTGGTGCGGGGCTCACAGGTTGGTGAGGGGCATGATGGTGCCGATGCTGGAAGGCAGCACGCCGCTGAACTTGTTGGTGTCAATGTACCTGGTGGTGGGGAGGGCGGTGATGGGGAGTGATGGGGAGAGGGGGGTGGGGAGAGGGTGAGCTCTGAGTCGCCTTTCGTTGCTGGAAGGCAGTACGGCGTGCTCTCACCAATCTGAATGATTCAGCGCCATTCCTGGCTACTGCTTCCCTGGTGCTCGCCTCCCTCCTCTCCCCCGCCTCCCTCGTCCCCCTGGGTGCCCTCCACTCACATGTAGTTGAGGTTCTTCAGCATGCTCAGACATCCTGCCACCGGCCCCGTGAAGCGGTTGTAGCTCAGGCGGCTGGGAGAAGGGCGAAAGAGGGGAAGGACGGGGAAGTGAGGAGGGGAAGGCTGGTTGTAGCAGAAACCAAGCGGACTGTGAAGCTGGTCACAGGAGGAACTAAGATGCCAAGGGGACAGGGGGGAGAGGAGGGGGGTTTTGAGAGGGCCAGTGAGGGTGACAGCTCGAGAGGTTATTCGAAGGTGAGGGGAGACAAGCAAGGAGAAGCAGGAGAAAGCAGGAGGAAGCAGGAGGAAGCAAGAGGGAGCGGGAGGAAGCGGGAGGAAGCGGGAGGAAGCGGGAGGAAGCGGGAGGAAGCGGGAGGAAGCGGGAGGAAGCGGGACACTCACAGCTGCTGCCGGAGGCGCGGCGCAGTTAGACACTCACAGCTGCTGCCGGAGGCGCGGCGCAGTTAGAGACTCACAGCTGGCGGAGGCTCGTCATGGTGCACACGACCGTGGGGAAGGGACCCGAGAGCAGGTTGCTGGGGACGTAGCTGTGATGCGAGGGGGCAAGGAGGGGGGGTAAGAGGACGATGGTAAGGTTGGAGGATAGTGCCGGATGGGGGATAGGGGGTTGTGCGAAGTGTGTGCAGCGTGGTGAGCTGCGCTCTTCCCCATGTGGGGAACTCTGACATGCCATTGTCACCAAGGGGACTCACAACTTCTGCATGTTCTTGAGGTTGGAGAAGGTGTCGGGGATAGAGCCAGTGAGGTAGTTGAGGTTCAGATGCCTGCACCACCAGTGGACACAGCAAGGCACGCAGGGGATAGGCACGCAGGGGATAGGCAATGAGCCTCTCGTTATAGTAACACTGTCCCGGACTCACACCACTCACAGCTGGTTCAGGCTGGTCATGCAAGCTCATCCCCCCTCCCCCCCCCCCCCCCCTCTCTCCCTTCCCCCCTCCCTCCCCCCCACGCACTCACAGCTGGTAGAGGCTGGTCATGCGCCCCATGGAGGCAGGGATGGTGCCGTTGAGGAAGTTCTGGTACAGCTGCCTGCCGGGGGGAGAGGGGTAGGGGGGGGGGAAGGAGGGGAGGAGCGAGGGCAGCGCGGGGAGTGTTGTAAGATGCGGCAGTGAGGAAGAGGGGGAGGTGTGGCGGGCAGCAGCTGACTCGTGCGTAGAGCGAAGAGCTTTTGGGCTGGCATGCAGGTTGAGAGGATGTCAGGTACGAGATGCATGGCGTGTGATTCAAGCAAGGCATGCGAGGCATGGCGTGTGATGCAAGCAAGGCATGCGATGCATGGCGTGTTGAAGCAAGGCATGCGATGTATGGCGTGTGATTCAAGCAAGGCATGCGATGCATGGCGTGTGATTCAAGCAAGGCATGCGAGGCATGGCGTGTGATTCAAGCAAAGCATGCGAGGCATGGCGTGTGATGCAAGCAAGGCATGCGAGGCACTGACAGGTTCTTAAGGTTGACGAGGTTGCTGAACGACTCGGGTATGTCGCCGTAGATCCAGTTGTGCACCGCGAAGCTGGTTCGGACGGGCGGAAAGGCAGAGGGGAGCAGAAGGAGGAAGGAAAGGAAAGATGTGTGGGTGGGTGCGCATCCCTCGTATAGACGATAAGGAGAGCAGGGCAGGGCGCGGGCAGTATGAGCCTTGAAGAGCTTTATAGAGGAGGAAACGGTGCATGGACGACAGCACCGTAGGCCGTGCCATCACACACAGAATTACCGCCACACACATAGCAGCAGCACCACCACCAGCATCACATACCAGCACCACCACCACCACCATCAGCAGCCCCACCAGCCGCAGAGGCACTCACAACTCTTCCAGCTGGGTAAGCGCGCCGATGGCGGACGGCAGGGTAGCAAAGAGCTCCTGGTAGCTCATCTCCATGCGCCGTATGAACCCGTTCGTCCAGCAATTCACGAGCCGCCACGTGGCGCAGGGATTGGACGCCACCCACGTGGACAGATCCGCCGTCTTGCCCCACACGGACTTGAGCTCCATCATAGGCGCGACTGGTGGTGGGAGGGGGAGAGGGGGAAGTGCGCGGGGGGGAGGGGGAGGGGGGAGGGGGGAAATGGGAGTGAGGGGGTTAGCGTGAGTGCAGGGGGATGGGAGCACGGCTGGGTCGCCACCCACCCGGACAGGTCCGCCGTCTTGCCCCACACGGACTAGAGGTCCATCATGGGCGCGACTGGCAGGAGGGCGGGAGGAATACAGAGCGAGGGAGGGGGGAGAGCGGGGGAGGAAAGAGTGAGGTCACGACGAGGAGAGGGGGGGTAGAAGGGATACACTCACGACGAGAGATCCGCCGTCGTGCCCCACACGGACTTGAGCTCCATCGTGGGCGCGACGGGCAGGTGGGAGAGGGATACACAGCGTGGAGTCGACTAAAAAATCGACTCATTACACATGGCAGGTGGGAGAGGGATACAAAGCGAAAGAGGGGGGAATGGGGGGAGGGAGGAAAGATGGTGGGAGTGAAGAATGAGCGCGTGAAAGAGCTACTAGCTGAGTGGTAGGTTTGTTTTGAGTCGACTCAAAATGAGCGCGTGGAAGAGCTACTAGCTGAGTGGTAGTACCGCGACGATAGATTGCAGTCACGTCCCATGCGGGTGACTGGTGGTTGAGGGGAGGAGAGAGTAAATGTACCAGAGATGGTGGGGACACTCGTTCATCCCCGCACAAGTCACCGCGACTGGCTTACTCTGGGAGCTATGGACGTAGACGGGAGTCCCCTTGGGCGTCACTTCGCTCGGCGTTACCCTCCCCTGCGCCCCGCCCGCCCCCCCCTCTTCCTCCGCTATAAAGTCCTCTACAGGCTCCTCCTCTGCTGCTACTATCGAATCCACGTATGCCGGGTCCGTCACTAACGGCCGCGTGTCGCGCTTCGGGACGTGAAGCCCCGGCGGTAGGCGGGACAGACGGGGATCCGTCAACAGTCCGTCTATTACTGACTGAGGATCGGCCGGGTTGACGGATTCTGGCAGTGGCTGTTCAATCAAGGGGACGGAGTTCGGTTGGGGAGTTGGCGACGGCGCGGGTGCTGGCGATAAGCGAATGGCGGTTGCTAGCGACACCAGCGAGGAAAGGAACGCGGCGAAAAGGACTACCCGCAGGGTAACCCGACTTCGCGAATGGAGGCCTGTTGTCGCCATGAAATGTGAACGCGACGTTGGCGAAACTCGTCGGCACACTGTGTTCCGCGGGCCGTCTTACTCTGCCCGTAAGTCACGCCGCTCCTGACGGCACGCAATGACCGATGGCGGAAATCTAGATCGATAGCGCCGCGGCTTAGCGCACGGAGTTAGCAGCAGAAAGGACCGTTGACCGTTGTGCGACTCGCGCAAGGCCGGCGGGAGTATCGTCGCCTACAGAACGGACCTGTTATCAATGCTCCTATCTCAAAACTCCTATTTTCAATACTCCCGGTCTCGATGCTCCCACTCTCAATGCTCCTATTTTCCTCTCTGCTTGCATGGACAGCACCTTCACTAAGGCTACGCTCGGATCAACTGTCTAGAGGCGCGTAATTATCAACACTACGGGCGCTGGCGCTCTCGCGTTATAATGTGGCGCGATGCTTCTACTGTATCGAGAAACTAATATGAAGTCGGTGCAGATCCGGCCTTCCCTTACGTGCAGAAGGGACGGAGGAAATGGTGGTTGGTAGGTGGCATGGTGGGGATTTCCGGTGCTCCATAGCGAAACACGCGCGCGATTACAGTATTTTGTGCTGCGCTCGACTGGTTGGTGGGGAGGAGGAGGGCAATTCTGAGGTGAAGGTACGCTCGGGCGCGATGACAGGGGCAAAAGGGGACATGGGATTGCAGGAAGCTTGGAAGGATTTGAATGGGGGGGAGGATGGGTGGGGAGGATGCTTGCTTGCTGCCCGAAAAAAATGCGATAATGACGGCGACATGCAGGTCACCAGGAGAAATTGCTGATGATTGCCACCATGCGGTCCGTCCTTCACCTGCTTCTGAGGTCATGTCGATTGGCGCGCAGCTCCCCAGGTAGCCGCGACTGGTTGGCTGTTCTGCGATTCACTGCGACGCAATTCACACCGCAATGCGCGCCAGCGCTGCACCGCGTGCGGTCTACACCACCACGACACCGTCGGAAACGCATGCAGCGGAACATGCGCTGTGGCGGAACGCGTACGTGACATTTTCGGGTGCTCCGGCTTGGGTTTGCTTTGTTTCTGTCTGTGTCAGGCCTCTTGCAAACAGGGTAAATACCCTGAATGTCAAGAAACTAAGAGTAACGTTTCCAGTGATTCGTTCTTTTACGGTGCGACCGTTTTTCGAATCCGTCCAACTTACGGAAACGATTTCGCTCGATTAGCCTAACGATAACTCTCTCTTTTTTAATCCGTACGGGCTACACTTGCAGTAGGGCAATCTGTAGGGGGTAGCGACCTCCCCACCACCCTCACCCCCCCATCCCCACGCTCCCCCCCAACCCCTCCCTTTCCCCCCGATTCCTTGCTAGCCGAATTTGTACCCGCCAATTCCTTTTGGTAACGGGTTTTTTTTGGGGGGCTTAGCGAGACGCCTGGTCTGTGTGGCTGTGCTTTCAACGCAACCATAAATTTATTCCGGCTACACCGTGTATATTTCAGTTGCCCCAATCCCGAAGTCCACTGTTGACGACTCCTGAGCTTCACTGCTGGAAATACATTTTTGCCTGACGTGTAGCGCGTACACCGAAACCGAGTGCCCATTCGTGTAGAGAACAGGTAAGGCCACATCTTGCCGTCAAAATGAAATATTATATAAATGTGTTACATGTCTTTCCCATAATAACATAAAACTTCTTATGTATTACCACTGCCCTAAGCCATTCAAACAGTGCACCTTTTCAAGGTGCAGGGATACACGATTGCTTGTCGAGCGTCGGCACATACCCGGCATCACAATCACATGAAGGGTTCCTTCCAGGGCCAAACCAGCATGAACCATGCCCGCCACATGTTGCCACATCAGCGCCACAGAACCTTTTACACGTGGAGTTATCCACCTGCCTTTCAATCTTGTTCGCCAGCGCACACGGACTACCCGGCGGGTATTTCAAGCAATTGTACGCCAGCGACGACTGGTAAAATATCCCGCGGCGAGTCTGGTCCATAGGGCATTTGGTAACCCCACCGGCGGTTACAGACGCGTTCCCATAGAAGAAGTTGTGGTGCATGTTATATTGGCCGGCCGTCAGCAATGTGCTGTTGATGAAGCCCGTGGGAAGCGGCCCCGAAAACTGATTGTCATGCAGGTTGCTGGCAGTCACACCGGGGCATCCGGATGGAACACACATGCCAACAAAGCTCAGACATGCATGTTGAGTGGGGTCAAGTAAATGAATACAAAAGGGACGGGCGGGGGTTGGCAGCTGGTTAGCTGGAGGACTCACACAAGAGAGAGCTGGGGAAGTTTCAGAATCCCCGAGGGGAAACTGCCATAGAAGCGGTTGCCCTCCAGATAGCTGGGGGTTGATGTGCGACAGTGTGAGAGTGTGAGAGGAAATGAGCATGACAGGAGAGAGAGGGAGGGAGGCAAATTAGGTGATCTCCGACAAGCGCCGAGGAGCCTGTGAGAAGACTGTGGAAAGTGCAGGAAGAGGAGCAGCAGAACCAGAAGTGAGTGACAGCAGAGCGAGTCTACTAAATTCCTTCACCAGAGTAGCAGACCCGTGACACTGTTACAAGAGCACCACAACGATCAAGGCGCTTGCATGCACCGAATGGCCTCCTCTAAGCTCCTTTGAAAGCCCCCAATAGTCTCTTACAGCACTGTGAGCGCCTTGAGGTTGCTGATGCCCTGCGGGATGGAGCCGGTGAATCGGCAGTTGTCCAGCAGACTGTGGGGCGGAGGGAGTTGGGGGCAGAGGAGACAGGACACAGGGCACGTTGGGTTGGACTGATAGTTGTTCAACGGAATGGAGGAGGGGGGTTCAAGGAAAGACAGAAGGTGAATGCGGGGGGGGAGGCACGAATGGGTGGTGTCTTGAGGGACGTTGACGTGCATTGCGTACATGGCATGGCGCAGAGGGGCATGGCGCAGAGGGGCATGGCGCAGAGGGGCATGGCGCAGAGGGGCATGGCATGGCACTTCAGGGCATGGCACTTCAGGGCATGGCACTTCACAGCATGGCACTTCACGACATGGCACTTCACAGCATGGCACTTCACAGCATGGCACTTTACGCCATGGCACTTCATGGCATGGCATGGCAGGTAGGGGACTGACATGCGGGAGAGGCGAGTGAGATTGGTGATGGAATCAGGGATGGTGCCATTGAATGCTGCAAACTCCATCACACTGCAGCCAGGGGGGGGGGGGGGGAGGGGAGGGGGAGGAGAGGGGGGGATCAGGGGAGGGGAGGGTTGAACGAGAGGGGTGAACAGGAGAGGTGAACGAGAATTGGGGGGGGGGCGGCGGGGGAAAGGCGAATCGGGATCTGCAAGCTCTATCACACTGCACGGAATTGTGAGTGGCTCCTCACAAGTCCGTGAGGCTGACCATGCTGCCCAGGTCAGATGGCTGGCAGGCCACGGACTGTGCCATGCGACGCACGAGCATGTGATCCTCATGCTTATAGCGAGGAAACGACTCCCATCAGGATAGGAAGCCACTCACAAGTCCGTGAGGCTGACCATGTTGCCAAGGTCAGATGGCAGCTCATGATCCAAGTAGGGGTTGCTGCTCATAAAACTGATGGGGGGGGGGAGGGGGGTGTGTGAGAGGCAGGAGAGGGACGGAAGAAGGGGTGAGGAGACAGGAGCAGGAGAAACGACTTGGAGAAAGGACCTAGTGCACCGGGAGAGAGTGATATTCAGAGAGGAGGGCGGCAAGAAAAAAAGGCTTGAATATTGAAACACCAAGGGAAGGGGGCGAGGCAGGAGGGGGCTGCATGCGAGAAGACGCCCCCTCCGTCTTGGTAAAGGAAGGGTGGGGTCCGGAAAGTATGGGATAACAGAATACGGCGGTGATGGGGTGCGTTGATTGGTGACACCGGTGATGGTGGCGGGCAGAGGGACGAGCAGCGGATCTAGCACCTACGAGAAGATCAGTGGGTGATGGGAAATGCTTTGAGGTGCCTCAAAACTAGCAGCGGGCAGAGGGACGAGCAGCAGAACTAGCACGTACGAGAAGATCACTGGGTGATGGGAAATGCTTACAGGATGCGCAGCTTGGTGAGGCTGGTGATGGTGGGGGGGAGGGGACCGCTGAGACTGTTCTGGTTGATGAACCTGAGGTGGGGGGCAATGGGGGGGATGGTTTGAGGGGCAAGCGGGAGGGGGAGTGGGGGCTGGGCAGCCGATTACTACTGCTGTCGAGAGTCAAAGATGTGGATGAATAGTGCACTACGGAGCAGTAAGGAAAGGTGGTGAAACGAATCTTTAGCACAAAACAGCCGTACAGTTTCTGCAGCATGGGCAGGTCGCCTATGGTGATGGGGAGTCAAGCTTGAGCCGCCTCACAAGAAGGCTCTCTCCTCTCAGAAATAGGCCGGGCCTACAGCTTGAGCAGGAGCAAGAAACGCGTACAGGTTCTGCAGCATGGGCAGGTCGCCTATGGTGCTGGGAAGCGTGCCTGTGAACCAGTTGGTGTCGATGTACCTGGTGGGGGGGAGGGAGGGAGGGCGAGGGGGCATGTGGAGAGAAGAGGATTAGTGAGGTGAGGATGACGGAATGGGGGAGAGGAGGGAGGGAGCGAGCCTGTGCATCACCTGGTGTCGATGTACCTGGTGGGGGAGGAGGGGGGAGGGGTTCCAGGAGGAGAACACAGAAGGGGAGAGGGAGCCATGAGGAGGGAAAGGGGGAGACATGACGTGGGGACAGAGAGGGCTTAGAACTGACCAGATGCGAGCTAACAAGGGGGCTGATTGGAGAAGCATCTATGGAGCTAACCAGGTGGACCGGCACACTTTCTAATTCTCACACTCTTTTCAAAGAGCAGCGGCAACAGCGGGGAGAAGCGGCACGTAGGAGCATTACCGGCAGTAAGGGGTGGGGAAATTGGGAAGGGTCCATACAGGTAGTAGGCGTTTTTGAGGTTGCTGATGCACTCGGGAACAGTGCCCGAGAAGTGGTTGTAGCTGATGCGCCTGTAACGAGTACGGGAGGTAAGGTGAGGGCACAGGGATGACGAGTGCCTATGAGGGGGTGACTCTGTGGCTACAGCCTTGCCACCAATGCAAGATAGGTCAGACGAAGGAGAGTAAGGGCTCTGGAGGGATGCACTTGGGTAAATTTGGGCATGGGGGGAAAGAGGCCTGCGATCTCAGGGCACTTACTAAGCTGGCTTGAGGGCAAACAACATGCATCTACAGTGCCGCACTCACAGCTCCCAGATTGACGTCATGTTGCAGAGCACGGGGGTGAAGCGGCCTGAGAGGTCAGGGCAGTTAGTCAGCTGGCTCCCACTAAGCGTTTAGGGACTATGCATGTACAGAGGCCACTCACAGCTCCCAGATTGACGTCATGTTGCAGAGCACGGGGGGGAAGGGGCCTGAGAGCCAGTTGCTTGACACATAGCTGAGAGGCGAAGAGGGGGCGAGGGGTAGGGCCAGGAGGAGGGAGACAGGGAAGAACGGGGGGGTCAAGAGAACGGAGGGAAGTGAGGGGAAGGGGCCTGAGAGCCAGTTGCTGGACTGGACACATAGCTGAGAGGAGAAGAGGGCGCGAGAGGTAGGGCCAGGAGGAGGGAGACGGGGGAGATGGGGGAGAGAAGGGCGGGAAGAGCAGTGAGGGTCGAACAGGGGGGGAGGAGGGGAGGGGAGAAGGACCAATTGAGGGGAGAAGAAGGGAGGATGAAGAGCAGCTGTGCGAGACTCTCTGAGAGAGCGAGAGGCAAATCCATCATCCCAATGACAGGGCATAGAAAGAAGGAGGAGGGGGTTGAGCTCGCAGGTGACTGCAAGACTGGGGTCTGTGCTGTGCATGCAGGTCTGCGTATTGAAAGGAGGAGAGGGTCTTTTCATGCACGTAAGCTTGACGGCAGGGTACGGAGAGAGAGAGAGTCAGCACCACTTACAACTTGCGCATGTTGGTGAGCTGGGAGAACGACTCGGGTATGCCTCCCGTGAGGTAGTTGATGTTCAGATGCCTGGCGAGCAGGGATACAGAGGGGTTGGGAAGGGCTGGTAAGGGTGAGCAGGGTATTCAGCAGGATGACAAAAGCCTGCGAAAGGGGTATGTATGCCTCCTGTGAGGTAGCTTATGTTGAGATGGGGGGTCCGGATATAAGGAGGATGCGAATGCCTAGGAGGGGGTTGGGCTGGGCACTGCAGCAGGATTATGAATGGCAGCAAAAGGGGGGAGGAGGAGGGGGAGGGGAAGAGCGGCTGGGCATGAACGGGTTCACGGGTTCACGGGTTCATGAATTCATGGGTGCGCTGAGTGCTCCTGCCGGATTATCAATGCCAGCACAAGGGGTGAGCGGAGGGGGAAAGAGCGGCTTGAGAATTAACGGGTTCACAGGTCCGATTCGCAAGTAGGTTCTCCAGTTCCTGGGTCAGCGGGCCAGATGGCTACCGGTTCAGTAGGCTAGCCGGTGAGCGGGTTAGCGGGTCAGCGGGTTAGCGGGTCAGCGGGTGAGTGTGTCAGCGGGTGAGCGGGACGCCCGACAGCTGACGCCCAAAAACCAACAACCGACAACCGACAGCCGACAGCCGACAACCGACAGCAGGCGCCCGACAGCCGACGTCCAACAGCCGACGCCCGACAGCCGACGCCCAACAACCAACAACCGATAGCCGACGTCCGATAGCCGACAACCGACAGCCGACGCCCAACAGCTGACATCCGACAGCCGACGCCCGACAGCCGACAACTGACAGGCGACACCCGACAGCCGACGTCGGACAGCCGACGTCCGACAGCCGACGCCCGACAGCCGACAGCCGATGCCCGACAGCCGATGCCTGACAGCCAGCGCCCGACAGCCGACGCCCAACAACCAACAACCAACAACCGACAGCCGACGCCCGACAGCCGACGCCCGGCGCCCGACAGCCGATGCCCGACAGCCGATGCCTGACAGCCGACGCCCGACAGCCGACGCCCGACAGCCGACGCCTGACAGCCGACAGCCGACAGCCGACAACCGACAACCGACAACCGACAGCAGACGCCCAACAGCCGACGTCCGACAGCCGACGCCCGACAACCGACAGCAGACACCTGTCTACCGACGCCTGACAACCGACGACCGACAATCGACAGCCGACAGCCAACAACCGACGCCTGACAGCCGATGTCCGACAGCCGACGCCCGACACCCGACGCCCCACAGCCGACAACCGACAACCGACAGCCGACAACCGACGTCTGACGCCCAACAGCCGACGCCCGACAGCCAACGCCCAACAGCCGATGCCCGACAGCCAATGTCTAACAACCGACGCCCGACGCCCGACAACGGACGGCCGACAGCCAACAGCCGACAGCGGACGCCCGACAGCCGACACCCGACAACCGAAACCCGACAACCGACAACCGACAGCCGACGCCTGACAGCCAACAGCCGACAACCGACAGCCGACGCCTGACAGCCGACACCCGACAACCGACGGCCGACGCGGACGCCCGACAACTGACAACCGACAGCCGACGCCCCGTTAGCGGGTCAGCGGGCGAGCGGGTGAGCGGGTGAGCGGGTCAACGGGTCAGCGGGTCAGCGGGTTAGCGGGTCAGCAGATTAGCGGGTCAGCAGATTAGCGGGTCAGCGGGTAAGCGGGTCAGCGGGTTAGTGGGTGATCGGGTGAGCGGGTGAGGATGTTAAGGGGTTCACATGACCAGCATCTCCTCGCCCCCGCCCCGAATGGGTGGGAGGTGTGAAGGAGTAAGGGGGTCGCTATAGTCAGCTGTTGCCATCGGCATCATTGCGAGCCCTCACAAGGCGGCCATTGCACCCTCGCTACACTCACACCCCCCTCTCTCAAGCGGTCCTTGTTGTTAGCCTTATAATGAGTACATGTGACAGAACAGGAGTACTTGTTATCAGCCTTATAATGAGTACACTCACACTCTCCAATCTCTGTCGCTGCACTCACAGCTGGTAAAGGCTCCTCATGTTGCCCATGGAGGCAGGAATGGTGCCGTTCAAGTAGTTCTTGAACAGCTGCCTGGGGAGAGCGAAGGGGGGGAAGGGGGGATGAAGGGAGGTGAATGGTGAGCCAATGGGGAGAGGTGGGGTTGGGGGGAAGTGAATGGTGCCATTCAGGTGGTTCTTGAACAGCTGCCTGGGGAGAGCGAGGGAGGGGGAGGGGCGATGAAGAGAGAGGAATAAGCGAATGGTGCCGTTGAGGTACTTCTTGAACAGTTGCCTGGGGAGGGGGAGGCGGAGGGAGGGTGTGGGAGATGAAGAGGGAGAGGGATAAGCCAATGGAGGAACTGCGATAGTTCTTAGACGGCTGCCTGGGGCGAGCGAAGGGGGGGAAGGGGAGAGGTGGCGTTCGGGGGAGAAAACAGAATGGGGTTCCTTACAGTAGCCTTTGAACAGCCGACTGCAGGTTAGAGGCAGCCAGGTAGGATGGGAGGGAGGGATGGAGGGAGGCAGGTTGAACGCGAAAGAGGCAGGAGACAGAGGGGCGGTGTGAGAGCTGGAGAGACGGGAGCGGAGCAGTGTGATAGACCAAACTGCTCACAGCATAGTGCAGGGCAGGGGAATTCAGCTTTTTCGATCGCACAGCATTGAATTGAATGGGGGTAGGGGGCTCACAGGTTCTTTAGGTTGACGAGGCGGCTGAACGAGTCAGGAATATCGCCGTAGATCCAATTTGTGGTGGCGATGCTGGTTGGTTTGATGGCGGGGGGATGGATACAAAGGAAAGGAGGCATTAACGTTGAGAGCAGAGCAGGAGGGAGGCGCTCGAAGAAGTTGGGAATGCGTGAGGAGTCTCGCCACTCTGCCTTCTGTCCTCGGCAATCTCTGCCTTCTGTCCTCGGCAATCTCTGCCTTCTGTCCTCGGCAATCTCTGCCTTCTGTCCTCAAAAATAGACTCCTCACGCTCGAAGAAGTCGGGAATGTCGCTGTTGATCGGATCAGAAGAAGTGGTGTTGGACCGGCACGTCACGAGCCACCACTGGCTGCATAGGTTGGAAGGAAAGAGAGGGAGGCATGCCAGGGAGGCAAGCTTACAACTCTTCGAGGGAGCTGAGATTGCCGAGCACCGAAGGCAGAGTGGCGAAGGTGGACTTGGAGCTGACGTCAATGCGCCGCACGAGCCCATTGGAAAGAGAGAGAGGAAGAAAGCACCCGGGAGGCAGGGCGCTTACAACTCTTCCAGTGACGTCAGGTTTCCCAGCACCGAAGGCAGAGAGGCGAAGATGGACTTGGAACTGATATCCATGCGGCGCACGAGCCCGTTGGTCCAACACGTGATGCGCCACTACGGGTTGCACGGGCAACAGAGACGGAGGCTTACAATTCTTCGAGAGAGGTGAGATTGCCGAGGACAGAAGGCAGAGTGGCGAAGATGGACTTGGAGCTGATGTCCATGCGCCGCACGAGCCCATTGGTCCAGCACGTGATGAGCCACCAGCGGTTGCACGGGTTGGTGGCGTTCCACGACCGCAGGTCCATGAACTTGCCCCACACCGAGCGCAGCTCCATCATGGCTGGGACTGGGGTGAAGAGGGAAGGAGTATGAAGGAGTATGAAGGAGTATGAAGGAGTATGAAGGAGCATGAAGGAGTGTGAAGGAGTATGACGGAGTATGAAGGAGTATGAAGGAGTATGAAGGAGCATGAAGGAGTGTGGAGGAGTGCGAAGGAGGGGGGGGGGAGAGGTTGCTAGAGTTCCACGATCGCAGGTTCATGAGCTTGCCCCATACTGAGCGCAGCTCCAAAATGGGGAGGACTGGGGTAAGGATGGGGGGGAGGAGAGTATGGAGGAGTATGAAGGAGAACGAAGGAGGGAGGGAACTCGCCCCATACTGAGCGCAGCTCCATCATGGCGGGGACTGGGGGAAGGGGGAGGGGGAAAGGGGCATGGGGGAGTATGAAGGAGTATGAAGAAAGGGAGGAAGGAGGTGGTGGGGGAACGAGGATGCTGGTTTTCCACGACCGCAGGTCCATGAGAGGTTGCTGGTGCTCCTCTGTCCATGATCGCAGCTCCATTATCACGGGACTGAGGAGGGCGGACTGGAGAGGCGAGACTTTTGAGTCGACTAAAAAATCGATCGCAGGTCCATGAGAGGATGCTGATGCTCCTCTGTCCATGATCGCAGCTCCATTATCACGGGACGCGGACTGGAGAGGAGAGACCCGGGACAACGAGCAGGGAGAGTCAATGGTGAGCCGACGGGTCGCCGGGCTTGATGCAGTGGATGGAAATGCACTCTCGAATTCCCGAAGCTAGTACCCAGTGTTCTAGCTTAGAGGATTTGAGAAGTGGAACCAGGAACGACGATTGGTGGCCAGAGGGAGGGTCAACGCGTCAGTGCATTCGTGCGTCGTTACGATGGAGTGGGGGTGGTCGTTACTTTGTGACGGAGCCACGTAGATGGGCCTGGCCAGCGTGCCGATTTTGACGGCGGAAGTCCCGGAGGCGGAGAGCAGTACAAGCAACGCGGCGAGGAGCAACGAGCTGCGAGGCGAAGATACGCGGCTCCGTGCCGTACAGACCCCGGGCCTCGTCGACACTACTACGGCAGGTCGCGTCATGGCGAGGAAGAATGATGGAGAGGAAGGGCTCGAAGAAGGAGCGCGACGAATTGACGACGAGTGATACCGCACAGAGAAAATCTTGTTAGTCCCCCTTTTAAGTAAGAACGCGAATAGGATGCACGACGAGCTCCTGCTAGTCGAAGAAACAAGAGTGGCTAGTTCCGAGCGAACTGAACGGTCTGAACACTAGATACGGCCTATTTCTACGAGTGTAGCGGGTGACGGTACACAGTAATAACACAATCTGATTCCTATCAGGCCGCTTTTTGAATAATGCAGAACAGAAAGCGTGCAATATATCAACCAACCGACTTGTTCTGCTCACGTCCTGTGTCACATGAAAGACGAGGTTCAGCCAGCCATGGCCAATTGGTGGTCTAGTCAGGAATGCCTGTTCGTGGAATCTGACGCCAGCTTGAGGCAATCTCAAGAGCTACACTTCAATAATTTGCATACGGGACACATTTTGCCCGAGTACAGCTCAGTGTACTTTACAGCTACTTTCCAGGTGCTTGGCTTGGCGAAGGGTGGTGGGGAGGAGAGAGCGAACGCGTGTCGGAGGTTTGGTTGTTGGGCTCGGTGAGCTGTCCCCCTGGAGGTTCGGTGTTCTGTGCGATTCTCTGCGATCGGATCTGACGTGGTTGCTGTGGGTCTTTTTGTCCTGCGATGTGCCAGTGCGACCGACAAAAGTGTGGATCAAGCTGGCTGGGCCGCCAGAAATCCGAAGAACAGCGTCTAGTGGCCACCTACAGTGCGGTGTGCGTGTGGAAATCACCAGCTTATGGCCTGGACGAAAATCCGTGAGTCGGACGGAACCCATATTGCGTATGCATTTATGAGCATTATGTAAGGCTGTTCACGGAACGATACTGTACATGTAAACAAGCAACATGTAAACGAGTACGCATCACAGCCAGACCCACGCACTGACAAGTGGGGACCACACAAGCCCTAGTGTCAGTCACGACAGCAACTTCCCTTCGCACAAATCGCAAAACACATCGTTTTACACCAGAGTCCAATAGAATCAGCTCGCGAAAGAATCTCGTCGCCAAGCTTCTTGTTTCGCCAGATCCTTCTTCCCTTCCTTCCAACGTTCAGCTTCTGTCAGACGCTCTCACCAAATCATCTTTCCCCGCCAGACCCCTCTCACAGCCCCCTAGCGGCTCACAACCTGGTAATTCCTACATAGCCGCCGCTCTTCCCGCTGCAACGAACCGCCCTAGGCTGATCTGAGAGGTTCGTTTCCTGCCTATACGTAGGTCCGGTATATCCCTAACCTTCGAACCGATGGCTGGAAATACATCCCGTGTCGAACCCTTGAACCGTTAGGGCTCTCCCGACCGTAGGAACCCCGCCTAATTTTCAACCCCGAACCAACGCCAACCATCGGTTTTTCGTTTTTCCGAGCGCGAAGTTGGCACTGACCGCGATGGGAGACGGAGAAGGACACTTGCTCGTCTCTCCCAGCGTAGGCCAATCGACTTTGGTCCCTCCCAAGCACACATCGCCACCGCAATGTATTGCCTCTCCCATTCCAATTTCCAGTCTTCATTCTGCATTAGCTCTCCGCCTGCCGAGAGTATGCTCGTTTTCCACGAGATTTTGACTGCTGCTGCTGGGAGTTGTGGCAACCTAGCTCGTCAACAGCGCTGCTAATATTAGTTACGTCGGCAATTTCCAGCGGCGTTGAGAGCAATTTCCGATACCGTTGGCGATGCAGCGATGGCGGTTTTAACGACGTCGGCGATTTCCAGCCTCGGAAATTTTAACCATCGGCGATTTGCACCAGCGTTGGCGAGATTCAGCAGCGTTGGCTATTTTCAGCTGTGTCGGCGACTTTAACCACGTTGGCGATTTTCAGCCGCTAGATGCGTTGACGCGTCAGGGACGAGCTCTGCCGTCATTGCTGCTGTTGCTGTTGGAGGTGCATCTCTTGACGACGTTTGATCCAAACGACGACGACGACGACGACAAGCGACTTAAAGGTTAGTCTAGCTCGCATTTCTGCTCCTTAATACGTGGTTTGCTGCTCCTTCAGTTGATTTCCTTGGTTTCCTTGGTCGTTTCCCGTCGCCGTATGCTAATGTTTGTTTCTCTCTTTTGCTCGCAGGTGACCATGCAGATCCGGAAGTCAACGCTTCAAAGCCGGACGTCAACGTTTCCAGCCGGACGTCAACGTTTCCAGCCAGACGTCAACGTTTCAAAGCCGGACGTCAACGTTTTAACCGGACGTCAACGTTCCCAGCCCGACGTCTACGTTTCCAGCCGGACGTCAACGTTTCAAAGCCGGACGTCAACGTTTGAAGGCCGCCAGGCAGCGCGTCATGGGTCTGCGTCGCCGCCTGCCTCGTTCCCCTCCGTGGTCTCGCGGACTGCAACCAACAAAATCGACCAGCCTGGTGAGCCCACAGGGCGTTTGTTGGGGGGGACGAGTAGGCTGCCGCTAGAGCGTCTCGAGTCAGTTGCCTTGCGTCGAGTCCTTGCCCGTTTCTTGCACCTGCTAACCTCGCTTTGCGTGTGCTCTCCCCCTCTGTGCTCTCCCCCTCTGTGCTCTCCCCCTCTGTGCTCTCCCCCTCTGTGATCTCCCCTCCTGTGCGCTCCTCTTCTGCCATGTCCAAATGAGGCGACCCTGTGGTGGAGTCTGGGCGGTGGTGGCAGCAGGCATTGGGCGGCAGCGCAGCGAGCACTGGGCGGCAGTGGCAGCACGCAGTGACGCATTGGCGCGCTGCTGGTGGTCGCCAGCAGGCCCTGCTTTCGTGTCGCCAGCTCTGCCAAGGTATGGCTCGGCAGCCACGCACGTGGGGGGGCGTGTAGGCCGCCTAGAGAGTCGCCGTGCTGGTTTACTCCGAGTCATTGTTGCACGTTGCACACCTACTCATGCCACTACCTTTCCCTTCTCGTTCCACTCCCCTCCCCCCCTTGACATGCGCCCCCCTTTGGCACGAGGAGTTGGAGTGATGGGGCCGTCTGGAGCAGGGTGCAGCAGGGTACGAAGCACGAAGGCGGCAGAAAGGCACTTGCGCTGCAATGGAAAGCTAAGTACCTCTGCCCTGGTACCTGCCGTAACCCATGCATCCCACACCGCACCATCCCACACCATGCCATGCACTCACCCCATGCCATGCCAGCCATACCACACCAAAACAGCGCCTCTGGTTGCAGCCAGTGCATGTGCCACAGACCAGGCTTCCCCAGGTGAACAGCCCCCTGGTAACCCCCCCCCTAAACCCCTTGCAGCCCTTTCTTGGTAGGTACTCCCCTCCCCCGTACCCTGGTCTGTGGCCTGTGCTGCTGCTGCTGCAACAGTGGTCTTCTCTGCTCTCCACGTTGTAAGTCCTGTGGTTTCCACACCTAACCATAATCATCACCCATCATCACCCATCATCACCCATCACCACCCATCACCACCCATCACCACTCATCACATCATCCCCATCCCACCCAACCCAACCCCAGCATGACTCATCAGAATCGCCCATCACCACCCTCCAGCAGCGGCCTCTGACCGTCTGGCTTCTCTTCCCCATCCCCACATCCCGCTGCAGGGCCTTGTGAGGGTCATCACCGCCGCTCACCCATGCGCCTCTCAATTTCAACTGGTGGCGGTGCAGCATGGGGGGAGTGTGGGAGTGTGGGAGCAGCGCAGCACTTGGACGAGCAGCAAAGGGAGCGTATGGGGTGGTGGGTCCAGCACGGAAGGTGAGCTCCCCTCCTATGCCCTTCGTCTCCTGCTGTGGTTCTGCTCTGCTGTTGCTGGTGCACACTACTTGCTTTCTGGTTTCCGCCATTCTGCATCCCGCCTTGCACCCACTGCTCTCCTCCCCTCCCCTCCCCTCCCCTCCCCTCCCCTCCCCCCCGCCCCCCTTCTCCTCCCTCCCTGGCAGCTTGCTGGCTGGAACTTCGAAGCGGCAGCAGCAGGAGCAGCAGCGGCGGCAGCAGTGGTGGTGGCAGTTGTACCGGCAGTGGGAGCAGCAGGGTAAGGCAGGAGTGCAGCAGAGCAGCTCACCCGGCGCCATTCTACAATGATAAGATGAGTCCTCCCTCCCTGGTACCTGCCTCCACCCATGCATACCACACCACACTTCGCATTCCTTGCCATGCCATGCATACCACACTCCTTAAACGGCGCCTCTGGTTGCAGCCCAGTGCACAGGCCACAGACCAGGCATCCCAGGTAAACAGCCCCCTGGTAAACTCCCCCCCCCCCCCCCCCCCCCACCCTAAACCCCTAGAGCCTTTACTAGTCACCCTGGTAAACCCTCCCACGTACCCTGGTCTGTGGCCTTTGCTGCTGCCACTCCAACAGGGTTCTTCTCTCCCGCCCTGTAAGATGCACGATTTTGCATCCGCACCTGTCACGCCTGCGCATTGCCATCCATCACTACTCACCACTACCACCCATCCCCACCCATCCCCACCCCGTTCACCTGCCAGAGTGCCCCTCCTTCTAATCGCCTCTCCTCTCATCCCCCTATCCCTCTGCAGGGCCTCACGGTGTCACCGCCGTTGCTCCCCTGCGCCCCTCCCGTTGTGGCGTGCGCTGGTGCGGGAGTGTGGAGTGTGGGAGCACGGAAGGGAGGACGTTGCAGCGGGCAGCGAACGGAGAGTGTGGGGTGGCGGGTGCAGCACAGCAGAGCGGAAGGGTGGCGGGTGCAGCACAGCAGGTGAGCCGCCTTGTGATAGCCTTCAAGTTCCGCCGCTCGTTCCTTGTGCTCCATCTCGTTCCATCTACTCCTGCTCGTTCACGTCCTTGCATCCCGCCCTGCACCCACTCGTCTCCTCCCCTCCCTTGTGCTCCCCTTCGTTCCCCTCCCTGACAGCTTGCTCACTGGCACTCTGGAGCAGCAGCAGCGGGAGCAGCAGCAGCAGCGGCGGTGGCAGTGGGAGGAGAGGCGAGGGTGCAGCAAGGGTAAGGCAGGCCGGCAGCAGAGCAGCAGCTCACTCGGCGCCACTCTACAATGATAAGCTAAGTCCTCCCTCCCTGGTACCCGCCTCAACCCATGCATGCCACACCCCCTCTGCATTCCTCACCATCCCATGCATGCACCCTCACCCCATTTATATGCATGCCAAAACAGCGCCTCTGGTTGCAGTGCAGTGTGCAGGCCACAGACCAGGCTTCCAGGTAAACCCCCCCCTCCCCACACCCCCCAGGTCCTCCTCCCCCCCCTTCTCTGTGAAGCCCCTAGAGCCATTACTAGCTACCCTCTAAAACCCTACCGCACACCCCTGGTCTGTGGCCTGTGCTGCTGCTGCTACAGCAGAGGTCTTCTCGTCCGCCCTGCAAGTCATCTACAGTGCAGTACTTCATATGCTGTCCGCTCTGCCTATGCACGCTCTTTGCTTTCCGCTCTGCCTATGCACGCTCTTTGCTTTCCGCTCTGTCTATGCACGCTCTTTGCTTTCCGCTCTGTCTATGCACGCTCTTTGCTTTCCGCTCTGCTTATGCACGCTCTTTGCTTTCCGCTCTGCCTATGCACGCTCTTTGCTTTCCGCTCTGCCTATGCACGCTCTTTGCTTTCCGCTCTGTCTATGCACGCTCTTTGCTTTCCGCTCTGCCTATGCACGCTCTTTGCTTTCCGCTCTGCTTATGCACGCTCTTTGCTTTCCGCTCTGCCTATGCACGCTCTTTGCTTTCCGCTCTGCCTATGCACGCTCTTTGCTTTCCGCTCTGCCTATGCACGCTCTTTGCTTTCCGCTCTGCCTATGCACGCTCTTTGCTTTCCGCTCTGCCTATGCACGCTCTTTGCTTTCCGCTCTGCCTATGCACGCTCTTTGCTTTCCGCTCTGCCTATGCACGCTCTTTGCTTTCCGCTCTGCCTATGTACGCTCTTTGCTTTCCACTCTGCCTATGCACGCTCTTTGCTTTCCGCTCTGCCTATGCACGCTCTTTGCTTTCTGGTTTTTGTCCTTCTCACATCCTGGCTTGCTGCCAGTGCTCATTTCCGTTACTCTCTGCCTCCCCTTTTCCCTCCCTATCAGCTCACGTGGTGGCACCTGGAGGAAGCAGCAGCAGCAGGGGCGGCAGCTGGAGCAGCAGTCGAAGAGGCGAGGAGGGAGAGGGGTAAAGCAGGGCTGCAGCAGAGCAGCCCACTCGGCACCACCCTACAGTGATAAGATAAGTCCTCCCTCCCTGGTTCGTGCCTCAACCCATGCATGCCACACCACACACTGCATCCTCACCATCCGAAGACGCCCCGTTACATGCATTGCAGAACAGCGCCTCTCGGTGCAGTCCAGTGTACAGGCCACAGACCCGGCTTCCAGGTAAACCCCCCCCCACCCTCCTCCCCCCCCAGGTTATCCCCCCCCTAAAGCCCTTAGAGCCATTACAGCCTATGCACGCTCCTTGGGTTCGGGTTCTTGTCAGTGTGGCATCCTGCCTTGCTGCCAGTGCTCATTTCCTTCCCCTCCTGCCTCTCTCCGTTTTCCCTCCCTAGCAGCTCACGTGGTGGCACTTGGAAGCAGCAGCAGCAGCAGCAGCGATTGGAGCAACAGGAGCAGCGGGGAAAGGAAGGGTGCTCACTCCACACGTAGCAGAGCAGCTCTCTCAGCAACGCTCGCATGGAATGCTAAGTACCCCTTGACCCATGCACGCCACTCCACACCATGTCACACCACACCATACCTACCATACCATGCCACATGCCATGTCACTCCATGCCATGCCATGCCATCCCCCCCCACGCACCCCATGCTGATTTTTGAGTCGACTCAAAAACCACCATGCCATGCCATCCCCCCCCCCACGCACCCCATGCTCCATCCCATGCCATGAACATCAAACAGCGCCTCTGATTGCAGCCTAGCGCTCAGGCCACACACCAGGCATCCCAGGTAAAGCCCCCCCCCAGGTAATGCCCTCCCTTTTAAGCCCTTAGAGCCATTACTAGCTACCCTCGAACCCCCCTGCATACCCCTGGTCTGTGGCCTGTGCGTGCTGCTACTGCAACTGACGTCTTCTCGTCCACTCTGTGAGTTCTTTGGCTTCCCAACCCATCATCACCACCCTTCACCACACACACCCACACCACACCACACGCACCACCACCCGCACCCACCCACATCCACTCACACTCATCAGCACCCATCAGCACCCATCAGCACCCATCTGCACCAGTCCCAGCTTCTAACCTTCCCTCTGCCATTCCTACCCCCCTTTTATCCCTCGTCAGGGCCTTGGATGCGGCTGCTTCCCTCTGGCAACTGCGCTGCTGGGGCAGTGGAGGAGGAGAGGGGAGTGGTGGAAGGGAGAGGAGTGGGGGAGTGGTGGGGGGAGCAGCACCAACGGCGGCAGCAACACCTTGAGCATTATGTCAGATGAGTTTCCCTCCTCCCTGACTCACCCCTCCTTGTATCCCCCCCCCTCCTCATGCCCCTTTCCCGGCCCCATGCGCCCCCCCCACCCCCCAGTCCCCACCCCCGGCGGGCCCCCTCCCTCTCTTCCCCGAATCTCTTGAAATCGACCACTGGTGCAGCAACCTCTGACTCACAGACCCGCTACAACACTTACAGCCCTCAGGTAAGGCTTTCCTTAAGACCTAGAGACTTTACCAGCTCACCCCTTGCAGGTATTCCCCTTGGGTCTATGGGTTGTGGGCAGCTGCACCAGTGGTCCTCCCTCCCTTTCCCTTCTTCCCTGCATCACGCATTTCTCGCTTTGGCTAGTGACTGCCCACTGACTGTGGGTGTGCGTGGCTGTTGCAGGTGGGGGGAGGGGAGGGGGGGGGGGGTCAACACCGAGACTCCCCTGCGCCCCTCCCCTTGTGGCCGTGCAGGGGAGGGGGAGCAAGGGGAGGGAGCACTGCAGCCGGCAGCAAAGGGAGAGAATGGGGTGGCGGGTCCAGCACACAAGGTGAGCCCCTCCGGCACCCAACCCCCCCAATTCCCCCCCCCTGCTACTTTTCCCACCACTGCTTTGTGTTCTGCAACTGCTTGTTCGCATTTCGTCCCTTGGGAAGGTCGATTGTTCCTTTCAGTTTTGTATTGTGCCATTCGTCCATTCTCCCGCCCTGCTCCCCACTCACTGCTCTCCTCCCCTCCCTTTTCCCTCCCCGTTTCCCCTCCCTCGCAGCTCACTCGGTGGCACTTGGAAGCAGCAGCTGAAGCAGCAGCAGCAGCAGAAGCAGAAGCAGACACAGCAGAAGCAGACGCAGCAGCAGAAGCAGCAGTAGGGGGGGCTAGGTAGCTAGAGGGCAGGCTAGTGTGAGAGAGGTAAGCCAAGGTAAGGTAAGGTATGGCATGGCATTGCATGGTGTGGCATGGCATGGCATGGCATGGCATGTGGTTGGTCATGCTTCACATCTCTCCCTTCATCTCCTCCCTCCGCCAGGTGTGCTTCTGCACTCATGGGCATGGCTGCTCACAGCACAGGACAGGAGGACAGGAGGACAGGAGGTGTCCCCCCACTCACCACCCCTTCTCCCTCCTTCTCCTCCCCCCACCAGGTGTGCACTCCAGAGGCGAGGCCGAGGCATGGCTGCTCACAGCAGGAGAGAAGGAGTCCCCCTCCTCCTCACCACCCCCTCTCCCTCTCCTCCCGTCCCAGTGCTCCTGCAAGCCCAAGGCATGGGCGCTTACAGCACAAGGAGAGGAGTCCCCCCACCACTCACCCCCCCCCCCGCCTCCCCCACCCCTCACTCCCCGGCTGCCTCAACCCTCGTGGTGCTCTGCACGGCTGGTAGGTGGAGGTAAGGAGGGGCGGTGGTACGGGAGGGGGGGTGGATGGGAGGGTGGGAGGGAGGGCACGGGAGCATGTGTGCAGCGCACTTCCTTAGGGGCAGCACCCACTGTGGTTCTGGCTGGTGGTTCGGGTGTGGCCAGTGGAAAATGCGTGGCACGGCAGTCGGTGCTGAAGTAACAAAGCAGGCGTTAAGGCATAATGGAACCGGCCAGAGCCGTGCGCGCCGGCTCTGGTTGGGAGTCCCCTCTTGCTACGTTATGCGGCGGGATTCGAGTCTTGGGCCGCCCGTGTATTTTCCACTGCCACTCCTTGCACCACAAGGCACAGCCATGGGGGGTGCTGTTTCTGAAGGGGAGTGGGTTGCATGCTGCTCCTAGTGCTGGGAGGGGGGAGGTGGCGGTTGGGGGGTAAAATGGCTTGGAGCTGGTGCAAAGGAGGGCGTCTGCAAACTCCAGTGTAAGTTGAGTGAGCGGGAGAGGAGAGGGGGGGGCTGAAACCCCCCGGGCTAGGTTGAGTGAGCGGGATAAGAGAAGAGGGGCTTGAAACCCCGTCAGTAAGTTGAGGTGGGGCAAAGGAGGGGTGGTAACCTTGGTAGGGTGAGCGCAAGGCAGGGGAGGGGGGCTGGAACCCCCAGGGTAAGGCTAGCGAGGGGCAGGGGGGGGGAGGGGGGTTCAAACTCCAGGTAAGGGCGAGCAAGGGGCAGAGGGACCCCCCTCGTCTGCCTTTTACTCGCCTTACCCTGGGGGTTTGAACCCCCCTCTCTTGCCTCTCAATCGCCTTACCTTGGGAGTCTCAGCCCCTCTCCTCTCTCGTGCCCTCGTGTTACCTTGGAGGCGTCACCTCGCCCTTGTGCCGCTCCTTCTCCTTACTCTCTCCTCCGCCCCTACCTAACCCTTGTGGGGTTGAGCCCCAAGGGTAAGGGGAGTGAGAAACGATGTGGGGGCTGAAACCCCAGGTTAAGATGAGTGAGTGGAGGGGCAGGGGGCTCAAGCCTCCAAAGTGGGTGAGTGAAAGAGATGGGGGTTGGAAGTTGAAACCCCTTGGCCGCTAGGTTGGCTGAGTGGATGGAAGCGAAGGGTTGAGCCTAGAGCTCCACATGACAGGCAGCAAATGATGATGCCTCACTTGTTGCCTGATGCTAGATGCCCTATCATGTGGGTTCGCTGGTCCAACCTTTTCCGAATCTCGGTATGGGAGTGGGTTTCATGCCCCCAGTTACAAGATCGGGCAGGGCCAGGGAGGGGGTTTCAGACCCCGAGCTAGAGTGTGAGGCAAGGGAGCGGGTTTCAGACCCCAAATGACAGTGCGAGGTAGGGGAGGTTCACACCCCAAGGTAGAGGCTGCATAAGGGAGGGGGTTAAGGCCCCGACTCAGGGAGGGCGGGCTTCAGACTTCAAATCTGACCTCGACTGTAAGTTGAGTGGGAAGGGTGGGCTTCAGACTTCAACTCAGACCCCGGCTGTAAGTTGGTTGGGAAGGGTGGGCTTCAGACTTCAACTCAGACCCCGACTGTAAGTCGGGTGGGAAGGGCGGGCTTCAGACGTCAACTCAGACCCCGGCTGTAAGTTGGGTTGGAAGGGTGGGCTTCAGACGTCAACTGAGACCCCGGCTGTAAGTTGGGTGGGAAGGGTGGGCTTCAGACGTCAACTTAGACCCCGGCTGTTAGTTGGGTGGGAAGGGTGGGCTTCAGACGCCAACTTAGACCCCGGCTGTAAGTTGGGTTGGAAGGGTGGGCTTCAGACGTCAACTGAGACCCCGGCTGTTAGTTGGGTGGGAAGGGTGGGCTTCAGACGCCAACTTAGACCCCGGCTGTAAGTTGGGTTGGAAGGGTGGGCTTCAGACGTCAACTGAGACCCCGGCTGTAAGTTGGGTGGGAAGGGTGGGCTTCAGACGTCAACTTAGACCCCGGCTGTTAGTTGGGTGGGAAGGGTGGGCTTCAGACGCCAACTTAGACCCCGGCTGTAAGGTGGGTGGGAAGGGTGGGCTTCAGACGTCAACTTAGACCCCGGCTGTAAGTTGGGTGGGAAGGGTGGGCTTCAGACTTCAACTCAGACCCCGGCTGTAAGAAGGGTGGGCTTCAGACGTCAACTCAGACCCCGGCTGTAAGTTGGGTAGGAAGGGCGGGCTTCAGACGTCAACTTAGACCCCGGCTGTAAGTTGGGTGGGAAGGGTGGGCTTCAGACGTCAACTTTGACCCCGGCTGTAAGTTGGGTGGGAAGGGTGGGCTTCAGACGTCAACTTAGACCCAGGCTGTAAGTTGGGTGGGAAGTGTGGGCTTCAGAAGTCAAATTAGAGCTGTAAGTTGGGTGGGAAGGGTGGGCTTCAGAAGTCAACTTAGAGCAGTAAGTTGAGTGGGAAGGGTGGGCTTCAGGCTTCAACTTAGACCCTGGCTTTAAGTTGGGTGGGAAGGGTGGGCTTCAGACATCAACTCAGACCCCGGCTCTAAGTTGGGTGGGAAGGGCGGGCTTCAGATGTCAACTCAGACCCCGGCTGTAAGTTGGGTAGGAAGGGTGGGCTTCAGACGTCAACTGAGACCCCGGCTGTAAGTTGGGTGGGAAGGGTGGGCTTCAGACGTCAACTTAGACCCCGGCTGTAAGCTGGGTGGGAAGGGTGGGCTTCAGAAGTCAACTCAGACCCCGGCTGTAAGTTGAGTGGGAAGGGTGGGCTTCTGACTTCAACTCAGACCCCAGCTGTAAGTTGGGTGGGAAGGGTGGGCTTCAGTCGTCAACTTAGACCCCGGCTGTAAGCTGGGTGGAAAGGGTGGGCTTCAGACGTCAACTCAGACCCCGGCTGTAAGTTGAGTGGGAAGGGTGGGGTTCAGACGTCAACTTAGACCCCGGCTGTAAGTTGGGTAGGAAGGGTGGGCTTCAGACGCCAACTTAGACCCCGGCTGTAAGTTGGGTGGGAACGGTGGGCTTCAGTCGTCAACTTAGACCCCGGCTGTAAGTTGGGTGGGAAGGGTGGGCTTCAGACGTCAACTTTGACCCCGGCTGTAAGTTGAGTGGGAAGGGTGGGCTTGAGACGTCAACTTAGACCCCGACCATAACTTTGATTTGGGTCCCTGGCAACTTGGGCTTGAGTTAGCTTCGTGGTGCCACTGGCACTTGTGACGACGTGCTGTGGCCGTGCTGATTCGACTGCATGGAATGTTCGGAATCAAGGTTCCTGCATGCATGCATGCATGTGGTGATGTGTGTGCACGCGTGTGTGAATGCTTGCGAGGCTTGTGCATGTGGGCATGTGTGCATGTCTGCATGTTGTGTGCATGTTGGCATGTGGTCGTTCGTGTGTGGATGCGTGTGGGCATGTCTGTTGTTATGGATGTGTGCATGATTTGCATGGCTGTTAGGATGATGTGCTTGTGTGGGGAGAGCCCTACATGTCTGGCTTTAAGCTGTGCGATATCCGTCTCTGTTTTGTTCGAGGCCATTTGCAAAATGGCAATCGTATCACTCACTTGATGACTATGTTTATACATGTCCTGTAAGGAGCTGTTAAAGAGGCTCTCGTATAACATTGAGAGGTTTCTGTTAGTGCACCTGGATGGAAGCTACTCGTTTTAGGAATGAAGTCACGTCCCACAACATTCTTCGTGGTAGAAATAGAGATCATAAGGTTTAAGATGGAGTGCTGAATAAACTAAGCAATATCCATCGGTTCAGTCCGGTTAGTTGTTACCTCTTGCAACAATCGGGGCAATCTATACGGTTCGGTAGACCCCTCAGGTTGCGCCTCGCTACTGTCACACCCAGCGAACTTGGCTGTGCTGTGCTGGCTGACAACCCCCCCCCCCGACACTGTGTCAGCCATTCCAGCATTCAAAAATTCAATTCCTGAAGGCAGATTTCAAATGTCGGACCAGGAGCAACTCGAGTCCTCGTCAGCCATGTGTGTCCGTCTGTGCTTTGCGTGCTCTTCATTGCTGAGCGATCGCGTGTCGTGACCCCCAGTCAATCAGAAGTATATGTTCCTAATCGACAGTTCCTGTCATTGCGTCGTCGCGGATATTTCCTTTAGTTCCGACTCCAGAGGACCTCCTTGCATCGCTCCCAACCCTACCAGTCAGCATGCCTATCGGATCGCCGATCCAACGGCTGTCAGACGATCTGCTCACTATCATCTTGCATCTCGTCGCTCAACCCGACGGCCAGCTCCAGCACGCGCTCGTCTGCAAAGAATGGCATGGCATCGCTTGTCGCGTGCAGACCACTATCCACATTCGCGAGAAACGCCAAATGACTCCTCACGACCTCCTCTCGCATCTCTCGGCATTCCTGAGGCTGCCACCTCCTCCTCGCCGTCAACAGCCTCACGTCCGTCCCTGACTTCTTCCTCTCCCAGCTTCCTGACACGTGTCCCTGTTGGAGATGGTTCGCGCTTGCCCCTAGTCAACGCGTGGCAGCATGGCGTAGGCTAGGTGGCAGTATGACAGCGCTAACAGGTGGCGTAAGCTGAAAACTACGGGTGTGATAGGTGGTGAGGGGCTGCAGGGCTACGTGTGTGAAGGAGGAGGTGGTTGGGACACGTGGAGGAGTTGTGAGCGACGAGCAGGAATCGGTACAGTGACGCGCTGTTCGGAAAAGCAGAAATGCGGTTTGGTTATGATGTGTGAAATGCGGTTCGGATGTGCGCTACGCAATGTCATGTGGCTTAGGAAAAAAATCCATATAAATCTGTTTCTTTGTATCTCTTTGTATATAGTGAAACTGAAAATTCTCCCTCTCGTTGTGCTGCCTGTTTACAACCAGAACTAGACTGGTGGTGTTAAGACTACCCTTAGTACTAGTGCAAGTGCTGTCGGGAGTCGGTTTGGAGGGTAAGAACGACCTACGAGCAGCGAGAGCGCTGCCGGTTTTTCTAACAGCTGGTATCAGAGCTTGGCGGAGGCCCTTGTTGCGCACGGTTAGAGAGAGTTAGAACGGCTACGCCATGGCGGATGAACGTGGCGAGGTTAGTTCGGGATCGTCCGCTGGTGGAGGCCCGCAACTACGTACAAGCTCTCCTAGAAGCGTTAGCGCAGGGGCATTTCGTTTCGAAGCCAACGATTGGCTTGAGCGAGGCGCAGCTTTTTAGTGGCAGCAACTATAGTACGTGGCGCTTGAAGTTATCAGGAGGGCAGAGGAAGTAGACCTCTGGGCGTTCTTTCATCCTGACGAGACGACATAGATTGGAGTACCACCAGGTGTAGCTGCGACTACGTGTGAAAAAGCGACGTATAAAAAAAGGAGTAAGCAAGCGTTCTTTCAGCTATGTCACTCCGTTGCAGACAGCACAGGTGTAGGGTTAGATCAGTTTGCAGGGGAGTTAAATTCAGCGCAGAAAGCGTGGGAGTACATGGAGACGGTTTACCTTGGTCGTACCGACACCAACAAAGCGATCGTTTGAAAGAAGTTGTTGTTGAGCATGGAGGAGAAGGAGAGCATTATCGAGTTCGTGAACAGGGCGCGGAGTTATAACGATGATCTGCAGGCGATGGTTGCGGCGGAATCCGAGGGAGAGATGATAGGGTATATAATCAATGGGCTACCGAAGGAGTGGGAGATGGAGATAGGCATGCGCTTGTAACCCGCCTTCATCACTCACAAAGCTTGTAGAGATGCTGCAATCGCTAGAGCTGGTTAAGACGGAAAGGAAGAGGAAGGAGGCAACTGCTACTAGTGCTGCACCAGTGAAACCAGCTCTAGTTAATGTGACAGGGCCTACAGCAAAGGGCTTCGGACCATGTTTCGAGTGCGATAAAAATGGGCATAAGGCAGCCGAGTGCTATTTCAACCCTAAGAGTAAGAATTTCAGGGGAAAGACCTTAGGGAAGGAGCAGGGTGCGGACAGGGCAGCAGGAGAAAAGGGGAGGACAGGAGGAGGTTTCATGGGCAGCTGCAAACACTGCGGGCGCTATGGGCATAAGGCAGTAGATTGTTTTCTCAACCCTAGGAGTCAACGCTTCCAACAGAAACCAGCAGCGGCTAGAGTAAATGCAGCAGGCGCATTAGCGGAGGAGGATGCTATTCTTGGAGGAGCACATAGAGCGAACTTGGCTAGGCCGTCGGAGGTATGCGTGCTCACAAAGGGGCTTGAGGAGAAAGGCTGGTTCATGGATAGTGGGTGCACACAGCACATGACCTACAGAGGTGACTGGTTGACTAGTTTCAAACAGTCAGCAGTACCCTATGTGCTGCTAGGAGTTGAGGGAAGGCTGCCGGTATTGGGAGAAGGAGAGATCGTGCTACAGAGTCCATACAGGGAGCTGACCCTTGAAAACGTTTTGCTGGTCGAGAAGCTGTCGCTAAACTTGATTAGCCAGTCTCAGCTCGATAGCACAGGGAGCAAGTTCTTTAGTGATAAGGGAAAGATGTGGGTCTTCGGAACGGATTGGCGCATTCTAGCTGAGGGGGTGCGCAGTCAGGGTTTGTACGAGATGTAGTTACAAGTGAAGGGGTTGGTGAAAGGAGCAGTTAGCTATCTACCCGAACCTGAGGAGGGCAAGAAGGCTAGGGAGGAGCTGGCTGCCATGATAGAGGAGAGGCCAGAGGGAGAGCCGCAGTTACGGTCAATGGCTATAGCAAAGGCAGCAGGAGGAGTGGAGCTAGGCATGTGGCACAGGAGGATGGGTCATGCTAGTGAAAAGCGACTTAAGGAGATGGCGGCGAAGGAGATGGTTATGGGGATGGAGCTGAACCAGAGTAAGGAGTCTGCTAAGCCATGCAGTGAGTGTGTGCAAGGGAAAGCGAGCAAACGTCCACATCCTAAGCACGAGGTTCGAGAACCCTATGGGGCACTCGAAGTCGTGGCTGCAGATGTTGTGGACCACTGCGAGTAGCTTCCAGGCATGGGAGCAGGTATTTCATCACATTCACTGATCTTGGTACACGGAATACGTGGGTAACAGAGATGAGAGAGAAGACAGAGGCATTTCCAAGCTTTGTGGCTTGGATGGCTGAAGCTGAACGCCAGAGTGGAAGAGTGCTGAAGGTGCTGAGGACTGACAATGGAGGTGAATTTACAGACAGGAGGTTTACAGAGTTTTGTCAGTCCAAAGGTATCAAGAGGCAACTGACTGTCCCTTATACCCCACAGCACAACAGCATTGCAGAGCGAGCAAACAGGTCCCTGCTGAACAGCGTGAGGAGTATGCTTGCTGATAGTGGGCTTCCGCTGAGGTATTGGGGTGATGCTTTGGCCATGGCATGTTGGGTTAAAAACAGACTGCCTACCAAAGGTACTGTGAGTAACCTTACCCCTCATGAGGCATTCTATAGGAGGAAGCCTGATGTGAGCTTCCAGAGGGTATGGGGCTGTATGGTCCAATATCGAGAACCGATTGGTCCTGAGCACAAGCTGTTGCCAAGGACCAAGTGGGGCATAAACCTCGGGATATGTCTTAACAGCAAGGGCTGGGTGGTGAAGGACGTGGAGACTGGGAAGGTGCTGATTACTCGGGATACTACTTTCTATGAGGATGTCACTTATCCCCGAGCCAAGAGTCAGCGGAGACAGCAAAAACGATGGAGGAACTGCTGGAGGAGGCTAACCAGGAAGGATTAGGAACAGCAGCAGCTGGTAGAGAGGAGGAGACCGAGGAAGAGCAGATAGGGGCTGAGGAGGAATGGGAGTGGCACCCGAAGGAGGTAGAGCAGAGGGTAGTGAGCGAAGAGCTGGCAGGACCAGCCATTCAGCCTGTACAAGAGGAGGTAGAGAGCAGGGCAGAACACCATGAGGAAGAGGAGAATCAGTTAGAAGGAGCAGAGGGCGCACAAGGGAGTGCTACTACAGCTGGAGAAGGGGCTGATCCATGGAGGTTGATGGCGAGCGATAGTGGCAGTCCAGCAGCCAAGGAGATAGACTCTTTGCTACAAGAAGGAGCGATAATCCTAGGACGAGAAGAGGAGGAAAGAGAGGAGCAGGAAGAAGCAGCCTCTAGCAAAGAAGGAGGGGATGCATCACAGGTGCCTACGGAGGAGTTAGGCAGGGGGAAGAGGGTGAAGAAGCCGAATCCAAAGTATGCTCAGATTCTCATAACCGGATGCAGAGACATTCATTCCCATCTGCTGCTCACCACTACTGCAACAGCCTTAGTATCACAGGGGAGTAGAGCAGCGAAGGATCTACCAGAGGAGCTGGTCACGATAGAGGAGGCTTTGACAGGACCGAACAAGGAGCAGTGGCGAGCAGCCATAGAGGAAGAGCTTCATACGCTAGCAGAAAGGGGAACCTGGGAGTTAGTGCCACTGCCTGAAGGGAGGAAAGTAGTAGGGGTGAAGTGGATCTTCAAGATAAAGACAGGAGACTTGGGGCAGCTGGAAAGGTTCAAGGCAAGGCTCGTAGCGAAAGGGTACACGCACGTAGAAGGCGTCGATTACACCGATACTTATACGCCTGTAAGTAGACTTACCGCAACTAGGGCGCTTCTTGCAGTGATAGCAGCAAGAGATTTTCATCTGGTACAATTAGACATTAAGAATGCCTTCTTGTATGGCGAGCTTCGTGAGGACATTTACATGGAGCAGCCGCCAGGTAGAGATGATGGTACAGGACGGAAGTGTCGACTTCTGAATGCGCTTTATGGGCTGAAGCAGAGTCCTCGGGAGTGGTATAGGGTAATGGATAGGAGGCTACTCCAAGGAGGGTTTCGGAAGAGCGAGTGTGACAGGGCATTCTATTGGAGAGGAGAAGGGAAGGAGAAGATGTTCGTACTCCTATATGTCGATGACATATTAGTGGCAGGAGCGACAAAGGAGGATGTAGAGAGCGTGTGTGCTCATCTAGCAGAGGTCTTTCAGGTGAAGCGGATTCCACGTGCTTCATTGTTCCTTGGGATGAATCTGGAGCGGAACAGGGATGAGAGGCAACTGATGCTGAAGCAGAAGATTTTTTTCCATCGTCTTCGAGATAAGTTTGGAGATCAGAATAGTGCAAGGAGGATTTCCACACCTTTGAGTACTGCAGCAGCGCAAGGGGTAGACACCGAGGCTGAGTTGGTCCGATGGGGAAGTCGAGAGGTTGCGCTTAGGCAGTACCAGTCAATGGTGGGCTCGGTGATGTACCTGGTGGCATGCACGAGGGTCGATGTAGCTTACGCAGCTAGCTATCTTAGACAGAACGTGCAGCAAGCAGATGGACGGAAATGGAAGGAGATAGAGCGAACGATTAGTTACCTCCTACAACACGAGGACGAGGGACTATTGTTCCAAGGAGGAGAGGAGTTTTTACAGCTTGTAGGGTATGCAGACGCTTCACACGCTTCAGACCAGGAGACTAGACGAGGAGCTTTTGGGTACGTTTTCCTTTTGGGTGGAACGGCGATCATGTGGCAGGCCAAGAAATTGGCAGACATCGCTGAGCTGAAGCTGCGTATATGGCGCTCTTCTACGCCTGTCAGGAGGGAGTTTGGTTGAGGCGTCTACTCAAGGAGCTAGATCTTGGGTCAGAGGATCCGACCATCATCCGGACAGATAGCCAGTCAGCAATGGACCTAGCTCGGAATGACGTTTGGCATGGACGGACAAAACACATGGACGTTAGGTATCACTGGGTGCGAGAGCAGCTGGCGAACAAGAGTTTTAGGTTCGAGCATGTGAGGACAGAACGACAGCCAGCTGATTTCTTGACCAAGGTCCTACCTACACCTCGTTTCCAGCAGTGTAAAAGAGAGGTGGGATTACACACGTAGCTTGAGTGAGCAAGCCGCAAACCACAGGGGAGGTTGTTGGAGATGGTTCGCGCTTGCCCCTAGTCAACGCGTGGCAGCATGGCGTAGGCTAGGTGGCAGTATGACAGCGCTAACAGGTGGCGTAAGCTGAAAACTACGGGTGTGCTAGGTGGTGAGGGCTGCAGGGCTACGTGTGTGAAGGAGGAGGTGGTTGGGACACGCGGAGGAGTTGTGAGCGACGAGCAGGAATCGGTACAGTGACGCGCTGTTCGGAAAAACAGAAATGCGGTTTGGTTATGATGTGTGAAATGCGGTTCGGATGTGCGCTACGCAATGTCATGTGGCTTAGGAAAATATTCCATATAAATCTGTTTCTTTGTATCTCTTTGTATATAGTGAATCTGAAAATTCTCCCTCACGTTGTGCTGCCTGTTTACAACCAGAACTAGACTGGTGGTGTTAAGACTACCCTTAGTACTAGCGCAAGTGCTGTCGGGAGTCGGTTTGGAGGGTAAGAACGACCTGCGAGCAGCGAGAGCGCTGCTGGTTTTTCTAACAGTCCCGATCTGACTGATCTCCCAGCTTCCTCAAGATTGACTTTGTGGATCAGCTCTACCGGCGTGGCGGCGTCACAGAAGAAGGCCTTTCCAGTTTCTTCAGGAAATTCTCTCTGCTCGAGCATCTCGAGGCTCTTCACCTCGTCTGTCCGCGGCATCTTGCTGCCATTCCGCCTGCCATCGGCGGGCTCTCGTTGCTCAAGAACCTTCATCTCGATGCTGTAACGGTGGATCGCCTCCCGGAGTCCTTCACCTCGTTACAGTCACTCGAGCACCTCGTACTCCAGTTATTCAAACAGAAGGAATTGCCTCGCGAGTTCGGCAATCTGAGCCTGCTCAAGTCGCTGCAGCTGATCGACTGCCAGTATCTCACCTCCCTCCCGAAAAATTTCGGCCAGCTGACCAGTCTGGAGCGACTCTCCATCGACGGCTGCCAAAGGTTTCAGCTGCCCAATTCTCTCACCAAGCTCGCATCTTTGGCGACCCTCGAGGTTCGCGAATGCAAAGTCCTCTTGCCGCTGCCCGAGAAATTCGGGAAACTCCAGGCGCTCGAGACCCTGCTTCTGGAGGAGGTGGGGGGGATCACCCAACTGCCCGAGACTCTCGGACAGCTGCAGCGGCTGCGGCTCCTGTCCCTGATCAACTGCCTGCATATGACGTCTCTGCCCGGGTCCCTCCCCAGCCTGCCTGCATTGACGGTCCTCACCGTGGTTCTCCCGAAGCTTCGAACGCTGGCAAATCATGGCCTTGATCACCTATCTCAGCTCCGGACGTTCACTCTCGGTGCTCCGAGCCTCCGACCATCCCTCATGCACGTCCCTCTTGCAGCGTCGCTGCATGCGCTTTCCCTGGAGAAGCTTCGGAATGTGGCCTCTCTGCCGGAGGATCTAGGGGAGCTTGTTGCTCTGGAGACCCTGGGATTGACCAACCTGCCACGGCTCACCTACCTGCCGGAATCAGTCGAAACTCTGGTGAAGCTGTGGGAGATGAGGATTGTCGGCTGCAAGCGCCTGCGCTAGTTGCCTAACGGCCTGTGCGTGCTGCCATCCCTTGAGCTGCTGGAGCTGAATGAATGCTGGAGCCTCACTGCTCTGCCTGACGCCATGGGGAGCGGCTTATTCCGTCTGAAACACTTGCATCTGCTGAGCTGCAGGGCTCTCACCCGTTTGCCTGCATCCATCTCCTGTATTTCGTCTCTTGAAACCCTCAAAATCAAGCAGGCGGACAGCCTCAGAGGGGCCCTGCTGGACGGCATCGGCTGCTTGAAAAGCCTGAGGAAGCTCGTGCTGTCAAACATGCCGCTCCTGACTGCCCTCCCTGCCTCTCTCCCTGGCCTCGCTCTCACTCTCACCAGCCTTATGGTGAGACTTTGCAACCGAATCAAGGAGCTGCCAGGGGAGATTGGACGGCTGGGAGCGCTCGAGAAGCTCAAGATCGCAAATCTGGACAGCCTGAAGTCCCTCCCTCGGTCAGTAGCTGAGCTTCCCAGGCTGTGGCTGCTACGCGTGGAGGACTGCACGGGACTCAAGTCCCTGATGGGGGATGACGTTGTGGAAGCAGCGGAGCAGGAATTGGGAGGAAATGGTAGCAGCAACGACTTGAACATCTGCACCAGCAGCAGCAGCAGCAGCAGCAGCAGCAGCAGTAGTGGTGATCCGGAGCGGATTGCCAAGCCTGCTCCGCTTCCATCCCTGCAGAGCCTTGAGATTGCGGCTCTTGCTATCAAGGGGCTTAGCCCATCTGTGGGTTACCTCTCTTCTCTGACAAAGCTTGAAATCTTGGATATCAAGGCGCTGCATTCCCTCCCTGATTCCTTCTCTGGTCTTTCAAGCCTGCAGTCGCTTTCAATCTGCCTCATGAATAGCCTGGAAGCACTGCCGGAATCAGTAGGACGGCTTGCATCTCTGACTTACCTCCATCTTATGAGCCTTGAAGGATTGCGTGATCTGCCCGAGTCATTTGGGCAGCTGACATTGCTCCAGAAGGTGGAAATCACTGGCAGCCCCAAACTAGCCAGGCTCCCAGAGTCCTTCCCTAACCTTTCCAAGCTGGAGTTCTGCACTCTTTCCCATCTGGGAATCTCGCGCATTCCAGATGATTTCTGGAAGCTTTCGTCCCTCAAGGACCTCATGTTGGTCAGCCTGCATTAACTTCGAAGCCTGCCCGACTCTTTCTTGCAGCTGCCCCGGCTGGAGGAGTTTCGGGTGCAGAACTGCATGAGGTTGGCTAGATTACCCCGGCATCTCCATCGCATGCCGATGCTGCAAGCATGCATGACCCATGACTGTCCTCTGCTGTCAACCCAGCAAAGTGGTGATTTATGGGACAGCAAATTTGGAGGCGGGGGAGTATGGAGCGGGCGCATCAGATGAGGAGTGGGAAGAGCTGGTCGGAGAAGAAGATAGCGAAGGGGAGTAGATAAAAGGTGGTGAGGAAGATAGGTATGGGGAGGGGAGGGAAGGCTAACGTAAATGATGGTGAATGGAGAGTTGGGGATGGGGTATGTTGAGCATGGACATGCTAGGGTAATTTAAAGTTGAGGAAGATAAGTTTTTTGCCTGATTGTTCATGTTAGGGTAGGTGGGTTGAAATGGTTGGGACATGTCCCTAAATTTGACGATCTGACTCTTTATGGCTGCCTTGGTGAATGGTGCAGATTTCAATCCAGGTGTCACGACAGGCCCATATCAGGTATGTCGATCGGGCGATGGTCTGTTGCTATCGAACGGTCCCCCGCTCGTCTGCGTCTGACTGACCCCATGTTGGTGTGCCTCCAACCACACCCCTCCCCCCACCTCCCCTCCCCTCTTCTTCTGGGCCTTGCTGCAGCACGCTTTTCCGCGAGGGCGGACAAAGCCAGGAGACCAGCTGCCAGTGTCTCATCTGCTCCTTGAAGTCCAACCTTGCTGATTGAACAGCCGAAGCTCGCAATCCTTAGCTGTCTGATTGTATGACTCCTAGGTCCTGAGACCGACCGACTGACCCCTTCTCCCGAATCGATCGCGAGAGAGCACTTTGCTTCTGGTCACAATGCCAGCCGGATCGCCCATCCAACGGCTATCAGACGATCTGCTCTCCCGGATCCTCCATATTGTCTCTCGATCCGACGGTCACTTCGAACACGCACTCGTCTGCAAGCAATGGCATCGCATCGCACGTTGCGTGCACGACCACATGCACATTCGCGAAGACCGTGACATGAGTCCTCGCGAACTGCTCCCGCACCTCTCGTCATTCCCAAGGCTCACGAAACTCGTCCTCTCTCCCGAAAGCCTCTCTTCCGTCCCAGACTTCCTCCTCGCTCGCGTGGCCGACACGTGTCCCGATCTCACCGAGCTTCGCATCGATCGCACGGATCAGCTCTACGCACGCGAATTCTTCACAGAGGATGGCCTTTCTCGCGTGTTCCAACGGTGCCTCCGACTGGAAACGCTTCACCTGGTCTGTCCGCGTCGTCTCGCCGCCGTTCCTCTGTCCATCAGCAATCTCACCCACCTCAAGTACCTACACCTCGACGCAAAAAGCGTTGCTCGTCTTCCCATCTCCCTCACCTCGTTACAGTCACTCCGAAGCGTCACGCTAGACATGGAAGCACTAGAAGAACTGCCGCAAGGTCTCTGCAATTTCAGCCACCTGGAGTCCCTGCAGCTGATCAACTCTCAGTTCGCCGGAACTCCGCTCCCGGAATCTCTTGGACAGATCACCAGTCTGACGCGTCTCTCCATCGCCGGCTGCAGATCCCTTCAGCTGCCCGATTCGCTCACCAATTTGTGGTCCCTGAGGGTTCTTGAAATCCGCAATTTCCCCGCTGCCCGCGAATCTCGGTCAGCTGCACGCGCTCGAGGCTCTAGTGCTGGAGGAAGTGCTCAGAATCAGAGAGCTGCCGGAGACTCTAGGGCAGCTGCAGCGGCTGCGGATCTTCTCTTTGAAAAGCTCTTGGATAGATTTTCTGCCCCAGTCGCTGCCCCACCTGACTTCACTCACCTCCCTTTCCCTGGACATCCCACGACCTGAAGTGCTGCCCGAGAATGTCGGTCAGTTATCGAGACTTCAGAATTTCAAGCTGGATGCTCCGTCTGTCACTGGCCTCCCCGGTTCAATCATTCTGGCAACTGCGCTCCAGGAACTTTCTCTCGACCGCCTCCGAAATGTCACAGCTCTGCCCGAGCAGTTCGGGCAGCTGACTTCCCTGGAGGTCTTGCGCCTGGCCGACATTTCACAGCTCACTCACCTGCCCGAATCCCTCGGGCAACTGGCGAAGCTGAGGGTGCTGACGCTTCTCAGGTGTGAGCAGCTGCAGCAGCTGCCAGACTCCCTCGTCCTGCTGTTTTCCCTCGAGCGCCTGGACGTGGATCTCTGCGAGAGGCTGGGTGCTCTACCAGACGCCATGGGGGACGGCTTACAGGGGTTGACGGAGCTGCGTCTAGTGCACTGCAAAGCCCTTGCCCACCTCTCTCCATCCTTCTCTGGCCTGTCATCCCTCGAAACCCTGGAGATCCAGCATGCAGAAAGCCTCACAGGGTCGCTGCCAGAGGGGCTCTGCTCCTTGGGAAACTTAAGAAAGCTCGAGCTAGCCTCCATCCCGCACCTGCCTTCTCTCCCTGCTCTCGCGCTCACTCTGACCCGCCTCATGGTGAGCAACTGCAAGGGAATCACGCAGCTGCCGGAGGCGATCGGACGGCTGGGAGCGCTCGAAGAGCTCAGGATCTCAAATCTAGACGGCTTGAAATGTTTCCCGAAGGCTCTGTTAGCGCTGCCACGGCTGAGGCATCTTGTGGTGAAGGAGTGTGGGGGGCTCAAGGCTCTGCTGGGGGATGAGGAAGCGGAGGGAGCTGAGGGGGACGTGGGGAGTAGTCAAACGGCTGACGCGGTACTGCCGTCCCTGCAACTGCCGTCCCTGGTACTGCCGTCCCTGCAACTGCCGTCCCTGGTACTGCCGTCCCTGGTACTGCCGTCCCTGGTACTGCCGTCCCTGGTACTGCCGTCCCTGGTACTGCCGTCCCTGGTACTGCCGTCCCTGCAACTGCCGTCCCTGGTACTGCCGTCCCTGCAACTGCCGTCCCTGGTACTGCCGTCCCTGCAACTGCCGTCCCTGGTACTGCCGTCCCTGCAACTGCCGTCCCTGGTACTGCCGTCCCCACAACAGCCGTCCCTGGCGAGTCTCGTGATGACAGATCTTCCTTTCAAGGCGCTGGGTCCGTCTCTAGGCCACCTGCCCTCGCTGCAGAGCCTCGCGCTGATGCACATGCCTGCACTGCTCTCCCTCCCCGATTCCATCTCCCACCTCTCAAGGCTGCAGGAGCTTCATCTCTCGTCCTCAAAGGCCATGGAGGCTCTACCGGGAGCTGTTGGACATCTCTCAGGGCTTATTCGACTGTATCTAGCTGACCTTGAGAGTCTGTGTGCGCTGCCCGAGTCGATCGGGCAGCTGAATTCGCTCAAGTACCTGGAAATCAGTAGCTGTTCGAAGCTTTATCAGCTACCGAAGTCTTTTCCGGAGCTGCCCAAGCTGCAGTCGTGCGTGTTTTATGACCTGAATATCTTATTCATACCTGAAGACTTCTGGAAGCTCTCTTCGCTCAAGTCCCTGTTCCTGGTAAAGCTGCACTGTCTGCGCTGCCTGCCCGAATCTTTTTCGCAGCTGCCCCGCCTGGAACAGCTGAAAATCTCCCACTGCTATTGGCTGGATAAATTACCACCGTGTCTCCGAGACATGCCATCGCTGCCTGGGTTCTTGATCCAAAAATGCCCTCTGCTCTCGACGGCACGGAGTATGATTGTTTATGGGTCCGCTTATGTGGGGGACGGGGAGGCACGTGAGGAGTTGTTGGATCGATGGGAGGAGAGGTGCTGGCAAGTGGCGGAGGAGGGCGACAGTGATGACGAGGGGGACGGTAGAGAGGAGCTGGGGGGGGTGATGAGCAGTGAGCATGATGAATTTGAGGAGGAAGAGGAATTTGAGGAGGAATGGGACGAGGAGGATGAGGGATCAGAGGAGTGGGATGAGGAGGATGAGGGAGAGGCGGATGAGGAGGATGAGGAGGAAGCAGAGGAATGCCAGGAAGAGGAAGGCAGTGATGGGGAGGAGTGGGAGGGGGTTGTGGAGTTGAGGGGGAGGAGGGAGGAAGGGGAGGGCAGGGAGGGGATGCTGGGGAGTGAAAGGGGCGAGCAGGGAGAGGGAAGGATAGCATGAGGTTTCCAGGATGAGGAAGGGGCTGTGGCCCTGGACTGGGGATCAGCAGCAGAGCAACTTGGAGCAGCTGCGGGCCCGTTCAATCGCTAACTGCTCCAACTGCTCCACATCTGCATGCACCGGCACACATGCCGTTATCTCTTCGTGAACTGCCAGCGCTGGATGGGAATGGTGTTACCTCTGGGATTCTCCACTAATTTCAAGCCAAAACGGCAAGGGTTTTTCCTTGTCAGGAGATGCGGAGTTGAGTGGGATGGGTCAGGGGGTATATGTCGATGTCACTTTTGAGTCGACTCAAAAGTCACCTCAATTGGATGGGTCAGGGGGTATATGTCGATGTCCTGGAAAGAAGTGAAGGGCGGACAGCAGAGGAAGAAAGGCGGAAGGGGCGTATGGTGATGAGGCGAAAGGTGAAGCGTAGGAAATGGAGAATGGGAAGGACATGAGGGATTTGGGAAAAGGGAGGAGGCAAGGCGAGATAGAAGCTGTAGAAAAAGAGGGGTTGAAATGAAGGGGATGAGCTATTGGTAAATGGTGGCATGCTAGTGTAACATCCGAAGAAACGAGTCTTTTTGTTTGTCAACGCTCATGGATGGGTTCAGCATGTTCAGTTCTATTTGCGCACACACGCGACCATGACATGACATCTTCTTTGCATACAAGGCCTAAACCCATATAATACGTGCTCCTTTTGTAGGAAAAAGTGTATCCAACTCGGCCTCGTCAAATCGCTTGACGGAGCACGCTGAAGCGGGTACAATTCCCCACCAAGCATGCTGGCGCTTTATTCCTCACCCCTGCACCACGCCCACAGCTCGTGCCAGCACGCTATGCAAGCTACGCCACTCTATCCATGGCGCGTCGCGACCCGCCTTCCCGTATGTGATACCCGAGTTACCGCGAGACGCGGTGGCGGAAGTCGCAGCGCTGCGCGCCTTACACGAGCGCGGTCGACGGCGACAGCAAGAGCCGTCATGAGGGTTTTCAGTGCGGAGGAAGTGCACAGCGCGCTGCCGTACGATGGTGAGCGAACGATGACTAGAGACGGATTTGAGGCGCCTCAAAAATGGTATCAGTTCGGTGAGCCTCCTCGGCCCCCCGTTCCTTCCGCCCCTTTCCCCCCCTCCTTCGTCTCCCGCGCTCATCGGTCATCTCCGCCAGGCCTTCCGCGTCCCCCACCCCCCTCACCCCCTTTGTCTCCCCCCTTCCTTTTGCCCTTCAGCCCCTCATACCACCCAACTCCCCCATTCCCCAGCGCTGATCTATCATCTCCGCCAGGCCTTCCGCGCGTCCCCCACTCCCCCCCGCCCCCTTTGTCTCCCGCCTTTCTCTGTCCTTCCGCCTCTCATACCACCCAACTCCCCCATTCCCCAGCGCTCATCGATCATCTCAGCCAGGCCTTTCGCGCATCCATCAACCCCCCTAATCGCCGTCCTCTCCCCTTTCCCGCCCCTCATGCCACCCGTCTCCCCCTCCCCCAGCGCTCATCGATCATCTCCGCCTGGCCTTCCGCGCTTCCAGAAGCGGAGATGGCATCGCCGCGCCGCCACGCCAGCACTACAGCATCGAGCGGCGCTGTGAGGACGACGGTGCAGAGGCTAATAACGGGACGGATGCTAGGTCTTGGGCGGAGCATGAGGCAGCAGCAGGAGGAGCGGGAGTGGTGGGGGGAGAAGAAGGAGGCGCGGAAAGGGGAAGTGGAGGGGGGAATGAAGCAGAGGGGAGGAGGCAAGCAGTGGGGACGCTGCTGGTGATGCCGGCATGGGACTCCGACCATGACATGGGAGGTGAGGGGACTCCGACCATGACACGGGAGGTGAGGGGACTCCGACCATGACACGGGAGGTGAGGGGGGTACCACTCGTGCAGCAGCCTCACCCATGCCGCCTCAATCGTGCCATCTTCCTCATAATTGCCATGTGCAGCATGGGACTCAGACCATGGCATGGAGGGTGTGCCGTCTGCTCCTGCTTCACTCCACTCCACATCTCTAATCAATTGGGAGCCCCCCTCCTCATAACAACGGTTCTCAACGGTGCCCATCTCTCATGAATCCCCTCCTATCTAACATGCTCTTCCCTTGACTCTTTCCACAAATTTCTTTCCTGCATGCCTCCCTCCGTGCACTAACCTTCGACCATTCTCTCCCAATCCAGAGCCCTTCCTGGGTGTGAAGCTGGCAACGGTGTATCCGGGCAATGCCAGGCACGGGCTGCCATCTGTGGCAGCCAGCTACCTGCTCTCCTCTGCTGCCACTGGCGTGCCCCTTGCTCTCATCGACGGCACGGCCATCACCCTCAGACGCACAGCTGCTGCCTCTGCCCTGGCTGCTCACTACCTCGCACGGTAATGACAGGCCCCTTGCCCCTTCTCCTCTGTAAAGCCGCTCCCTACCGTCTTTTTGGTCCTCTGCCCCATCCCTCCTCTCTCGTCTGCTTCTTAATTTCGCCTGACAACTTTTTTCGCATTCCAAATCTTCCCCATCTCACCATGTGTCCCCCCCCTCACAGCCCGGACTCCAAGGTGCTGCTCATGGTGGGGACAGGCAACCTCGCGCCTCACCTCGTTCTCGCGCACCTCTCTGCCACCCCCTCCCTGCGCTCCGTGCTCCTCTGGGGCCGCACCCTCGCCAAGACGCAGCAAGTAGCTCAGGAACTGGCCTCCTCCCACCCAATGTTCAGGCTCATCGAGTCTGGGGATTCTGCTTCCGAAGGGTTGGAAGAAGGGCAAGAAGAGGGAGTGGTCTGTGTTCAGGTTGTGAGCGATCTGGAGCATGCGGTTGGAATGGCAGACATTGTTTCGTGTGCTACGCTGGCCGCGGAGCCGATTGTGTGTGGGCGGTGGCTGAAGCCTGCGACGCATGTGGATTTGGTCGGCGGATTTCGTCCGGATATGCGCGAAGCGGATGATGACGTGATGATTGCGGCCAAGGGGTCGATATTTGTGGACTCGAAAGAGGGTGATGCGATCACTGAAGCTGGGGATCTTGTGAAACCTATTGCTAGTGGTGCGATTGTGGAGGGGGACATTAGGGGAGATCTCTTTGATCTTTGCTCCAAACGTGTGCAAGGGAGGAGAGGTGAGGAGGAAATCACAGTGTTCAAGTCTGTAGGTTTGGCATTAGAGGACCTTGTAGCTGCTAAGCTTGTGTGGAATAAGAGGGCTATGTGAGATTTAGGAGTGAGTTTGTCATCAAGGTTTTCGGTTATGGGGGAAATTTTTTCAATAATGATACAAATTGTGGTAGTGCAAGTATCCACAGGGCAATCACAAGTTTTTCATGCACAAAATGCATGGTCATAACTTAATGTTTTATTCATGCTTCCTCTAGCAAGGTAGTTGCTTTCGTGTAGTATTTTTGGTATTATATACAAAATTTCCGCAATCATGCATGTACCGTTGTGATTTATTGCAATTTTAGTTTCTGTTTGAATCGGCGCTCCACTCCCAAGAAATTGGTGGCGTCTCGAGAACTCAAATGTCCGCAAACCCGAACATGTAATCCCAAGGGTCTTGCCTAACGCTCTCTCCGCTGGTGATTCCGCGACAGCCCCCAAGCGCCGCGGTTCGACTTGTGATGGGCTGCTGCTTGTCCTCCCGAAGTACAAAACACGAGGCTCTTGGGATAGATCAAACAGTCTTGCAATCACCAATTTCAGCTCTCGTCCTCTCACAAGCTCCCTGCCAGTACTACCGCTTCAATTCGTCCCAGAAACCATGGCTGGTTCGAGTGATGTAGTTAACGACCAGGCTGTTGCACAGCAGGTCGAGGAGAAGGTCGAGGCTGTTACAACCACTGAGAAGCCTTCAGAGGTCCGTTTTCTTTCTGAAATTCATCAGAATTTCAAGCTTTTTTTCTCTCTCTTTCTTGAGGCTGACTCTGACAAATCGACACTTGCTTCTGCAGGAAACTACAAACAAGGCAGAGGAAAAGCTTTCGACCGACGACAAGTCCACCGAAAACGCTAAAACTGAGCCAACGACTGACGACAAGGAGAAGAAAGATGACTCTAATGCGACACCTGACAGCGACGTTGTCGAAGTTGAGGCTGAGAAGGTCGCTGAAGTGGCTGCGTCTGCGGATGCGGTCCCTTCCACTACCGAAACGACTACTACCATCTCGACCAAGAGGAAGGCTGAGGCCTCGGAGGACGAGACACCCGCCAAGAAGGCGTGCCTAGAAGCTGAGGCTTAGCTGGGCTCCAGTGAAACCAATTTCTGACATTCTGTACTCCACACGCGAAAACGTTTTCTGACAACCATGACTAATAATTGACTACTGCTGCATATATATGTGATTATTCATTGTGCTGACGCACGCAAATCTTATGCTTAATCCTAGAATACAGAGGGAGATGCAGGACAGGTCACACTAGTTCATGTCACATTGCATATGCTCTATTCTTTGGATCGACTTCTTTAGTTGACGAATCTGGTCCAAATACAACTGCATGCTGCATACCTCCTGGCCTGTACCCTCGCCTTTAGCATCCACCCTTGCTTGACTGTCTCGAACCAGAGATAAGCATTGCTTTAATGCCTTCATCTCTTCTTCCTCGCTGCTGCTGCCTCCATGCTGCTCATCTCCTGGTAGCTGCGAAGATTCTTGACTTGCTGAAGCTTTGGCTCTCCCAGCTGCTCCTGCTGATTCTGGAAGCTTCTGCTGATTCATGTCTTGCTCCTCTGGAGTATGAGGGTGGGTAGCAGTGCCCCCAGCAAGTGTCCTGAAGGATCCAGCCTCAATCCTCCTGCTTCTCCTCCGTTCAAGCACATCATGCTCCAGCTTTGCAGCCATGGCAGCTGCTCTCTGCACAACGCTCTCAGGAACCTGCACAAGAAAGACAACAAGAACCAGACAGAAGAACAGCATAGGTTGCAACGGGGAAGAGATTCATGAAAACAATAAGAACTAGACAGAAAAACACATGGCAGCATACAGCATTGGCCGATCCCTCTGTCAGCATCACAATGATTACCTGAGCAAGTCGGGCCACGTTCAGGCCAAAACTTCGGCTGGCAACCCCGCGGACGAGCTTGTACAGGAAGGTGACCTGCTGATCTGGCTTCGTCTCTCCCTTATCCTCAGAACCAGGTATCATTGATTCTGACAATACTTTCTGTCTTTTCGAAGGGATTGGAGGTGCTGCTGCTGGAAGGGGAGCTGGCGGAGTGGAGGCGAGAAAGGACACGTGAAAGCTTCCCATCACTCTGGGGAATTCTTTCTCCAGCTGAGCGATTTCAGGGTAGTGTGTGACGAAGAGCGTGAGACAGCGCACTGTGGACAGGAGATACTGTGGATGGCAGGAGGGTGGAAGGGGGAAAAAGGCGGGGAGGAAAAGGAGGGGGGGGAAATGGATGAAGGAAATGGCTTCAAAAAGCATGACAATTAGGGAAAGCATAGAGGCATCTCCAAGCATACTGAGAACACGAGACTAGAACGTGAACAATGAACGGTAGGCTCACATGCAGGGTGGCATAAGCGATGGCGACGCCATCATGAGTGCTGGTGCCACGACCTAACTCATCCACTATCACCAACGACTGAGCCGTCGCCCGGCGAAGGATCCCAGAAGCTTCTCCCATCTCCTCCAGAAACGTGGACGTGCGACGTGACAGGCTGTCATTTGCCGCCCCCATGCGGGTCAGAACCCCGTCCAATACGTGCAGCCGCGCTGAGTCAGCAGGCACGTAGCAGCCAATCTGAGCCATGATGCAGATCAGCGCCACCTGGCGGATGTAGCAGCTCTTGCCGCCCATGTTGGGACCAGTGATGACGTGGCACCTCTCCCCATCTGACGTCAGCACGGTGTCGTTCGGCACAAACTCGCCCCCCATAGTCACATCCAGCACAGGGTGCCTCCCATTCGTTATAAGCACATTCTGGGGCCCACCTTCCGGGATAAACTCCGGGCGAACATACCCCTTAGAAGCAGAAACAGCCGCAAGAGCACATAGACAGTCCAGCTCAGCAAGTGCCTTCACAGCCTGTCTTAACTCCACATGGCCCCCGCCCTCCCTCCTAAACCCCTCCAACAGCTCCTGCCACGCCCTCCCTGCTGCCGCTGCTGCAGCTTCCTTCGCCAGAGCCAGCTTGTCCAATCCCGCGAGGACAGCTGGCGGGTGGTAACGCGTAACACCCCCAGCCTTTCCACCCTTAACCGCGCTGTGCTTGAGCCAATCAGAGGGGACCCTGAGAGCCGAGGGAACCTCTATGAGGTGAGTGGCACCGGAGACAGAGAAGAAGGAGAGGGACGGCAGGCGCAGCTGAGATCTGATGGATGGGAGGAGGGAGTTGAGGTGAGCCTCTGCCGCCCCAACTGCCTCCCTGCACGTGCTGAGTTCCGGAAACTGCATGGAAGGATCTGAGGTTGGTTCCCCGTAGATGTGACTGTTTTCTTGTGCTTCTAACGAGGTGCTCACTATGAGGTGGACCTTGTCCCCCTTGGCAGCAGCATCGGCGTCCACAGCTGCCAGCATTCGCCTGGCATGCCGCACCACTGCTGGCGACGCTGCTGCTCTTAGCAGCCGCTGCAGCAGGGGTGAGTGAACACTGGGAGTGTCACTGGCTTCAGTGCTAGCATCAGCAGCAGCAGCGGCAGCGGTGGCAGGAAGGAGGGAGTGCAGGTGCTGTGCTGCGGAGGAGAGGGCTGAGAGCACCCGAACAAACTGAGGGAGATGGGATGGGGAGGTGGTGTGGGGGGGTGGGAAAACGGGATCTGGTCTGGTGGAATGGAGCCGGGAAGACGAGGGGGCAGCAGCAGAGCAGAGGTAGCTGATGGAACACCCTCAGCAACAGACAGAAAGGGCTTTTTTTTCCCTTTGAAAAGCCTCAAAACACGATCATGGGGGTTATGCGCAGTCTGCCTACCTCGTTAGGAGTGACTGTCTTGTGCAGCACCCGCATCACCCCCCTCTCCACATCCCCAGTGGGCGCCCGCAACCCCAGCACTCCCATTACCATGCGCCCATATACCACCAACCACACTTTCATGCCCCCCCCCCCCCCCCCGCCCTCTTCCCCTCCCCTCCCCTCACTCTCTTTACCACACAAGGAGTGACGGTCTTGTGCAGCATCCGCGTCAACCCTCTCTCCACATCCCCTGTGCGCGCCACACACCCCACACCATACCATGTGCCCCCATACACCCCAATCGCACAGTTCTGGTCCCTAGCCCCCCCACCGCCACCCCTTTACCTTGTTAAGCGTGACTGTCTTGTTCAGCATCCGCGTCAGCCCCCTCTCCACATCCCCCGTCTGAGTCAGAAACCCCAGCACTCCCCTTACCATGTGTTAACCATAACCCCACCCCATCCAACCACGCTCTTCTGTTCTCCCCACCCCCCCTCACTCACCTCGTTAGGAGTGACCGTCTTGTGAAGCATCCTAGTCACGCCCCTCTCCACATCCCCTGTGTGCGCCAGCGCCACACACCCGATACCATACCATGTGCCCCCATACCATGTGCCCCCATACCATACCATCTGTCTGCCCCCATACCCCCCGGCTGTACAGTTCTGTCCCCCCGCCCCCCCACCGCCACCCCATTACCTCATTGGGAGTGACTGTCTTATGCAGCATCCGCGTCACGCCCCTCTCCACATCCCCCGTGCGCGCCAGCGCCACCAGCACTCCCCGCACCACCTCCCCCACTCCCCCCTCCCCTGCCTCCGCCCCCCTGCTCGCTGCCCCTACCGCCCCCCCTCCCCTCCCACTCCCAGGAAACGTCCGAGAAACGCCGGCCGAAGGAAAATTAGATCCAGAAGAGAGTGAGGGAGAGGAGGAGAGGAGTTCAGAGACGGCCTCTTGCCTCTGAGCGATGTGAGGGAGGTGCGTGAGGGGGTGCGTGACCCAGTGGCGCATGAGCCTGCCTCCTGGTGCTGTGAGTGTGCGATTTAGCAGCCAGAGGAGAGAGCCCCTAGAGGTGTTGTCAGCACTGTTTTGAAGGATCTGAAAGGTGCGGGTTGAGGGGCAGAAAGCAAAAACCGCAGGGGGAGAAGGGAGAGGGAGGAACGGTGCATCCATTTCGCTGATTTTGAGGCGTCTCAAAACAAAGCCAGATGAGGGAACAGCGAGGCATGCTGCCAGCACTTCTGAGAAAGCAGCACCATCAATGGCAAACAGTCTCAGCACCAGACGAGACACCTCTGTCTCACCTCGAGCTGCTCTAGGGCATTAGACGAGAGCGCCATCTGGTGGCTGGTGCGCAGCGGACGAAACCCGCCGCCCACTGTGAGCACGTGTTGGAGATTGAACTCCCTCAGATAGTCCACGGCAGCAGCGAGGGCTTTAAGCAGCACTGTGGGCATGGATAGAATGGCCTCTACAGCTGGATCCACCTGCCGCTCCTGCCGCTCTTCCATCTCGCTCTCATTCCCCTCCCCATTCCCCCTGCCAGCGTCTGCGTTACAAGCAGCCTCGGCTGGCCTCTGGGCAAAGAACTCTGCGAGTGCTGCACGCACCCCACACATGCTGCTGCTGCTGCCACCACGTCCACTAACTCCCCCTATTCCCCCAGCACCACCCATGCCACAGCCCTCAGCGATGCTTGCCTTGCTGTTGCCACTGCCAGCACCCGTGCCAGTAGGCTGATGAGAGCCTGCCTCGGTGATTCTCAGGGAGGGGTCTCGACACGACAGGTACGAGAGGAGCTGAGGGGGGAAGGGGGAGAGAGGAGGCGTGAGGGAGGAGGGAGGGGTGAGGGGAGTGGAATGAGGTAGACGGGAGATCCAACATGCACGAGCACCCAGCACGCAGCAGCACCCAGCACGCAGCAGCACCCAGCATGCAGCAGCACCCACCATGTAGCAGCACCCAGCATGCAGCAGCACCAAGCAGGCAAAAGCACCCAGCAGGCAAGAGCACCCAACAGCCAAGAGCACCCAGCAGCCAAGAGCACCCAGCAGCCAAGACCACCCAGCAGCCAAGAGCACCCAGCACCCAAGAGAATCCAGCAGGCAAGAGCACCCAGCAGGCAAGAACACCCAGCAGCCAAGAGCACCCAGCAGGCAAGAGCACCCAGCAGGCAAGAGGACCCAGCAGGCAAGAGCACCCAGCAGGCAAGAGCACCCAGCAGGCAAGAGCACCCAGCACGCAAGAGCACCCAGCAGACAGCCAAGAGCACCCAGCAGGCAAGAGCACCCAGCAGCCAAGAGCACCCAGCAGCCAAAAGCACCGAGCAGGCAAGAGCACCCAACAGCCAAGAGCACCCAGCAGCCAAGAGCACCCAGCAGCCAAGAGCACCCAGCAGCCAAGAGCACCCAGCAGCCAAGAGCACCCAGCAGCCAAGAGCACCCAGCAGCGAAGAGCACCCAGCAGCCAAGACCACCCAGCAGCCAAGAGCACCCAGCACCCAAGACCGGGCAGTGGACCGGGAAGTGGACCGGGAAGTGGACCAGGAAGTGGACCGGGCAGTGGACCGCGCAGTGGACCGGGAAGCTAAGTGGAGAAATACGCTTGGGCAGCCTAGCGTATTGCGTACATACGCTAGCGTATAATACGAATACGCTGTACGCTAGCTAAGTACGCAATACGCTAGCGTATTTCTTGGCGGGCAGCCCGGCAAGAAATACGCAAAAAACGATGCGACAAATTTGCGACATGACGAAACCCCACAGGGATTTCGCCATGTCGCAAACCGAAATTTGGCTTTTCAAATCGTCAACCCAACCCCTTCGCCCCTCCCAACCACACAGCATCCCACCCAATCTGCGACTTCCAAACAACACCCAAAGAAATCTCCTTCCTCTCCCTCTCTACTCTACTCCAGCAGGGTTCAGCGCAGTTCACTCCTACGACGAAATCAGGGTACAAGTAAAATGGCGCGCTAACTTCAGTCATTTCTTCTTCCAAGCTAGCGCGACTAGCTAGCTGGTTTTTTAGCGACTGTTGCTATGTCGAACCCTCCACCTAGTCCTGGTTCCCACGGAATCGACGCGGGAACCTCCTGTGCTGCGTCTTCCTCTGACGAGCTCCTAGAGAACTCCACCCACGCTATCTTTAAGCATTTCAAGTTTAAGCACAAGGAGCACGGCAAGCAGCAAAAGTATTGGTGCAAGTACTGCCCCGTATCCTTTACCGGGACAGCCTACCGCTGCGCACAGCACATCACTAGTTGGGATGGTATGCGTAGGCGCGAGGTTCGGAAATGCGAGGAGGTAGGGAAGGAGGAGCAGGCTGCCGTCCGCGCGTTCCAAACCGCAAAAGTGCTTGCGAGGGAGGAGGCGCATAGGGCGGAGGAGTCGGCCCTCGACGCCGTTAGTGGTCGGGGAAAGCGGAAGATCACCGATTACCTGTCCGATGACGCCCAAGCGGCCAAGGCGGCGGCGGACGAGGCTATTTGCCTCCTCTTTGCCGACCTCCGCCTTCCTGAGCGCCATGCCGACCACCCGCTTTGGCGCAACGCCGTCCGGTCCATCGCGCGCGCGGGGACCAGCTATGTGCCTCCAAAGCGCGACTACGTGGGTGGTGCCGGCTTGGAGCTATGCCGCAAGCGGATTGACGAGGGATTGACGGGCGTCATGTCGAGCTGGAAGCGCCACGGCGTGACGATTGCCAGCGACATGATGACCGACAAGTGTGGCAGGCCGCAGGCGAATGTGATGCTGGTCAATGACACCGGCGCAGTGTTTGTCGAGAGTATTGACTGCAAGATGGAGAAAAAGACCGGGGGATACATCGCCCGGCTCCTCCGGCCCATCCTGCAAAAGGTTGGGGTCGAGAACATAGTGGCATTCTGCACCGATGGCGGCAGCAACTACCACAGCGCCTGCCGGCTCCTCATTGCAGAGAATCCGCGCATCGAGCATGTGCCGTGTGCGACGCACGTGCTCGACCTCCTTATGGAGGATGTGGGACGGCAGGCTTGGGCCAAGGAGGTAGTGGGGCGGGCGAGCGAGCTCATCAACTACACCCGCAGCCACCATTGGACCCGACAGTATCTCAGGGGTGTGGACGGAGGGAAGGGGCTGCAGATGCTAAGGCCGGCGGGGACCAGGTTTGGGACGCAGCACATTGCTGTGTCCCGCCTGGTGGAGTTGCGGTCAACGCTGGTGACCATGGTGCTCTGCGATGCATGGAAGGCGGAGTGGGCGGTGGGCCCAAAGAAGGCACCTGCAGAGACATTCCACGACCAGATCATGGATAAGGACTGGTGGCCAGCGGCTGAGCTCTTCAAGAGGCTGCTCCTGCTCCCGTTCAAGGCCATGAGGGCGACGGATTCGGCAACGAAATGGATGATGGGCCGCATCTATTAGCTGATGCTTGAGCTCACTGTGAATGTGGCAGAACTGCTGAAGGAGGAGGGGGATGGGGTGCTGAGTGCGGGAGACAAGAAGGGCGTCAATGAGATTGTGAAGCGGCGTTGGGATGAGAGTATGGCTTGCCCACTGCACGTGGTCGGGCGGATTCTTAACCCGGTCAACCAGGAGGAGCGGATTTTTGGGCCGGACACGGAGTGCACCAATGTATTCAAAGCTTTCATTGCCCGCCACTATGGCGGAGTGATGATTCCCCAGAGGGATGGCCTGCCCAAGCGTGCCACACTCCTCCTGCAGGAAGGGTTGGCCGCCTTTCTGAAGTTGAGGGGCAGCTTCGGCACGGCTGAGGCCATCAGTGACCGGAAGTTGGTGAAGGAAGGAAGTTATTCCATGGAGGCATGGTGGGAGTGGCACGGCACTGACCACCCCTTGCTCATGGCCCTTGCTTGCCGAGTGCTAACTCAGCCGGTGTCTGCATCCAGCTGCGAGCGCAACTGGGCGGTGTGGGAAACTGTCCACACCGCCTGACGCAACCGGCTGGGTTCAGAAAAGTGCAAGGATCTGGTTTACGTTGCGCACAACTGGAAGGTTGTGCACAACTGGCACATGGCCGACGAGGGGGCGGGGGTGGTGTCTGGTAACATCCCGGACGCCCCCGTCCCTGCGGGGTACAGGGTGGATCGGGAGGAGGAGGATGAGGAGGGCGAAGATGAGGAGCTGCTGGACGAGTACCTGTAGAGCAGAGCAGGAGAGGGTTAGGCGGGCGGTTTGGGGGAGGCTTACCTGAGATGGGTGGTTGGCTGGTTGTTGGAGTTTGGAACCCTTGACATGCCCTTGGTGGCTTGAACTATTTATTTATTACCATGCTAAATGATGCCACATTTGGTGGGGGGAATTTGGTGCTCTGAACCCCCCCTCTTCCCTCCCCAAACAGGTTTTTTTACCCCTACCCGAGTTGTTTTTATACCTGCCCGCCAGAGCGTATTTCCTACCGTATCCAATCCCATAATGAAGCGTACAGCGTATATACGCTAGCGTATAATACGCTTGCGTATAATACGCTAGACGCGTATTTCTCCACTTAGCCGGGAAGTGGACCGGGAAGTGGACTGGGAAGTGGACCGGGCAGTGGACCGGCCAATGGACTGGGAAGTGGACCGGGAAGTGGACCGGGAAGTTGACCGGGCAGTGGATCGGGAAGTAGAACGGGCAGTGGACCGGGCAGTGGACCGGGAAGTGGAATGGGCAGTAGACCGGGAAGTGGACCGGGAAGTGGAAGGGGCAGTGGACAGGGAAGTGGACCGGGAAGTGGACCGGGAAGTGGACTGGGAAGTGGACCGGGAAGTGGACCGGGAAGTGGACCGGGAAGTGGACCGGGCAGTGGACCGGGAAGTGGACCGGGAAGTAGACTGGGAAGTGGACCGGGAAGTGGACCGGGAAGTGGACCGGGCAGTGGACCGGGCAGTGGACCGGGAAGTGGACCGGGAAGTGGACCGGGAAGTGGACCGGGAAGTGGACCGGGCAGTGGATCGGGAAGTGGACCGGGAAGTGGACCGGGCGAAGTGGACCGGGAAGTGGACCGGGAAGTGGACCGGGAAGTGGACTGGGAAGTGGACCGTGCAGTGGACCGGGCAGTGGACTGGGAAGTGGACCGGGAAGTGGACCGGGAAGTGGACCGGGCAGTGGACCGGAAAGTGGACTGGGCAGTGGACCGGGAAGTGGACCGGGCGAAGTGGACCGGGAATTGGACCGGGAAGTGGATTGGGCAGTGGACCGGGAAGTGGACCGGGCGAAGTGGACCGGGAAGTGGACCGGGAAGTGGACCAGGAAGTGGATTGGGCAGTGGACCGGGAAGTGGACCGGGAAGTGGACCGCAAATTGGTCCGGGAAATGGACTGGGAAGTGGGCTGGGAAGTGGATTGGGAAGTGGACCGGGAAGTGGACCGGGAAGTGCACCATGCACTCGACCATGGGGTCATGCACTCAGCCATGGGGTCATGCATTCGGCCATGGGGTACAGTGAAGCAGCCATCAGTGAAGCAACCGTCAGTGAGGCACTCGTCCACCACACCCCCTGTGGACGACTTGTCGCATAGCCTCCTCTCCACTCAGCAGCTCTCCTTTGTGGTGCCTAGCCTGGTTCCTTAACGGCTTTGCCTATCCTGCGCTTGTACGTGATGAGACCCGACTTCCCTTACTCAAAAGAAAAAGCCCTTCCTCCCAAAGGGATCGCCTCGACGGCCCTCCTGCGGACGCGCCTCTCCCCCCGGCAGCACCTCCGCCACCCATCTCGCTTAGTCGCGCAGATGCGCCGATCTCTGCAGATCCGTCTCCTCAGGAGCCCGTGACTCCTCTACTACGCTCCATGGCGCCCCCTCTTCCCGCTGGCGGGATTCCTCCTCCCGTGCGACGATCTACTCGCATGGCGAAACTGCTGGAGCCGCGGATCTCCTCGTCGTGCTTTCGCATCCCTTCGCTAGCATCTTCGCGCAGAGAGGCGCGTGTATCCTCGGACGATTCCCGTCCCCGTTCCTCGCCTCCTTCGCTTGGCGGAACGTTCTCCTCCCCCAACGGGAGATTCTCTCTCACGGGTAGGTGCATGCCGCTGAGCAGCGACATGCCCGCCATATGACTCTGTTTGTAAGAAAAAGCCCGAGACTAAATCTCGCACCCTGATCCCCTTAACTGCACCTCTGTCCGGCCTCCCTACATGGATCTAGCGTTGCTCAAGAATAATTCCACACGTAAGAGAGCATACAGGCTTTCCCATGGTAGCGAGAGAACAAACAGAGTAGCAACAACCACCCTCACTCACTGGTTTTGTGCTACTCCTCCTAGCAGTCCCACTCCTGAGCCCGACCCAACCCTCCCAGTTGCTTCCGCCGCGCGCCGTTTCAGGATTTTCTCCTCCTATGATGGCCCCGTAACTCCTGCCATCGACTCACCTCCCTCCTTCGCCGCATGTCACTGTCCGAACCGCTCCACCGCCTCGCTTACGTGTCATGTCCCAACCTGCTGCCCTCCCAGCTGGCCAACCGCTCCCTCCTCCCAACTCGCCCATCACTGTACCTTTATCAAAAAGTGTTGTCGGCTATGTAAACTATATACAATTGCCTACAACTTTCTCGCACCTTTACACTCTTCACCGGCACCTCCCGCGCTGTCCCATGAAACTCGGTAACGGGTACAACGAGATTCATGCGACAGCCCCTGTGGACGCCTCCAGTCCAGTCACCGAGCTCACCTTGTGTGTTGCTGATGACACTGGGTCGGTGTTTTTGAGAATTCTCAAAAACACCCTGGGTCGGCAGCAACAATCTCCATGGGAGCAATGTGCGCTAGATGGGACTCCAGCTCTGTCCGCAGCACACCGTCAGTGATGCAACCGTGCATCTCATCCCACTAACGCACTCACGCACACACTCACGCATGCACTCACTCCACCCGGGGCCAGTTGACGCCTTGCGAAAGGTGAGCCCATTCAACACACTCACCTTGTGTGTTGCAGATGACACTGGCCCCGCGATAACGATCTCCGTGGGAGCAATGTGCGCCAGATGTGACTCCAATTCCGACCGCAGCACGCCGTCAGTGAAGCACCCGTGCACCACATCCCCTGTCGACGTCTCCACCGCCACCAGCCCTATCCGCGAATCGGAATCCGTGCCTGCACCCGTGCCAGCACCCGTGCCTTGAAATCCCTCCATATCCATGCTTGGCGGAGAGAGGTGGGGAGGGGAAGCAGCAGTTTGAGATGGAGCGGCGCCCCCAGCAGCACCAGCACCACCCGCACTGCCATCACCAGCACCAGCTCCACCTACTCCCCTCCCTCCATCCTTCCTCCCCTTCTCTCCCTCTCCCACATTCTCTTCCGCTATACACACCAGGTAACTACTCAGCCTCCCTCCCATTCCCCCTTCCCCCCTTCCTCCCCCACCCCCCGCCCCTTCCCCCACTCCTCCTTCACCACGGCCCTCCCCGCCCTCCCCCCCTCCCCCCAAATCCTCCGCCGCCTCTAGCGTCGCCCTGGTATACAAAGCCGACAGATGCCGCCCAAACGGCCCGCTCTTATTGCTCCCATGGGCTTTAATCGCGGCAGTCTCACTCTGCCGCACCACCCCGACCTTGTACCCCGCTTCCACTAGTCTCCTCACGTGCACGTGCAATCGAAACGTGGGGATAGATGCCGTCAGAAACGCCCTGTCCACGTGGCAGTAGATGCCCAAAACCCGCGCCGCCACGTCAGCGTCGGCCCCGAAGAAGCGGTACTTGTAGCCGACCTCCACCAGTAGAAGCACGTCCGGGTGGCGCTGCTTCAGGGCCACGATCTGCTCCTCTAACGGGGTCAGCTTCGTGCCTGGCAGGGGCAGGCTTATGCCGGGGATGAAATCGGATTCTCTGGCGGCAGCAGATGCAGGGGGAGCAGATGCAGGGGGAGCAGATGCAGGGGGAGCAGAAGGGCGAGTGGAAGCAGCAGTGGCAGCAGGGAGGGATGGACAAGAGTTTATGAACTTGGCTCGAAATGCAGAGGCAGAGGGAGCGGTAGGTGCGAGTGCAGCGGCTGTAGAGGCAGCAGCAGCAATGGCTGCTGATGTTTCAACAGTTGCCCTTCCAGCGAGAGGCTTCTCCGTGTTTCCTTCTATCGAATCAACGATCCCCCCCTCCTCTTCGCCTTGCCCCTCCCCTTCCTCCCCCCCTGCGCCCACCTCATCCGCCCCAGAAATACCCCCCCTTCCCCTCTTCCGCCGCCTCTCCCCGCCCCTGATCCCATGTTCCTCCTCCCCCTCCCCCATCCGCACCCCCCTCCCTCCTTCCTCCCCACCATCAGCCCCCCCAATTCCCCTTTCATCAGGCCCCCCATCCAAACCCCCATCCAGTATCCTCCGCGCTGCCCCCCTCCCTCCTGTCCGCTTCCGCCTCAACACCACCCCTCCGCCTTCGCCCTCCGCCTCCATCTCATTCCCCTTCCCTTCCTCCTCCCCCTCCTTTCCGCCCCTAATCCCCCGCTCTCCCCCCCGTCCGCCTTCCCCGCATCCGCTACCCTCCCCAGGTGCCCCCGCTCCCCCATGATCGACTGCCCCTTCCGCTGATCCGAGTGCGCAGCAAGGCTCAGTCAACCCGCCGCCACTACGGTCACCGCCACCGTCACGACCACCACCGGTGGCACCGCCGTCGGCGGCGGGGGCGGGGGAGGCGCGTGGCGGGCGGAGGAGGGAGGGCGGAGTGCTGACGCGGACGGCGCCTGGTGGCAGTGAGGGGGCGGGGGAAGGGGAGTGAGGGGACGGGGCTGGCTGCGACTTGCGCGCGAAGAAACGAGAGAGGGTCGCCTGGCGCTTCATGGCTTCACGGCATCACAGCGTAACAGAGACATGGACCGATCAGGCAGAGCAAAAACTGAGTTATAAATGATTATTGATATTTCCCACATCAGACATGGGTGCTTGGTCTAGTGGTATGATTCTCGCTTCGGGTGCGAGAGGTCCCGAGTTCGATTCTCGGAGCACCCCAGTCTTTATGTTTCCTTCTTGCCCAAAACGGGCTGTTGAATTTTTCGTTAGGGCCATTTTCCGCCACATCTGATTGTAGTGTCCGAATCTCCGCCGCTCTCAGCCACCTCCTCGAAATTCGCCCCGCTTTAGACGCCCCACCCCACCTCCTTCCCCCCCCCCACCCCCCCCCCCCCTTACACATATTGCAGCGTTCTAGTAGGCTTCTCGGATTGCCACGCATTTCGCGCAGCGATAGGGGAATCCCGCGGATGTGAGGCGCTCTCACTCTCGCTCGACCAGCCATATCTTGCGACATTCGGTCGATTCTATTTTGGCGGAGACTGGCATTTTTTGGTCGCGCTCTCTTTCTCTCCTCGCCAGCCCACCAGTGCGCGTGACGTTTGAACTCAAAGCCCCTTGAGGCGCCTCTTGAAACCAGCCCAGCCACCCGCCCAGCCGCCCAGCACACAGGGTGTTTTTGAGAATTCTCACCAGCCCACCCGCCCAGCACACGCGGCCATGGATCTGACGTCTCCGATCCGCCTCGCCAATGGCGTCGCCGTTCCCCGCCTCGCCTGTGCGACCTCCCTCGCTTTCCCATTCCTTCCTCCTCCGTTCTCTTCCCCATCCCCCCCTTCCGCTCTTGGCCTCCCCCATCCCCCCCATCCCCCCCATCCCCCCCATTCCCCTCCCCATTTCCCGCAATGCCTGCGCACTACCCCTACCACTCAGCCTTTCCGCCTCTCCCATATTCTCTCACACCACCCCCCCCCCCCCTCGTTGGTGGTTTCCCCCATCCCCGCCTGTGTGTTTGTGAGTGCATGCATGCATGCATGCAGTGGGCACATTCAAGGCCAAAGGCGGGGAGGTGAAGGAGGCAGTCAAAGCAGCGCTGGCAGCTGGGTACAGGCACATAGGTGAGCAGCATGTTACGCTGTTACGCTCAAGAACACAAGCATCCCTGGGGGTATTAGCTCCCGGTTCTAACCCATATGCCGCCCATCTGCCACCCATATGCCTCCCATATGCCACCCATATGCCACCCATATGGCACCCATATGCCACCCATATGCCACCCATATGCCACCCATCTGCCACCCATCTGCCACCCGTATGCCTCCCATATGCCACCCATCTGCCACCCATATGCCACCCATCTGCCACCCATCTGCCACCCATATGCCTCCCATATGCCACCCATCTGCCACCCATCGGCCACCCATCTGCCACCCATCTGCCACCCATATGCCTCCCATATGCCACCCATCTGCCACCCATCTGACACCACCTCCCGTGTGCAGACACGGCGTCGATATACAAGAACGAGGCGGAGATAGGGGAGGCCATCAGGGAGAGCGGCATGGCGAGGGACGAGGTGTTCATCACCTCCAAGGCCTCGCCCTACGAGCATGGGTGAGTGTGGGTGAAGGTGGGTGAGTGTGGGTGAAGGTGGGTGAGTGTGGGTGAAGGTGGGTGAGTGTGGGTGAAGGTGGGTGAGTGTGGGTGAAGGTGGGTGAGTGTGGGTGAAGGTGGGTGAGTGTGGGTGAAGGTGGGTGAGCGTGGGTGAGGTTTGCCTCGGAATATTCCTTTCAAATGGACCTTGACTAGTCGGACATGGTGCAACCTCATTCCCTCCGCACCCTTCGCCCATCTCATTCTACACCCTCCACCCGTCTCACTCATACACTCTGCTCTCTCCGTCTCTACTCTCTCCTCCCCCACACCGCCCAGGTTCCAGCAGGTACTTGCAGCGTGTGCTGCATCATTGGAACGCCTGCAGACAGACTATCTGGTGAGTATATGTGTGGGTATGCGTGCGCGATACGTGCATGCATGTGTTTGCGTGTGCGCATGCGCGCTGCTGTGCTCATGCGTGCTGCTGTGCTCCTTTTCCTTTTTCCCCTCCATCACGATCGGCTCACTCTTCTCTCTCCTCCGTCTCCCACTCCCATGTTCCCTGCCCCTTCCGCCCTCCCAGGACCTGTACCTGCTCCACTGGTGCGTGCGCTTCTCATGCCAGCACCCTCTTTCAGCACCCTCTCTCAGCACCCTCATGTCATCCGCTGCTGCGTTCCACCATCTATTGCCTCCAACGCCACTCCCTCCCATTCTCATGACCCCCTTTGTGTCTTCCTTGCTTCGTCCAAACTGATCTCCCCCTCCTCCTCTCCCTGGTACCACGCTTGAAAGACCACATCGATGAATCTGTCTGCCTCTTCTCTGCCAATCTCCCCCCCTTCCTCTCCTCTCCTCATTCCCAGGCCTGGAGTGGCAAAGCTAGACAGGTGAGGGGCAATGCTGAGATTCGGTCGGGCCTGGAGCAGTAAATGCCCATCTTAGTCCACCTCGTTTCCGTTTGCACACGGCAATCCACACATATCTCCGATTCCACTTGTGCCCCCCTAAGCTTCCTGCTGTGCTGGTTTCCTTACCATAACAGAGCATCTGAGAGGAATGCTGAGGTCCGGCTGGAGTCATGGCGCGCTCTGGAGCAGCTGCACAGAGAAGGTGAGCAGCGGGAGGGGAATGGGGGGGAGAGGGGAAAAGGGAAGAAGGAGAGAGAGAGAGTAGAGGAGGGGAGCTGACTTACGAATCATGGCGCGCTCTGGAGCAGCTGCACTGGAAAGGTGAGCAGGGGGGGAGGGAACGGAGGAGAGAGGGGAGAAGGGGGAAGAAGAGAAGAAGGGGAGCTGACTCAAGAGTCATGGCGCGCTCTGGAGCAGCTGCACAGAGAAGGCGAGCGGGGGGAGGGGAGTGGGGGGGAGAGGGGAGAATGAGGAGTCAAAGAGAAGGGGATGTAGAGGAGGAGACGAGTCATGGCGAGCCCTGGAGCAGCTGCACAGAGAAGGTGAGGAGGGGCAACAAGAGCGGCGAACAGAGCGGTGAACGGAGGAGAGAGGGGAGGAGGGGCAACAAGAGGGGAGTTAGAGGTGGTAAGGGTGGGAAATGAGTCAACTCACGTTGTACTCCCTGCACCTTCTCATTTCTCACCTCTCACATCCCCTTAACCCCCTTGCCGGCCCGTAACCCCCTTGCTGCCCCTTAACCCCTTGCCGTCCTGTAACCCCCTTGCCCCCCTGATTCACATCTTCTCTCAGGCAAGTGCCGCACCATTGGAGTCAGCAACTTCACTGCCGCCCATCTCGACCACTTGATGACAAACTCCGCCACCCCACCATCTGTCAACCAGGTGGAGGTGCACCCTCTGCTGACTCAGCGTGCGCTGCGGGCCCACTGTGCTGAGCGCGGCATCTGTGTGGCGGCTTACTCCCCTCTGGGGTGTGGCCAGGTGGGTGCCTGTCGCTACGCTACCAGGTGGGCCTCTGTTGTTACCAGATGGGTCACTGTTGCGACCAGGCAGGTCTCTGTTGCTACCAGGTGGGCCTCTGTTGCGACCACGTAGGTCCCTGCTGTGCCCAGGCGAGTGACAGGTGCGTTCACACGTTACCCATACGAAACTGGTGACAGGAGCAGGCTACTGTCCTTATCTCCAGCCATAACCCTCAAGCAACTGTCCTTGAGGATTGCTGCTGCAACATCCCCTAGATTGCATGCGATTGTACTTTTTTTCTCCTTTCAACTTGGGCTGAATCTCTAGCAATCTTCCTGCGCCACTCTGTTCTCGCGGTCTTCTTGTGTTGTGTTCAGCTCCTGCAGCATCCGACCGTGCTGCAAGTGGCTCAGAAAGTTAGCCAATCAACTGCTCAAGTGCTGCTGAGGTGGAGCCTGCAGCATGGAATGGGTATGTTTTCTGCCTAATCCATCAAGTGCTGCTTCTCTTTTTTTCGCGTGCATATCATATGCCAATACCTATCCCCTCCTCCCCCCTTCCTCCGTTTCGTGGCAGTTACTATTCCCAAGTCGGTGAACCCAAATCGAATTAGAGAAAATGCAAACATATTCAGCTTTGCGTTGGACAAGGAAAACATGGAAGCATTGGATGCACTAGATGAAGATCACCATTTCTGCTGGTCACCCATTGGCATTGCCTAGTGATATGATGGACGCTTTCCTTATTCTCTTGTATCTGTAAGTATGTTATGTAAAATGTGCCCTACCTAGAAGTGATTCAAGCGCGTACAAACTGCCAAGTTCGAGAGGGGGGGAGGGACCACTTTCGCGGGCCAGCGTGGCCTGTGCCACGCCAGCAGCCCCTCTTCCATGAGCTGGCCAACTTCCAGGTTCTGTCTGCTTGGGCCCATGCCAGCCCCCCTCCGCCAGCTCTCTGCTCTCCCCCGCTTCCTGGTTGTCCTTCCGCGGCCTTCTCCGTCGCCATTTGCCAATTGGCTTCCTCCTCTCCATTCCTCCCTTGAATTGCTTCCAGGGTCAGACAGAAGAGCAATTTCTAAAGCCGTTCGTACCTTTCGTGCATTCATCTCTGAGCGAAGCAGCTGTCTCGTCAGACTATCTTTCGCATCCGTTCTGCTTTCGAGCTTGCCTCGTCTTCGTCAGGGCCAGGCAGGTTTGGGTTAGGCCGATTACGTGAGCAAGACGCCATGCAGGCCCCCACGGTTGATGCGGAATATCTGAAGGAGATTGAGTCGGTCAGGCGGGACTTGCGAGCGTTGATTGCGGAGAAGAACTGCGCTCCTCTTATGCTTCGCTTGGCGTAAGATCGCTGGGCTTCGCTATTTTGAAAGTATACCGTGTATCGTATTTGTGTACAATGCGATAGTAATTCTGTTTCTGCGCACTTCAATTCAGGTTCCATGATGCTGGTACTTATGACGCGAAGACAAGAAGCGGTGGCCCGAACGCGTCGATTAGAAGCGAGTTGGAGTACACGCATGGCGGGAACGCGGGGATGAAGATAGGCATCGATTTGCTTGGTGAGCTTACAGAGAGTTCTTACAGATTTCTGGGCTAATGAAGCCTTGGCTCTGAATTTAGTGGTTCTTGTCTGCAGAGCCGGTCAAGGCGAAGCATCCACGAGTATCATACGCTGACATATACCAGGTGCGATCATGGTCTGGACCTTTTGAGTTGTGGTGCACATTTGAGGCGATTTTTATTATTCAATGGCGTCTAACTCTCTGTTGCTTTGATTGAGCAGCTTGCTGGCGTGGTAGCTGTCGAAATTACTGGAGGCCCCGTCATTCCCTTCAAGCCCGGCCGGAAGGTGAGGATTGAGCACGTGTCCGTTTTGTGTTGGTGTGAATTATCGTGCTCACTCTCAAAATGTTCAATGGCTGGCTGGGTGGTTGTGCAGGACTCCCTGGCCGTGACTCCTGACGGCCGGCTGCCAGATGCACATAAGGGTGGGTGAAGCCAGGCGAACATTGTCTGCGCCTGTTTCTCTCAATAAGCCCTTTGTGGTATTTATGGATTTGTAGTTGTTCCCTGGAGCATACGACTCCTCATTCCTTACGCTTTCGTTCTGTTTCAGGATCTCAGCACCTAAGGGAGGTGTTTTACAGAATGGGGTTCAACGATCAAGATATAGTCGCATTGAGCGGCTCACACACTCTGGTAAGTTTCCGGTCAAGCATGCATGCTTCCAGGCGTATAAGGCATCCTCTAATGACACTCTGTCAAATGCGCATGCAGGGACGTGCTCACAAGGATCGTTCAGGCTTCGAAGGAGCATGGACGGAGCAACCACTGAAGTTTGACAACACTTACTACGTGTGAGTTCAAACAGCTGAAACAGAAATTGAACAAATAGTTTTCTGTGGTGCAAAAAGTTGCCCTTGACCAGTGCCTATGGGATAACCAGTGATCATTCCCTGTGCCCGTGTTGATGCTGCCAGTGAGCTCATGAAAGGAGATGCTGCGGGACTGCTCAAGCTTCCCACAGACAAGTGCCTTGTAGAGGACCCCAAGCTCCGTCCATTTGTTGAACTGTATGCCAAGGTAAGTGGATTTTAAAGGTCTTGGCAGTTACTATGTGTCCTTAAGCAAGTTGGGACGAAGTGTATTTACCTCTGGTGTGTGCTGCCTTCTGTTGGAGCTGCAGGATGAGGAGGCGTTCTTTAGGGACTACACAGCAGCGCACAAGAAGATGTCCGAGCTTGGCTGCAAGGACACTTCTCCAGCGTTCTGGGAAGCTGAGGCAGCAGCCAAGGAGACTGTTAGTGCGTCCACCATCCTAGCCCAAAGCGCATTTGGCTTTGTTGTCACTGCTGGAGTTCTCGTACTTGGGTACCTGTATGAGCTGCGGCGGAAGGCCAAGTAAACTCCAGCATTTTGTGATGTCCTACGTTGTCACTACATCGGGAACACTTTTCAGTTCTCCTGGAGAGCATGGGTTAGCTACCTACCTGGTGTCTAATCAGGGTTCATGCATTTGGTATGTGGTATGCACCCTTATGTTGATGCTTATCAAGACAGGTGTAGCTGTTCCGAATCCATGTGTAAAACATGGCACGTGGGCATAATAGCTTACTAAAGCACATTCTTTCATGTGCAAATAAAGAGATTTCACAAGGGATAGTAAGTAGTTTTACGAATGTAAAATAGTTGATCTGCACATAAGAAAGTTCCCTACGGTGGTTTGTGCCGCAGAGACACCATAACACATTGCAGCGGAGACAGCCGCCAAAGTTTGAACTTACTAGAACCTTCGAGCGCGTCATTGGTTTGGCGCGAAACTGTGTCCAGTGAGCATTCGAGGGTGTCAGAAAACCTCGACGCTAGGGTAGGATTTGCGAGCTTTTGAAATTGTCGGCCTCCTCCTGACCGTGAATCCTGATGGGTGCACTGCGGTCTGACCCCTGAGTCCATCCACCCTAGTGAGTTGTTCTCCTTCACCTCCATTCACGCCATTATCCATTTCCTTCTGAGCCCATTTTTCCAGGTTCTGTAGATAGGATACCTGATTGTTATCTTCAGCCTCCGAAGTATCTTAGATTTAGTGATGCCATGGCTCCCGCTCGAGTCGCTATACCACGATTCCGAGTAGTTTTTGGCGATAAAAAATAATACGTTGTGCAAGACTTCGAATCTACTGCTGTCCAATTCTGTTCTCTATGGTTCTGGTTCTACATCATGTTACTCCACGATTCTCTCTTAGTAAGCTCCCAGTTCCTGCTGCGTTGCGACGAGTTGGCATGTTGATATAGGCAATAGGCATTTTAAGACCAGTATCTCGCCAAGCGACCTTAGATGTCGTCCGTGATATTTTTTGGCCACTGACGACTTCTTGCGATCCTTGCGAGAAAAAGGCCTAGCCGCAGCTGGTAGAAAAAGGCCTAGCCGGAACATCTCCCGATTACGACGGGGGCTCATGCTGTTCTCAGCGAGTTTTGGATTACGCCGAATGCCGATCTCGCAAGTCCAAGTGTCGCAGTAGTTGCCTTTGTCGCCGACTGTCGAAGTATTAGCCTCTATCGCCGCGTGTCGGAGTAATAGCCTCTATCGCTGACTGTCGAAGTAGCCCCTTTGGCCAGGTGTCGCGGCACTAGCCTCTATCGATGAGTGTCGCAATACAAGCCTCTATCGCCGAGGATCGCAGTACCAGCCTCTATCGCCGAGGGTCGCAATACCAGCCTCTATCGCCGAGTGTCGAAGTACCAGCCTCTATCGCCGAGTATCGCAGTAGCAGCCCCTATCGCCGAGTGTCGCAGTACCAGCCTCTATCGCCAAGTGTCGCAGTACCAGCCTCTATCGCCGAGTATCCCAGTAGCCATTTTCGGCAGGCGTCGCAGGTTTCAACTTGTTCGGAATCCGAAGCAGCGGTTGGAGCAGCGTCAGTGTCAGCCACCAGTAGGTTGGCACCGTCAGTCAGCCGTCAGCTGCCAGCCACCACTAGGACGACACCACGAGCGGTGTCTGCAAGTCCGCAGCGGACGGAAGCCACGTTAACAGTGGTTAGAAGATTATTTCGATCCAGCGATCGGGAGCAGCTGCAGCCACGGCCGGCTCAATGTTAGTAGTGCCTCCAATTACGGCGGCATTACTGTTGCCAGCTGGCATAAGCGAGGCTGGGGACAGGCGAGGAAGCTCCGGGTCATTCCATTGACTTTTTTCAGAACTCTCAAAAAAATGACTCCGCGGGTGCTCTGGGTCATTCAGTTGATTCAGTCGTTGCGTTTGCCGGGCCGACGTTCCGAGCAGTTTCTCCAAGTAGTAGCCACGATCGGCGGCGGGGAGAAGTGTCAGCCACGATCCAACGGCGCCAATAGTGTTCGCGGCGGTGGGGAGCGGTGCTAGCAGCGATTGGGAGATGGCAACAACAGTGCTTGCCGGCCGGCGTCGCGAAGGGACGTCTCCGAATCTGGCCGTCAGGAGGGTGACGTATCAGACGTCGGGATGTGACCGTCAGGAGCAGCGAGACGCCGATCGGAAGAGGGTGCTCTGGGACGATCAGCTGGAGGTCGCGGGCAATCAGTCGGAGGTCGCAGGCGATCAGTTGGAGGTCGCAGGCGACTAGCTGAAGGTCGCTGGAGTTCTGTGGAGATCAAGGGTGCGTAAGGGAGAAGGCGAGTTGGGGGGGTCGCGTAGGCGTCTCGGACAGGATCGCATAGAGAGTCTCGCTGCTCGCTTCCTTGGCGTCCTTGTATGAATCACCCATGCGCTACTGCCTCTCTATACCCCTCCCCCTCGCTTCTCACCTCAGCGTGCATGTGTGCGAGGTGGAAAATCCGGGCTACCGCCGTCACCGCAACAGGCGTCAGTGTCCAGCCCGTGTCAGCATCGCCAGCAGTGCGTCCGAGTTCGGAGCGGCCGTCAGCAGCAGCAGTGCCTCTCTGGCAGACGCAGTAGCACGACTCACCCAGCGGATCTCACCAGTAGCGCTGGCGAAGGGCTCGCGACCTCACACGTGACTTTTCTGACTTCTCAAACGAGGACCTTGGGTCGCTCGCTTTAAGGTCGCAAGCCGTTCGACGAAGGTCGCAAGCCGTTTGGCGAAAGTCGCAAGCCATTCGACGTAGGTCACAGGCGTTGTGGCCCCTGGTACGTAAGCAGATTCGGGAGGTGGGGGGGGATCTTGTAGGCGTCGCGCCTACCAGAGTCGAGCCCTTCCTTCTTCTGCGTCTATCTTCGAGAGTACGCGTGCACCAACGCCTCTACCCCTCTCCGCCTCTCCCTTCGCTCCCCCCTGCCCCTTCCGCTCTCCTCTCTGTGTTTCCATGTGTGAGGCACCAGAATCGGGCGGGCTGCCGTCATTCGAAGGCTTCCAACAGCAGCGTTTTGCCCCTCGCGAGAGCGCGAGCAGGATTGCAAGCAGTGTTCCGCGAACGATTCTGGCCGTCAGGAGATGGACTGCTGAGCCGTTTGAGGGGCTGAGCGGATGGCCGTCAGGAGATGGACTGCTGAGCCGTTTGAGGGGCTGAGCGGATGGCCGTCAGGAGATGGACTGCTGAGCCGTTTGAGGGGCTGAGCGGATGGCCGTCAGGAGATGGACTGCTGAGCCGTTTGAGGGGCTGAGCGGATGGCCGTCAGGAGGAGCAAGATGCCTCACAAGGCGATCTCCTGTCGGACGAGGATCGCACGATGGTCGCAGGCCTTCCCTTGACGGTCGCAGGCGTTTCCACTGGCGATCGCAGGCGTTCCACTCCCTGCATGGGAACGCTGCTTGACGTTGGGGTCACGAGCTGGCAACGCGCCTACGTGGGGGATGCGAGTCGGCCCAGCGGATTCAGCAGCAGCTGCACGGCAAGGTGCGTACGAGGAAAGCGCGTTGGGGGGAATCTTACAGGCGTCACGCCTAGAGAGACGCGCTCCTCTGTTCTCTGTGTCTATCTTTGACATGATGCACGCACTAATGCCTCCACCCCCTCCTGCGCCCCCTTCCATTCCAACTTCTTCCCCATGTTCCTGCGCTATGTGCTGACATGCGCCGGGCACTGGAAGCGGACTGGCGCAAGCAGCATGGTGGCTGGCATTCAAACCCAGAGCGATCACAGCATACCTGCGCGAGGGATGCCGCTCGGCTAGAGACCAACCAGGCGTGCGGCTTCAGCAGCCTAGTGTCCTACCACAAGGCCAGGTGTGCCTGAGGAGAGGGGCGTTGGGGGGGGGGTCTTGTACACGTCGCGCCTAGAGAGTCCCGCTCCTCTGTTCTCTGTGTCGATCTCGAGATGTGCGTGCGTTAACGCCCCTGCCTCCCTCCCCATCCCCCCCTCTCCCCCCCCCCTCTCCCCCCCCCCTCTCCCCGCTCCCAACTGTGTGCTAATGCATGCGCTGAGGCGCTGAGACTCGGGAAGTGAACTGGCATGAGCTGAGGCGCTGAGGGGGAGTCCACACTGATGGGGTGCAGACATCAGCGAGCAGCAGCAAGGGTTCGTAAGAGGAAAAGGAGGTGGGGTTTCGTGCAGAACCGCCTAGAGAGATTCGAGTCTCGTTGGTTTTTGCTGTGTCAATCCTGATGTGCACGTGCACTAACACCGTTACCCTCTCTCCTCCTCTGCCCCGTCGCCTTTCTCCCGCCCCCGTCGCACACATCCGTCTGTGTTCATCTGTTTGCGCCACAAGAGCTGAGCTCGACACACAAGGGCAGGAGCCCTTCTCTCTCACGGGATGCTGAGGCATGGGATGCTGCACGACAAGGGTGCGAGAGCAATCTGAGGCGAGCATTCGAGCTGATGAGGCGCAGACAGCAGCGAGCAGCACCAAGGGTTCGTAAGAGCAAAGGGGAGGTTGGGGGGCGTGCAGGACCGCCTAGAGAGTCGAGTCCCGTTGCTTTTCGTTGCGTCGATCCTGGTGTGCGCATGTACTAATGCCAGTACCCCCTGTCCGTCTCTCCCCCTTCGCCTACTCCTGCCCCCTCTCCCCCTCCCCCCCTGCCTTTCCCACTCCCCTCTCTGTGTTTCACAAGCAAAGTCGGTAAAGCAAGGGCGGGCGGGGGGAGGGCAAGCTAGGCCGCACCCACCTGAGGCGCACTCACCAGCGAGCAGCAGGAAACAAGGTTTTGTGAAACGAAGTGGGGGTGGGGGGGTCACGCAGGACGGTTCTCCTCTCGATGGTGGCGTGTGTGTGGCCGGCTGGGTGATAAGGCACTGGCACCAATGGCAGGCAGCACTGGCGGCACTGGCGGCAGCAGCACCTGCAGCAGTGTGCTGCCCTGTCGGAGATGGGGAGGCCAAGTCTTGGTAAGTGTGGGGGCAGAGCTTCCAGGGGGGGGGATGAGTTGACAGAGCGCCCGCCTAGGGCGTCTCTATCCCAGTCCTTCTGCTGCCCGAGTCTTTGCATGCCGCTCTCCTGGCCTAAACCCCCATTTGGTGTGGTTGCCTGTGCTTGTGGCTGCAGTGGGGGGATGTGGTGGAGGGATGTGTGGGAGGGATGTGGGGGGGGGATGCTGCATGGGCTGCTGCTGCAGCCCTACACCAAGACCAGCTTAGTACCCCTCCTCACTCTCCCTCGCTCCCCCCCCTCATTCTCACTGACCAACTCCCCCCCCCCTTCCCCTCCCCCTCCCCCCCCTCACGCTTTGAATATTCCTTTTTCATTCGCTGCTTTGCTTTGTTTCTTTTCTCGCTTCTCACTCATCAAATTTATGCCACTGATAGTGGCAGCCACCAGCCTCAGACCATGCAGGTAATCCCCCAGGTGTTTTCTCAGGTAACCCCCCTGGTGTGTTATCAGGTATCCCCCAGGTGTGTTTTCTCAGGTACCCCCCCTGCAGCTCAAATTGCTGAATCCCCCTTGGCCAGTGGCTGGTAAGTAGTGGTGCCCTCATCTTTCCGCCCCTCTTGCCCCCTCCCCCCTCTTTCGCCTCTTCCTGCCGCTCCCCTTGTCCCGTGCTCTGTGTTGTCTGCTCAAGAATCCTTGTTGCCCTGTTTGTTTTTACCCTATCTCCGCGTTTTGAGGCCTCTCACAACCTGTTTGTCTATCTTTGTTCATCTGGAATCACCACCGCAATCGGGGGGAGAGGGAGGGTATGGAGGGGTGAGAATCAACCAGAGGTGAGCCTGCTGCGTTGTCGGTGATTCTGCCTGCCTGCTGCGTTGTGAGTAGGACGCTAGCCTGCTGCCCATCTTCCATTCTTCTTCTTTCGCCAACTCATCACTTCCTTGTAATTTATCCCTCCCTCCTGCCCTCACTCCTCTTCTCTCCTCCCCTTTCTTCCCCCCTGCGTCCCCCCCCTAGCACCTTGCTTGGTGCTACCGGGAAGCATCGGTGGGAGTGCAAGGGAGAGTATGGGAGGGTAGAAGGCAGACCAGAGTGAGCGCTCGCCCTATGCGTCAGTTGTTTTTGCTGTGCATCCTTCTGTTCGTCCGTTGCCCATCTTGCGTTGCTTTCTTTCTGGTGAGCTCTTCTTACCTAATTATCCCTGCCTCCTGCACTCACTCCTCTTCTCTGTTCCCATCCCCCCCCCTCCCCCCCCGCCCCTTGATTCTCCCTAACAGCTTGCTTGATGCTAGCTTGCCGAAGCAGTGTGGTTGGTGGAAGGTGGAAGAGGGAGAGTGCCGGGGATAGAAACAACCAAAGGCGAGCCGACTTTTGAGTCGACTCAAAAGGCGACTTTTGAGTCGACTCAAAAGGCGAGCCTCACTTCTTGCACCAGTACCAGCTAAGTACCCTCCTCACTGTATCTACCCCCTCACTCTTCCCCTCCGTCACACTAATCGACCCCCCGACTCCCCCCCCACCCGTCCAACACCCCAAGTTTTCAGCTTGGCTTTATCCGTTACTGCTCTTACTTTACCTTGCTTTCGTCGTTCGCTGCCTCTTCCCCCCTCTCACTCCTCGCTGTAATCACGCCCCTGATAGCAGGAGCCCACCGGCCACAGCCATGCAGGTACCCCCCAGGTGTTCTCTCTGGTAACCCGCCAGGTGTGTTCACAGGTAACCCCCCAGGTGTGTTTTCTCAGGTAACCCCCCAGGTGTGTTTTCTCAGGTAACCCGCCAGGTGTGTGCAGGTAACCCCCCTGTTTCCCGTCATCTTTCCCCTCCCCCTTTCCCCCCTCCTCCTCTTGCCCCTCCTTTCGCCGATGCCTGCCCTGCTGTCTGTTGTCTGCGCAGAATTCCTCCCTGCCTTGTTTGTTTCGACTCTATCTTCTCCTTTTGAGACTTGTTCCTGTTCATCAGCAGCAACTGCTCCTTATGAGCTGCCTGCAAGCTATCCCGTCGCGTCTCTCTTCCTCGTTCTCCCCATCTCCTGTCCCTCCCCCACAAATCTTCCTAGAAGCTCACGTGATACTACCTGGAAGCACCACTGCATCTGGTGGCCAAGAGAGGGAATGGGACAGTGGCAATCGACCAAGGTGAGCTTCCCGCTATTGTGCACCTCCACCATGAAGCTCTATCCCATCCTCTCCCTCCCTCCCTCCCTCCCTCCCTCCCTCCCTCCCTCCCTCCCTCCCTCCCTCCCTCCCTCCCTCCCTCCCTCCCTCCCTCGCTCCTATCCCTCCTCTCCCTCCAGCATGCTTCACCTCTTTCTCGTTTGCTTGCTCTTGTTTACGTGCTGCCCGTTGTCCCTCGTTGCTTTCCGCTTCATCTCGTCCCTCCAATTTGCCCCCCCCTTCAGCACTCACTCCCGCTTCTCTCCTCCCTCCCTTTCCTACCAGGCTACCCCCCTTCTTCCTCCTCCTACTGTTTACCTCTTCCATGCTTCACCTCTCTCTGGTTCGCTTGCTATGGTCTATGGTTCGCCAGCTGCCTCTCGAACTCATCTCTTCCTCATTGCGTACCACTTCACCTCTTCCTCATTGCGTACCACTTCACCTCTTCCTTGCCAGGTTCCCCTTCCTCGAGCACCCACGCCTCTTATCCCTCCCTTTCCTCCCCCCCCCCTTCCTCTCCCTAACAGCTCCTTTGGAAGCATCAGAAGGGGATGCGGTGGATGGATGTGGGAAGGCTGCTGCCCTACACGTGGGAAGGCTGCTTGGGCAGATCCAGAACCACACTAACATGCCTGTATACCTGGAATCTTATCCCCTCTATTCCTATCCCCTCTATCACTATCCCCACTATCCCTATCCCCTGTATCCCTATCCCCTGTATCATTATTCTACCGTTATCCCCACTACCACTATCCCCCATATACCTATCCCCATTCCCCTCATTTCTATCCCCATTATTCGTATCCCCTCAGTCCCAATTTCCTCTATCCCTATCCCCTCTATACCTATCCCCTCTATCCCTATCCTCACTGTATCCATCCCTGCAACCCCTATTCCATCTATTCCATCCCCCCTATTGCTATCCCCCCTACTCCTATCCCCGCTATCCTTATCCCTGCTGCTCCTGTCCCTTCGACCCCTCCTATCCCTCGTATCCCATCTGTTCTTGTCCCCAATACCCCTGTCCCCTCTATGTCTATCCCCTCTATCCCTACCCCCCTATCACTCTCCACTCTATCCCTCACCTCATGTACCCCGTTCCCTCATCCCCTGTCACCTCTGATCACCCCCTATTACCCCCTATCACCCCAAATCACCCCATATCACCCCCCTATCACCCCAGATCACCCCGTATCACCCCCTATCACCCCCCATCAGCCCCTGCCACGCCCTATCACCCCCCATCAGCCCCTGCCACGCCCTATCACCCCGTATCACCCCCTATCACCCCCCATCAGCCCCTGCCACGCCCTATCACCCCGTATCACCCCGTATCATCCCCTATCACCTCTCATCACCCTGTGTCACTCCCTATTACCCAGTATCACCACGTATCACCCGTATCGCCCCCTATCACCCCTTATCACACACTATCACCCCCCATCACCCCTTGTCATCCCCTATGACGTTGTATCCCGCTGTTATCCCTGCCATCCCTCCTGTCCCTGCTATTTCTCCTTTCCCCTCCTATCCCTCCTACCCCTGCTGTCCCTGCGATACCTGGTATCCCTGCTGTCCCTCCTATCCCTGCTATGCTATCCCCCCCCATGCATGCCCCCCTATGCATCCACCCCCATGCATCCCCCCCTATGCATAATGCATCTCCCCCCCATGCATGCCCCCCTATGCATCCACCCCCATGCATCTCCCCCAATGCATCCACCCCCGTGCATCTCTCCCTCTGCATCCCCCCCATGCATCCCCCCCATGCATCCCCCCCATGCATCCCCCCCATGCATCCCCCCCTATGCATCCACCCCCATGCATCTCCCCCTATGCATCCACCCCCATGCATCCCCCCCTATGCATCCACCCCCATGCATCTCCCCCTAAGCATACACCCCCATGCATCCCCCCCTATGCATCCACCCCCATGCATCCCTCCCTATGCATTCCCCCCTATGCATCCCCCCCAATGCATCGCCCCTATGCATCCCCCCCTATGCATCCCCCCCTCTGCATCCCCCCCTATGCACCCCCCCCTATGCATCCTGCCCTATGCATCCCCCCCTATGGATCCCCCCCTATGCATGCTATGCATCTCCCCCTATGCATCCCCCCCCTATGCATCCCCCCTATGCATCCCCCTCGATGCATCCCCACCTATGCATCCCCCCCCATGAATTCCCCCCCTATGCATCCCCCCCCTCAGTTCCTTCGATTGGCTCCGTCCCTAACACCTCTTTTTCTATGTAATCTATCCTTAGCCCCTCTTATCACAATCGCAACTATCTTTATCCCGTGTAAAACCTCTATTGTGGACTTGTCTTGATAAAACACTCAGCTCGCACCCCAGTAGTGTGGGTGACTACGGGCTTCATTTAAGCACCGTAATTTGTAGGAGCTTGTCGATATTTAGGTTTAAGTAATATAGTTACCTTCCATTCTCTATTTCGTTTTTCTCCTCGTAACGTTTAGCCTCGCGAAAGTACAACATGTCCACATCTTTTGCATGTGCCCACTGGAGCTGGCGCGGGGCGCAAACCTCCCAACTCCATTTTGACATAATTGATCCGAGCTTTAGTAAAGTTTACCCGCATTCCCCGCGTTATCAGCTTCAGTAAAGTTTACTTCTAGATCGCTACGTCTCTCCCTTGCTCTATTTTAGCTCCATTCCTCGTTGCCAAGCAGCCCCATGGCAGCGCCTCGCCTTCAGGCCGTCCACGTGACGCGGCTCGCTTAATCCACGCGCCCTTGGCGGCCGAGCCGCGCGCGATGGACGGTCCGGTCGCCCGAGCGTGGCGGCGACGGCGATTCCGTCGCCGCGTTGAACGGGCCTCATCGCCGCATCGAGCGGCTTCAGCGTGTAGAAGGGGATCCGACGCCCTTCCGCACGCGCCCAGCGTGGGGGCGACGTGTGAAAGGGGATTCGCAGATCGAGCGAGGTCGAGCGAGGTCGAGCGAGGTGGAGCGAGGTCGTGTTTGATCCGACAAGTACGCAGCTGTGCGCGGGCCCGCTTTCAAGAGGCCTCTCCTGTCGAGAGATTTCAGCAAGGATTTAAACGGCCGTGCGAGATTAAACTCCGTGCGCCTCCTAGTAAGGAAGAATAGTTTTTATTAGAATCGTGCTTTCGGACGCAGCGTTAGCACCGTCGCAGGCGTCGCAGGATGGAGTGTGTCGCCTTGAGCGGGCGAGGGGTGGGTCAGCGAGTCGTGAGCGTGCGATTCATGCGACGGATGATGCTCGTCGCCGTGGCTGCGACCACCGTGCTGCTCCACTCTGCCGCGCTGGCGAGTGCCGAGCCCACCTCTCCTGCTCCCAGCCCCTCGCCGCTTCCGCCGCCCGTGTCGTCGCGCGTCCCTTCGTCCCTTCCTTCCGCTGACTCCACCCCTCGCAACAACTGCACTTGTCCCCCCCCTCCCAAGCTCACCCCGTGCTCCCACAACCATACAGTCACCACCGTTTCAAGCACACCCGCTCGTCACCACGCGTCCCACAGACGCCATGTCAAGCGCGAAGACACGTCACCCCCCGATAATAGCACAATTTCCAGCCTTGGCAGCTCGCCCACCTCTTCACCTGCCAACTGCAGCAGCAGCAGCGCCGGTCAAAACCCTAACAGCAGCAGCAGCAGCAGCGGCAACAGCAGCAAGTGTGGCAGCGGCGTGCAGCATGTTTCTGAGACGTCAGCAAAGGGGGATCCGCACCTGGTGGGGCGGCACGGAGAGAAGTTTGAATTCCACGGCCAGGATGGCGCGAGCTACTGCCTCGTGACGGATCGGACGGTCCAGATCAACATGCACCTGTTTGCTGGCGCCAAGAAGGGAAGCACGGTGAGACAAGCAACTCAAGGTAGGTGGCAATGGGAGATTAATCTTAGTACTAAATCTTAGTACTTACTGTGCCTCTCTCTGCTCTTCCCACCCTGTAGTTCCCACCTGCGCCATCTGACATTCACTGTCCTCCCTTCCTTCCTGCAATCGTCGCTCATTTGCTTGCAGTACATTGATGAGATTGGGGTGGTAACCCGTTCAGGCATCCGCATCGTCGTCTCTGCACAGTCAGCAGCTGACGTGTCACCTCAGGGAGTGCAGGGCCAGCTGGAGGTGAACAGTGCATCGCTGCCAGACGACATCCTGACCATCGATCTGCTCCGGCATACGGTTAGGATCGATCGGCGCAAGACGAGTGTGCGGGTGCGCGTGCGAGGGGTGGTGGATCTGACGGTTGACATTCTTCCGGACTTCTCACGCCAGTCCCGTCCCAACTATGTGAGTTCCGCTATTGGCATAGCGCCCATGAGAGAGCCTCCATGAGAGACAAAGGTGATGCACGACACCAAGACTGAAGTGATGTATCATACCAGCAAAAATTGTCAATCCCTTGACTGGGATTGTCATGCCTCAAGTTTCTGGTACTGGTATCTCATTCCCCATATCCACCACCTGACCATCCGTCCTTCCTTCGCCCTTCCCCAACCGATCCTCCCATCCCCCCCTTCTTCCCCGCCTGCAGCTGAACATTCGCATCCGCAGCCTGCATGCATCGCGCAAGGTGCACGGCATCATAGGGCAGACGTACCAGGACTCCGCTGTGCGACTGGACAGATTCAATGAATCTCAAAGCAAGAACGGCCCGGCCAAGGAGCGGGCCATCATAGATGGGAACGAGGATGACTACAGGACATCAGGTGTTCTGAAAGCTGATTGCAAGTTCCAGCAGTTTGGGAAGAAACCTGCCAGTCACAGCCATTAAGCGTACCGGTAGGTAGTGCTTGAAACCATAGCTGGGTCTTGTTATCGCTCTGTTGCTCCGCTGTGAGTGGAGCTGCTAGTAAGTAATCCTTAGGAGGAATCATATCCACATCTAGTGTAGTACAATCTAGCTGCTGCCATTTTGAACGGTACTGTAGATAGAGGTGTGCAACAGGACAGCCTCATGTCTTCTTGTCCTTCTCTGCCTCCTAGATGGTAGGCTGTTGTCTGGAGTACACTCAATCACATGTCACAAATTGATGACGTGGCACAGTTCATATGAATCGTGACACATGATGAGCCATAAAGAATCACAACTCACACCAAGAGCTGGTATGAACGGAGCATGTCGTAACATTCCTAGTGTATACTGTTGCATGTCACCATTCCTTCGTTTTTGGTATCGTATACAGAGTTGATCCTTCCAAAACAGCTCCCTGCCTTCGCGTGTTTCCCTGGAAATTCCTGAGGGTCATAGCAAATGCATGTCTCCGGTCTCCTGGCAATGTGTTATCCAGGGTTAATTCCCCTTGAGCATTGCGAGCAGAGCATCGAGGTCCAGCTTGCCTGCACCAGCTGGTCCCAAGTTGTAGGCAGCATACGCTGCTGCTGCTGCCACGGCCACCAGAGCAGCTGACACCACAACACAGCTCGCCCCAGAAGCAACCTTTCCTTGCAGCTTCCTGGCCGCTGCATCGGCGCTCTGGATGTCCTTTCGTCGCGCTATTTGGCCGTCGTCCAACTCCTCCAATGCAGCGACGTGCTGAGGATGATGGGGAGCGAGAGGTGGGAAAGAAGAGGAGGTGGAATAGAGGGGTGTGGAATGAAAGTGTGCGACGTGAAGGGTGTGGGACGGGATGACGAGGAAGCGAGTGGCCAGAAATGCTAGTTGTTCCGAGCTCAAGCATGCCCAATGCACCTTCTTGCGGATGGAGGCGAGAAACTTGCACAGATGGTCGAAGGGGGCGAGCCGGGTCATGCAACGGGGCATGAGAGGCAAAACACAGGAGCCCATGTTGCACCTTGCAACATATGCCACACAGCAAGCAGCAGCACATACCTTCTTGCGGATGGAGGCAAGGAACTTGCGCAGATGGTCGAAGGGGGCGAGCTGGGTTTTGACGGAGGGCCACGAGCGAAGCACGTGGGTGAGGAGCAGCGTGCTCGTGGCGTGGTCCTCCGCATGATGCCGCTCCTGCAGGAAATGGTGCAGAAAATGGAGATAAAGTCAGCAACGCCGAGCAAAAAGTAGATAGCTACACTACAGCGGGGTTCAGGTGAATGGAAGGTATGACAAGAAACAGGCAGAATGAGACACGGAACAAACATAGAAACTCACCCATTGCAGGTAGCAGTCGGGGTTTTCTGCCAGGCACCAGACAAAGAGGCTGCTGGCCTCCTGGGAGAGCGCTTCAGGCTCTGAAATGAGTGGGAGGGTGGAGGGAAGGACGGGCAGGCAAGCAGGCACCGCGAGGCGCAGCACAGGTGAGAATGGTCGGCTGAGCACAGTCACAAGGAGAGCACGGAGAGAGCACCAGGTGCCAAGAAACACAGACAGCGGTCACCGGTGCCTTCCAGCATTCTTACATACAGATATAGTACCTTTCCCTGGTTTCTTGAGCGGCCTAAAGCACAGACCCCTGCCACCGTACCTTCGCCTGCTGCTCGGAACATCAGCGGCAGCAGCTGGGTAGCGACAGCCTTGGTGGACTTGGTTCGGCCCGAGCCTGCGAGCGTGATGTCCTTGATGGTGGGGTAGAGCGCAGTAAAGCGGTCCGTGGCCTTGGTGCGCGCGGAGTTGAGAGGGAACGCGAGGCGCAGGAACTGGTCCAGAGTGGCGAAGGGCACCAGGCGCTCGCCCTTGCGGAAGGCGCCGTTCAGAAGAATGGCCTTGGCCTTGCGCTCGTTGCCTCGCAGCAGCACACTGGCGCGGAGGGGGGGCGAAGAGGGGCGGGCAGGTACAGTGATGGGGGGGGGGATGTGATGATGAGAGGAATGGGAACCTATGACACTGAATCAACCTATAGCGAATCCTTTCCCACTGATTGCACCAGCTCGGATAATTGCTTTGATACGTGGCACTGCTTGAGGCAGTGCCACATGAACGGGTGGGTGGATTCAGGCGACGATGTGCAGAAGAGAAATGAGAGTTGGGTGAGGTAGGTGAGAGTGGCGGCTGCAGGTGGGAGATGAGGGTGGGTGGGTGGGGGGGAGTGGGGGTGGGGAGAGAAGGGAGGAGAGGGAGGAAAGAAGAGAGGACGCCTTGGACGAAAGAGGCGGGAGAGGAGCAGACGGATAGATGGCTCGCACGATTGATTGATGGAGGGAAGGCACTCACGTCTGGAAGTAGGTGAGGGTGACGTCGCGGCCCACAGGCGAGCCCTGCTTGCCTGACGTGAAGGGCATCAGATTTGTCACCAGCAGCGACATGCCCGACACCAGGTCCACCATTGCCACCTGCACGCACGCGGCACAATGATGAAGTTATGAATCAGGTGCGCTCAGAGTTGACACAAAGCCAGCAGACCCATGCCTGACCAACACCAGATCCGCCACTGCCACCTGCATGCACGTGGCAGCCATACAGTGGACTGTGGGGGAAGACAGCATGAGTGAACAGACACATGAACACAGGGGCCTGTCCATCCCAATTGACACACAAGAGTGAAGTCAACGGTCAGGAACTCACCTGGCCGTACATCCAAGCGAGCACGGGCAGCCTGTCCTGCCCCAGGCACCCGGGGTCCGTGCGAATGGTGTCTGCCGCCTGTAGCATGACGTCAGGCCGTCGCCTCAACAGCAGCACGAGCAGCACCAGCATGCCGACCTGCAAGGGAGGAACATTCAAACAAGGTGCGAAATGCAGAGAACCGCGAGCAAGGTGCATGATGCAGAGGATTTTTTCAGGATGCGTGAATGGTTCTTTTATGGTTCTTTAAGGTTCTTCCCAACAAGCATGGGTCCCAACAAGCATGGGTCCCAACAAGCATGGGTCCCAACAAGCATGGGTCCCAACAAGCATGGGTCCCAACTTTCATGTTATGGTCATCTGGTTTCGTAGTCCGTTTCGCTACCTCTCTACTTCGGGTAAAAACCCTGAACCATCCAATGCAAAATTTTACTTTTTCAAATGCAAAATCCGAGGGGGGAAGGAAAAGCTCAAGCTGATTTCTGCTCTGTTTAACATTCGCACCTTGGCCTTGGGCGGCGTGAGCGGCTGTGCGGCGGTTCCCCTGGCCACCTTGCCGACCGGAAGCACATCCTCCAGCGCAGAACGCACTAGGGTAACCAGAAACTTCGCCAGCGCGTCAGCAGGCCGCTCCGCCAGCCAATCAGAGGCGATTGTGCGGACCTCCTCAGGAACGTCGTTCCAAGGTGCCTGCAGCGAACCAAACGTGCTTAGATCGAGAATGACGCGCAAGATTAACGAATCCTACATCGACTTCCTGCGACGTAGGAACATAAACTGGTTAGGAGGTCAGGATGTACTGTATGTGGTTAGGATGTATTGTATGAGCGGAGGGACTCACATCGAGTGCTTTAGCGAGGCTGGAATCTCGGATGATTTTGGGCATGTTGACTCAAAAGTCACATTGAGCTGAGGGACTCACATCGAGTGCTTTGGCGAGAGTGGAGTCTCGGATGATCTTGAGCATGTTGAGCTGCGACGAGACTTTGAGTCGACTCAAAAACTTAGGGACTCACATCGAGAGCTTTGGCGAGGCTGGAGTCTCGGATGATCTTGGGCATGTTGAGCTGCGACGGCAGCACCGCGCTGAAGGCCCGCGCGAAGAAATCCGCACAGCGCATCAGCTGCACGTCAGGCATGCCTGCGAACGACTCCTGAAAACATGCAAGGGGACAGAAAGTCGACACGCGGGAAGGGCATCAGATGACAACAGACGGCATCAGATGGCATCAGACGGCATCAGACGGCATCAGACGGCATCAGATGGCATCAGACAGCATCAGACAGCATCAGATGGCATTAGTTGGCATCAGACGGCATCAGACAATGAGTGTAAGGGATTGAGATACCCGATCCGCTAAGGAGTGGCAACTTCAAGAATGCATTTAAAAGAGCCGAGATTTCGAGCAGATCCCAGCCAATGTCCCAAATCTTGCAGATTCGATGCAACAATGGCGAAATCTATCGAAACTGGGTGCGGAATGCCGGCACGCACCGAGATCTCGACAAGAAAAGCGGACAATTCGTCCACTTTAATCGCCGTCGCAGCCTCCAGAACCGTAACCTTGGGCTTCTTAGGCTTCTTCGGCTTCTTGGGCTCCGCTGCTGCTGGCGCCTTCGCCTCACGCTCCTCGTCATCATCATCGTCATCATCAGCGTCGTACTCAGCACGCTCCGCTTCCCGCTCCGCGGCTGCAGCGGCTGCAGCGCGAGCCTCGATCCTCGCTCTCCTCTGCTTGGATTCGTCCTCCAACGAGGAAAACACGGACTGGCCGACCGACCCCTTCCCCGCTCCGGATTTGCCTGAAGCCGTGGGTTTTTTCGAATCCTTCTGCTCCTGGCGACGCTGCTTCTTGACGTTGGTCACCTTCTGCCATCCGTGGTTCTCGGACTGGACAACGCGAGGCTCCTCGACGAAATCTTCCATCTTGAATCGCACTGTCTCAGGCAAATCTGAACGCAATCTAGTGCCGTAGAAGCTAACGAATCTGCGTAGATCTACACCCGTAGACTGGAAATGGAGGAACGAAATATGGCTGCCAAGCTCAATGTGCCAGGAAAGTACAGGCTGAATTGGTTGAATCGTAACCTAAGTGTCCCTAGATTCTGGAGACCGGAAATGGATGAATGCTTCCTGGCTGTCTGCGATGTCAAATCTGGTCGGTGGAGATTTCAGGGGGAGGAGGAAAATAGTTGGAGCAGTCCAGCAGTTGACCCAGCTGACAGACACTGCTGGCCGTTCCCGCCATTTTGCCCATCTTGTCTGGTGGGTCCGCCATCCGACATGAGGCATTACTGTTTTCATTACAGGTTGTGCATGACGACCTACCCGTGTTTATATTTGGAAAAGGATGGGTAACGAAAATAGAAAATGCATGCATGTATTCGCACTTTAGGTTTGCAGATACACAGAAATGCTTATTAATATTTATTGGAATACAAACATGCCTTCATGTCTACACCTCCACGTCACCCCTCGAACAAGCTAACCATTCAAACCATCGAACTTCTCCTAGTCATTGCAAAACAACACATCTTATTAACTCCAGCCACTTGGAGCTTCTAACCAGGTTACTTAAGACCTTGCAGTGGCAGCTAAGGTACACCGCATTCCAAGCTAATGCTACCTAACACAGACCTAGGGTAGACCAATCAATCTGCACACAATAGCTGGTTAGATTAGAGAGCTTTCCAGCAGCTCAGCTGCTTACCTGCAGCACAAAAGCTCATCCCAGCTTATTTGATGACCTTGAACGGCCTCATCATGTCGTTGTCCTCGTGATCCAGCATGTGGCAGTGGTACATGTACCCGGGCCCAACAGTGGGATCAAACGGAAGAGGCTTGCCATTCCCATCATGCCAGCCGAACCAGAGGGTCAGCACCTGGCCGGGGTACGCGGGCGTGGTGTCCTTCCAGCCATCCTCAGTGGGATCGACTAGAATCCCAGGCCCGGTGAAGCACGTGGGCTTCTTCTTGTCGCGGAACGAGCACGTGCCAGCCTGGAAGCCTGCCACGTCAAACGGGCGGCGGGCCACGGGGCGGTGATCCACGAGATGCCAGTGCATGGGGTGCGCATCGGCCGACAGGTTGATGATGTGCCACAGCTCGTTCGTGCCCTGGAGGGAGAGGTGGAGGTGGAAGGGGGGGAGGGTGGGGGCAGTGGGGGGGGAGGGGAGGACGTTGAGAACAAATGAACGTTTGGAGGAAGGAAGCAACTCTGGATGCAGCCACTGAAGGAGCCATTGAACGAGTGAAAGGGGCGTTTCATTGTGTTACCGAAAGCTCCCACTCACCTGCTTGGGGAAGTCCGTGACGGGGTCGGCAAACCCAAGGTTGTCGATGGTGACACGGACAGGCAGGTTGGTCTTGGGGTCCATCGCCTCCACCAGGCGGTGCCAGCGAACCTTCTGGATGTTCTTGAAGTTGATCACAGGAATGTACTGCAATGCAGGGGGGTATGCACAAAAAAACACGAAGATGTATTACAGTTCAGTCAGGACTCACCTGTAACAGTAACCTGCTCTGCTACACTGACAATGCATTTCAGGTATGGGAGAACTGGTTAGCAGCAGGAAATAGATGTAGCGCATACCGAGATGGTGCTCGGGAGTTTCGGAGCCGGGAAGCGCTTGCGATTCGTCATCACGAAGCGCATGACGAGCCCGGTGTCGCGGTCAGCAATCACGCCAGCGGGGAAGGGAGCAGCAGCGACGTTCTGGAGAATCACGTCCTTGCATGTGGCGGGCAGGTTGGAGAAATCCACGAGGACGTCCTGGCGAGCTCCCGGCACGAGCAGCAGCGATTTCGAGTACACAGGCTTCGCCATGTAACCACCGTCGGTCGCGATCTGAAAAGGGAAGGAGGAAAAAAAAAACCCAGGTGTGCTACCAGGCGTCCCATATAAATTGCATGAAGCGCGTACTGGTAGTGTGTTACTCTTGATTATCACTTACACTGATTATGTCGAGAACCTGGCCCCTGAGCGGGGGCACAAAATTGGGGTAGTCACCCCGCTGTGCGCAAACGAACTGCAGGTTGTAGAAACGCGCGTTCGCCGCACCCAGCATCTTGAACCGGTACATCGCCGGCCGGACCTTGAGGTACGGCCAGACCTGCGGGGGAGGGATCACGTGCAAGAACAAGGGGACCATGAGTAGGTGCGCTTCAGAGAGACATCGAACCTGCCGAGGTTTTTCATGCGTGAAGGCATTTGGCCGCTACAAGGGAAGGTTCCCGCTGCAACGTTTCTGTTGAAACCTGGCGGGCAAAAATCGCCGCTGCGACGTACCACACCGTTGACCATGTTGGTGTCGCCAAGGTACTCGGGAATCCAGTTGGGGTGCACGTTCGGCACGATGCCAACGTTCGGGAAGTTGATCGACCCGTTCGCGAAGAACAGCCGGTCCGCGATGGCGAGCGGAATCGTGCGGCTGGGAGGCGGCAGCCACGTGAACTTGGACTCGACCTTGGGGTCCGTGATTATGTACAGCCCCGCCATTCCGGCGGCGACGTTGAGTCGCGTTGCGCCGGCCACGTGGTCATGGTACCAAATGGTAGAGGCCTCGTCGTTGACGTATTTGTACGCGTTACTGGTGTACGTGGGGCCCTTCTCGCCATACTGCGTGATCCATGCGTACGCGTGGCCGTCGTAGTAGCTCTGCTGGCTGCCGCCGTGGCGGTGCACCACTGTAAGAGGAGACGAACGAGGGGGAAAAGAGCAGCGGAGGGGAGGGAAGTGAGGGGTAGTAAACTCCTACACTGCCGCCGTGGTGGTGGTGGAAGGGCGACGAGCGAGAACATGGCCGAAGCAGTGGCGGCGATTCCCCGAAAACAATTCTTCCGAAACGGCTCTCTTCGACGGGAATGCCCTTATTTATGGGAATGCCCTTACCGCAATGGCATTCTTATATTTTGAACAAAGACAATCTAAAAAACTCCCTCTCAATCGGGCCCATTGGGCCCGATTCACTTACGCCCTTACCGATGGGAATGCCCTTCTTGGGCCACTTGTACCCCATGATGAGCGTGGGGTCGACGGTGAACATGTGCGTGTTGTCCAGCAGGTGGTTCTCCCACGTCACCGTCGTGTCGACGCCGACCTTCGCCACGATGGTGGGGCCGGGGTACGACGCCGTCTTCTGGCTCGTGCCGTACGCGTACTGCTTCGTCGCCGGCAGGTCGCGGTGGAATTTCTGCGACAGGGAAAATGGAATGGGAGCGATACACTGAGAGCACTGCTCTAGCAGATTCGCATTGCGCGGTAGCCCAGCGAAATGAGGCACGCTTGTACTTGATTGCGGGGCATGTTATGACGGGAATGGGCCCATGAAACTGCTGCGTTACCTGGTAGATCTGGTAGGCGCCGATGGTGAGCGGCTTGGTGCCATCGAGCGTGGGGATAACGCGGGAGGCCAAGCTGTCGACGAACTTGCAGAGCGGCCGCTGAGGAAAGGCGTTCTTGCACTTGGGGCCCGCTGTTGCTGTTGGAGCAGTGACTGCCGCATTCGCGATATGGGAGATAGCAAGGACTAGCGCTACTATTAAGAGAGTTGTGAATGACTTACGACTGCTCATGGCGGCCATATTCGTCAGGATGACGGTGCGCGCGAGGAAAGCTTATCGGTGCCGCCATCTCGGGGGACTCGGTGGCGTTTTATACGGTGCTGCGACGGGCGACCAGCGGACCAGGCCATAATCCTCCCGTGGCGCGTCGGGAGGGATAGAGTGCGTCCTCGAAGTTGCGCGCGAAACATCGTCTCGTCGGGGCCTGAGGATGACATTACGTACGGACGAGACTAAGTTAGGACGCGGTACGGGTGGGGAAGTGAAGTGTCAGGCTTGTGTGCTAGGGGACCACACTTCCAGTATCGACAAGCCAGGGAAACGTACGGTATTCTACGGTTCTGTGCGGTGGATATCGAATTGCTGTCGTCCATGTCTGAGACTGTAAGCCAGTAGAGTGAGCACCGCAAAGCATCTGATCGTGTGTGTGTCTGTGCGTGAGCGTCGCAACCGAAGCGCTACGCTGGAGCCGCGTCTCCACGCATGCACATTGTTCAAGAACCAGCAAGGGGTGGTGATGACACGGATTTGGAAATTGGATGTCGTGTTGGAGTCGAGGCGCACATCGCTCAACAAATTGACTGGGCAGTTCTCATAGCCAAAAACTTGAAACGAGGGAAGGGTATTAGTGAGATTATGAAGACAGATGATAGCACACTTAGTTGAATGACCCAAGAATAGCAAACAAAGTTAAAACTCATTGGCTGATTCTCAAATGTCAAACGGGTAACATGCACTTTGGTCTCCTCCATGTCTGTTTAGAGTTTGATTAGGGTATAAATCCATCCAAACCAGGCTTACACTCCCCTCGTTCTTCGTGTACTGGTAGACAAGTGAATGATGCCAATGGCATAGGGTTAACAATTGTTGCGTGAAGTCTCGGAAGTAGAATTGTTAAATAGAATGGGAGTATACAGGGGTATATAGCTAGTGGGTTGTACTCTCTATGGCATGACCCTAGGTAGTTTACTAAACATACACACATATGTTTGACACACCCCCTAGACTAGATAGGGGCAGAGCCTGGTGAGAGACAAGCAGCTCCGCGCGGCACTACTAGTCCAACCTCTGAGGAAAGGATCTAAAGAGTAGTCAAAAGAGTACACACAAGAAAAGAACAAGACCAGGGCGGCACTACTAGTCCAGCCACTGGGAGAAAGCCATAAGGCCAGTTAGGATAACATATAAAGAGTTATACACAATCAAGGTCCTAGCAAATGAGGTGCGACCGGAACGAGACCAAGCTGTACACAGTGCCGCTGATGATCTTTAGGTGCAAGCGCCTTCGTAAACATATCAGCTGTATTGGCACCGGAGGCAAAGTGTACTACGCGGGCCTGGCGACGAGCGGGTGGAGCTCCACGAGATAGCACCTGCACCAAGGCTAAAGCAGTAGCCCTCGGAGGACCTGAGAGTCCTGGCGTCGTCTGCCCAAGAAGCGTCTGTGTGCCCGGTAAGGACCACTGGTCTGCGTCCTCCTAGCACTAGCCCCATGCCCGATGTACTTGCTAGATAACGCAGAATCCTCTTAGCTGCAGACTAGTGCTGTGGTCAATGTCTGCCGGAGGCCACAAAGCGGGCCAGGATGCTGAGAGGGTATGCGAGATCTGGACGAGTGCAAGTCATCAGGTACATGAGGCAACCCACCAGCTCTGCGTAAGGACCACTAGGCTCAACAGCCTCCTCTGAGACTGGAGCAGAGAGTCTGTGGTCTACTGGCAGAAGGGTGGGCTGTGCGGAAGAGAACTGAAGGCCGAACCTTTAAAGGACCTAGCGCACCAAGTGTAACTGTGTGAGAGTGATGGTGCGCGCTGCTCTATCCCTCGAGATTTGCGGGCCAAGGTAGCGGCGCAGCTCTCCTAGGTCAGTGCAGGTGTGTCTCCTCAGCAGCTCGGCCTTCACGGAGGCCAGTGCGTCCCTGTCTGCAGTAGCAAAGACCCGGTCGTCTACGTAGACAAGGATGTAGAACGGAGTCTGGCCGGAACGGACGAAGAGCGAGGGGTCTGCAGATGAAGGGAAGAACTGCTGGTCAACAAGTGTAGCATGCAGTGTGTCGCGCCACTCATGGGGCGCCTGGCGCAGGCCGTAGACGGGGCGCCGGAGGAGCCACTCTGTACGAGGGGGAAAGGTACAAGAGAAGCCCTAGGGGCGGCGCAGGTAGACTTGCTCGTGTAGACTGCCCTGGAGGAAAGTTGCGGAGAAGTCGAGTAAGTGCAACTCATATCACGCTGTGCTCCTACGTGTAGCAGTGCCCGAAGAGTAGTCATCTTCGGGGTCGGAGCGAAGGTCTGAAAGAAGTCCACCCCTTCACGATAACTGAAGCCACGAGCAACGTAGTGCGCTTTGAAGACAGGCGGCTCTCCAGGAGGGCGCTTTACCTTGAAGAGCCATCGGCCATCGACTACGTTCACCCCAGGTGGGGGAACTGCATCGACGAAGGTACCGGTGGATCTCCAAGATGCCATCTTCTGCTCCATGGCAACTATCCACTGAGAGGCCCAGGGTCCCGAGGTGGCCTCAGCGTAGGTGCAAGGGGTCGGGATGTCAAAGGCGTCTGGGTCACCTTCAGGGACTAGCAGCATGGAACAGAGATGGGGAGCGGCTTCAGACAGGAAAGCGAGCTCATACTGCCTGTCCTCTAGGACGTCACTGCCAAGGGCAGCCACACCCCTGACGGACGCAGGGCAGGTAGGGTCAGAGACCGCTGAACACGAGAGTGGTGGCGTAGTCAAGGTGGCAGGTAATGGCGAAGTCAGTGACAGCAGCGACAAGAGCCGACAGACTCGTGAGAGAAACGGACGGGTCGGTAACAAGAGAGGCAAGGACATGAGGAACAAGGGGACGCGTAGCACGGAGGAAGCTCGAGAACGGGGGCGGGTCCACAGCAAGCGACGACGGAGGAGGAGACAGGAGGAGCAGAGGAGCACGAGATGCGTGGGAGCGAAGCAACATAGGGTGAGACCGCTGAACACGAGAGGTAGGACTAGCACGAGACGGACAACGAGACCAGACGTGAGACGGAGGAGTCGGGTCACAAGAGAGGGGAGGAGACACAGGAGGAGAATGGGGAGGGAACAGAGCCGGATAGGAGTCCGGGGGAGGAAACACAGGGCCGTAGACGAGCGAAAGAGGAGGCAGTGGCGACGGAGGAGGCACCGGCAGGCGGTTAGGGGAAGGAAGACCGAGGAGGCGAAGAGGGGACATCGTCGACGACTGCGGCGGCTGCTGCCCGACGCCAACACCAGAACCTCCAGCGGCACCACGGCTCCCTCCGAGAAGCCCCACGCCAGCACCCTCATAACGGGAACCCGCTCCAGTAGCCGCTCTGGCACGCTCCCCAGCACCCCCAGAACGCACAAACCCCAGCGGCGGTGACGACGGCGGCTGCGGCTGCGGCGGCGACGGCAGCTGCGTCTGTGACAGAAACGCCAGCGACAGGCGGAGGAAGCGACTCTGCCGAGCCGCGAGAGTCACCACACTCCTTGGCAGGGACAACCGACGGGAGGGGGGTGACGTGAGACAAACCAGACAGGGCATGGTGGAGAGGGGGAGGAGCACGGGCGACCGGGGGAGGAGGGGGAACCAGGAACTGGAGGGGAGTGACCGGGGGACCACGGTGGGGAAAGCGGTGGTAGAAGGAGGCAGACTCGTCAAAGGTGACGTTGCGAGAGTGAAAGAAACAGTGAGACGGCAGGTGGTAGAAGTGCCAGTCAAACGAGTCGCGGGGGAAACTTAGGAAGATACAGAGGACGGTGCGGGCAGTGAGCTTGTCCGTGCCAGAGGCACGAACTTGAGCACGGCAGCCCCAGACGTGGAACGCAGACGCGTCACCAGGAGACCTGGTCTAAACCGGAGCAGACTGTGCTTATTAAGGAGGTCCGACGTGGTGCCGAAGCGTAGACAAAACAGGTCGTCCAGGCGACTGAAGCAGCGAGTGGGGGAATGACCAATCGTACCGCACACGAGGCCACGGCGAGGACCAATCTGGTGCTGGTACTGGCAGCGCCAATCACTCGCACCACCACCCGACGATGAGCTACGCATACGACCACCGTGACCACCACCACCACCGGCGCTAGGCCACCCAGGCGAGAGGCGGCCGACCCTCCGCTGTGACTGCTGGTGCTGCTGCTGCTGGTCAAGCTGTGGCGCCTACTGCTGCTCCCGCTGGGGCTGCTGCTCCGAGGCCCTAGCCCCAGCCCCCTCGTCGGTACTACCGCCAGCGGATGAACCACCTCCACCCCCTCCCCCACCACCACCGCCGTGCCCAGCCTTGGGGCGGGGGCGTTACCATAACGGGACTGCGCTGCGGCCACCGGAGCAGCGGTCTCAGCAGCAGGGGCTGTCTCAGCTACAACCGTAGAACCGTCAGATTAAGTGCACTAAGCGGGAGAACAACCCTGAAATATAGGGACCGGCGCCGTACCGCTAGACTGGGCGATAGAGCGCTGACGGGTCTCTATGGCAGACAGGGTGTCGGAAAAGTTAGAGAGGGTGAGGTCAACGGGATGCAAAATCAGAAAGTGGTCGCAGGCAGTGGCAAGGCGGTCAGGGAGGCAGGTGGCAAGCAGGTAAAGGGTATAGCAGATAGGGGGCTAGAACACACAAAGCTGGGCCTCAGTGCAGGCCGCGTGCTAGCTAGCGTCGAGCGTGCGCAGGTGCGTGGCCAGGTCAGTGACAGTGGAGAAAGACGCGAGATCAGAGAAGAGCATGGGAAGGATCAAGCGGCCGGCGGAGGCAGAGGACGGGGTGGAATAACGCTCGACAACAGCCTCTAGGAACTCCTGCATAATCCTGACTGACTTAAAGTGGGGGCGCTCAGACAGGGGGAGAGCATGGCTAATCACGAGCTGAGCGACAGCGTCACGCGACAGCCAGACAACACGGGCAAGGGCAACAGCGGTGGCAGACTCACGGTCAGCAGACGTGGGGTTAGCGGGGAGAGCAGCAAGAGGGTTAGGGCAGGGGAGCGTACTGTCAATGGGGACGGCCAGGGAGTGGCCGTCCTGCCGCTGACCAGTGAGGTGACGGCGGAGGTCGACGAGCCTTGCGTGGAACTCAACCGGCTGACCCTCCGCGTTAAAGCGCAGCAGCGAGTCCGTTATTAAGGCTGCTGCAGCCGCGAACAGGTGGTGAAGGGCGGGACGAAGTGACAAGGAGAAGTGGAGAGCAGTGCTGTACAGTGCAGTGCGGTGGAATGCGGTGTAGTGCAATGCCGCGCGGTGCAAGGTGGTGCAGTGCGATGGGGAGCTGTGCCGTGCGGTGCCACGCGGTGCAGAGCGGTGCAGTGCGATGGGGCGCAGTGCAGTATGGTGGGGCGCGGTGCAGTGCGGTGCAGCACGGTGGGGCGCGGTGCAGGACGGTGGAGAGGGCTGGTTTAGCGAGCGGGGACCGTGGAACACGGCGTAGTGGGGGGGGGGGGGAAGGGGCCGCTGAGCAGCTGGGAGACAGGGCCGTGGGGCGGCTGGGCGACGGGGCCGCGGGGCGGCTGGGCGATGGGGCCGCGGAGCAGCGGGGCGACGAGGTCGCGGGGCAACTGGGCGACAGGGCCGTGAAGCAGCGGGGCGACGAGGCCGCGGGGCGGCTGGGCGACGGGGCCGCGGAGCAGCAGGGCGACGAGGCCGCGGGGCGGCTGGACGACGAGGCCGCGGGACGGCTGGGCGACGGGGCCGCGGGGCGGCTAGGCGACGGGGCAGCAGGGCGGCTACGCTAGGGGCGAAGCGGCCGCAGGGCTAGCAGGACGGCTAGGCGCAAGGCGACGAGGCGACGGGGCCACGGGGCCGTTAGGCGCCAGGTGACGAGACGACCGGGGACAGGGGCGGCTAGGCGCTGGGTGACGGGGCGACGGGGCCACGGGCGGCTAGGCGCTAGGTGACGGGGCCGCGTGGCCAGCGGGGCGGCTAGGCGTTAGGTGGCGGGGCAACGGGGCCACGGGCAGCTAGGCGCTAGGGAACGGGGCCGCGGGGCCAGCAGGCGCTAGGAGACGGGGCCGACGGGCCAGCTAGGTAACGGGGCAGCGGGCCCAGCGGGGCGGCTAGGCGCTAGGCGACGGGGCCAGCTAGGACCTAAGGCGGAAGCGCGGGTGGGCGGGGGGGACCTAACCTACTCATGATACCATCTCGGAGTCAGAATTGTCAAGTAGAATGGGAGTATACAGGGGTATATGGCTAGTGGGTTGTACTCTCTATGGCATGACCCTAGGTAGTCTACTAAACATACACACATATGTTTGACATGAAGGACTTGTTCTAGTGTTGGGATATACTTGTCAATTGACCTGACCATCTCACATGCATGCCTATTGGCACGAGGGAAACTGGTAGCTCCTTACCATTAGAGCAATGGGTGTAACCTTTCAAGCAAAAACTCATTCCAAATATCCGGGACGCCAGGCAGGCAAAAGTTCACGCAATCTTGTCTTGAGCTGCCAGTGTGACCATGCCACTTGCTAACATGGGCATCTGCACGGGCAGCGGAAGTCTGCCCAATCGGCAAAATATTGACCCCTTCCAAGAGTATGCTGCTGCTGCTGCTGCTATCATTGCTAGCCAGTTCGCTGTCGATAACCCCCTGCCTCTCTTTGTCCCTGTGAGGCTTCTCTAAAGGCACCTTCACTGTGTCACACGTACCCTTGCCAGTCCACTTGGCCTTCCATATGTTCTTATAGCGAGGAGAGGTGGGGTCTTTGCTGGAGGAGAAATGGTGGCCGGGAGTCCCGAGGAAGAACACAGGAATGTTCTTCAGTCGAGGGGTGCTCTGAGCCCAGGTATTGACAGTCTGAAGAGCAGTGTGGAAGGCAGATAGAGAATCGTGGGACGAATGGCCTTTGCTGGACGTGGTATCTGCAGGAGAGGCACTAGCTAGAAAGACAACTGGCTGGCTGCTGCTGCTGCTGGCATCACTGCTGTTGCCGTAGGGCGTTGCTGTGGCAATGGGAGGGAGGAAGGCATTGTCGGAGAAGGCTCCTGCTGCGTGCAGCACAAGGAGATCCGCATGCTGCTTGGCATAGGTGTGCCAGGGACCAATCTGCTTCAGGAGTACTTGCACCTGAGATGCCCGTCGACTACTGCTGCTGCTGGTGGTTACCAGGTAATCCGTGGGGAAGAAAACGAACGTTACATTTCCCTCGGCTGAACGCCAGATTGATGCATCTGCTGACTTGATCGCCGCCTTTTCCACCTTCGTTGCACGGCCAATCGAGGCGATAGACTTCAGTGCTACTCGATACATGGCCGACGAAGGCGAGGAGGAGGAGGAAGAGGAGGAGGTGTGAGCCCATACAAGGCAGAGCAGAGAGAGGAACATCTGCAGGGAGCCAGGCACGAAAAGAAGTGAGGGGGGGCAAAGAGAAGAGGTGCAGCAAGGAGTGAGCCCACAGAAAGCAAAGCAAGAGTGAGGAGATCAGCACACGCACAAAGAAACGATAAGCGGCGATGAAACCCCACCTGCTTTGCAACAGCATCGCCTGCGAACACAACACGCTTGTCCCGGAAGCTGCTGAGAAGCTTCTCCGCATCGAACCGCGGCAGCGAGCAGCCGGCAGGTTGCCAGCGATACTTGGCGAAGCCGGAAGAGGGCCTCCCGCTGCAGGCAAACCGGGGCTCGATGAAAGGGCAGGTGCTGGAGTACAAGGGGTACGAGCCGTCCCTCTCCCACGCGCCCTTCTCCACCGCGCACTTCCCACGGCCCTTCTCCCCTCCTCCTGCTGCTGCTGCTGCTGCTGCTGATCTTGATGTCACTGACGCTGCTGCCCCTGCTCCTTCCCCTTTCCCTCCCCTTTCCTCTTCACCGTCCCCTGTTCCTGCCTCCTCCCTCCCCGTTTCCCCTTCCCCGTCCCCTGTTCCTGCCTCCTCCCTTCCCCCTTCCCCTGCCTGATTGTTGTCCGCTGTCTCTGACCCTGTCCTTGACTCCCCTGCTGCCCCTTCCTCTTTCTCCGACCCTCCTTCCCCTCCTATTCTTGATTCGTCCGGCTCCTCTCCCCCCGTTTCCCCCACTCGCCTTCCTCCCTCCCCGGATTTCCCCACAGGGATTTCTTGTGAAGACGTGCCGCTTCTCGTGTCATTTTCCGGGATTAGTGGCGTGATTTGCCGATCGTCGGGGTTGAAACCGTATCTGGCGGTGAGATTCGCGCTATGATGTGCAACGGACGAGACGTAGCCGACGACGACGAGCGCGAAAAGCGTGGCGAAGAGCAGGTAACGTCGCAGATGAAAGCGAAATCCTTCGTAGCCGAGGAAGCGAGAGAGGAATTCCTCGATCTCGCCGGGGAGATTCATGGTTGGGAGGACATGCAGGGAATGGTGGCGAAACCGGCGATCGTTTTCTTCTGAGTCGAACTAAACTAGTACATATGAAAAGAGTTAATGGTTGCCGTGGATATCTAGGGGTAATGGCTGGCAAGTATGGCTCGATAGTTGGTGGAAGCGTGGTCGTCACAAACTGCTCCGTTTTCGCAGCTGAATTCTGAGTGTAGACACAAATTCAGCATTTGTACACCGATTGTAGCTCGCATTGCAGATGGCCCTCGAATTCGCGAATTCGAGAAGCATTTTGTGGGGGATTTGAGGAACTTTTATCATCCAGCTGTTCCTGTCGAAGTTTTCCACGTGCCACTCGTGGCAGCCCAGGTGTCACTTGGGATGCGGCCATGCCATCCTCCATTCCATCCACCAATCGCAAGAGACAAGACAACGCAATCCAGTTTGCCCCATGGGCTGCGCCTTGGGAACTCCAGCCCTGGGAAAACTCCACCCTTGGGAACTCCACACCAGCCTGACCTGGCAAGCCAACCCAACCAAGCCAACCTGAATCATCAGGCAGAGCAAAAACAGCGCTCAGCCTGCAATCCACAACAGACTAGCAGGACAGCAGCAATTGCTAGCACAGGATTTTGCTAGCAGTTTTCTTCTAGCTTGGAGTGTGTAGCTTTGGACTGGATTCCAGAATTTTAGCCTGCCTGTCGTTGCTTCTGCGCCGACTCGTTCTAAAATACCTCTAACTCGTATTGTTCACGTACGAACAGCCTCGTTCTATCGTACAGTACTCACACACGATAGGTAATCGCCATCATGGCTGCAGCGTCGCACTCACTGGCCCACCTTCAGACCTCTGCATTGGCCGTGGAGGCTTCTAGCAAAACCTCCAGTGCCAGCAGGACCCTCACAGGCAACCAGTGCCAGGCCCTCGTCTCGCGGCCGTTGATCCCCGCTATACGCCACCCGGACGTGCCGTTAACGAGGCAAACTCGGGGTCCGGTTCGGGTGCAGGCAGCGCTAGATAAGCTCGGGTTCCTGGGTCGACTAGGCCGCGTGATTAAAGAGAAGGCGCAGAGCGACTACGACCGCGTGTTCAAGGGCGTGACTAAAACGAGGGAGAGCCTGAAGGTCGTGGACGAGCTTCTGACGTACTGGAATCTAAACGAGGCGGATAATATCCTGGAAGAGCTGGAGGAGGTAAGCTCTGATTGCATAGTGGATTAGATTGTGCTTCAAACGAGGCGGATAATATCCTGGAAGATCTGGAGGAGGTAAGTTCTTATTGCGAGTGGACCAGGTTATGTCTCGAAAACCCGTGCTGAATAATATCGAGAAGACTGCTGAAGAAGCTTTGTATGCTTTTCACTTTTCACTTTTCAAGAATTGCATAATTGTATAATAAGGGAGGATGAGAGAATTAGACAGGAAACAGATTCAGTGCCTGTTTGGCTCTCTATGGCATCAGCGGAAAGTGGAAACCCTTGCTCTTCCTTTTTTCTCTGCTTCCATCTTATTGCCAATAGGCCCTCATAGTGGCGGATTTCGGGCCGCGCACGGCGCTTCGCATTGTGGATGGCATCCGAGAGGAGATTAAAGCCGGGCAGCTGAAGACCGGCAAGGAGATTAAGGTGAGAGGGGCCTTGCGGTGACAGCAACACATTAGGGAACTCTGATGAAGGCTTAGGCTTGGCCTGATAACAGAGGAGGAAAAGCGGGGGAATCAGGAGGCGCCTCAAGAAAAGTGGAGGAAAATCGGGGGAGTCGGGGAGCCATTCGAGGGGATCGCAAGGTGAGGGGAAAGAGGCGCATAGAGTGGAAAGCTTGTTCTTACAGGCTCAATCAGAGGATTCAACTATAGGGCAGTACCGAGAACGCACGGTGACGCTGCTCGCGGAAAAGGGACCTCTTTTTCTCCCCTCTGCCCTCCCCCATCTTCCGCAACTCCTCTTTCCCTCCTCCCTTCCCGGGGTCCAACGCTCCCCAGCAAGCGCTGCAGCGCGCCATTGTGAAGCTGCTCACGGACACCGCACCTCTCTGTCTCCACTCTTCTGTCACTCATTATCTGCATTCTCCTCTTTTCCTCCTTGTCTCCCCCCCCCGCTCCCCACACCCCGGTTCCAACGCGCCCCAGCAAGCGCTGAAGCGCGCCATTGTGAAGCTGCTCACGGACAAGGCGCCAGTCACGGAGCTGCAGCTGGGGACCAGGTGAGCGGAGAGGGCGGAAGGAGGAGGGGGAGATGCGGGAGATGGGGCGGAGGTAAGGCGAGGGAGGGGAATGGCTGCTCACGGACAAGGCACCAGTCACCGAGCTGCAGCTGGGGACCAGGTGAGCGGATGGGGAGGGTGGGGGAAAAGGGGGGGGAACTTGCGTGGGGAAAGGGCAGGGGAACTTGCCTGGGGTTAGGCGGGGGAACTTGCGTGGGGAAAGGGCAGGGGAACTTGCGTGGAGTTAGGCGGGGGAACTTGCATGGGGAAAGGGCGGGGGAACTTGCGTGGGGTTAGGCGGGGGAACTTGCATGGGGAAAGGGCGGGGGAACTTGCGTGGGAAAAGGGCGGGGGGACTTGCGTAGGGAAAGGGCGGGGGAAGTTGCGTGGGGAAAGGGCGGGGGAACTTGTGTGGGGAAAGGGCGGGGGAACTTGCATGGGGAAAGGGCGGGGGAACTTGCGTGGCGAAAGGGCGGGGAGACTTGCATGGGGAAAGGGCGGGGGAACTAACGTGACAAGCCACCCATGGCCGCGCAGCAGCTGGGGACCAGGTGAGCAAAGGGTTTTGAAGGGGGCTGGGGTAGGGGTGGGGAATCAGAGGCCGCAGAACGAGTGGTTTCACCCGCGTCCTGCCTCCTTCCGCTCACCTGGTTTGAACTGTCTGCCTCCTCCTGCTGCCATGTGCGAGCCCTCCTTGTACCCCTCTGGTTGCGGCTATGTTTGAGGGTTTCCGAATCACCGACCGGTCTTTCCCTGACCCCTCCCTTCCCTTCCATGCGTGCAGCAAGCCAGCAGTGGTGATGATCGTGGGGGTGAATGGGGGCGGCAAGACCACCACCATTGGTGAGGCATGGGGCATGGATGGATGGATGTATGTATGCACGCAATACCATGATGAGACATGCACTTGACAACGTGCGCATTGCCATGAGGCGTGCATCAAGCCAGCAGTGGTGATGGTCGTGGGAGTGAATGGGGGCTGGCAAAACCACTACCATTGGTGAACCTTGCACCATCCCTCCCTCCCTCCCTCCCTCCCTCCCTTCTTTCCTCCCCTCCCCCCGTCCGTTAACTCCTATTATGCCTTCCCTTTGAGAATATATTGCCTCCTCCCATGCTTTTACACCACCTTCCGTGTCCCCCGTCCCCTCCCCTCTCCTCCCTCCTTTTACCAGGCAAGCTATCTCACCGATTCAACAGCGAAGGGGCCAAGGTAATGCGTTTGGGGAGGCAGAGTAACACATCTATGCAGCATTGTAGTGCAATTTGGTTTCAACGTAACACGTTTGCGTGTTGCAGGGTTATGGCAGGTGAGAGGGGCCACTCCTCACTCCGTATGCCTTGTCCTTGTCTGCCAAACTTACTTCTCCCCTTCTCCCCCCCAACCGCACTTCCCCCTCCCCCCCCCTACCAATCCCCCCCGTTACCTCCCCCTTACCCCCACTCTCGTCAACCCCCATCCGCTTTCAACTTCCCCTTCCTTATAGGTTCTCCTAGCAGCGGGTGACACCTTCCGGGCGGCGGCGAGCGAGCAGCTGGAGGTGTGGGCGGCGAGGACAGAGGCGGAGATATTCACCGCTGAGGGGGAGAAAGCACGGCCAGCCACCGGTGAGTGGGAGCACATAGTCACGGCCGTGCCTGCTGAGTGGAAACGCTGGGACTGAAGACAGTGCGTTCACAAGACAGTGCAATGTGAGCAGCTGGACGTGTGGGTGGCGAGGACAGAGGCGGAGATATTCGCCGCTGAGGGGAAGAAGACACGGCCAGCCACCGGTGAGTGGGAGCACATAGTCAAGGCCGTGCCTGCTGAGTGGAAACGCTGGGACTGAAGACAGTGCGTTCACAAGACAGTGCAATGTGAGCAGCTGGACGTGTGGGTGGCGAGGACAGAGGCGGAGATATTCGCCGCTGAGGGGAAGAAGACACGGCCAGCCACCGGTGAGTGGGAGCACATAGTCAAGGCCGTGCCTGCTGAGTGGAAACGCTGGGTCTGAAGACAGTGCGTTCACAAGACAGTGCAATGTGAGCAGCTGGAGGTGTGGGCGGTGAGGACAGAGGTGGAGATATTCACTGCCGAGGGGGAGAAGACACGGCCAGCCACCGGTGAGTGGGAGCACATAGTCAAGGCCGTGCCTGCTGAGTGGAAACGCTGGGTCTGAAGACAGTGCGTTCACAAGACAGTGCAATGTGAGCAGCTGGAGGTGTGGGCTGCGAGGACAGAGGCGGAGATATTCACCGCCGAGGGGGAGAAGACACGGCCAGCCACCAGTGAGTGCGGGCACATACTTTCATAGCTACTTGCAAGGCCTTTTCAGCAGGCGAAGGCCAGTGTAGCGAGGACCGCAGCGGGGATATTCACCGCTGAGGGGGAGAAGACGAGACCTGCCACCTGCGAGTCAAAATCACGCAGTCTAAACGAGTCACAATGCGTTGAGAGCAGGTGGGGGTGAGAGCAGAGGGGACTGATGCAACCATGCGTCCATTTTTTGAGGCGCCTCAAAATTAGACTCCTCATGCAACCATGAGTCCGTCCACCCATCCACTCATCCATGTGTTATTTTCATGCCCCCCTTTCCCCCACTCCTCTCCTCCTACCCCCCCGCCGTGTGTCGGGCCATGCAGTGCTGGCCAATGCAGTGCGGAAGGCAAGCAATGAGGGATTTGACATTCTCCTTGCCGACACATCAGGCAGTGAGTGAAGCCTGGGGCAACAGGGGGGGAGGGGGAGATAGGGAGGAAGAGGGGGGTGGGGTGGGGGGGGGGACATCCTCCTTGCCGACACATCCGGCAGTGAGTGAAGACGGGTTGGGGTGTGGGAAAAGGAGGGGGGGGGAGGGAAAGGAGGGGGGGAGGGATGGACTAACACACCTTGAAAGATGAGTTGTGAGGGACAGGGGGGCACTCAAAGCATCTTGGGTTTGAGTATTGTTCAGGTGGGCGAGAGGAGGTTCAAACACCATTTTGATCCTCTTGGAGGAGCTTTGGGCGTGCTCCTTTCCACCTGCCCTCATGGGACTAGAAAGTTCAAATCACACTTCCTACACCCCTTCTCGCGTCGCGTCCTCCCTACCTCCCCCCCCTTCTACCCCAGGGCTGCACACCAACGTCAATCTCATGAAGGAGCTCAAGGCGTGCAGATATCACATCAGATCTCCTCTGTTTTCTTTCTCTTCCTCCCCTCCCCCCTCACCCCCCTCTTTTTCCCCAACCTACCGTACCTCAGGGCTGCACACCAACCTCAATCTCGTGGAGGAACTCAAGGTGCCGCAGTCGTGTCACGCCCCAACACCTGTTCCGTTTCCTCTCAACCCGCTTCCCCCTTCTACCCCAGGGCTGCACACCAACTTCAATCTCATGGAGGAACTCAAGGCGTGCAAACGAGCCGTGGCGAAGACCCTTCCTGGTGCTCCCCACGTGAGTCTGTCACCCCCCCCCGTGTGAACCTTTTTCAGCCACCTACATCGGCCCTTAACCTATTCTCGCCCCCTCCCCCTCACTCTGTCCCCTTTGCTCCTGCCCCCCCCCAACTCCCAACCAACCCCATCTCTCTGCCAGAGTATCATTTGTAACCGATAACGCATTTCCCCAACGTTTCCGCTTGTTCCCCGCTACCTGTCCTCAGGAGGTGCTGCTGGTGCTGGACGGTACAACGGGGCTCAACATGCTGCCCCAGGCCCGGGAATTCAACCAGGTGCGTGCCTTCCTATTGAGTCGACTCATAAGTTACCTGGTACTGGATCCTCTCCCTCCCAAATCATTCCTCCTCCTGTTCCCTTCCAGTGAATGACTGCCCCTCCTCACTCCTGTGCTGGCTTTATCAAAGCGACTATGGAACCATGCGTTTCAGTACATTATGTGTCTCGTATCGCCCCACTGTGCATCTCGTGGCGTCGCATGGACGTATGCATGTAGAACCGCCCTAGAATACCCAGTCCAAGCAGTGTCAGGTAGAGGAAGTTCGGGATCAGATCATGAGATCACGTCAGAGAGTTCAGAGACACAGCACCAGCAAGCATGGTAGCCACCACCACCTTTTTCACATCGTGCTCCCGGCGACTATTTCTTTCTCTGTCTCGCTCTTTTCCTCCCGTTCTCTCTGTACGTGACAGGCTGTTGGTGTCACGGGCTTTGTCCTCACTAAGCTAGATGGCACGGCACGGGGAGGCTGTGTGGTGAGTTGTGATATGCGTGATTGTCTTCTAGTCGACTCGAAAGCTTCTATGCGTGATTGTATTTTTGCTAACAAAATGTGCCTGCATGGAGAGCATCGGCCTGATGCAAATTGTAACATGTTACGTTGTTACACTGTGCAGGCGAGTGTGGTGGATGATTTGGGAATTCCTGTGAAGTTTGTTGGAGTGGGGGAGGGCATGCAGGACCTGCAGCCATTTGACGCCGAGGCCTTTGTGAACGCCCTCTTCCCCTCGTAACCATATCATCAACTTAGCGCTGTGTCTCGTTGGAGAAACAGATTCCGCCGAGCATGTAGAGAAGGCAGGCTTGCCAGCAAGCAAGTAAAAGGGTGGCAAAAAGGATAGGAAGGAGAGCACAACTTGACACTCGGAGGGGGGCCCTAATTGTCCTGTGCTGCAAGCGTTTGGTTATTGCGTCACTCCACACCACACCCAAGTCCAGGGGTGCGGCCTAAGAAAGCAAGTCACAGTACTACCGGCATGCTCCTACATCGGTGGTGAGCTGTGGTTTATCGGTCTGATGTTTGATAAATGATATACCGTAGTACAAACGATTACTGTGGTCTTTCTACACCTGACACCCTCCCACAATCCGATCACTGCCCACCCAGCAGCACGCCACAGGCGACTGAGGAAGCGTAGTGGATGTTAAATTGCTTTAGTCAAGCAGAATTGTTGTGAGTCCTAGCAAAACAGGATTTCGATGCTCTTGTTGAAGCACATTCTAGGGGTTCATTGTCATGGTGGTGCAATCCAAGAACGAGACTCGTTTAAATATAATCGTATTGAATTGGGAGACTCACGCGAATTCAGGTTCCTGCATCGTTCCTGCTGAGGATGCCCCCAAGCCATCAGCCTTCCAGAAGGTGCATGTCACAACACTTGTTAGGCATTGTATAAAACCAGTACAGTAGTAGTGCAATTGGTGGATCAGGCAGCAAAACCTACACCATATCTGCCCAACCCGGAAGAAATGCATGCCATGCCAGCAAGAAAGACGAAAGATCAAGAACCACCAAGGCTAGGTATGCCTGCCAAAGCGAGAGGACAACCTGCCTGACCTGGTCTGAAGCTATGAGAGAAGGCCCGCATCCACTCCCCGCTCCGCTTGCCTCCTCCAAACTCCAAACCGGCCCTCTGCTCCGGGCCACCAGCCACCGCCGCTCCTCTCCTACCAAGGGCCTGCCTACCGCCCCCCACGTCTGCCAAACCCGACGTACAACTTGTTCCGCCAACTTTTGTAGGGGAGTTTATGCTGGCAGCTACCCCCACCAACAGACAGCAGCTACGCCAACCAGCAGCAGCAGCAGTTACCCCCACCAGCAGCAGCAGCTACGCCCACCAGCAGACGACAGTTACCTCCTACCGAACCTCCCCCCGCCACCGCCTGCCCCCCCTCGCGCGTTGTGTGAGAAAGCGAACCTTGGCTTGGCCTTGCCGCCCTTCACTGCGCCCGGATCCACCACCTGTATGGTGCGCTGCTTCTTGGCTGGGGGGGAGGGGTGTGGGGGTGGAGGAGGGGGAGGTGTAGCAGGATTGGGAGGGGTGATGGGAGCTCAGTACGTGGCTTGGCCTTGCCGCCCTTCACAGCGCCAGGGTCCACCACCTGTATGGTGCGCTGCTTCTTGGCTGGGGTTGGGGGGAGGAAGGGGGGAGGTGTGGTGTTGCCCCTGGGACCACCACCTGTATGGTGCGCTGCTTCTTGGCTGGGGGGGGGGATGGTAAGAGAGGGGAAGGCGAGGGGGGGAGGGGAAGGAGGAGGTGGGTGGGTGGGAGTGCGGTGATTGGGTGATTAAACCGGATGGTTCACTGCTTCCTGGCTGGGCATGTTCTGGAACATTCCTTGCGACCTCCTAAGGACTTACAGGTCTAGGGTAGCGATTGGGTTCTGGGGTTGGGGTTTGGCAGGTCTCACCGTCCTGAATGCCTTGGTATCGCTCGTGCAGTTTCCTTTTCGCCATCTCCAATCGCTCCCTGTCCATGGCGCCGCCACCAGGAGGGGTGCGCGGAAGCTGCAGCAGAGGGAAGAGAAGGGAGGGAAGGAAGGCAAGTATGCGCACAGCCGGTGTGAGGCTTGTAACTGCGTACACTCTCTGCCTGCAACCACCATCTCCAGTCACTACATGTCCATGGCACCGTCGCCACAGGGCGTGCGAGGCAGCTGCAGAAGAAATGGATGCCCGGGACGAAGGGCAAGCCAAGGGACGGCATGCCCTGAGCATGCACAGGGTAGCAGGTGGGAGGGCATGCCCTGTGCCTGCACAGGGTAGCAGGGGGCACCACCGCCAGGGGGCGAGCGAGGCAGCTGCAGGAGGGGAGAAGGGAAGAAAAGGAAGGGAGGGAAGGCAAGGCAAGGAAGCAAAGAAAGCGCACAGCTCATCACGTGTGATTTTGAGTCGACTCAAGCGCACAGCTCATCATGTGTGCTTTTGAGTCGACTCAAACGCACAGCTCATCACGTGTGCTTTTGAGTTGACTCAAGCGCACAGCTCATCATGTGTGCTTTTGAGTCGACTCAAGCGCACAGCTCATCTCGTGTGCTTTTGAGTCGGCTCAAGCGCACAGCTCATCACGTGTGCTTTTGAGTCGACTCAAGCGCACAGCTCATCACGTGTGCTTTTGAGTCGACTCAAGCGCACAGCTCATCACGTGTGCTTTTGAGTCGACTCAAGCGCACAGCTCATCACGTGTGCTTTTGAGTCGACTCAAGCACACAGCTCATCTCGTGTGCTTTTGAGTCGACTCAAGCGCACAGCTCATCACGTGTGCTTTTGAGTCGACTCAAGCGCACAGCTCATCACGTGTGCTTTTGAGTCGACTCAAGCGCACAGCTCATCACGTGTGCTTTTGAGTCGACTCAAGCGCACAGCTCATCATGTGTGCTTTTGAGTCGACTCAAGCGCACAGCTCATCATGTGTGCTTTTGAGTCGACTCAAGCGCACAGCTCATCTCGTGTGCTTTTGAGTCGACTCAAGCGCACAGCTCATCACGTGTGCTTTTGAGTCGACTCAAGCGCACAGCTCATCACGTGTGCTTTTGAGTCGACTCAAGCGCACAGCTCATCACGTGTGCTTTTGAGTCGACTCAAGCGCACAGCTCATCACGTGTGCTTTTGAGTCGACTCAAGCGCACAGCTCATCACGTGTGAGGCACGAACCCAGCAGGCACAGCCCCTCTCGTAGCCTCCAAGTTCCAGCAGCCATCTCCTGTCGCTGCTGGTCCATCGGGCCCCTGATTTTCAGGGTGTGTCTGAGAATTCTCAAAACCACCCTCCAGCAGCCATCTCCAGTCGCTCCTGGTCCATCCGGCCCCTTCCAGGCGGGGTGCAGGGTAGCTGCTGGAGGGGAGGTCCGTCCTAACCAGAAGGTTTCTATTCTTGAGGCGCCTAAAAAATGACCAGAGGGTTTGACGCAACGAGCAGGAATTAGCTGCCTATGCTGGCCGATACTACCAAGTGAGAAACGAGGCTCTGATTCAAACCGCGCACCTCTGATCGGATGTTGGGCGGAGGGGAGAGGCTCCTGCCATATGCAGGGGCAGAGGGGCAGTAAGGCGAAACCGACCTCTCCCTCTCCCTCTCCCTCTCCCTGCCCCCCTGGGACAACTTTCTTTGCATAGGAGATCCCTCCCCTGCTGCTGCTCCTCCTCCCGCTCCCCCCTTCGCCCTTCCCATCAGAGACCTATCCTGTGGTGCCACCTGTCCGCCCCCCTGCCTGCCTGTGCCCGTGACGCCAGCAGCAGTAAGACCGGAAACGGCACTCCTCTTCTTCTCCCTCTCCCTCTCCCTGTCCTTGAGCTTCTCCTTGGCCCGTTTCATGAGGCTACCAACGTCCCTCTCCCCGCCGAACCCGTCGCTCCCCACCATCCCCTCGTCCCCTCTCTTCTCCCTCCTCTCCTTGCGCTCACTCAACAGAGCCCCTGCCCCACCGCTGCTGCCCCTGTCCTGCCTGTCCCCTGTATAGCGCGGCTTGCTCTCGTTATTAGCAGGGTTGCTCTTATACGAGGGAATAGCTTTATAAGCAGGCGGGGAGGAGGCCACATCGTCGTGGGGTGGAGCACGGTCGTCAGGAGGACTACCGTCGGATCTAGCTGTAAGGGGTACACGAGGAAGGGCACAGCATGGCAAGCTGTTAGGAGGAAGAACGAGAGCTACCGATCGAGAGTGACACTAGTAGGCAGAAATAAAGATTTAAAATACACGGCAGTTTCAAAATAGGACTGGAGGGGAACTGGGAAGGAGCAGTGCAGAAGGAGCAAGCGAAACCCCAGAAGGAGCAAGCGAAACCCCAGAAGGAGCAAGCGAAACCCCAGAAGGAGCAAGCGAAACCCCAGAAGGAGCAAGTGAGAACCCAGAAGGAGCGTGAGAACCCAGAAGGAGCAAGTGAACGACTTACAGGATCCACTGTCTAGACCGAGACCAAAGTCACGAAACAACTGCACAGGGGAAAGGGCATAAGACACGGGAGCAAGGCATGCCACGTAGGGGTAAGGCATGGCCCATGGCATGGGGTAGGGCATAGCACATACCATTCACGCTCATGTGGCAGCACAGACAGCAAACAATCACGTTAAGGTGGGAAGTGGCGGGGAAGTAAAAGCAGGCAGGAGCAGAGGCCGGCAGAAGCATAGGCAGGCAGAAGCAGAGGCAAGCACAGTTGGCTCACAGCCCTCCCTGTACAGTCACACCCACCTTACAGCCCTCCCTGTACAGTCACACCCACCTCGCTAGCCCCCAGGGCGATGCTCCTCCCCTGCAGCAATGCACTCTCGTCCAGAGGGGGGGATGGCAGACCGGACGAGACATCCTCTGGCAGGCCTTCTGTGGCCTCTGGAGGGGAGAGAGAGTGAGTCAGCGCGGATAGGGGGAGGGGTAGGGGAGGCAAGGAGGTGCAACTGATGTGAGTCAGCCAGAGGGGGGGATGGCAGACCTGACGAGACATTCTCTGGCAGGCCTGCTGAGGCCTCTGGAAGAGAAAGAAAGCGAACCAGTCAAGAGGAACAAGCGTGGGTAGGGGAGCGGGGGAGGGGTGCAGGGCGGAGGGGGCATGATGAGCTGCAGGAGACGGCAGACGCCACAAGAGAGGAACAAGGGTGGGTAGGAAGGGGAGTGGGGGAGGGCTCTGGGAGGGGGAGAAAGCGAGCAAGTCGAGAGGAACAAGGGTGGGTAGGAAGGGGAGTGGGGGAGGGCTCTGGGAGGGGGAGAAAGCGAGCAAGTCGAGAGGAACAAGGGTGGGTAGGAAGGGGAGTGGGGGAGGGCTCTGGGAGGGGGAGAAAGCGAGCAAGTCGAGAGGAACAAGGGTGGGTAGGTAGGGGAGTGGGGGAGGGCTCTGGGAGGGGGAGAAAGCGAGCAAGTCGAGAAGAACAAGGGTGGGTAGGTAGGGGAGTGGGGGAGGGGTGCAGGGTAGAGCACAAGACCCCTCCCCCTGTGGTAGAGCATGACACGCAACAGGGGGAGGGGTCCTCTGGCGGGCCTGCTGTTGCCTCTGGCTGGCGAAGCATAGGGTTGGGAACGACGATTTTTGGAGAGGGAGTGGGGTGAGTGGGGTGAGTGGGGTGAGTGGGGTGAGTGGGGTGAGTGGGGTGAGTGGGGTGAGTGGGGTGAGTGGGGTGAGTGGGGTGAGTGGGGTGCGCTCACGTGCAAGGAGCGGGAAACAAAGTGCTGGTGTGGTCCCATAAAGCGAGGGGACAGCTAGGGGGGACACTAGCGAAGAGCAGTTTTGAGGTGCCTCAAAACTAGAGTGGGGACAGCCAGGGGGGACACTAGCGGAGAGCGCAGGAAGAGGAGGAACTTACGCGCCACCGCTGCTGCGCTCTTGCGACACTCCTTCACCAGATCCTTCCACGCGCTGCCATGCGGGATGAGAGGAGGGTGGGAGGGAGAGAGGGCAGGGAGGGAGGGAGGGCAGGGAGGGAGAGAGGGCAGGAGAGTAGAGTGGGATGCAGCTTGGGGCACCTGGGGCGCTCCTGAACGTACGAGCCAGCCACAGCTGCTGCACTCTTGCGACGCTCCTTCACCAGATCCTCCCATGGCCGCCCGTCCTGCTCTCACCCCCCCCCGCTACACGCACCCCCCTTTCCCCTCTCTAACTTTGAGGCGCCTAAAAAAACTGCGTGATAGAAGTCTAGTTTTGAGGCGCCTCAAAACTGGTCCTGCTCTCACCCCCCCCCGCTACACGCACCCCCCCTTCCCCTCTCGAACGCACAAAGAACCACCCAACTCATGCACCCCGGCACGCCATGAGCTGAGAGAACACCACTTGGTGGTGGTTTTAGCCATACGTGGCAGCGGGCTTGTAGAACACTTTGTTTAGAGAAAAATTCTTGCTCTGAAAAATCTATTTGAAAACGTAGGGCAAAAATTGATGGTAACTAGTTTCGGCAGGTGGCTGCCCTCATGCACCCCGGCACGCCATGAGCTGGCTGGCCCGTGATGGCCCACACTTTCTCCGATGTAGAACGTTGGCCTTGCAATGAGCGCACTCATGTGCGTGCGTGTGCGCACGCACCCAACACATACACGTGCCCTCGAACATGTGCCCTCGAACATGTGCCCTCGAACACGTGCCCTCGAACACGTGCCCTCAAACACGTGCCCTTGAACACGTGCCCTCGAACACGTGCCCTCGAACATGTGCATCCACACGCACAGACTTTTGGGGCGTCTCAAAAGCCCTTTGAGGCGCCTCGAAAGCCCTTTGAGGCGCCTCAAAAGCACTCGAACATGTGCCCTCGAACATGTGCATCGACACACACAGAAAACACCACTCACCCTATGAGCTGCCTCGTTATGGCTCGCACTTTCTCCGAGGGGTGGTTGCGGAAAGTGTTCACTCTCTTGCCTATCTCCGTCACCTGAGGCAGTGAGGCACGCGCAGCACAAGGGTACGCGGTTCAAAGGGGGGGGGGGATTGGGGGAAAGGGAAAGAGGGGGGGGAGGGGGGTGGCTTTGAGAGAACGATGGGGGTGGGAAATGGAGCTCAAATGAAGCCATTTCTTTTCCACCATAACCCTCTTTCCCAAGTGTAGTGCGACTTTCTCAGGGGAGTTTAAGACCCCCCACCCCTACACCATCACCACCCTGCTCCTCCCCACTCCCTCTCTACCCCAAATTCCCAATTTGCTCCTCTCATCCGATCCCTCACTTCCCCCCCTTCTCAACCCGAGAGCGTCCAAGGTCACTGCCATGTGCAGCACTGCTGGAGATGCGTTATAACGAATCAGCAAAGTACGTATTCCCCCCTCTCATCTTCCCCAACCCTCATCTTCCCCCCTCTCATCTCCCCCCCTCTCATCTCCCCCCTCTCATCTCCCCCCTCTCATCCTCCCCCCTCTCATCCTCCCCCTCTCATCTTCCCCCTCTCATCTCCCCCCTCTCATCTCCCCCCTCTCATCTCCCCCCTCTCATCTCCCCCCTCTCATCTCCCCCCTCTCATCTCCCCCCTCTCACCTCCCCCCTCTCATCTCCCCCCTCTCATCTCCCCCCTCTCATCTCCCCCCTCTCATCTCCCCCTCTCATCTCCCGCCCTCTCACCTCCCCCCTCTCACCTCCCCCCCTTATCACCTTCCCCCTCTCACCTCCCCTCCTCTCACCTCCCCCCTCTCATCTCATCCCCCCCTCTCATCCCCCCCCTCTCATCTCCCCCCTCTCATCTCCCCCCTCTCATCTCCCCCCTCTCATCTCCCCCCTTCTCACCTCCCCCCTCTCATCTCCCCCCTCTCATCTCCCCCCTCTCACCTCCCCCCTCTCATCTCCCCCCTCTCATCTCCCCCCTCTCATCTCCCCCCTCTCATCTCCCCCCTCTCATCTCCCCCCCTCTCACCTCCCCCCTCTCACCTCCCCCCCTTATCACCTTCTCCCTCTCACCTCCCCTCCTCTCACCTCCCCCCTCTCATCTCATCCCCCCCCTCTCATCCCCCCCCTCTCATCTCCCCCCTCTCATCTCCCCCCTCTCATCTCCCCCCTCTCATCTCCCCCCTTCTCACCTCCCCCCTCTCATCTCCCCCCTCTCATCTCCCCCCTCTCACCTCCCCCCTCTCATCTCCCCCCTCTCATCTCCCCCCTCTCATCTCCCCCCTCTCATCTCCCCCCTCTCATCTCCCCCCCTCTCACCTCCCCCCTCTCACCTCCCCCCCTTATCACCTTACCCCTCTCACCTCCCCTCCTCTCACCTCCCCCCTCTCATCTCATCCCCCCCTCTCATCCCCCCCCTCTCATCTCCCCCCTCTCATCTCCCCCCTCTCATCTCCCCCCTCTCATCTCCCCCCTTCTCACCTCCCCCCTCTCATCTCCCCCCTCTCATCTCCCCCCTCTCACCTCCCCCCTCTCATCTCCCCCCTCTCATCGCCCCCCTCTCATCCCCCCCCTCTCATCTCCCCCTCTCATCTCCCCCCTCTCATCTCCCCCCTCTCATCTCCCCCCTTCTCACCTCCCCCCTCTCATCTCCCCCCCTCTCACCTCCCCCTCACACCTCCCCCCTCTCACCTCCCCTCCTCTCACCTCCCCCCTCTCATCTCATCTCCCCCCTCTCATCTCCCCCCTTCTCACCCTGAGAGCGTCCAGGGTCATGGGCATGTGCAGCAGCGACTCCAGGTGCCGCACCAGATACTCGTTGTCCTGCGGAGGGACAAGCGGGGGGATGGGAGGGGGGAGGGGCGAGGGTGGAGAACATAGCAGGCGAGACTGGGAGCATTCCAGGCAAGGGGAGGGCAGAAAGGGGCCACCGGGAGTTGGGGGGAACGAGGGGGACGGTGGGGCGAGGGGGTGTGGAGTGGGGGATTTTAAGCGGGTAACGGAACTGAGGCGTGCAGCAGAGACGTAGTTGACCGCATGAGATGCTCGCTGTGATGGGGACAGGAGGACGGGTAGGCAGGGGCAAGGAGGACTTGACATTGCAGGTTGGGAGTGGTAAGACAGCTGTGATGTTTTGAGCCAGTCGAGATTGTTACACGGTAACTTTCTCAAACATAGTGTCACAATGACGTCAAATTACACAACAGATACGCGTACTGCATAGTATTGAGTGCGACGAGGTTGCGCGGGCAGGGGGGGGCAATTTGGGGGGAGGAAGGAGGGGGAGGGGAGGCAGGAGGCGAGGTAAGTTGAAATGACTTGGAGCGCTGCGCTCGGTAGCTCACGTAGTGAATGGAACGGTACCTGAATGATAACAATAACGTACTAAGGACACTTACCAGTCTGGACGGTCTAAGGAGGTCTTTAATCTCCTCAATCTGCTGCACCAGCCGGTCCTCCTCCTGAAACTGCTCCTCCAGCACCGCTGCTGCTGCCTCTCCCTCGTCCTCCTCCCACGCTCCCCCCTCCTCACCCCTCTCCGCTCCTCGTTCTACTCTTCTCCCCTCCCCGTTATTCGTCCTATCCCTCCCTCTCCCCCTCTCCCCACCTCTACCACCAGCGTTACCATAGCCGTTACCATAACCGTTACCATTAACGTCTTCGCTCTCTCTCATAACATCCGCATCCACATCTACATCCTCCTCCTCCCCCTCTTCCTCCTCTTCCTCCTCCTCCTCGTCCTCCTCCTCCTCGCTCTCAGACTCCTCGCTTTCGCCGAGCACGAAGACACACCCGCGCTTCTTCGCGCGTTTCGCCTCAACCTCCTTCGCTTCCTCCTTCTCATCCGCCTTCGCATATTCCCTCTCATCCGCTTCCTCACCGTATCTCGCCTCCCCTCCCAGATCCCTCTCGCCATCCATGCGTCCAGCAACCACGCCTGACGGCCGTCCTTCGCCTGACGGTCGTCCGTCGCCTGACGGCCGTCCATCGCCTGACGGTCGTCCATCGCCTGACGGTCGTCTCTCGCCTGACGGTTGTCTGTCGCCAGACGGCCGTCTACTCTTCTCGTCACTGCCTCGCCCTTCCGGTCGGTCTGTCGCTCGCCAGTCGCCCTCTTCCCTTTCTCGCCTCCCCCCCTCTCTCCGCTTCTCCTCATCATGTGTACCCCCTTCACCATACCCATCGCGTCTTTTCTCCCTCACTTCTCCCCCCTCGTCGCCGTCTTTCCGTCTGTCATCGTGACCAGAGGCGTTTCTATCCGTCGGATTCAGTCTATCCTTCCCGAAGTCCGCTCTCTCTGCGTCTGCGTCTCGTGCCTCACTTGTCGTTAACGGTTGCCGCTCCTCCGCTTGTGCCTGTTCTGTCGCTGCCCGTTCTGTCGCTCGTGGGGGTGTTACATCTCGCACGTGCGACTGGTGCGACGGGCGACCGAAGGTAAACAGTTTCTCCGCGATGCCGTCGCGTCGCAGGCGTAATTGCGCGGGAAAATCGGACGCGGCTACTCGCAGCGCTCGGTCGATGACCGTCCAGATGTCGGCTCCTGATTGGGTGAAATACTTCCGCCATCGCACGTCATCCTCCATGAGGATGTAACCCTGGTAACGCGTAACCCCAGTAACGCAAAATCCTGGTAACGCGCAACCCTGGTAACGCGCAACCCTGGTAACGCGCAACCCTGGTAACGCGCAACCCTGGTAACGCGTAACCCTGGTAACGTGTACCCAAGCAACAAGAAAGCGTGACCTCGGTATCACAAGGCCAAACTCCACCAGTGAACACTTTCCTCGAATTTGAAAGCAACTAAGTGCTCACGGCACTCCCTCGAGATCAAATCCGCGGAGAGCACGACTCAGCTCGAAGCGATTTGCGTCGGCCGGTCGAATTCCGCCGGTCAGTCAGAATCTTCAGCAGTCGCCGTGGTTCCGCACGCCGGTGAATGTGCAGACGACAGAGTCGGAAAACACGAGCTGAGCTTTTGAAAGGGAAAGGGACAGCCGCTGCAGCCGCAGGAGCAGCAGCAGCAGCAGCAGAAGTGGTGCTCCTCCCGAGTGCTGAAAAGCAGAAGCAAAGCAGGTGTGGTTGGTGGGAGGAGCAGGAAGATAGGCAGATGACCAGGAGCAAAACTGACTGCACGGAGTTCGCTACGGAGTCTGCATTGGGAAGGGATGAGTTGGACAGACGGCTTTGCTAGCGACCAGAGCTGTTTCTCGGGATCTCCGCTGTTCCTCATTCACTCCAGTTCCATTCCATCTCCTCCGTCCCGTCGCCGGCAGAGATGCACGCGCGGCGACGAAAAGTTGACGGATGGAAGACAGGCAGCGGCGCGGTTCTGGGGATTCTCCTGCATGGCTGGCAGATGCCATGGCATGCGATTGGATATGGGAAGCGGAAGGTCATGTCTTCATGATGTACGACATCCATGTGTGCGTGTGGGGTGGAGCCCAGGGTGAACGCGTTCCAGCGGACGCGATTGAGAGTTATCCGAGCAGGGACAGTGAGCTGTGGTCGTTTTCAAGCTGGGATCTAGGGACAGAAATGAGCCACATTCAAACCCATCACAAAGTAATTGATGAAGTTGTTAGCACATGAAGTGCTGAAGTAAATAATTTGAAAACGGAAATCCAGCTGTAATATCATATTGAAATCGGATTTTTCATTATTGACGAGAATATCAGTAGAGCACTTCTTCAGACCGATAGAAAGAGTGGAATGAAATCAGGGCTTATTTTATCAAGATTAAATCACTCTGATTCTCTGAAAATAAGAGTCGTTTTTTAAACACACTCTGATGGTCCTGGGTGAAAATTTGAAAGTATAAGTTTCTTTGATTTATCAGAGTTGGCCTATGTACCACCCTGAAGAGTTTTCAATGGGGGGGATGCTCAAAGATTTTTCCCTGTACTCTCGGTATTCGGCGAAGTCCTCTGTAACCAGTCACAACACACTTCTACCCCACGCAACCGAGGCACATTCCTCCTTCCCATACCCAACCCAACATAGCCCAGCTGTGACCAGTGCTGTTTGACTGGCCCTTACTGTCAATCACGCTAGTTTTCACATGTGTAACTTGGCACGGGGTTGACACATAAACATCGAACCTGTCGCAACACAGCAAAGGTGATTGGTACAGCACATGCGCCAGCCAATCACGGGCGTATTGTTTCTGCATGCTTCGCTCACAGGCAGCCAGGATTGGCTGTTATTTTTTCCCACGCGAAATGCCTGCCAGGGCGAGTTGCAGTTCTGACTGAGGACACGTTTTGTACCTGAGGCAAGCCCCGAGGGAAGAATTCGGGGCATCAAATACACGAATAGGCACGGGCGAGATCCCCTTACAACGTATCAAGAATTCGGGGATCTGGTTCGTCAAACTGATGCCCCAAAGTCCTGCCTAGGGACTTTCCCCGAGCATGGAACGTGCCCTGTCGAAGTATTTCGGAGCAGAGCCTGCAATGATTTTTTTGGGAGAACCCGACCGAGACATCCCAGTTTTCCAGCCTTCTGTACTGGGCAGATTTCGGCCAAATCTCTGTGAAGTTGCACATTTCAACGTTCATTCAGCACAAGTCTTGAGCACGGAATCGAAGGGGGTGTGTATATGGCACGCGCCTAGAAAAAAAGTGTGGTGCGATTTGGCACTCTTCCGGGATAATGCAGCACGGTGCGAAATAGCCGTGGGGCGTGAATCATGGGGATCGGAGTTTTTATTTATTTATTTATTATTATTATTATTATTATTACCAAAAGGGGTACACTCTATCTCCATGGCATGTCTCAGCCCTGTTGGTCCAGTGCAGATCGCATCAAGGATGCCCTTGACCAGAAACATGTTCCTTTTAAAAAAGGCATTCAAAGCCAGAAAGGGGCTCGCTGCGCACTTTACGGTCATTAGCACAACCCTTCTCGGTGATTGGAGAAGAGTGACGGTATAAACCTTTGTGGCTGCCGAACGCCGTCCGATCTCACGTCAAACATTTCCGAAACCAGGGATGGAGATATGCGTGTGCCTCATCGCACAGCATCTGATATAAGAACGCCGCCGAATCGGGCTACCTGGCTGGCGCCTCCCCCCACTCCCCACGCAAAATTCAAATCCGCACCTTGACGGGGCACCTTGCATGCGTGGCGGCTCCAGTATTGCGGCTCGGCTATGCACAACGCAAGCTTCTCGTGTGGATGTACGAACGAACAGCGTATCTGTCACTTCATAACAAAGTACTACATATCTGGTGTTTCGTACCACTCGACACAGCAGAGTCTAACTTGATTCGTACGATCACAGAGTGACGTCATGGCTCCCACTAGTCGTTGCACGCTGGCTATCCTTCTTTTGCTTGCTTTAGCCTACATTGCCAGTGCAGCCGTTGCGCCCACAGCAACAGCAGGCCCCAAGTGCAAGAACGCCTTTCCCCAGCGGCCGCTGTGCAAGTTCGTCGATAGCTTGGCAACCCGCATTATCCCCACGCTCGATGGCACCAAGCCGCTCACCATTGGCGCCTACCAGATATACCAGGTAACTGTCAAAGCAATTTTTTCGCGTTAATCGCCACCAGCGACCAACGGTAGTCGCTCGCTCAGCTGCCTTCAATTCGTAAGTCCGTGCGCAATGAAGCCGCGCTAACTCCAGTGGTGTTCCTCCGGCTGATTCTCCCCCGTGCAGAAATTCCACCGCGACCTGCCGGCGACGAAGCAGTACGCGTACGGCACGAGCCAGAAGACGGCGTCGTACCCCGGCCCCACCATCGTGGCGAAGGTCGGCATCGACACGACGGTGACGTGGGAGAACCACCTGCTGGACAACACGCACATGTTCACCGTCGATCCCACCATCATGATGGGCGTCAAGCTGCCGACCAAGGGCATCCCCATCGGTAAGGGCTTTCCGATGCGGTGAAGTTAGCCATTTCCCTGGCGCGTTTTGCGCTTCAGCGGCAAATGCTTTTTGTTCGGCTCTAGTAGGCATTCCCGTTGAAATTAGTGTGCAAACCGTTTTCCTCCCCGCAGTGGTTCACCGGCACGGCGGTAGCCAGCAGAGCTTGTACGACGGTCATCCTCTCGCGTGGTTGAACCAGTACGGCGAAAAGGGCCCCACCTACGCCACCAACGTGTACAAATACGTCAACGACGAGGCGTCCACCGTCTGGTACCACGACCACATGGCGGGGATGACGCGCCTTAACGTCGTCGCGGGTCTCGCCGGGCTGTACATCATCACGGATCCCAAAGTCGAGTCGAAGTACACGTGGCTGCCGCCTGCCAGCCGCACGGTTCCGCTCGCCATCGCCGATCGGCTGTTCTTCGCGAACGGGTCGGTGAACTATCCGAACGTGGGCATCGTGCCGAATGTGCACCCCAACTGGATTCCGGAGTACTTGGGCGACACCAACATGGTCAACGGCGTGGTACGTTGCACTGGCAGCTTTCACCTGCTGAAAGAAATTGCATCTCTGCGATGCGTCAGGCAGTGTCTGATTCGGTTCCCTCATCTTCTCCCGCAGGTTTGGCCGTACCTCAAGGTTCGACCTGCGATGTATCGTTTCAAGATGCTGGGTGCGGCGAACGCGCGTTTCTACAACCTGCAGTTCGTGTGCGCCCAGCGCGGCGATTACCCCAACTTCGTGCCCCCGCTCAAGGGTCAGGTCCTCGACATGGTCATTGTAAGTGAAAGAGTACTCCTTACATTGGAGGCCTTTTCTTTTTGTATATACCAGGTAAATGGTACCTAGTACCGTTCACGCCTATTTTAACTACCGCGCTGTAACACCTTCTGTTTACCGACAGATCGCGAGCGACGGTGGTTACATGGCGAAGCCGGTGTACAAGAAGTCGCTGCTGCTCGTGCCGGGCGCTCGCCAGGACGTTCTCGTGGATTTCTCCAACCTGCCCGCGACATGCAAGGACGTGATTCTCCAGAACACCGCTGCCGCGCCATTCCCCGCTGGTGTCACCGCTGACCGCGACACCGGGCTTGTCATGCGCTTCGTGCTGACCAATCGCAAACGCTTCCCAGCTCCTAAGCTCCCAAGCTCCATCTCTGTAAGAGATTTCGAGCCTGTCCTCGTCCCGGTTTGCCACAACTGCACATTGCGGGTGCGCTCTTTTCACGGTTCCTTGAAAAACTGCTGAATTCGAACGCCAAATCTTTGGCTTATCCCCAATCGCAGTACTTGCCACCGATCAACTACAAGAACATCCAGAAGGTTCGCTGGCACCGCCTGATCGAGCAGATGGACCCCAAGACCAACCTGCCCATCCGCATCACCATCGACAACCTCGGGTTCATGGATCCCGTCACCGACTTCCCCAAGCAGGTACAGTACATAATATATTTAGTTTTCTATAAAAAGATTCTATCTACTTCTACCGCTCAATTCAAAAGCCTTGGGGATCTCCTCACTGATTTTTTCCGTGCAGGGCACGAACGAGCTGTGGCACATCATCAACCTGTCGGCCGACGCCCACCCCTTCCACATCCATCTCGTCGACCACCGCCCCGTGGCTCGCCGTCCCTTCGACGTCGTGGCGTTCCAGGCTGGAAAGTGCTCGTTCACCAAGAAGAAGCTCCCCACGTGCTGGACTGGGCCTCGAGTTGTCGTTGATCCCTCCGAGGACGGCTGGAAGGACACCACGCCTGCGTATCCCGGCCAGGTGCTCACGCTGTGGCTTGGTTGGAAGGATAACAACGGCAAGCCGCTTAAGTTTGACGCGAGCGTGGGGCCGGGGTACGTGTATCACTGCCACATGCTGGACCACGAGGATAACGACATGATGCGCCCGTTTAAGGTAGTTAAGTAAGCGGCAGCTGGATTGTCGGTTGCTAACCTTAGGGCATCGTAGGTTCGATTAAGTGATTCAGGTTTAGGAGTTCTGGAAACACGTAGGAAAGTGCGACTGCCTCGGTAGTTTCGAGTTTCGAGCGTCAAGCTGAAGCAGTAGCTGACGTGGAAGATGGGTGATGAGGCATGGGCATCCCGACTCACCCCTACTGATTGTAATTGGCAATACTTTATTTTGACCCACCCCAAATGTCTTCCGATGAATACCGTAAGCTGAATTCTGAGACGAATTATTCCCCTCCTGAAAACGCTGACACCTCCTTTCCCCCCTCCCTTCCCCTCCTAATACCACCACTGCTTCGCTGAACTGTGTGGTTGAGGGCATGGCTGGGGGAGGCTGAGGGGGTTTTACGGTAGGCTAAATCTCAAATCCAACTGAGGACGGCTGGAAGGACACACGGTGCTGAATCTGGTTTGGGTGGCATGATGCCCTCAGCAAACCCTCTCCAGTTCGATGCGAGCGTCGGGCTGGGCTATGTGTACCACTTCCACATGCTGGACCACGAGGACAAGGACATGATGATGAGGCTGTTCAAGGTCATCAAGTGCGTGTAGCGGGAGGAACCTGTGCCTCTGGCCGTCTAGGTCTAATGCGCTCATTCGGGGGCTTTGCTTAGCTTATGGTAGCTTGATGCCTGCTTGAGTGGTAGCTTTTGATGTTTCGGCAGTACGTACGTATGGGAACGGGAATCTAGGGGCGATGTTATTGATGTTAGCTATCCTACTATGGTTATTAATGGAGTGTTCGAATCCTGGAATCTGGCTGGTAATAATTTTGGAATAAAATATGTTGCAGAAAAAGTTATTGGCAACAAAAGGAACGGCAAAAACTACGCTTTGAACTTCTCTCTGCCATGGCAAGCACACACATGCACAGAAGCTGCTGATGAGAGCACGATGTCTGATGCCAGTCCGCCCATGCTGACATCATCACAGCCATGTTCCTACCTTACCATCAAGCACCATGCTGGCCTGGCCACTGCTCCCCTAAGGCTGCCCCACAGCCCCCATGGCCCCCATAGGTCCTCCTGGGCCACCCAGGAAGCCCACCAGATTGCCGCCCCACTGCGTGCCCGAGTCACTGTTCACCGCCAGCACTGCCAGCCCAGAGGCGTTAACTGCTGCTGACACCGCTGCTGCAGCTGCCTCAGCCGTCACAGTGGCAGGGGAGGTGCCATCGCTGCTGCCCGAGAAGAGTGCGGCAGTTGCCTTTGCCAGGGAGGAGAACATGTCGGTGTCCTGCCCGTCGTCCTCGCCAGAAGCAGCCTTGCTAGCAGACACCGTCTCCTCCTGGCCTCTGCTGTCGGGCCAAAACAGCCCCAGCAGCCTCCTGCCCATCATGGGCGCGAGAGCGCCAGGCGCAGGAAGGCTGCCTGGTGCTGCGATGCTAGTGCCGTTGGGAGGAGGGGGGAGGGAGCCGTTGAGAGGAGGGGGGAAGGAGCCGTTGAGGGGAGGGGGGAAGGAGCCATTGACCGTTCTATTGAAGGCAGGAGGCAGGGTGCCGTTGAAGGTGCCATTCGAGGGAGGGCCCATATGAGGAGGAAAGGGGAAGCTGCCGTTGATGGTGCCGTTGGGTGCAAAAGTCCCATTGAATCTCCCATTAGGAGGGAACTGCCCAATGCCGCCAACGGGAGGGAAGGGCATGGTGGAGTTGGCAGGGGGGTCAGGCAGCGTGGCGTTGGGCACGCCGGTGAGAATGGCCTCCACTGCAGTGGCATCCGCGTCCTCAACAAAGCCCTGCAGGTGGGCCTCGGCACGCAGCAGCCACCACCCCGAGTGTCCCACCCACTTCTCAGCGCTGGCCTGCAGAGACAGAAGCTGGGCGGTAGAGGAGTCGCAGGGCGCGCCCTGCACGATGACGAGCGAGTCGGGCGACGCGCCGGAAACGTCGAGCAGCAGCGCGCCAAAAAACAGGTTGTAGTGGCCCGACGCGTTCTTAAAAATGTCCATGAAGAACGCACCAGGCGCCGAGGGGGACGCGGAGGAGGAGCAGTTGGCAAGGGGGGCGGAAACGTGGCCTGTGAGATTTCCCACCACCGTCAGATTCAAAGGACAGCCGCCACGCCCTCCAGGGCCGCCTGGGCCCCCAGCTCCCGGTCCCATGCCTCCCGGCTGCGCAACAGCTGCGAGGCAACACGCGTATCGTGAAAAAGAGGGGTTTCAAATCTGTCTTTGAAAGAGACATTCTGGTGAGATTCACGTGCCTCTCCCCATGGGAGACATGGAGAAATGGAAGGAGAATTTCAGGCAAGTCGAGCTATTAGGAAGGATTATAGGCTTACCAAGAATGACACCGAGAACGAAGAAAAGCGCCGTTGGCTTGAGCACGCCTGCCATGGTTGAGAAGATCAGTTGGCAGAATGACTGGTCTCAGTAGGGAAGAAGTATGATATTACCAGAGAGGGCAGGCAGTAGGGAAAGACACCTGTTTTCGAATCTCGATGTCTAAAAAATCTGCCCCCCTCCTTTTCAACTGCGGCCTCAATTTCGCCTCCGAAGCGCGCTCAATCTCGACTCTCGTCGGTTTGGGTTGACTTGACGAGTCGCGAACAGCTCGAAGGCCGATGAGCAACGAATGGTCAATGGCGGTGGGAAATGTGGGCGGCCTGATCCCCAGCTGCCAAGCCCTCGTGACAACCGAACGTGATGGCTGTTCGAAGGCAAAGGGGAGGTTTGCTGAACCTCCTCACGTCCCACTTTCCTCGATATAGTTTACCTCAGCACTATAAGGCATCATGTGTGGTGTGGTGTGCCAATAATAGCTGAGGGTATATGATGGGACTGCACAACATGAAAATGCGTTTTAAGATGACTACAGAATGTCTCTTGGGTCGTGAAGTGACTCTTCAGCATGGGTTGTGTGAGGGTGGATCTACACAACACACTTCTGCATCAGGGTGGCAACACCCAAGGAAACATGGTCCTATAACTTGGTCCTCTTTCTCATTAGAGTCTAAGAAACAACCACTTCATAAAAGAAGGGTCCAAGCCCAACCCACCCTTATGATAAGGCTCCTCAGGGGAGTTTACCCTTATATCCAGAGGCCTGCCTCCCACTCTTCCCGCCACTCTTCCTCCTGCCACTCTTCCTCCGAATCTTCCTCCCCCAACTGTTCATCTCTATTTCTGCTGCTCCTGCCCTCCTCGCCCCTACGATAACCTGCCCACCTGGCCCACTTCATTTGGATTATAAGGGTGCCGGCACCACCGCAGCATCGGCATGTTGTGGAGAGATGGTGGCAGCCGAGCCAGCTGCTCACACTTCCAAACATCAATTTCCCTCAGCTGGGGCAGCTCCAGAAAAGATCCGGGCAGGCGGCGGAGCCTTGCCAGGGTAAACCCTGCTGCTGCTGCTGTAAGTCTGAGGCCCAGCCTTCCACTCAACTTACAGTTGGGGTGTGAGTTGAAATCTGAAGCCCACCCTTCCCACTCAACTTACAGTCGGGGTGTGAGTTGAAGTCTGAAGCCCACCCTTCCCACTCAACATACAGTCGGGGTGTGAGTTGAAGTCTGAAGCCCACCCTTCCCACTAACTTACAGTCGGGGTGTGAGTTGAAGTCTGAAGCCCACCCTTCCCACTAAACTTACAGTCGAGGTGTGAGTTGAAGTCTAAAGCCCACCCTTCCCACTCAACTTACAGTTGGGGTGTGAGGATGGAGGATGGAGGATGGAGGATGGAGGATTGTGATGTAGTGAACCTATTTTCGACAGGCTACCCGCGTTTGTGCGCTTTCGAGCGTTTGGCATTTGAATGCAAGCGTTAAAACGCAAAACGCTCGCCGGAGGTTTTTTTTCCAACATTGCAGGACAGGGGGAGGTGAAACCTTCGAGGGAGCACGAGGGCAAGTCATGAGAGGAGCAGTGATGAACCTTCGGGTTGAAACACCCCCCTCTGGCTCGGGCGATTGCATGCCAGAGGAGGGGACCCCTCTGCCCCTTAATCGGCCTAAACCCCCTCCCTTTCCAACCCCTCTTCCCTGCCATACTCTCACCCTACCATGGTTCTTCCACTCCTCCTTGGTCACTCCTCAACTTACTCAGGGGATTTCAAGCCCCACCACCCCCCCTCTTCTCCCATCCCTCTCACCCAAATACCCGGGGGGTTTCAGCCCCCCCCTCCCCTCTCCCGCTCACTCAACTTACATTGGAGTTTGCAAGCGCCCTCCGTTGCCCTTCACTCAACTTACCCAGGGGGGTTTCAGTCCCCCCCTCTCCTCTACCGCTCACTCAACTTACATTGGAGTTTGCAGTCACCCTCCGTTGCCCTGCACTCAACTTACCCAGGGGGGTTTCAGTCCCCCCCTCTCCTCTCCCGCTCACTCAACTTACATTGGAGTTTGCAGTCGCCCTCCGTTGCCCTTCACTCAACTTACCCAGGGGGGTTTCAGCCCCCCTTCTCCTCTACCGCTCACTCAACTTACATTGTAGTTTGCAGACGCCCTTCGTTGCCACTCACAGCTTAAACCCGGGGGTTTCAGCCCCTCCGTTCCCTCTAGCCCCCACCCAACTTACGTTGGTGTTTGCAGACGCCCTCCTTTGCACCAGCTCCAAGCAGGTTTGCCTCCCAACCCCCACCTCCCCACCTACCCCCCCTCCCAGCACTGAGAGCAGCGTGCAACACACTCCCCTTGGGAAACAGCACCCCCCATGGCTGTGCCTTGTGGTGCAAGGAGTGGCAGTGGAAAATGCACAGGCGGCCCAAGACTCGAATCCCGCCGCATAACGTAGCAAGAGGGGACTCCCAACCAGAGCCGGCGCGCACGGCTCTGGCCGGTTCCATTATGCCTTAACGCCTGCTTTGTTACTTGAGCACCGACTGCCGTGCCACACATTTTCCACTGGCCACACCCGAGCCATCAGCCAGAACCACAGTGGGTGCTACCCCTTAGGAAGCGAGCTGCACACATGCTCCTGTGCCCTCCCTCCCTCCCATCCATCCTCCTTCCCTTACCATCGCACCTCCTTACCTCCACCTACCAGCCATGCAGAGCACCACGAGGGTTGAAGCAGCCGGGGAGTGAGGGGATGCGGGGGGGGAGGGGGAGGGGGGGTTGAGTGGGGGGACTCCTCTCCTTGTGCTGTGAGTGCCCATGCCTTGGGCTTGCAGGAGCACACCTGGCGCTGGGAGGGGAGGAGAGGGAGAGGGGGTGGTGAGTGGGGGGGACACCTTCTCTCCTGCTGTGAGCAGCCATGCCTTTGCCTCCCCACCAATGGAGCACACACCTGGTGAAGGAAGGAGGAGGGAGAAGGGGTGGTGAGTGGGGGGACACCTCCTGTCCTCCTGTCCTGGGCTGTGAGCAGCCAAGCCCATGAGTGCAGAAGCACACCTGGCGGCGGGAGGGAGCAGATGGAGTGAGAGATGTGAAGCATGACCAACCACGTGTCATGCCATGCCATGCCATACCTTACCTTACCTTGTACCTCTCTCACACTAGCCAGCCCTCTAGCTACCAAGCCCCCCCTACTGCTGCTTCTGCTGCTGCGTCTGCTTCCGCTGCTGCTGCTGCTGCTGCTGCGTCTGCTTCTGCTGCTGCTGCTGCTTCTTCTAAGTGCCACCGAGTGAGCTGCTAGGGAGGGGAAAAGGGGAGGGAAAGGGGAGGGGAGGAGAGGAGTGAGTGAAAAGCAGGATAGGAGAATGACAAGAGGATGGGGAAACTGAAAGGAACAAGCCAGCATGATGGAAGAAATGCGAACAAGCAGTTGCAGAGGAGAAAGCAGTGAAGAGCAAAGAGCGGGATTGGGGGGGTTGGGTGCGAGTGGGGCTCACCTTGTGTGCTGGACCCTCCACCCATGCTCTCCCTTTGCTGCCCGCTGCAGTGCTCCCTTCCCTTGCTCCCCCACCCCTGCACCGCCACAAGGGGAGGGGCGCGGGGGGCGTCGGTGTTGACCCCCACGCCCCTCCCCCCCACCTGCAACAGCCACGCACACCCACAGTCAGTGGGCAGTCAGTAGCCAAAGCGAGAAAAGGTAAATATGCAGGGAAGAGGGGAAAGGAGACGGAGGACCGCTGGTGCAGCTGCCCACAACCCACAGACCCAAGGGGAATACCTGCAAGGGGTGAGCTGGTAGGTCTTAGCGAAGCCTTATTTGAGGGCTGTACGTGTAGTAGCGGGCCTGTGAGTCATAGGCTGCTGCACCAGTGGTCGATTTTAAGAGACGGGGGGAACGGAGGAGGGGGGGGGCGGGGGGGATAAGGTGGGGGGGGGGGGGGAGGAGAATGGGGGTTAATACAAGGAGGTGCATTGTAAGTCAGGGAGGAGGGTTACTCATCTGAAATCATGCTCAAGGTGTTGCTGCCGCCGTTGATGCTGCTCCCTCCACCACTCCCCACCTCTTCACCCTTCCTTCCACCACTCCTCTCCCCTCCTCCTCTCCCTTCCACCTCCCCTCCCCTCCTCTCTCCCCAGCCTCAGTTGCCAAAGGGAAGCAGCCGCATGCGAGGCCATGAGGAGGGATGAAGGGGGGTGGGAGTGGCAGAGGGGAGGTTAGAAGCTCGGACTGGTGCTCCATGCTGGTGGGTGCTGAAGAGTGGATGTGGGTGCTGAAGAGTGGATGTGGGTGCTGAAGAGTGCATATGAGTGGGTGCGGGTGGTGGTGCGTGTGAGTGTGTGTGGTGAAGGGTGGTGGTGAAGGGATGGGAAGCCAAAGAACTCACAGAGCGGATGAGAAGACCTCAGTTGCAGTGGCAGCACGCACAGGCCACAGACCAGGGGTATGCAGGGGGATTTAGAGGGTAGCTAGTAATGGCTCTAAGGGCTTTAAAGGGGGGGCATTACCTAGGGGGGCTTACCTGGGATGCCTGGTCTGTGGCCTGTGCACTGGGCTGCAACCAGAGGCGCTGTTTGATGTGCATGGAATGGGATGGAGCATGGGGTGCATGGGATGACATGGTGTGACATGGGATGGGGTGGCATGGCATGGTGTGGAGTAGCGTGAATGGGTCAAGGCAGGTAGAGAGTACTTAGCTTGAAGCTTCTTCTGCTGCACTCCTCCTATCCCATGCCCCTGTTGCTCCAGCCCCTGCTGCTGCTGCTGCTGCTGCCTCTACTGCTGCTGCTGCATCCAAGTGCCACCACGTGAGCTGTTAGGGACGGAAGAGGGAGAGGCGGGAAGGAGACGACATGAGCCCTTGAGCACTTGCAGCAAGGCAGGATGTGAGAATAAGGAGTACCAGAAACCAATGAGCGCGCTTAGGCAGTTAAAAAACCACAGAACGCACAGAGCGGATGAGAAGACCTCTGCTGCAGCAGCACAGGCCACAGACCAGGGGTATGCGGGGGGGTGTTAGAGGGTAGCTAGTAATGGCTCTAAGGGCTTTAGGGGGGGGGGTAACCTGGGTGGGGGGGTTTACCTGGAGGCCTGGTCTGTGGCCTGAGCACTGGACTGCAACCGGAGGCGCTGCTTTGCCATGCATGGGATGACATGGGATGGCATGACATGGTGTGAAATGGTGTGGTGAGGTGTGGTGTGGTGTGCATGGGTTAAAGCAGGTAGAGAAGAAGGAATACTTAGCTTTCCATGCAGCCGGGTGAGCTGCGTTGCTGCAGCCCTCCCTCGTTGCCCCTGTTGCTTCAACCGCTGCTGCTGCTGCTGCTGCTGATTCCAAGTGCTACGCCGTCAGCTGCGAGGGAGGGAAAACGGAGAGGCAGTGAGAGAACGAAATGAGCACTGGCAGCAAGGCAGGATGCCAGCATGTCAAGCACGGGAAACCAAAGAGTGCGCATAGGTAGAGCGGAAACCAAAGAGCGTGCATGGGCAGAGCGGAAAGCAGGAGAAGTACTGTACAGATGACTTGCATGGCGGACGAGAAGACCTCTGCTGCAGCAGCAGCAGCACAGGCCACAGACCAGGGGTATGCGGTAGGGTTTTAGAGGGTAGCTAGTAATGGCTCTAGGGGCTTCACAGAGAAGGGGGGGGAGGAGGACCAGGGGGTTGTGGGGAGGGGGGGTTTACCTGGAAGCCTGGTCTGTGGCCTGCACACTGCACTGCAACCAGAGGCGCTGTTTTGGCATGCATATAAATGGGGTGAGGGTGCATGGGATGGTGAGGAATGCAGAGGGGGGTGTGGCATGCATGGGTTGAGGCAGGCACCAGGGAGGGACGGGATACTTAGCTTGTGTTTGTAGAGTGGCGCCGAGTGAGCTGCTGCTCTGCCGCCGGCCTGCCTTACCCTTGCTGGACCCTCGCCTCTCCTCCCACTGCCGCTGCTGCTGTCGCTGCTCCAAAGTGACACCGAGCAAGCTGTCGGGGAGGGGAAGGAAGGGGGGCACAAGGGAGGGGAGGGGAGGAGACAAGAGGGTGCAGGGCGAGATGCGGAACGTGAACGGGCAAGAGCAGATGAACGAGCGGCGTGCATTGAAGGCTATCACAAGGAAGCTCACCATCTCTGCTGGACCCGCCACCCCATGCTCTCCCTTTGCTGCCCGCTGCTGTGCTCCCTTCCCTTGCTCCCACACTCCCACACCAGTCCACCGCCCAGGGAGGGGCGCAGGGGAGCACCAGTGTTGACACAGTGAGGCCCTGCAGCGGGATGGGGGGATGGAACGAGCAGAGAGACGATTAGAAGGAGGAGGAGCACCTTGGCAGATGGGATTTGGTGGGGTGGGAATGGGTACGAATGGGTGGGAATGGGTGGTGATGGACGATTATGGTGAGCAATGATGGGTGGTGAAGGGTGGTGATGGGTGGTGATGGGTGAGAACTTACATGAGAGAAGAGAATACCTCAGTCGCACCAGCAGCAGCACATGCCACATACCAGGGTGACTAGTAAAGGCTCTAGGGGTTTGGGGGGGGACTACCAGGGGAGTGTTTACCTGGGATGCCTGGTCTGTGGCACGTGCACTGCGCTGAAACCAGAGGCGCTGTTTTAAGGGATGTGGTATGCATGGCATGGGATGGGTTGAAGTGTATGGCATGGCAAGGCGAGGGATGCGAAGTGTGGTGTGGCATGCATGGGTTGAGACAGGCAGGTACCAGGGAGAGAGGACTTAGCTTCTCATTGTAGAGTGGTGCCGAGTGAGCTGCTCTGCTGCACTCCTTCCTTACCCTGCTGTTCCCACTGCCACTCCAACTGCCACCACCACTGCTGCTGCTGCTGCTGCTGCTGCCGCTTCAAAGTTCCAGCCAGCAAGCTGCCAGGGAGGGAGGAGAAGGGGGTCAAAGGGGGGGGGGAGGGGGAGGAGAGCAGTGGGTGCAAGGCGGGATGCAGAATGGCGGAGACCAGAAAGCAAGTAGTGTGCACCAGCAACAGCGGAGCAGAACCACAACAGGAAAAGAAGGGCATAGGGAGGGAGCTCACCTTGTGTGCTGGACCCGCCACCCCATACTCTCCCTTTGCTGTGGTCCAAGTGCTTCCCTTGCGCCCACACTCCCACACTCAAAACCGCCGCTTGTTGAGATTCGCATGGGAGAGCAGCGACACTGACCCTCACAAGGCCCTGCAGCAGGATGTGCGGATGGGGAAGAGAATCCAGACGGTCAGACGCAGCTGCTGGAAGGTGATGAGTGGTGATGGGCGATTATGGTGAGTAATGATGGGGTGGGATGGGTGGTGATGGGTGATGATGGGTGGGTGTGGAAACCACAGGACTTACAATGTGGAGAGCACGAAGGTCTCGGTTGAAGCAGCGGCAGCACAGGCCACCACAGACCAGGGGTACGGGGGAGGGGAGTAAGGGCTGTAAGGGGTTTAGGGGGGGGATTACCAGAGGACCGTTTACCTGGGGAAGCCTGGTCTGTGGCCTGTGCACTGCGCAGCAGCCAGAGGCGCTGTTATGGCATGGCATGGCAAGGGATGCATAGTGTGGTGTGGCATGCATGGGTGTGGTATGCATGGCATGGCAAGCAAGGGATGCATAGTGTGGTGTGGCATGCATGGGTTAAGGCGGGTACCAGGGAGGGAGGACTTAGCTTATCATTGCAGAGTGGCGCCCAGTGAGCTGCTCTGCTGCACTCCTGCCTTACCCCTCTCCTGCCTCGCCTCTTCGACTGCTGCTCCAACTGCCCCCCCCCACCTCCTGCTGCTGCAGCTGCCTCTGCTGCTGCTGCTGCTTCCAAGTGCCACCGCGTGAGCTGCTAGGGAGGGAAGAACAGGAGGCAGAAAGGAAGGGACATGAGCAGTGAGAGCAGAGGATGCCAGATTAAAGGAACCAGAAGCCAACAAGGGTGAACACGCAGTGCGGAAACCAAAGAGCTCACAGAGTGGATAAGATGAAACCACTGCTGCAGCAGCAGCACGCACAGGCCACAGACCAGGGGGTTATGCAGGGGGGGGTTACAGGGTAGCTAGTGATGGCTTTAACGGCTTTAAGGGGGGAGTAACCCGGGGGGGGGGGGGGGTGGTTACCTGGAAGCCTGGACTGTGGCCTGTGCACTGTGCTGCAACCAGAGGCGATGTTATGCATGACATGGAGTGGGGTGGGTGCATGGCACGGCAAGGGAAAGGGTGGTGTGGCATGCATGGGTTGAGGCACGAACCAGGTCAGGGATACTTAGCTTATCATTGTAGAGTGGCGCCCAGTGAGCTTCTCTGCCGCACTCCCGTCTTACCCTGCTGCTGCTGCCTCGCCTCTCCTCCCACTGCCGCTGCAAACGCCACGGCCACTGCTGCTGCTGCTGCCGATTCAAAGTGCCACCAAGCAGCCTGGTGACGGGGGCATAAGGGCGGGGAGGAGACCACTGGGTGCAGGGCTGGATGCAGAGTGGCGAAACCCTGAAAGCAATCAACATGCACCAGCAGCAGCACAGCAGATGCAGAGCGGGAGTTGACGGGCACAGGGGCGGAGCTCACCTTGTGTGTTGGACCCGCCACGCCACCCCATACATACTCTCCCTTTGCTGCTGGTCGACTCGCTCACTCTCCCCCCCGCTCACTTGCTCCCACACCCCCACGTCACTGCACCGCCACCAGATGAGGGGCGCAGGTGAGCGCCCGTGCTGACCCCCACACGGTTCTGTGGATGATGGGGAGAAGGGGGAGAGAAGAGCGGCGATTAGCGGCATGGAGGCAGCTGCCGGTGGGTGGTGGTGAGTGGTGATGGGTGGTTGTGGTGAGTAACGATGGGTGGGATGGGATGGGAATGAAGGGCGGTGATGGATGGGTGTGGTTACCACAGGACTTACAGGTGGAGAGCAGAGAAGACCTCTGTTGCAGCAGCAGCAGCACAGGCCACAGACCAGGGTACGTGGGGGGGGATAACGGGGGGTACCGAGTAAGGGTTGTAAGGGGGGGGGTTACCAGGGGGCTGTTTACCTGGGGATGTCTAGTCTGTGGCACGTGCATCCGGCTGCAACCAGAGGCGTTGTTTTGGTGTGGTATGGATGGCATGGCATGGGGTGGGGCGTGGCGTGCATGGGTTGAGGCGGGTACCAGGGAAGACGATACTTAGCTTTCTGCTGCCTTCGCTCCTTCCCCTGCTGCGCCTCTCCCACCACATCCCTCCAACTCCAGACGGCCCCACCACTCCAACGCCAGCCAGGCCCACCACTCCAACTCCTTGCGCCAATGGGGGGAGCATGTACCGGGGGCGGGGGGAGGGGGAGAAGGAGACGGGTGGTGGCATGAGCAGGCGTGCAATGTGCAGCAATGACTCGGAAGGAAACAGCACGGCGACTCTCTAGGCGGCCTGGCTTATGACGCCTACACGCCCCCCAACGTGCGTGGCTCCCCAGCCATACCTTAGCATGATGAACCCAAGGGAAGCACGTGCCAACCAGAGCCAGTCGCCCCTCCTGCTGCTGCTGCTGCACGCTGCTGCGTGCTGCTGCGTGGTGCTGCCTCGGCACTCCACCAGTCCACCGCGTGTCACAGCAGCCAAGGGGCGCGCACGCCAGAAGGAGTCAGTGGGGGATGTGGCACGTGGGGGGGGCGGAGGGGGGGAAAGAGGGGACGAGAAGGGAAAGGTGGTGGCATGAGTAGGCGTGCAACTTGCAGGAATGACTCCAAGTAAAACAGCACGGCGACTCTCTAGGCAGCCTACACGCCCCCCCCGGTGCGTGGCTGCCGAGCCATACCTTGGCAGAGCAGGCGACACGAAAGGAGGGGCTGCTGGCGACCACCAGCAGCGCGCCAATGCGTCACTGCATGCTGCCACTGCCGCCCAACGTTTGCAGCCACCACCGGCCAGGCTCCACAGGGTCGCCTCGTTGGAACATACCAGAAGAGACGCGCACAGGAGGAAGAGCGCAACAGGGGGAGAGAGAGAAGGGGAGAGCACAGAAGGGGGGAGCAAACACAGCTTTGTTAGAAGGTGCAGGAAACGGGCAAGGACTCGACGCAAGGCAGCTGACTCGAGACGCTCTAGCGGCGGCCTACTCGTCCCCCCGAAAGAACTCCCCGCGAACTCACCAGGCTGGTCAGTTGGCTGGATGGTCGGTTGGTTGGCTGGATGGTTGGTTGGTTGGCTGTAGTCCATCCCAGGCGGCGGAGGCCCCACGCAGAGGACGTGCGCCATTGACGCGCTGCCTGGCGGCGTTGAAACGCAGACGACCACACTTGGAACGTTGTCGTCCGGGTTGAAACGTTGACGTCCAGCCTTGCTACGCTGACGTCCGGCTTAAAACGCTGACGTCCAGCCTTGAAACGTTGAGTTGTGATTGCGCTCGGTGGCCTGCAAGCGAGGGAGAGAAACAAATATGAGCATCAGGCGACGAACCAAAGGAATTCGCTGGAAGAGGGAAAAACGACCGAGTAAGAAGCAGAAGCGCGAGCAGGACAAACCTCGAAGTCGATTCTCGTCGCTGTTGCGAGCGTCGCGAGATGCGCCAACAGCAGCAGTGACCGCGGTGCTCGTCCTCCACGCGCCAACGAATCACGCGGCTGAAAAATCGCCGACAAAGGTGACTTTCGTCAACGCTGCGAAATCGCCGACGCGCGATGCAAATCGCCGCTGTTGAAAATCTTTGACGCTTGAAATCGCCATCGCTGCGAAATCGTCATCGCAAAAGTGGCTGAAAATCGCCAACGCCGCTGGAAATTGCACTCGCCAAGGCGTCTGAAAATCGCCGATGTTGCTGAAGTTGGCAGCGCTGCTGACGAGCTGATGTTCTTTCGGTTTCTAGCAGCAGCAGTCAAATTTTCGAGGAGAACGAGCATAATCTCGGCAGGCGGAGAGCTAACGCAGAATGAAAGAGTGCAGAATGGAATGGGAGAGGCAACAAATTGATCTGGTGACGTGCTTGGGAGGGACCAAACTCGCTCGGCCTACGCTGGGAGGGAGGAAAAAGTGTCCCTCGTCGTCTCGCATCGCCGTGGGTACCAACTTCGCCGTGTGGAAAAAGGAAAACCGATGGTTGGCGTTGGTTTGGGGTGGAAAACTCGGCGGGATTTCTAGGTTCGGAAGAGCCCTAACGGATCAGTCGGTCGACGCGGGATGTGTTCTCAACCATACATTAAAAGGTTAGGGATATGTCGAGCCTACGTAGGCAGGAAACGAACCTCCCAGCTCAGTTTATGGCGGTTCGTTGCAGCGGGACGAGCGGCTGCTGTGGAGGAATTAGCAGGTTTTGAGCCGCTAGGCGGCTGTGAGGGGTCTGGCGGGGAAACTTGATTTGGTGAGAGCGACTGACAGAAGCTGAATGTTGGAAGAGGCTAGCGTTTGCGAAACAGGGTCTTTTGCGAGGAGGGAGACTCCTGGCAGAACGGATGCGAAATTTCTGTAACGGAGAACGAACAACTAGCGAACTGAATTGCTGAGGTTGCTGAAAGGATCTGTGTGGCACAGAATTTTGTGGTCCCCACACGTCAGAGATTGGGTTCAAGGTTCTGAGCTGTACTCGCTTCTCGCTAACAGGTGGAACTCTGTGTCAATCTATTTTCCTCTTTCTGGTGAAAATTACAGGTGGAACTTTCTGTCAATCTATTTTCCCAAAAGCCATGGGTGCAGCTTTTCCCCACGGTTTGTCGGGCCCGCTGACATATTAGACGCGAACCAACCTTCGCCAGCCACGTCAGGTCACTTACTGTACCAGGGCATCGCACAGAACACCGAACCACCTGCGAACAGCCTCTAGGTTCCAAAGCAAACCTACAACTCGGGTTTGGTGCCAGCCACGAGCAGACCTGCTACAGAGAAGTGTGCGATTTAGTGTGGAACTGTACCATAAGCACATGATTCTTGTAGATCATGCGACCTCGCAACATACTCACCTCGATTTCTCCCATGACGAGGCGACATTGGGTTTGAATTCCAGGCTCTGGAATCTGCTGGCAATAATCAGGAGCTTCAACCATTCGTGGTTCCAGTCTGGAAACAAGTTCTGGAACAGCCGTACCAGCAATGCCTGGAGATTCTTTCTCAACAATTCGTACGAGTCGATCGAAGGTTAGGTAGCTTGATCTAAGGAATCATTGATTCTTCGACCGTCTTTAGGCATCCACACTCACTCCGCGTTGGAAGTCGAAGCGCCGAAGTGCGAGCTGACTTAGGCTGTCGCAAATCATCGCCGTTGCCTCGTCCGTCGCTCATTGTCGTCGTGATCGTCGCCTCTGTCGCACAATGGCTGCAGGTGAAGTTTCCGTTCAACTGTCGTTCTCTTCCCGTGTCTAGCCCTCCGATTTTGAGTGTACGAACCAAACCGATATACGTGATCCCGAGTACTCCCTTCTCTCCTGCGTGTCCCTCTCGTTCCCTCGTTTGCGTCTTTCACGCGCAGAGCAGAGGTGGCTGACGTCAGCGTGGGCGATCTGCCTGATGACGGCGAGGACCGGCGGGAGATAGGGCAGCTGGCGGTGTGGAGTGTGAGCTCCGCCAAACCCGGCAATGGCGTCGAACTGCTCAGAGACGGCAAGCCCGACACCTTCTGGCAGTTACGGATCGGCCGATACATGCCTTGTCTCAGTTGACTTGGTTCACTGACACGTGCTGGCAGTTATTGTCGATGAAGCTTCTATTCTGCTTTCGCGGAATGTTTATTTATTTTACAAGTGCCTTGCATTTCCGTGTGTGCAGGTCAGATGGAGCACAGCCACATCTAGTGAACATTCAGTTTCAGAAGAAGGTCCGCTTGCAGGTAGACGACTAGCTCTTGCAGCTTTGCTGCTACTCTTTCCTTCTTCATGGTCCGCTTGGAGCCCATTGCCGTTGCTGTTTATTTCGTGAATATGTCAACCCAACCCACGCCAGCACGTGTCGCTCCCCGTGGATTTCAAGCTATGTTGTTCTGCTCTTGACTGTATCACCCCACATGGCAGCACGTGTCGCTGCACGTGGATTTCAAGCTGGACGAGAGCTACACGCCTAACAAGGTGTCCATCCGTGCAGGCAACTCCTTCCACGACGTCAAGGTGGGGTGGCATGGAAATGTTGATGGTGCTCGCATCGCATGTTGATGACATGGCACTGATGATTCTCTTGAACTCATGCTGACGGGGATGTTTCCCATGGTGGCAGGAGGTGAAGCTAGTGGAGCTGAACGAGCCATCTGGATGGGTGCACATACCGCTGCGACCAAGCGATGATAAGTGAGTGATCATGGGGAATGACAGCAATGTCTTCACGGTGAAGGGATGCCATGGAGCCAGCCATTATGGGGGATGATGAGGTCTGGCGGGGAAACATGTGCACATGTGCCGGTGGACAAAAGTGCTTCCGTACAATCCAGTCTAGTACGTCACTTGTTATCCTTGTCTTGTAGCCTTGAGTCCAGCACTATCCGCCACAGACACCCACCCTTGCTTCCCCTTGCCCTTCACCCTTGCCTTCCCTGGCACCCCAGGGAGTACCTGCGGGCGTTCTACCTCCAGCTGGCAGTCATTTCCAACCATCAGAACGGCCGTGACACACACATCAGGCAGATCAACATCTACGGCCCCAGGCAGTACGTTGGGATGTGACACTGCAATGGCTCATGCTGATGTCACAACAAGTGTTTGCTGTCGTTTAGTGTACATCCTGACTTGCCTTGGCCATTTTCTCCCTTGCAGGAATGTGGTGAGAGCAGTGGGAGTGCCCATGGAGTTCAACACAGTGGAGTTCGGCATGTATGCTTCTGTCAGGTAGCAACGTTGAGCAACATTGTAGAATTGGCAGTGGAAAACATTTGTTGGCCGCACTCATTCCCGTAGAGACTGAATTGCAGTACTGGAAGGTCCTCCTCCTATCACTAGCAGTATGGGCATTTCTGTGCTGTAAGCACCGTAAATCTGGGATCCTAGTAAGGGTGTGAAGACTCCTTCTGAGGCTATTAATGCCAGCTGAAAGAAACGGGCAGTGCAAAACACATGTACGCACGTATCTACAACATCTGATGACTCATCGAGCATATTTCAACCAGCCACAGGCAGCTGCTTCAACCCATCCCTAACCTTCCCTTCAACCATCAAGCCATCCCCTTCCCTCCCTCAGTACTGGTGATTGATGTAACCCTGCATATATGTTGCTCCCAGCTCCTGGAAATTACCGAGCAGCACTGGCAAACCAGAGGCGACTGCCTCGTCCCACCCCTTCCACTCCCGGACCGACAACCTCCCGACGCAACCCACTCTCCTCACTGCCTCCCGCACCCCCACCACCTGCAACCCCGCTGTCAGCACCAGAGCCTCTTTCTCTACCCGCACCAGCAGCAGCAGCAGCAGCAGCAGCAGTGTTAGCACCAACACTAGCAGCAGTCGCAGCACCAGCAGCAGCGGCAGAATCAGGCGGGGGTGAGCGGGCGATAGAGGGGCGAGGAGCGGCAGGGGTGAGAGCAAGAGGACGGGAGGTGGCGGGGGAGGGGATGGAGGAGGAGGGATGGGGGGAAGGAAAGGTGGGTTTGAGAGGGAGGGTGGCGATTATGGCATGGGCGTTGGAGTTTAGGAACACGAGCTCTGACCCCTCCATGCCAAACAGCTGCTCACAGGAGAGAAGAAACGGGAGAGAGGGCATGGTGTTTCACATGTATGAAGTGACGGGCTAAAGATTTGGAAAGACAAAGCGAGGGCGGGGGAAGAGAGACAGAGGGCGAGGCAGCAGCCAAAATTCCGAGCCAGCAAACGAAGGCACAGCCAGCCACCTGAGGCTTGGAGGCAATGAATTGGTGCAGCGACCCGTAATACGGCTCGTAGTGCGCCCAGGACAGCGGCGCTAGCAGGCGCGCCATGCGCGGCTGCACGGTGGACGAGATGAGTGCCTTGGCGCCCGTGTCCGCTGCCAGCGTGCGCACGATGCACGTCAGCAGCGCCCTCTCGTCCATCAGCCGCGCCCCTGGCGGCATCGCAGGGGCCATCACAGGCACGGGCACTGGTGTGGGCGCAGGGACTGCTGCTGCTGCTGCTGCTGCTGGAGATGCCACAGCAGCAGCTGGTGCTTGCACTGTTGCTCCCATGCTTGGTGGTGCAGCCCGCTCAGTCCTCCCTCCCTCACTCCCCCCTCCAGCGCCACCTCCGCCCAGCACAGCAGACGCAGGCAGGGGCTCTATCACTGCTTTCACTTCCGCCCCTCCATCTGCTGGCGCTGAAGCCACTGCTGCACTTGATTCCTCGCCGCTTTCCCTCTCTGGCACGTACGCCACGCCCCCCAGCCCGACATCCACCCCTCGGGGCGGCGACCGCTGCGTGATGGGGCTGGCAGCAAGCTTCCGCGGGATAGCAGAAGGCTTGGCGGCAGACGTATCAGTGGCAGAGGCAGCGGCAACAGTGGAAGCAACAGGGGCAGTGCTGGTTGCAAGGTTGGTACCAGCACTGCTGTTGCTGGGGATGCTGGAGGAGACAGGCGGAGGGCTGGAATTATCGTTGGAAGAAATGTCAGTGCTGTTATCAACATGCCCATTTGCATATGCGCCTGCTGAGCTTGCATCACCAGGGGGGATTACACCGCTGCGGGAGCCACCTCCAGGGTTACTGCTGCCGGCGCTCTCCCTGCTGTTCTCCGCAGTACCACCAGCAGTGTTGCCGCCTGCCCCCCTGCGGGTCCCAGGCCCAGAGCTACCGGCAGCGGCATGCTGTTGGGAGAGAGGCCCACCGTTGGGCTGCTGCTGCTGAGCACTGGGCTCCAGGGCAAGAGGCTGGCCGCTCATGGGGTGCGTGATGTGGTGAAATAACTGTGCCTGCTGCTGCTGCTGCTGCTGGCTTGGCTGCTGACCCTGTGTTTTTGGCGCCTGTCCCTGTGTCTGCTCCTGTGTCTGCACCTGTGTCTGCTGTGTCTGCTGTGTCTGCTGTGTCTGCTGTGTCTGCTGTGTCTGCTGTGTCTGCTGTGTCTGCTGTGTCTGCTGTGTCTGCTGTGTCTGCTGTGTCTGCTGTGTCTGCAACCCCACGCCTCCGGGGGCAACTGCATAACCTGCCTGCAACCCTGCTACCTGCGCTCCGTGCCCTTGCATGCCCGCAGGGGGGTAGGCGCCAGGGGGGAGGGCGGAGGGGTGCGGGTGTGCGGGGTGCAGGGCTGGAGGGGAGACGGAATGAGGCCCGAGCAGAGGCATGGGCTGCATGCCGGCAGCGTAGAAGGCATGCGGCATGGGCGGCCGCATGAGGTATGGGTGCACCATGGGAGGGCGGGCTTGAGCTGGCTGGGGAGCTGCTGCTTCGCTCTGTGTGAGATGGATGGAGAGAGGGGGGGAGGGGGGCGGGGCGGGGAGAGGAGGAGCGGAGAGAGAGAGCACAGGATATGGAGTGCACGTGAGTCACTGCAGCCAGAAATGGGTGCAAAACACAGGAGAGGCTGTTCAGCGATCGAGTGCCAAGGGACTGCAGTCATCCAAGAGCAGTTTCTGAGGCGCAGCAAACGCATACCTCCTGGCACAGCGACAGGTTAGACGAGAGAGTTCAGAACTCAAGACTCACCTTCCCGTCCTTGCTGGCCCCAGCACCACCCGTGCCACCCATTGCCACCACAGCTCCCTGCACGGCCCCTCCTGCCGCCGTCCCTGCTCCTGTGCTCCCCCCAGCACCGCTCCCTCCAGATGGCCCCAACGCCGCTGCTGCTGCCGGCTGACCTCCTGCAGTCGCTGTGGCGCCCGTACCAGCACCTGCTGCTGCTGCTGCTGCTGCTGCTGCCACACCTGCCACTGCAGCAGCACCACCACCCGGAGCAGCAGCAGGGCCGGCAGCAGGGGGGGCGCCGAGCCGGGAGCGCAGGTCGGTGTTTTCCATCTGCAGGCGCTGTATCAGCTGCACGTGGTACCGCTCGCTCTCTGCTAGCTGTAAGATTGGAGAAACAAGGAGGGCGGAGGGGGAGAGGAGGAGAAGGCATGTGGTAGCACTCACTCTCAGCTAGCTGAGTACCGAGAAAGTGGGAGAGAGAGGGAGGGCCAGTAGGGGAGAAAGACATAGGTGCGAGAGAATGGACGGTTGGTTTGTACAAGCCCACAGCACTGCAGTATTGTCTACAGGGGAAGGCATGTAGCGCTCCCTCTCTCTCGCACTAGTTCTCACCTGCTGCCTGAGCTGGTGCGTGACGGCAAAGAGGTGGTGGCACTGGTCCGTGCGCTCCCTCAGCTCCCCATGCAGGCTCTGATTGGCTGCTGTGATCGCTGCCACGTGGGCCTCCATGTCCTGCCCGTGTGCCGCCCACCCCTGCGCCTCCTTCACTGCATCCTCCTTCTGCCACAGCTCCTCCTGCACCAGCCGCAGCTGAAGGGGAAGAGGGAGAGGGGGAAAGGCAGGATGATCTGAGTAACTCCTGCCTGTGTGCCGCCCACCCCTGCGCCTCTTTTACCACGTCCTCCTTCTGCCACAGCTCCTCCTGGACCAGCCGCAACTGAGGGGGAAGAGGGAGAGATGGAATCACAGCACGAGATGAGTAACTCATGCCCGTCTGCTGCCCACCCCTGCACCACCTTCACTGCGTCCTACTTCTGCCACAGCTCCTCCTGCACCAGCCGCACGAGAGGGGGAGACGGAGGGAGAAGGCACAGAGGCTGGAGAGGGAGAGGAGAAGGCGATGGACAGCAGCTGGGCGCCTCTCAGCCGCTGCTCAGTACGAACCAGTAGGCTCTGCAATCACTTCATCTGTTCTCTGGGTCGGCTCAAAACACACTCCATGCCCCTACTTCCCTATCCCCTCTCACCTGGTTCTGCGTTTCTCTGAGCCGCTGCTCTGTGTCCGCCACTTGGCTCTGCAGCCTCTCCATCTGAGCCGTCATATCAGCCCTCTCCACCTCCCTCTGACTCGCCTGCGCCTTGCTCTCTGCTACCGCCCCGTCCCTCTCCCGCCTGCAGTAAAGGGTTACCGAGGGGAGGAAGCGAGGAGGCAGGGGTGTAAGAAGCTGCAAACAATGCCGTCAGTCCTCTCAGCCCTCTCAGCCCTCTCAGCCATCTCAGCCCTCTCAGTCCTCTCAGCCATCTCAGCCCTCTCAGTCCTCTCAGCCCACTCCACCTCCCTCTGACTCGCTTGTTCTTTGCTCCTTCACTGCTTTTGCAGGGTGTTTTTGAGAATTCTCAAAAACACTCTTTGCTCCTTCACTGCCTCATTCCTCTCCTCGGCCTCCTGCCCCCATGGGAGTACGGGGGAAGGGAAGGGAGAAAGGAAGGGGAGTGGTGAAACATCCAAGCTGTTATCAGCTGAGCCCTCTCCACCTCCCTACCATGTCCAGCTCACTCACACCATGTCAACTAGCTGCAAACACTCACAGCATTCCCGCTCAACTCAGTGCGGCCACTTCCGAATTCTTCTCTCGAATAAGCCTTTTGAGTCGACTCAAAAGCCACCTCCTAAGCCCTCTCCACCTCCCTACCATGTCCAGCTCACTCACACCATGTCCACTCGCTGCAAACACTCCCAAGTTCCCACTCACCTCAGTGCGGCCACTTCCGAATTCTTCTCTCGAATAAGCCCCTCCTTCTGCCACACCTGCAGGGGCAGGGGAGCCACCAAACGGCAGAAAAGGCAAAAACATAGCATTGCTTGTATAACAGGGCAGCTCTTAGACACTGCAAAACCCCAAAACGCTTTGACAGACAGAATGTGCAACCGAAAAGTCCGGCCGGATCCAAGGGTTTGACGCAGCAGGGCTCCTCCCCCCATCCGTGCCAAAATCTTCTTCCTGGTGAGCCCAGTCCTGCTGTTCGGCTGTCCCGATCCGGGAACCAAGTGCTGTTTTGAGAGTCGTCCCAGTGGCTCTCACCCGTTCCTTGATCTCGTTCTGGTGCGCCGTCACCTGCTGCTCCGCCTCCTCCGCCCTCTCCTTCACACGCTGCATCTCCTCCTCCGCGCCCCGCACTGCCTCCAGCGCACTCGCCAGTTGACTCTGTTGGCAAGGGGGGTCGCGAATCCACAACACGCAAAACACATGCTTGTGCATCTCCTACTCCTTGCCCCTCCCTGCTCTCTCCTTCACCCGCTGCATCTCCTCCTCCGCGCCCCGCACTGCCTCCAGCGCGCTCGCCAGTTGACTCTGTAAAGAAGGGGGGATGGTTCGATCACCAATGCTTAGACTATAAGCAGCATTCGCCTGTGCTTGCGGGTTCTGCGCAGTACCCAGAAACTCCCTACACGAAAACGGACCACTAGGGGGGCGTAGGGGGGAAGGGGGGAAGGGGGGAAGGATGGGAGGGAAGGGGAAGAGTGTGCATCGCCGGGGCCGCGACCAGCAAGGCCCACCCACCTGTAAGGCCGCCTCTGCCGCTAGCAGCTGCTGCCTCTCCGCGTCAAACGCCGCCCGGGCTCTGCCCATCTCCACGCGTGCCATGAGCGCCGCTGTACGCACCACCTCCGCCCGCACCGCTGCCTCCCGCGCCGCCGCTACCTGCGCCACTAGCGCCCTCAGCTCGCCCTCCCCCAGGCGACATAGACCCTCCAAAGATGCACCCGCCTTCAAAGCCCCACCCACAAAACCTTTAACTTACCTTCAAAGCTTCTTCTGCCGCCAGCAGCTGCTGCCTCTCCGCCTCAAACTCCGCCCTCGCTCGGCCCACCTCCACGCGCGCCATGAGCGCCGCTGTCCGCACCACCTCCGCCCGCACCGCCGCCTCCCGCGCCGCTGCTGCCTGCGCCACCAGCGCCCTCAGCTCGCCCTCCTCTAGGCCCACCAGCGCCCGCCCCTCGTCCTCCGCCTGCTGATTCACGTCCTTCTGATGGGCCCCGGGTTGCGAGGCCTCACTGCTGGGGATGGAGAGGGCGATGGCAGAGATTTCCACCTGTCTGCCCCCCCCTTCGCCTGCGTCCACTTGCACCTCTTTCTCTTCCTCTGACTGCTCGCTCTGCTCCTGCTGCGATTGCTGCGATTGCTGCTCATGCTCCTGCTCCTGCTGCCCCTGCTCCTTCTGCTGCTGCTCAAACTGCTGCTGCTGCTGCTGCCCGTTCAAATCTACTGGATCGCTGTCTTCTTCTTCCTGACGGTCAACCTCGCTCTGCTGGGTGCTTGCGGGATATTGTTGCTGCTCGTGCTGCTGGCTTGCAACCTCCTCATCCGCCTGCAGTTGCTGCTGCTGCTGCTGCTGCTGCTCTGTCTGCTGCTGCTCTTCTGCCTGCTGGAGCATCTGCTGCTGAACGTTGAAGTCGTGTGGTTGCTCCTGCTGCTGTTGCGCGTGCTGCCTTCGCGCCTGGCTATCCTCCTGCTCACATCAACACGCGCAACAAGCGCACAACCTCCACGATCTTGGGTGAGGCAAAACCTCTTGACCGGACAAAGGCACGCATATGGTTGCTGCGCATGCATCGCCTCTTGAACGACAGTCTCGGAAAAGAGATCGCGGAGAGTCGCACATACCTCTTGCGACAGGCTCGACGACGTGCTGCTGTTGCTCGCGTGCGTCTGCCTCACGCCCACCGCTTCGCCATTCTCTAAACCCCCAGACGGCCCCGGCCCTGCTGCTCCTAATCCGGACCCTGCGCCCACTCCTTCCGGGTTCTGCGCCGCCTGCCCGTACGGCCTGCTGTTCCGGCCCCGCCCTCGGTACTGCGGCAGCTGATACACCTGGCGCGGAGGCCCCCCTCCGCCGCTTCCCCCTCCGCTGGCGCTCCCTCTTCCTCCCGCGTCCCCACGCCCATACGCACTGTTCATCCGCCCATATGCTGCCCCCCCTCCCCCTCCTCCGCCGCCGCCGCCAGCGGGTCGGTAGTATCCAGGCGGGATCTGCTCCTGAGAGGGACCGCCTAAGCCGCGCATCGCCATCCCGGGAATCCCGGAGCTGCCGCCTGAACCCATGGGTCCTCCGGGGTAATTCGGCATCCCGTCCGGGATTCCCTTGGGTTGCGAGTATACGTCAGAATTTGTGACTCTACCGAGGTGGATGTTCGGATCGCTGACGATCCGCCAGACCTCTCGTCTCCTCCCGCCGACCATGTTACCGAGCGGGTTACCACCGCCAGGGCCGCTCGTAGGCCCGCCTCCTGGAGGCATGCCGTAGGAATTCATGCCGGGAAAAAATAGCCGATGGCTGGCTGTAAAAATATGTCGGTGATCGCGAGGTGATAGCGAGGTGATCTCGAGGTGATCTTTCGTCGTGCAGTTATCGCTCGTCTTGTGCGGTGAGCCTTCGCACGGCTCGATCTGGCCCTCGCGAAACCGGCTAGATTGTCTGCTGATGCGAAAAACGAAGGGACGAAAGCACGCGTTTTGGAAATCTGGAATCTAAACTGGGTTAGAACTTCCACGAACCACCCTGAAGCCTATCCCTTACCCATCATAGCTTGGAGAGCCAAGCCTTCAGTGGCTAGACCTTGCGGCCTTGCCAGAATAGATCAGGTTAGTGGAGTGACACCAGAAGCAGGGAAGGCAAGGTTTTGAGCATGCGAGAGTGCGCGACAGATCGGCTTCGGTAGCCGGTGGTATCCATGTTCGTTCAGCCTCGCGAACTCGTTTCGATTTGTTCTGGCGTGGGCTTCAAAACTGCTGGGTTGGGAGGGAGAAGGGGGGGTTCTGTGGTGTCCTCTGACGCCTGTTCTGGGGCACAAACCGCCTGCCACCTCCCATGTGCGACACGTGCCAGTGCTTTTGTCGAAGGACCTCGATATTTGAACTTCGCGAGTATCGATAGTGAGAAGAAACACCCCACTTGTACCCAAATTATGGCACTTTCAACAACATAGCTTACAAGCTATCCCACTTGCGAACTGTACTTATAAAACTTTCCCTGTATTCTGTGTCCGGAATTGCCAGAGCCACGTTTCTTCGCTGCTCACAGGCGAACCGAGCTGAATTGGTGGCACTAGTGTACTTCCCTGCAATGCTCTAGGTCTCTTCTCCTGCGCCTTGCAACTTCAAACCTCCACATCCGTTCCGACGTCCCTCTTCATTGCGCTAGACGGAGCTACCATCACTCCGGCTATCGTCGCGAGCCACGATCGCTCAACCTACCGTCACTCGGGTTACAATCGCGCAGGTTACCATCGCTGGGGCTGCCGTCGCCCGCCAAGTACCATACCGGGCCGGGAGCTTCACTCGCTAATAGCCTGAATCTGTAGCAGAGCGAAACGGTCGGCAGGAACGCGCGATGACGCTCCGTTTTGTGCAAAGCGCTGCGGCCCGTCGACGCGTTTCCATCACCCTCATGGCCTCGGTCGTACCTGGCCACCGACGTCGTCGTAATGCGAGCTGTCGTCGACGAGCCCTGGTAATCTTCACTCCCTGCACTCACGGCACTCGCGGAACACCTAGCCTTAGTACCTCGCACCCACCTTAGATGATAAGATTCGAGGTCGGGTTTCTTGTTCTCGGACGAATATACGTGGCGTCCGGTTACTAGTAGTGACGCGGAGAGTGTCTCGCGTGCACCCGTACTCTCGACTGCGTCAGTTGGCGGAGCAAGACTGGCGAGATTCGATCACCTCTGGGCGAGGTCAAGCATTCTTAGACGGCCAAGGCAGCGATGGGCCTCGCCTCGTCGATGCGTCTGCCAGGGATCCTCTGCGTCTTGCCGTGGCTGACCTTACTATTCCTTTCAGCGCTGCTCGTACGTCCAGCCTGGAGCCTTCCCCCTCCTCTCCGAACCGCAATCCGAGGCTCGGGCCCGGCTCGGTACGCGGCGTGCAACACGGGCAAGGGGCGCGCGGTGCTCTACAACTGCGGGCTGCAAGTGGGCAATGCGACCGCGGGAATTGCGTCTCTGCACGATGTGCCGTCGCCACAGAAGTGAGTCCTTGGGTGCTCAAGTGGGCGTCTGGGTGCATAATTCTGGCGCCTCAAAAACGGGCAAGGGGCGCGCGGTGCTCTACAACTGCGGGCTGCAAGTGGGCAATGCGACCGCGGGAATTGCGTCTCTGCACGATGTGCCGTCGCCACACAAGTGAGTCCTTGGGTGCTCAAGTGGGTCTCTGGGTGCATAATTCTGGCGCCTCAAAAACGGGCAAGTGGCGCGCAGTGCTCTACAACTGCGGGCTGCAAGTGGGCAACGCCACGGCGGGGATAGCGGCGCCGCACGACGTGCCGTCGCCACACAAGTGAGTCCTTGGGTGCTCAAGTGGGTCTCTGGGTGCATAATTCTGGCGCCTCAAAAACGGGCAAGTGGCGCGCAGTGCTCTACAACTGCGGGCTGCAAGTGGGCAACGCCACGGCGGGGATAGCGGCGCCGCACGACGTGCCGTCGCCGCACAAGTGAGTCTGTGGACTCGGTCAGGTGAGCCCAAAAGTCCATAATTGAGTCCAGAGGTGCCCAGGTCGGCAACGCCACGGCGGGGACAGCGGCGCTGCACGATGTGCCGTCGCTGCACAAGTGAGTGCACCGTGCATGGGTGACTTTTGAGTTTTGAAGGTGACTTTTGATTTTTGAAGGTGACTTTTGAGTCGACTCAAAAGTCGCACAAGTGAGTGCACTCAATACCGTGCACGGGTGCAGGTGACAGTGCAGAGGAGCACAAGGTGAGTGCTGCATGTCGTGACGTCACCGTAGCTTGCAGTGCGGACAGTTCTTGCTGTCGCCCATTGCGTCGCCCATTGCTGTCGCCCATTGCGTCGCCCATGCATGGTGTGGAAGGATCAGCGTTAGGCGAGTGTGCGGCATCACCACGTCCAACAACTATCCCAACCCAATGCCTGCCACCCATGGTGATCTGATGAACCATCCTCCATGTGCCTGGTGAAGCTTCGGCCAGGCGTGCCTGCCAGATAATGCTTTCTTAGCGATCCGATGTCCTGATCTTTTTCTGTCTGAGGAGTCTATTTTAGAGGCGCCTAAAAAATAGACTCCTTAGCTATCTGATCTCCTGATCTTTTTCTGCCTGCTTTTCTTCCAATCGTCTGTCCCCATGCCTGCCTGTCTTCCCGGTGGTGCCAGGTACCTGGTGAAGCTTCGGCCGGACGTGCCTGCGAGCCGGGTGGACGAGGTGTGTGAGCTGGCGGAGAACAGCAACAGCACGCTCTACACTGGCACGTGCCTCAAGCGGTATGACTCTAGAGTCAGTGACTTGTGAGTTGGACTGAATTCACAAGATGGTTCATGAGTCGACTCAACGACGTGCGGGCCAACCGGGTGGATGAGATGAGATATGCGAGCGAGCTGGCGGAGGAGAAGAGCAACAGCACGCTCTACACCGGCACGTGCCTCAAGCGGTGCATGTGTGTGCATGGCAGGCATAAGCACATGCACCTGCTGCATATGATGCGCAGAAGGCCCTCGCTGAAACTTCACCCTGCACACTGGCACGTGCCTCAAGCAGTGTGTGTGTGCACGGAAGGCACAAGCACCTCACGTGACAACCTTTTCTCTTTCAGTGCTGGTGTCCGTCCCCCTCACACGCATCCAGTCCCCTCACACGCATCCAGTCCCCTCACACGCATCCAGTCCCCCTCACACGCATCCAGTCCACCCAGATACAAGGCGGTTTTTACCGGCATGCTCAATCGCATGCTCATGTCGGGGCAATGATTGAAGCTTCTTCGTATGTTTCCGTATCTCTTACCCCCCCACATCCCCGCTCCCCCCCCCCCAGCTAAAAGGCGGTGTTCGACTCGACGGCATGCTGATGCTCATCTCCAGCCAGTCGCTGCTGCCTCCTCTTATGTCCTCCCATCTCTTACCCTCACTTGAGGCGCCTCAAAAATAGCCATCTCTTACCCTCACGAGGTGACTTTTTGAGTCGACTCAAAAGTCAGCTAGTCGCTCCTGCTTCCTCTTACGTCCTCCCATCTCTTACCCTCACTTTCCGCCCCCGCCCCTCTCCCTCCCTTCTCTCGACCCCCCACAGGTACAAGGCGGTGTTCAACGGCATGCTGATGCTCATCTCGGGCCAGTCCCTGCTGGCGCTGCTGGACGCTGAGTCTGCCCTCATCCAATTCGTCGAGGTCGAGGGCATTGCGCTCATCGCCTCCGCCCCATCTGCTGCTGCTGGTGGTGATGGTGGTGGTGCTGCTACTGCTGCTGCTGATGCCTCTGCTGCTGTTGTTGGTGCTTCTGATCCTTCATTGGCTAACGATACGGCGGTGCTGACGTCATCCTCAGCATCAGCTCTGGTCACGCGCATGCAGGTCCGAAAGAAGAAGAGGAAGGAAGAGTAAAGAGACAGAACTATATCTCTTGTTGCGGTGCTGTCCTGTCCACGTTGTCTACCCTTGGATCTGGAGGCGCTGCACAACTCTTCCCGTTGAACCATCTCCTTCTCTCTTTCTCCCGTCGCCCTTGCTTCCCACCATCCCCTCCATCCAGCGCCAGCCCCTCTCATGGGGTTTGGACCGCATTGACCAGCGCCCAGGCCAGCGTGCCCTGGATGGCGCCTACTCCTACCCGGCTGCTGCTGGCACTGGCGTGCACGTCTATGTGGTCGACACGGTAGGTTGGTGTGGTGTGGAATATCATAATAAGTAGCACCAAGGGTTGCTTGTGGCATCGGTGCTCTTAGAATCACTCCGAGTTCCTCTCTCTCTGTCGCGTCTACTGCTCTCATCTGATGACAGCTTGCACTTTTGACATTCTTTTCTTGCCAATCACCTCTCTCCCCACTTTATCGTTCTCTCTTCTCCCTTCTCTCTTCTCCCGTCTCTCTTCTCCCTTCTCTCTTCTCTCTTCTCCCTTCCCTCTTCTCTCTTCTCTCTTCTCCCTTCTCTCTTCTCCCTTCTCTCTTCTTCCTTCTCTCTTCTCCCATCTCTCTTCTCCCTTCCCTCTTCTCTCTTCTCGCTTCTCCCTTCTCTCTTCTCCCTTCTCTCTTCTCTCTTCTCCCTTCTCTCTTCTCCCTTCTCTCTTCTCCCTTCTCCCTTCTCTCTTCTCCCTTCTCTCTTCTCCCTTCTCCCTTCTCCCTTCTCTCTTCTCCCTTCTCCCTTCTCCCTTCTCTCCTCTCCCTTCTCCCTTCTCCCTTCTCTCTTCTCCCTTCTCCCTTATCCCTTCTCCCTTCTCTCTTCTCCCTTCTCCCTTCTCCCTTCTCTCTTCTCCCTTCTCTCTTCTCCCTTCTCCCTCCTCCCTTCTCCCTTCTCTCTTCTCCCTTCTCCCTTCTCCCTTCTCTCTTCGTCCGTCTTCTCCGGATCGTTGATCCCCACCTCCTGATGCAGGGCGTGCGTTGCTCCCACAACGACTTGCGCTTTTCAGACGGCCGTCTCAACCCCGCCACTCGCCGCCCCGCCTCGCGCTGCCTGCCGGGGGTGGACACAGTGGGGGATGGGCGCAGCCGGGGCATGGAGGACTGCAACGGCCACGGCACGCACTGCGCTGGTAGGTGGCTGGTGGGTGGTTGGTGTAGGGAGAGAGGTGCTATCCCATCTTGCTCAGCCGCTGGATGCCTGCAAGGAGCTGATGCGGTGGGTTTCCTCCCATACCATACCACTCGCACTGTGGTCTCCCACCATACCAGCACAGTGCGTGCCGTGGCCGTTGCAGTCCAGGGGATGGAGGACTGCAACGGCCACGGCACGCACTGTGCTGGTATGGTGGGAGACCACAGTGCGAGTGGTATGGTATGGGAGGAAACCCATTGCACGTGGAGGGGTGGTATGGGTGGTGCGGGCAGCGGGGCGTTCGGGGACATCATGGAGGGTGTGGAGTGCATCGCAGCAGATGACCAGGCGCCATCAGAAGCATCCTCTCCCTCCCTTATCGTACAACCCCCTCATGATGCCCCATCAGCACGGTGGCAGGGCTGCGGAGCGGCGGGGCAAAGAAGGCCTTCATCCACCCGGTGCGCACCATGGACTCACTGCGTGGGCAACGGCACGCGGTTGGGGACGTTCTACTCAAGCGGTCCTTGGTATTAATGGCAACCTGGGTGCATGCAAAGGGCATCCTACTCTCTCTCTCACCCTGTACACCTTTTGAGGCGCCTCAAAAGAACTCTCTCTCTCACCCTGTACACCCCCCCTGTGGTTCAGGAATCGTGGCAGGGCTGCAGAGCGGCGTGGCCAAGAACGCCTTCATCCACCCCGTCAGAACCATGGACTGCGCGGGCAACGGGGCGTTTGGGGACATCCTGGAGGGGCTGGACTGGATCGCCGCCAATTACCAGGCGCCCGCCGTGGTGTCCATGTCCATCACCATGGCGGCCTCGGCTAGTTTGGACGCAGCGCTGAAAGAGCTGGTGGAGAGGACAGGCGTCACCGTGGTGAGTGGAATTGACTACGGTCACTGTGGTGGGTGTGGTGTGGGGGTGGCCGATGGTAGTGGTGAGTGCAGGTGCTAGCCGTGTGTCCATGTGCATCACCATGGCGGCGTCAGCTAGATTGGACGCAGCGCTCAAGGAGCTGGTGGAAAGGACGGGCATCACCGTGGTGAGTGCCACCCAAGGGTCACGACTCACTGGGGTGGTTGTGAACTGCCGGCGAGAGCAGGGGTCGCCGTGGTGTCGATGTGCATCACCATGGCTGCATCAGCTAGCTTGGATGCCATGCTCAAGGAGCTGGTGGAGAGGACGGGCGGCACCGTGGTGAGCAGGGAGTCGCTGTGGTGACCAGGGAGTCGCTGTGGTGAGCAGGGAGTCGCTGTGGTGAGCAGGGAGTCGCTGTGGTGAGCAGGGAGTCGCTGTGGTGAGCAGGGAGTCGCTGTGGTGACCAGGGAGTCGCTGTGGTGAGCAGGGAGTCGCTGTGGTGAGCAGGGAGTCGCTGTGGTGAGCAGGGAGTCACTGTGGTGACCAGGGAGTCGCTGTGGTGACCAGGTGGGTTGGTGATGGTTAGCCTCTGGGGTGCGTGTTCACTGCACACTGCAAGGCGCCCTCGTGGTGTCCATGGGCATCACCATGGCATCTTTGCCTAGCCTGGACGCTGCTCTGAACGAGCTGGTGGAGAGAAGAGGCATCACCGTGGTGAGAGCAGGGTTATGGGGTGCTGACTTCAATACCTACCCGTTTCTCTCACCCCCCTCTCGCTCCCCTCACCCCCCGCTTCCCCTCCCTTCGCCCCCCTTGCACCACTCCTGGCCCCAACTCGCCCGCTTCTCACCCCCATCAGCCCCCTGCCCACTTCCGCTCCACCCCCAGGTGGCAGCGGCGGGCAACTTCTTCTCCCTCGCCTGCAACTACCCCCCTTGCGGACAGCGCCAACGTGATGACAGTGGCGTCCAGCACGAGCACGGCCGCCATGAGCTGGTTCTCCAAGTACAGCTCGTGTGCACCGAGATATTCGCTCTGCCCCTACCTTCCCCTCCATTTTTTCCCCATGAACCTCCAGGTGGCAGCGGCAGGCAACTTCTTCTCCCTGGCGTGCAACTACTCCCCCGCGGACAGCGACGACGTGATCGCAGTGGCGTCCAGCACCAACACCGACACCATGAGCTGGTTCTCGAATTACGGCTCGTGTGCCGACATCTTTGCCCCGGGGGATGAGATCATCAGCGCAGGGTCGGCGTCCGACACGGCATGGGCTACCATGTCAGGGACATCTATGGCGTGTCCACATGTGGTATGTATGATGACATCTATGGCGTGTCCACATGTGGTATGTATGATGTCGTTTCTTTAGGCTTCAGGTTTTAGTCTCTGGCATGGCATGGCATGGCATGGCATGGCTGTGCGTGGTGTGTGTGACATCCATGAGCTGGTTCTCCAGCTCGTGTGTTGACATGATGACATCTTTGCCCCGGGGGGTGAGATCATCAGTGCGGGGTCAGCATTGGGCGCTGCAAGGGCCACCATGTCCGGGACATCCATGGCGTGCCGGCACGTGGTATGTATGTATGTCGTTCGTTTAGGTGTCAGAATTGAATGTCGTCGTGGCATGTCATGCGGGCATGTGGTGGGAGGGCCAGGCGTCTATCCCAGCGCCGTATCGTTCACTACCTCTCTCGCCCCCAAGGTTCCACCCCGCCACCTCGCCACCCAAGGCGGCTCAAGTCATCGAGCCCGTCAAGTCATCGAGCCCGTCGAGTCATCGAGCCTGTCAAGCCATCGAGCCCATCAAGCCCAGCACAATGCTCCTCCTCCCCCCCCCGCTCCAACAAGCCCCCCATCCTCGCCTCGCCAGTCAGGAGCAGCAGCACTGTTTCCTGTCCATGCAGCCCTCGGTGCGCCCGTGGGACGTGCGCAAAGCGCTCTACAACACGGCGTATACCCTACCCAACCATCGTGAAGCCCAATACGTGCTGCGCCTGCTGTCCGTCAACATCCGCCTGCTGCTCGTTGACATTTCGTCCCATGTCTCTCTCTCTCTCTCGTCTTCCTACCCCCCCCCCACCCTCAACCCTACTTCTTTCTCTCCCCCGTCCAGGCAGGAGCAGCGGCTCTGTATCTGTCCATGCAGCCCTCAGCTCGCCCTCGGGATGTGCGCAAGGCCCTCTACGACACAGCGTACCAGCGGGCCATAACAGCCATCAAGCCTAACACCGTGTCGCGCCTGCTGTCGGTCAACTTCCGCCCGCTGCTTGCGGACGTGACGCCGCGCTCCTTCTTTGACATGCTGGAGGGCTCCAGTGCGCGCATCAAGGTGCTGCTACTCAAGACGCCGGCTGCTGATGTGGTGTTCACCGCCACTGCTGCTGACGGCAGTGTGGGTGAGTTGTTCGGTGCGGATACTTATTGAGTTTGTTTGGAAACAGCAAGCGGCTGAATCGAGTCTTACGAAGCGAATCATTGTGGCGTTCACTGCTGATGGCGCCCGCCGCTGATGTGGTGCTCACTGCCATGCCACTGCTGCTGACGCCAGTGTGGGTGTCTGTACTCTTTACACCGACACCCTTCTCGGAGGACTCTTCTCCAATTAACATCTCTATAGCCAGTGGGAAGCACATTGGGTGGGCCATGAGGTCATTCACTCCCTCCCTTCTCTCCCCTTCGCCACCCAATCTGCCTCCGTTTCTGCCCCCCCGCCTCTCCCCCCGCCAGCGTCCTTTTCTCCGTCGCGACTGCTCTTCCCTGCTGGTCGCACGCCAGTCGCACAGTACATCACCATTCAACTTTCCTACTCGTCCAGTGAGCCCACACACACATCACCCTTCTCCTTTTTTCGAGTCGACTCAGAAACCGACTCATAACCAATCGCACAAATACATCACCATTCAACTTTCCTTCTCGTCCAGTGAGACCCCCCCACACACATCACCCTTCTTCTTTTCACACGTCCTCTCTTGACACAAATAGCTCATCGTTTAAGGCTCACTCATCCCACTCCCTCTCTTCTTTCCATCGCCGGTTCTCGCCACTTCGGCTGCACCTTCCCCTCCTCGCGTTCCCTTCCCCCCATCCAGGGCGTCCCCTACCCTGCAGAGTCCTACCCTGCAGAGTCCTACCCTGCAGAGTCCCTGGACGGGGCCACTCTCCTGCCCTTCACCTGCACCACTTCTCGTCTTCCTCCCTGCCATAACGCCCCCCCCCCCCCCCCCTGGCGCCGCACATTTCCCTCCTCCCCACTCCCCCCTGCAGAGTTCCTGGACCGGGCCACTCTCCTGGCGTTCACCTTCACCAGCAAGGACGCTGCCTTTGGGGCGTCCATGGAGGGATACGCCCTGGCGCTGGACAAAGGTGCGGGGAGGGGAGCAAGGGGGGCGATGGGTGAAGGGAGAGGTGTTGAAGGGCCATGGAGGGGTATGCCCTGGTGCAGGACAAAGGTTATCCCTGACAGCAGCAAGGTTATCCCTGGCAGCAGCAAGGTTATCGCGATCTGTACAATCCACGCACCCTTACATCCCTGCTTCAATTCCTGCACCCCTACAACCAAACTCCGAATCCAACCCCTGCAGATGTGTGCAAGGCCCCCTGCGAGCAGAGCATGGAGAAGCCCAAGGTGGTGCCATCCCTGTCCTTCTACTATGAGGACGGCAGCACAGACTACCGCGACCTGTGTGTACATACTCCCATGACAGCTCATACTCCCATGACAGCTCATACTCCCATGACAGCTCATACTCCCCCACACCCCAACTCCCATTCCGGCACCCCTTCACCCAACTCCTTGGCCCACAAACCCCTGCAGATGTGTGCAAGGTGCCGTGCTGGCAGAGAATGGAGAAGCCCAAGGTGGTGCCCTCGCTGCCCTTCTACTATGAGGTTGACAGCTAGGACTACCGCGACCTGTGTGCTCAGCTCACACTTCCCAACATTCTCCTTGGCCCACAAAACCCTGCAGATGTGTGCAAGGCGCCGTGCGGCCAGAGCATGGAGCGGCCGAAGGTGGTGCCGTTGCTGCCCTTCTACTATGAGGACGACAGCACGGACTACCGGGATCTTTACAGTGCCAAGATGGACAAGTGCCACGACAATGGGCCTGACGTGGTGTTCCAATACACGCCACCCTATGACATGGTGAGCCACATACATGTCCCTCTAGGGCATGAGGAGTCGTCGTGTTCTGCCATCATGGTGCTCCCATCATGGTGCGCAGTAGTGGGTTCCTCCTTCCAAGGCGGCGCCATATGCCGAGAGCAGCAGCACATGCATCATTCGTCCTGTCGTCCCTCCACCCCCCACCAGGTGGTGTCGGTGGATCTCTGCAGCCTCACGGAGTTTGACTCGGTGCTCAGCGCCTATATGCGCACCAAAACACCCGGCAAGCCGGCCCCCATCGCGTGCAACGACGACTCGTGTGGCACCAAGTCCAAGCTCGCAGGGCTCACTCTCATCAAGGGCAACACCTACTTCTTTGTAAGAAGAGAATGAGACTAGCCTGCCTGTAGGACTCTTGAGTTGTCTGTAAAGCCATCCGGCAACCTGGCTGTCATACTGTGCAATGACGACTCGCGTGGCACCAAGTCGAAGCTCTCGTGGCTCACCCTCAGCGATGGTGCCACCTACTTCGTTGTAAGAACAGAATACAATGGCACCAGCCTCCCGTTGTGACTGCCCCTGACCGCCATAAACTGCCTCTGACCGCCAGAAAGTGCCTCTGACTGCCAGAATCTGCCTCTAACCACAAAAATCTGCCTCTGACCGCCAGAATCCGCCGCTGACCGCCAGAATTTGCCTCTGACCGCTAGAATCCGCCTCTGACCGCCTCAAACAGAGGTGCCTTAACAATAGACTCTTCATCGTGAGATGTGCATGCAGCATGCTCCTTTCTCGCTGTTGCCATGCATGGCAGGTGGTGGACGGGTGGGGTGGCACGGGGGCCAAGTTGCTATGCAACTGTAACCTCCCCCCTCGACCGTTGTAACCTCCCCCCTCGACCGTTGTTACCTCCCCCCTTGACAGTTGTAACCTCCCCCCTCGACCGTTTTCTGGCAGATGGTGGACGAGTGGGGCAGCACGGCGGGCAAGTTCGCGATCAACATGTTGGTCACTAAGGTGCTGAGGGTGCTCGGCACAAAGAGAGACAAGACACTCGCCGCCAAGCCACTGCCCTCCCTCCCCCCCCAACCCTTGTCTGGCAGATGGTGGATGGGTGGGGCGGCACGGGGGGCAAGTTTGCGATCAACATGGTGGTCACGAAGGTGCTCAGGGCGCTCGGCACAAAGAGAGACAAGACTCTCGCCTCCAAGCCACTGCCCTCTCTTCGCTCCCTGTCTCTCGGCTCCCTGCGCTCCATGCCCATGCTCTCACCTCTTCACCCGCCCCACCCGCTCCTCCCTCTGCCCGTCAACCCTACCTCCTCCGAGCCTACCTCCTCCGAGCCTTCTTCTTCCAAGTCTGTTGGTAGCGGTGCCGGTGCCGTTGCTGGTGCCATCGCTCCCTCGTTCTTCCTCCCATCGCCTCTCCACCGCTCTCAACCGCCCCGCTTCATCTACTTGAATGCGAGCAACCCCCCGCCTTCGCTCCCTCGCAATGCTCCTACCGCGGTGCCTGAGGGGGGAGAAGGTGATGGTGCAGCACATCATGTGGTGACAGGCCCCTGGGGGGAGTGCTCCGTGTCGTGTGGCGTGGGGCAGCAGGAGAGGTAGGGATGGGAGTGGGTGGCCACCCACTGGCGTGGTGGCGGGGTGGCGCGGTATGGATGGGAGGGGATGGATGCATGGCGTGGTGCCACCCACTGGGTGGGATTGGTATGGCGCAGACAGGCCCCTGGGGGGAGTGCTCTGTGTCGTGTGGCGTGGGGCAGCAGGAGAGTTGGGGATGGGAGTGGGTGGGAATGGGATGGGATAGGGTGGGATGCGGTGGAGTGGTATGGTATTGCGTATCGAATTTCTCTGGCTCTTTACGTGCCGGCTTTTTCTTGAATCCCACTCTGGCACGCGCTTCCCCCTGGCGTTTCCTCTCGCGTGTCTCCTTGCGATGCAACCCTCGTCTCTCCTTGCGGTGCAACCCTCGTCTCTCCTTGCGGTGCAACCCTCGTCTCCCCCCATCTAGACTGGCCTGGTGTGTGGACGCTCAGGGCATGACGGCCCAATCTCCTCTCGCCAGCTGTCCGGTTCTCCCTTCTGTGCCCACTACCCAGCCGTGCCAGCTGGCACCGTGCGCCCGTGGTTACTGGGATGTTACACAGTGGCAGGTGTGTTACGCAGTGGCGGGTGTGTTACACAGTCTCAGGTGTGTTGTGCAGTGGCAGGTGTGTCGACTCACCCTTCTTCCGCTCACCCTTCTTCCACTCACCTTCTCACCCTTTCGTACACCCCTCATCCTTCTTCCCGTCAAAGCTTGGTACACCCCTCACACTTTCTTCCACTCCTCATCATCATTCTTCCCGTCGCCCTTCTCACACCCCTCGTCCCCCACCCACCAGGGCTGCAACGTGCCGTGTGGCGGGGGCATCAACATGCGGGCGGTGGTGTGTCGGGACGCAATGACAGGCAGCATGCTGGACGAGTCCCGCTGCTCCTCGCTCAAACCCGCCTCCAACCAGACATGCAACTCACAGGTGACAGCTCTGACAAAAGAAGACAATCTTTGACGCGTGTCTTTGGCATGGCAGCACGCTCCGCACTACCGTAGCCACACGGGTCCTCCTCCGCCTCTTGGTGCTGCGCTCAGAGTCTCACCTCAGCTCGACTCGAACCTCCCTCTTTGCTCCCACTCCCACCCCCCAGCCGTGCTCCGTCTACCTCTGGCGGCCTCACAGCTGGTCCCCGTGCTAGCACTCCCTAAGCCGTACCTCAACACATTCGGAACCTTTTCTTGAATCTCTCCGCGCGCTTCTCAACCCCCACCATGCCCTGTCTATGCCTCACAGCTGGTCCCAGTGCCAGTTCTCCCTGAGTCGCACCTCAGCTCGACTCAAACCTCCCTCTGTGTCCACCCTGCTACCCCCAGCCGTGCTCCGTCTACCTCTGGCGGCCTCACAGCTGGTCCCCGTGCCAGCACTCCCTGGACCTGCTGTCCCATGGGATGGGCAGTCAGGGCAGCCCCAGCAGCAGCAGCAGCAGCAGCAGCAGCAGCAGGAGGAGCAGGAGCAGCAGCAGCAGCAGGAGGAGTAAGAATAGCAAAAGGAGCAGGAGCAGCACAATCAGCAGGAGCAGTCGCAGCACCAGCAGCAATCGAGGTAGCAACAGTGGTGGAATGGGGTGGAGTGTGGTGGAGGAGGAGGTGATGCGAGTGTACGGATGGAGGAGCAGGGAGATTGAGGTCAGTCGATCTATCACTTGCTGCTTCCCAAATCCGGCCTGAAATACCCACCTGAAATTCCTGCCTGAAATTCCTGCCTGAAATTCCTGCCTGAAATTCCTGCCTGAAATTCCTGCCTGAAATTCCTGCCTAAACTTCCTACCTGAAATTCCTACCTGAAATTCCTACCTGAAATTCCTAACTGAATTTCCTGCCTGAAATTCCTGCCTGAGCCCACCCTTAGAAGCTCTCATACCTGTACCGTCTCATAACCCTTTCACCACTTTCCTCTTGCCGTCAACCCCCTCTCCTTCAGTGTGTGAACATGAGAGGCCAGCAAGTGACTGAGTCCTTCTGCTCCCATGCCGTCAAGCCCACCACCCTCTCGCCCTGCCTCCCACCTTCCCCACTACCCTCTGCCATTACCGAGGCTGCCCCCTCCCCCTCCACTTCACCCTCTCTCTCTCCCGATGCTCCCATCTCCGCTGCAACTACCAACGCCACCACTACCGCCACTGCCACCACCACTGCGACCACCAGCACCACCACCATCAGCAGCAGCAGCAGCAGCAGCAGCAGCACTTCGTCTCTCTTCTGCTCCCCCCTCTCTTGCGCTCACGGCACTTGCGAGGTGAGCAGGGTCGTCTCTTGCGCTTTCAGGTTCGGGTGAGCTGAGACGGGCTGCTTGTCATCACTGCGCCAGTAACCTGTATATGGGACGCCTCGTGTTTTAACAATCTCTTGCTCCTCTCGCCCCTTCCCTCTTCCTCATCCATCCAGGTGCATGCGGGTGCATGCGGGTGCATGGACGGCTGGTCGGGCGGGCCCCCACTGCGATGAGCCTCATCCCTGTGAGGGCTGGCATGTGTCTCTCGCCCACATGTCAGGCCTGTTCTTGAGCCGCCTCAGATCCGTACTGTCTCTCTCCCCCCAACATTCTCCTCCATCCAGCTGGGAGCATGTGAGTGCATGGACGGCTGGACGGGCCCCCACTGCGATGAGCCTCACCTCTGTGCGGGCAGGCCTGTGGGACTCCTGCTCTCTAGGGCGCCTGTGCATGCTGATGGTGCTGCTGCCGCTGCTGATGCTGATGCTGGCAATAGCTCTAAAACATTTGTCTCAGCGCCAGCTGTTGACCTGCCAAGTAGGCTAGAATCAGGCAGCCCTAATGGCAACTGGACCAGCACCCTCGCTAGCAGCAGAAGCACCAGCCGGAGCGTGACTATGGCTGTGTCGGTGCAAGCGTCATGCTGCCCAGGCTTCCTCGTGGACCGCTCTGGGTGGTGCTGCCTCTCCCCTGCCGCCCGTCTAGACAAGGTCTGCTCATGTCTCAAGATGATCTGCGCTTCCTGATTCTGGTTTCCCACACTGAAACCGTGACAGCACGTTTTTTTTCTTGCTTCTTCGCTTTCGGTGCTCTCCCTTGTGTGTATGCTGCTGGCATGCACGTGCTCCCATGCATCGTGCGCTCAATCTCATGCTGCCACGTGCCTTGTTGTCTGGCTGCCTGCAGGAAGGGGCATGCTGTGAGAGTGGTCGAGTGGACGCCTGTGGAGCCTGCGATGGCGATGGCAGGTGGGTGGGGGGTGATTAGATCTCGTCTTGGCAAGCGCCACATGATTAGAGTCTAGTTTGTAGGCGCCTCAAAACTATATCATCCCCCTTGCCCTCCCTCCTGTTCTCTCTCTGCCCCTCCCACCTTCCCCCCGCCCCACCCCCCCTCCCCCTCCTATTTCACCATTCGCAACTCTCCCATCCAGAGCGGTGGACATAACCGGCAAGTGCTGCGCGTGTGGCCTGAGAGACGAGGTGGGTGTGTGCTGCCCCTCCGGCCGCCTGGACGCCTGTGGGAGCTGCGATGGGGACGGCACGTCCTGCGCTCTCCTAGCCACTGTCGCCATGCGGGTACGTGTGCTTTCAGGGTGCTTAAGCATAGTCCATGGCGCCACCTTGGATGGTGTACTGGCATAGGATCGTAACATGCCCTGCCATATCTTGAGAAGTATGTTACCATTTCGGGAACCGGGTTTTTTCTTCCAAAACCTGCCTTTTCTTCCCATGCTCTCGCCGCTCCTATCACAGGTGCCATTTTCCCAATCTGTGGCCTACTTTGCTAGTGCAGCCAACACGAGCAGAGTCAGCGCCAGCGCACTCATCTCGACCACACTCAACTCTACTGCAAATGACACCAGCAAGCATCATTTCTATGCCTTCACGTTCGCCTTCACCAGTGGGGTACGCAGTGAGCTCCTGATATAGTCAAGCAGTATGCCTTCTCACATGCACACACTCACCCCACATGGATGCACATGCGCGTGCAAAGAAGTGCATGTATGCATGATTGTCATGCCATCCGTCAACCATTCTGCCCTCGTTTCCAGCTTCCCCCCCTCGCCCCCTTTCTTCCTCCCACTCACTCCGCAGCTCCCACCAGGTGACACATACACAGTCAGATGCTGCCATGCCACGCTTATAACCTTTTTCTCCCTCCTCTCCTTGCTCCCCTTATTGTCACACTCCCCTTATCCCCAACAGATGGCTGAGATCCTAGACGTGCTGCCACAAGCCATCTCCTTCCTCTCAATCACACCAGCCCCGTGCTTGCCAGACCTCCCAGAAGCTCCGGTTCCAAACCAGCTCTCCTCAGCCACCGAGACTAACTCTCAGGCTGGGCAGCAGACATCTGGGATGGAGCAATCAGCAGACACGTGGGAGTGGGAGGGGGGTTGTGGGGAGCTGGATGACACGGACAGGCCCAGAGGCGTTTCCGTGCAGTTTGCTGCTCAGCCCCTCGCGGTACGTGCTGGTGCTGGTGCTGGTGCTGGTGCTGGTGCTGGTGCTGATGCTGGCGCTGGCGCTGGCGCTGGGGCTGGTGCTGGTGCTGGTGCTGGTGCTGGTGCTGGTGCTGGTGCTGGTGCGGGTGCGGGTGCGGGTGCTGGTGCTGGTGCTGGCGCTGGCGCTGGCGCTGGCGCTGGTGCTGGTGCTGGTGCTGGTGCTGGTGATGTTGCGATTGCTGTTGTATGCCTTGATTCAAATGAACAAGATTTGGGGTCCCCTGGAGACACACTGGCAGTATGTATGTATATGATTTGCCCTGCCTTGCATCTCTCGTGCATCTGCCGCTGGCTTCTTGGACAAAGCACTAAAGTGTGAACCTCACTGCATGTGTGCCTGTGTGTTGAAAATGCATGCATGGGTACTTGCAGGTGGGGTCCACGACTCCTCGCATGGCAGAGACCAGCTTCCGAGAGACTCTGGTGCAATATGCTCAGGACAGCATGCAACCCCCAACCAAGCCATTCCTGGTGATGCTCTCCCCATTCCGACCTAATGCGTTTGCACAACTTGTCCTTGCCTGACTGACAACGTGCATTTGATTCTGCAATATTTCACGGTACCTGCATTTCCTCACAATCTTGGGTCCGCAACTGCAGTATCTCAACCTGTATTCACTGTTTGCCCTCAATTTCTTTCCATCAGGGTGTTCCCGGTGCTTCCTTCATCTCCCTGCTCACATCAACCCGCCTTGGCATTTGTGGAAACAACATCTGTGAGACTGGCGAGCGGTGCTCCCCGTCAACCAACGGGACTTCCCAGGGCGGCAGCCCATCTCCCTGTTGCCCTGAAGACTGTCCATTTGTTTCGCTGGCGTGTCCAGCTCCTGATGATGGGCGTCGGAAAAACATTGCCTGCTCCGGGTTTGGTCGATGCCTCGACTTCACGGGCACATGTGACTGTTTTTGGGGTATGTATGGACGTTTGAAACAACTCTTTCCGAAACAGAACATGCCAACAATCCTCTCACCATACCGGTACTTGTTGTCCCTACAACACAAGACTGATGCAGTAAGTTGTGTCCTGACCCTCCAAACAGGTCATGTTGGTGGTGATTGCTCACACTGTGCCACGGGATGGATTGCGTCCCCAGTCACAGGGTCATGCTATGTTCAGCCACGTACTGCAGCACTGTCAGCAACGTTAAAGGATTTCGAACAGGTGAGGTACGGGAGTTTGCGAAAGTCTGCTTGATCGTTACAAGTTGGCAAGACATCTCCATTTCTTGCCACAGGAATCGTGCATGACAGAACTCCCACTTGGCTGAAGATGTATTCGTATTTAGGAAAGTGATCAAAATTTCAATACATTATCAGGATATACAGCTTAAGAGTAGAACTTGTCCAGGCTCTGGAAGACGGTGGTGTTCCATGGGTCGGCAAGGTGAGCGAGCAGGTTGGCGAACGGACCAGCGCCGGTGATGTGGGACTGGACGATCAGACCCAAGAAAGCGATCATGGCGGTACGGCCTGAAAAGAGATCCGAACATGCATTACTCGACAAGTCAGATGGGAAAACTTCAAAATACCTATAAACGTACTGATTGATTACTCACCGTTGGCAATCTCGCTCTCCTTGGTGCGGAAGTCGGTGGAGAGACCCATGGGGTTGAAGCCGGGGTATCCCACATCACCAGCAGGGAGCTTGTTGCCGAAGGGGTCCTCGCTCACGCTGCCGGGGTTCTTGATGTCTTGCCACCTCAACAGCTCGACGAAGTTGAACAGGATGAACTCGATCGCGAACAGGGTGGGGGTGGGAATCCAGAACTCAGTGACACCAGTGTCGTACCACACCGGGATATCCAGGAGCCCAGCGGAGGTCAGAGCCTCGGGGATGATCATGCCGGCAACACCGAGCATGGCCCAGCGGCCGTTCTGGAGCTCAGCCTGCACGTACCACTTGAGGTTCTCGGGATCCTCAGCCAGGGCAAGAGGATCGAACCCGTTGTCGCCGGGAAGGCTGGAATCAAACGAAAAATGGAAAAATACACCCAACATTAGTTTCCTATAAACCAACATTGCCATCAGTCACAAGGTCATAATAAGCACGAATTAATCCATGCCGACCAGATTATCTAGAAGTGTTACCTGCCGTCGAGCCATGCGGGGGAGTCGGACCCGGGGAGCCAGTTGCCCTTGGCCTCGATCTTCAGGGCGGAGATGGAGGTCGGCAGTGCATTAGCACGAGTCGACCTGGCGAGGCGCGAGGCACCCGCGCCGAGGAAGGTAGACCTAGCCACAATGGAGGCAGCCTGCATGGTGACGGAAGCCATGGCTACGTCTTAGGTTGGCGAACTGAAGGAGGTGGCTTGAAAAGAGGTTCCTCTGCAGTCAGCAGTCTAACGATCGCTGGGATGGTACTTCAGCTCCAAGACCCCCCTCCGCCAGAATCCTCCAGCTGGGTTCCCCTCGCTCGATGAGGCGCAGCTTCCCCAGCGCAGGGAGGCGGAACCAGGGTCTGGCGAACGAGCGATATCCAAAACTCAAAGGCGTATCTGAACTAGCCAATCGTGGAAGAGACCCATCGTTCTCGCAGCGAAGTGGTTGGCTGCCTTTCTCAGCGCGACGCCCTGATTGATTTCTGTCGCAACCAAGGATTGTTCACTGGCCGATAGGCCCCTGAAGTTCGTTTGGTGATGGTAACCAGAACATCAAATACCTCGGAGGTGTATAAATAGAAATGACTTCTTACATATATGAGAAGGTTGCATGCATCACAAAATTCATCTATGCCCCCCAGACCAACATGGCACATAACCAGCCCATCACATATACCGCAAACAACAAGAACACAGGTATAGCTATGATGATCTGAGGTTCTGGCGGACAGATATGATAGGTTAAGAAGTGCTTGTACTGAGAAATTATACAGCTCGAGCTTGAAAGTTTTGATGAACATAACATTGTTGTGAACTGAGCTAGCAAGGAAGGAAAAGGCCGCCATGAAATGGCGGCCGAAGGTTAGCTAGAGAGATTGACGAGAGAGAATAGGATCGATTAGGAAGAGAGAGGGGTACAAGGAGGGGATTGTACCTTCTACAGTAAGGTTCAGTAACAACTACCAAGCCCATCAATTATATATAACTTATATAATTTTAACACACCCCCTAGGCTTGGTAGTCACACACCCCCACACCCAACACCTACACACCCCCTAATCCCGTACACCCTCATGCTTGTGAGCAGCCGGGTATCTAACCTCGTGCTAGGCGACGACACCCCCGGACGAGAGGCAGCTGCCGGCGTCTGGGCGGCTTCTACGACGACGGCGGCGGAGCACGTGCTCAATGCGGCTGCGTCAAGGAAGGCAGGCGGCGACTGCGGCGGCTGAGGGCTCTCAGCGGTGTGGCACGACCCGGCGACGACCGAGCAGAAGACAGCAGCTGCAGCAGGAGCAGGAGGAGACGCAGGGGAGGGAGAGGTGGTGGGGCTGCTATGGTGGGGCTGCAGGACTTCAGCGTAGCGCCATTGCTGGCGCGGCGCTTACTGGCGAGCGGGTGGGCTGCACGTGCAGCGGCCGCGGAGGTGATACGCGGCGGCTGCGGCTCGACGACGCCGCCGCGACACCATTACGATGCCGCCACAGCGTGGAGTCTGTGCCGCGGCTGTTCGTCGAAGCTGAGACGGCAGGACTAAAAGGCCGCCGCGACATCACGGAAAAGATGCCACGACGACAGGCAGGCGGAAAGCCGCAACGGCGGCGAAGTAACAACGAGAACGCAGCGGAAGCGTAATGAGCAGGCCCGGGACGAGCGGCCTCCTCTGATACCATATCAGAATGAATAATGACTAGAATGGGGAGATACAAGGAAATATAGACTAGTGAGCTGTACCCACTAAGGCACAAACATATATAGTCTACAGTAACTGCATAAAGTATGTTTGACACCTGTGCCTGAGTAGACTACCGTGATTATCCGCTCTTGAGATTTGCCACGGAAACACCCCAGCTTCTGTAACATGCTTACTTGGTTACATGGGAGCAGAAAGCTAGTCTCCTAAAATGCGGGAATAATCATGCCGCTTGCGTGGACAAGGGGTCAGGAGACAGTGCATCGGGGGGGTCAGGGCAGGGGAGGGTACTGTCAAGATGGACAGACAAAGAGTGGCCATCCTGCCGCTGACCAATGAGGTGGCGACGAAGGTCAGCAAGCCACGCATCAAAATCAATCGGCTGGCCCTCAGCGTCAAAGCGAAGCACCTCCGCCATCAGTGACAATAGAGGGCAGTACGATGCGGTGCAGTACGACACGGGTAGTGCAGTGCGGTGCAGGACGGTGCAGTGCGGTACAGTGCGGTGCAGTGCGGTGCAGTGCGGTGCAGTGCAGTACAGTGCGATACAATGCGGTGCAGTGCGGTGTAGTGTGGTACAGTGCGGTGCAGTGCGCTTGAGTACGGTACCGGGGGGGGGGGTTCGCAGGGCGGTGCTGATCGGGAAGAACGGGCCGAACCCGAGGCGGCGGCGTGCTGGCGACAACGCGAATGCAGGAGCCGGTCGGCGGACGGCAGACGCGAGGGGCCTGCAAACGGCGGCAACGGGGGCCGGCGAGGAGCTGGCGCGACGGCGAGGAGACACGTTCGCGACAGCGGCCAGGGACAGCCGCGACGGCGGCTAGGGGCAGCCGCGACGGCAGGAGTGACCGTGAGGCGGCTGGAGGCAGCCATGGGACGGCAGGAAACGGGCGCGACGGCCAGGGGGGGGGGGCGGCTAGGGACGAGCGCGACGGCCACGGGGCCGGCTAGGGACGGGCGCGACGGCCAAGGGGCCGGCTAGGGGCGGACGCGACGGCCAGGGGGCCGGCTAGGGGCGGACGCGACGGCCAGGGGGCTGGCTAGGGACGAGCGCGACGGCCAGGGGGCCGGCTAGGGACGAGCGCGACGGCCAGGGGGCCGGCTAGGGACGAGCGCGACGGCCAGGGGGCCGGCTAGGGACGAGCGCGATGGCCAGAGGGCCGGCTAGGGGCGAACGCGACGGCTAGGGGGCCGGCTGGGAGCGGACGCGACGGCCAGGGGGCCGGCTAGGGCCGGACGCGACGGCCAGGGGCCAGCCAGGGACGAGCGCGACGGCCAGGGGGCCGGCTAGGGACGAGCGCGACGGCCAGGGGGCCGGCTAGGGACAAGCGCGACGGCCAGGGGGCCGGCTAGGGTCGGGCGCGACGGCCAGGGGGGGGCCGGCTAGAGGCGGACGCGACGGCCAAGGGGCCGGCTAGGGGCGGACGCGACGGCCAGGGGGCCGGCTAGGGGCAGACGCGACGGCCAGGGGGCTGGCTAGGGACGAGCGCGACGGCGAGGAGGGCCGGCTAGGAGCGGGGCACGGCGGTGGCTAGGGCCTAGGGGGCGGAAGCGTGGGCGGGCTAGGGGGGAACCTAGCCTACTATGATACCATATCAGAAAGAATAAAATGAGTAGATTGGGGAGATACAAGGCAATATAGTCCAGAGAGTTGTACCCACTAAGGCACAAACATATATAGTCTACAGTAACTACTTAAGTGGTGGTGACGCCAATCAACCGGGAGTCAAAGATGAGCTGTGACAGGAGTCACCATATTGGTCACTTGAAAAGGGCCACAGAATCAGGGTCGGAGTTTGCTCGGGATCGGCAGACGCAAATTGCGAGTGTCGAGGAGTACGAGATCTCCCATTTTGTAAGTGACGTCACGTCGATGACGATCGGCTTGTCGGCTTACGACCAGGTTGGTTCTTCAAAATTGCCTCAGCTCCTTTTCTTGGGCTGCCAGGATATCTTCGGCAGATCGCTGGGACCGGGGCACGGGTGTCTTGATGTTGGGTGTAGAGGGTACCACGGGGTCCTGTCCGTAATTTTCGAAAAATGGGGATTGATGGGTTGTTGCGCAAGGCGCGTTATTATTCGTGAATTCCAGTCGCGGAAGGGATTTCTCCCATGTCTATGGGTCAGTACAGGTAGTTTGAATGAGTTGCTCCATAGGTTGGTTGACTCGTTCGGTCTGCCCGTCGGTCTATGGGTGGTAGGCGGAGGAAAACTGAAGTTTGGTGCTGAATTGGTCGTATAGGTGGCACCATAAATTCGATGTGAATTTTGGGCCTCGGTCTGATATAATGGCGGTGGGCAGTCCGTGCAGTCTGATGACGTTGGTGATGAACAATTGGGCAGTTTGCTCAGCTGTAATTTTATGTTGGCAGGCGATGAAGTGCGCCATTTTCGTAAGTCGGTCAACGACCACGAGAATGGCGTCGTTTCCGTTGGAGCCGGCCGGCAGTCCTGTCACGTAGTCTCTCGTGATGTGTTGCTAGGGTCTCTCAGGCGGATCTAACGGTTGTAGGAGTCCGGTTGCTCGCTGATGAGATGACTTCATGATTTGGCAGGCGGTGTAGGAGGACACGTGCTTGCGCACGTCGTCGGCCATGTTTTGCCAGTAATAGTTGCGTTGCAACATCTTCATGGTTTTGTCGGCTCCTAAATGCCCTGAGGTTGGGTTGTCGTGGGATTCATGGATTAAGAGGGTACGAAGAAAATCATAGCCAGGAACCCAGATGCGGGAAGTGCCGCGCTTGGTGAAGTAATGTCTGGTAGCGGTAGTATGCTGTTGGTGAATGGCGGAGCGGAAGAAGGTGTCGACTCTGTAGCCATGGGTAAATAGTCCTGTAAGGAGTGGGCTGGTTTGGGCGACTAGTATGGTGACTGTATGGGCAGTGGGTCGGGTCAGGGCATCAGCAATGTTGTTGGCGCCCCATTTGTAGAAGATAGTATAGTGGAAATTTGACTTGAGGAGATCGAGCCATCGGATTTGTCGTGGGTTGAGATTCAGCTGGGCGCGCTGGAACTCGAGGGACTTGTGGTCGGTTCGCACGGTGACGTCAGCGCCTGTCAGGTAGCACCGCCAGGTCTTGAACGCATGGACGATCGCAACATTTCCTTGTCGTGTACTGTATAATTCTTCTCTAAGCCCTTCAGCTTCCGTGATACGTAGGCAACTGGCTGTAACCCGTCGCCAAAATCAGGGTTTAGAAGAACTGCGCCGATGAGGTTTTCACTAGCGTCGGTGATGACTTCGTATGGACGGTCAGGCTCGGAGATGCGAAGGACAGGCGATGACGTGAGGGCGATCTTCAGTTGGGCAAATGCAGCTTGCTGCTTCTCCCCAAACCAAAACAATCGTGATCCTTCAGGCGAATAACCCAGACACAGATCTCAGTTGCTTCCACATGTGTAGAGATTCGCGTGCCTTGTTTGAGTCAGGTGCATGCTCAAACCGCTTGCAAAGCTCTGCCCACCACGTTGCCTACGTGCGAAGATGGGTCGCTCCGAACAATAGGTTTGCCTCGTCTTCGATGCCGAATTCTCTTCGGACCACTCGTGCTGTCCTTCTGTGCGATTTGCCGCTGAGTCGACGATGACCTTCCACCACTATAGGGC